AACAGAGATATAAGATAATTAAAAAGGTAGTTACAAGCAGATCTCGCGCTTAGATGGTATAGGGGTCTATATAGATTAACAATAGAGGCAGGGTACGCAGGAGCCCCCTAGTAGTGATGAAAAGAGACCCTAATTAAGCTAGAAGAGGCTACACAGCATGGAGCTACCAGGAGGCGCTGCGCGAGGGCCTCCTACGTAACTACCACTAAGGGGAGCTATTTATGCAGGATAACGCGCCCATCTATACAGCACATAGTACTGCTGAGTTCCTCGCCAGCCACCAGATTAGGACTATGGTGTAGCCACGCTATTCACCTAATCTTAATCCTATTAAGCACCTCTAGTAGATGCTTAAACAGACAGTCTATAGGCTATACCCTTATCTCTGCCAGCTAGGGGATAGTGAAGACGAGTGGGATGAGTTCTGTAAGGCTCTAAAGGTAGCATAGCAGAGGATACTAGACGCATACATTAAGAAGCTTATTCTCTTAATGCTAAGGCGCCTTAAAGCTCTGCAACACACGTAAGGATCTTAAACAAAATATTAAGCTAATTGTAATTATTTTAAGCGACTTTTTAAGTCTGTGCGACCACCTAGTGAGGTGGTAGACTATTTTAAAGTTAGTGGGTGAAATGGTGGGTGCTTGTATTCAGCTGTCGGCGAACCAAACTTTTGACTTAGTACTGTACCTTAGATGTTACTATTACCTAGAATAAGATAATTAGGCAATGTAGTTACTAATAGCAAAGTTTATATATAAGAATAGTGTACATGTAACTACAGGAGTTACTCTTTTCTAAGCATACTATAGAGCAAACCTAAGAGGGCTAGATTAGCCTAGAGAACTCCTAGGTTAGGGGGAATTACACATAGTAAATAAAGTTGCTGCAAAAGCACTTACTCTATAGTTAAAATGCTGCTAAAAAATTATTACTATAAATATGTATTAAAAAAAGTATGCAGATAAATAATAGAAGCATATATAGCTATAAGTAAAAGATAAGGTATTAGTTTTTAATAAACACATAAAATTAATAAGGCTAAAAAAGAAGTTAGACTAGAAGTTTTTAAGACTAGAAAAAGTTATAGCCTAGATTAGCGCAAAGGCGTATAAAGTAGACCTACTTAATCTAGAAGAAGTTTATCTAGTATTCTATGTCTTACTTTTAGAGCTATATACCTAGAAAGGGCGTCTTAAGTTGTAATTAGAACTAATTATAGACACTTTACGCACTATAAAGAATAATGTGTACTATGTAAAAAAAATACTTAACTAAAGACAAAATTTAGTTAAAGTATAAAAATATCTTATAAAATAAAAAAGTTATTTATTTAAAAAAAACTTATAAAAATTTAGACCTAATATTAGCTTAAACACATTAAAAGTGTTCTAAAAGAGTAAAGAAATACATAGTAAAAGATTAAATTATGCTAGTTTAAGTTAAACTTTTTAAAAAAAGAAAAGTAACTTAATAAATTAAGTATAGCTACTTTTACTTTTTTTTTTTACTTAAGGTTTTTTTAATAAGAGGTGTTTAATAGCGCTATAGAAATAAAAAGACAACATAGCTTATTTAAACTAAAGATTCTTTATTTAGACTAAGTAAAGCTGTTCTAGTATAGAATAGCTTACTAGAGTTAAGAAAAGGGTTATTTTAGCCTAAAGAAATTTATTATGTAGAAGAAATAAACATTCTAGCCTAAAATAACTTATACTAGTAAGAAAAGAGTAGAGTTTAAGTCTAGCAAGACATTCTAAAATTTTTAGAATAAAAGAGCTATAAAGTAAGTAAGCTAAAGATAAATTAATTTATTACTACTAAGATAGTTACACTTTAAGTCTAAAAAATATAATGTAAGGGTATTTAACTTTATTAAAAAAAAAAAGAAGCTTAAGCTAAAAAACCTAAAACTACACTATACTATGCATTTTTAACTATTTTTACTATAGAATGCGCTAGATCACACTAGATTGTGCTATTAGAGCTCTAGATTAGACATTAAGGTTCTCTGTAGGTAAATTTATAACAGTAGAATAACTATTAAAATATTTCTTATTATACCTAGTTAGCTACTTTTTTTTAGCTAAAGTTTAATTCTAACTAGCCTTATTTTTAATATTATTAGCCTTATTATGCTTTTTAGAGATGTAGTAGATTATATTAGCAGCTTTAGCAGCATTAATGTAATAATGTTGCTTAGCTTTAGTAACATAAACACTTTTAACACTATATTTCTTTTATTATGCTAGTTAGTGCTAGAATAGTTAAAAATAGTATACACTTACTTTTTTAAATAAAGTTAGCGCAGCTTTATTCTTATTAGAGTCCTTTTTAAGCGCCTTACACTTCTTTTTTTTTTTTAGTAATATTAGCTTTAGAGTAGGCGCGCTTCTTAAAAACAACTTTAGTTTTAGTAATTTTGCCTATAGCGCTACTGTGCGCGTATAGATAGTTGTTATATAGGATTTTATTTTTACTATAAACTATTAAAAGCTAGAATAAAGCTAATTAAGCTAGATTATGCTATAATAAAAAAACTTACACTTAAAAAAACTAAATAATAGTGTTTACTTATAACATAACTATTATATTAGCCTATGCTAACTAAGTAAAGTTAAGTAGATTAATAAAAGCTAAAGTATTAAGCATAGCGTTTTTAAAAGCTTATTATTTAGGTTTAAAAGTAATAAAAAGCTATTTAGGGTTAGCCTAGACAGACTGCGCATAAATATGCTAGAAGAAGCTAGAATACGCACTTTAAAGCACTTTTTACTAAATTTAAAGTAATAAGTATACTTAGTATACTTAATTTCTTTTTCTTTTATGCTATAATATAACTTATTGTTTATAAGTATATAACAGCTACTACTTTTATCTATAATGCCCTTATAGGACATTTTGTTAATGTATTAAATATAAAAGTTATTAAAGCGTAAGTTTATATTATTAAAAGCTAATTAATTTTTTTAAAAAAAAACTATAGCTAGATTATAATAAAGTAGGCTATAAAAGTTTATTTTAGAGTTGTTAAGTAAAGTTAAGTATAAGAGAAAAAGCTAAGAGTAGATTAGGCAACAGGCAGGCGTAAGCAGAGTAAAATAGGACTATTAAAGCTTGTTAGCACCCCTTTACGCTAGATTACGCTAGAGTAGCTTAGAATGTACTTACCTTAAAAAGTTTAAAATCTTTTAAATTCTAAGCTGTAAAAAGGGCAGAAGTGTAAAGAAAATAGATTTCTAGGACAGTTAGACCCTATATATACTGTCCTAACTGCTACTCTATTAGCGTAAGATATACTGCTATTTTACCTTTACTTTTACTTTATACTTTTACTTTACCTTTACCTAATAACTTTAAGTTATTTTTAAATAAACTTATATAAAATTAACTAAAATAGGCAGAAGTAAGTTTTTAGGGCATTATGTAACACTCTTTTATGCTACTTAGGCCTATTATTATCTGTTCTATCCTCTAAGTTGTAGGACTACTATAAGGGGGGATAATGTAAGGCCGGATGTCCCAGAACGGGCTAGTATGGCCTCACCTGACCTGTTTGGAGGTCGTATGACCTGTGCTTCATATATAAGCATGAATCCTGACAAGCGAAGCTTAGCAGCGATTCGTCTCTCTTACAATACACTCCTATCTTTCTCCGAAAGCTTGCTCTCAGTGCTATTCGTGCTACTTACCATCCCATCTTTACACTACCTATTGCTGCGCGTAGATAGCGTAAGGGAGTACCTTAGGTCTCTGCAGCGCAGGGATGCCTAGCAAGATTAAGAGTAGTACGCTAATAAGGGCAGAGACACGCTGCTTAACAGCTACACTAAGGACAAGTTTAAGCAGCTCTGTAGTAAGCTGTGGACACATAGTGCAGACGCGAGCTTGTCCTTAGCAACAGTAGAGTGTCACTTCTATACGCTAGTTAATCTTATGCTAGGCCACTACATGCTTACGCGCAGAGGCAACTGCTGTTCTGCAGAGATCTTAGACCTATTTACCTTTAAGTTTAAGGGGGAGGGCCCTACAGGCTTTATGCCCCTAATATTTACTACCTGTGCAAGCAAGCAGAACTAGCATAGCTAGCTTAAGACAATAGGCGCGCTGCAGCACAGAAAGCTAATCCTCTACATGCTTAGCAGCCTAGCCTTCTACCTGCTCTATTGCTAGGACCTAGGCAACAAGCCCTTTCCTAACTTTAGTAAGCGCTTAGCCTAGTACTGCATACAGCTAATTAAGGCTAGCACAGGCAATTATACAGCAGCCTTCTCCTACAACTCCTAGCGCAACTAGGTTGCAAAGGCGTACAGTTACGCTAGGATTTTATCTTAGAAAAAGACTTACCTTCTACACAGTAAAGCAGCTAAGCTAGTAGAGCTTAAAAGGGTTAGTAAGGATTAAATTTAGTAAGCAGGCAGGTAAAATTAGGAGCAAATAGTTAGCTGCTACTTTAACTTACTGCTGCAAAAGTTTATAAAGTCTATAGCTAGCCATCTACTGTAGATAAGCTGCTTTAAGATCCCTTGCGCAGCTATTGCGCCTCTAGATAAGCTCCTGTCTCTTATCTAGCTAGAGCTTAATTTATAGAAGGGCTGCTTTAGCCTACACGCTAGCTAGATTAACAACCTAGCCGCAGGGGGCCTTACAAGCCTGCTGCTCTACCTTAGAGAGGTAATCCTCTAGGACTTAGTTGCGCTGCGCCAGCGCTTCCCTAGCCACCCTGTGTGGAACTACCTAGTGTTCTAGCACAGGGCGTACGCCGCCTTTGCTTAGGACATTAATGCGTCTCTTAACGCAGAGGCAGCTCCTAGTTAGCTGTTAGTCCTGTACTAGGCAATACCCCTGCTTGCTAACTAGCTCTAAGCGCTAGATGCCTAAAACAAGCAGCAGGTAAGGGAGCTTAAAAGAGAGCTTAAGGAGGAGCTTAATTACCTATGTAAGCTGCAGAGATTACAGTCTTAGTAGCTGCAGGTGCTTACGTCTGGCAGCCTTATGTTCTACCTGGAGGCGTCGCAGGCGCAGGGCGGTCTGCTGCTGCCACCACCTCCACTCAGGCACACAGCAGCTGCGCCGCCGTCGCTGGCAGACGTAGATTTAAGCAGGTATACCTCTGCCCAGGCCAGCATCGCGCCTACGCCGTCTGCGCGCTCGCCTAGCCTATCGCCTCTGCCAGCAGCGCTTAAGCTGGCGCCTAAGCTAGAGCCTGCACTAAAGCATCGCATGTGCCGCGCTGTGAGGACTGTGGAGGACCTCTAGCGCAAATAGACAGTAGGCCTGCAGGGCTAGCCTTCTATTACTAAGCTAGACAGGCGCTGGGGAAACAAGTGGAGGTTAGGTTGTTAGAGTGAGCTGCAGTAGTACTCTCTGCAGCTTAAGGTTATTAAGGAGATTAGGCGCATTGCGCAGGCACGGAGGACTAGCGAGGAGGCGGCCATGTGGCAGGTGAGCCAGCAGCAGCAGCAGCAGAGGGTCTCGCTGGACCAGCTCTGCAAGCATCTCAGAGTCGCTCAGAAGGAGAGCAATCGCCCCTAGTTTTGTAGTCCTAGTATTGTATATAGTTATTGTCATGAGAGTTAATTAATTAGTGTTTAGATAGTTATAGCTGCTAAGTGGGGATTCTATTCTGCATTGTTCTGCAATTTGCTGCATTGTTCTGCAATTTGCTGCATTGTTCTGCAATTTGCTGCGTCTTTTTGCAATTTTCTGCATTGTTCTGCAATTTGCTGCTTCTTGTTGCAATTTGATGCATTGTTCTGCAATTTGCTGCATTGTTAGGATACTGTGCGAGCACAGTATACTTCCTTCTGTCACACCGTGACATTTATAGAGAGGTACCTAGCAGCCATACAGTGCGTTCCCAGCAACGTAATAGCAATTATAATGCAGCTCTGCAGTGCTTCAAAGCTAGAGCAGCCTGGCAGCTATTATAAGACCAAAAATCAGGACATTTGAACATGTGGCGGCGTAGATAATGCGCATAGAGGGTGGGCAGTGGACATGGGTGGGAGGTGGTACCCTTTTTTATTCGAGAGCTTGAATCCGGCGTCTCGTTTAAGCGAACTGAAGCAGCAAGGTCCTTGGGCATTCTCCCCGATACGACTGAGCCCGCATCCACAGATTATCCAGAGTTAGGGGGACTGCCAGAAGAAGAGCCTTTTATGCCCAGCACCTTAAATGCAGGGGAGGGGGAGGGGTGGCATAAGAGGCAGTAAAAGAAGCAGTAGGAGCAGCAGCAGAAGAAGAGGAAGCAGAGAACCTCCAGAAATCTAAACGGCTAGCGAGCACGCAGCCGAATGGAGTAGTTCTAGGTTTCTATGAAAGCGTTTAGATCTAATCACGAGTCTATAAGCCAGTATCAATAGGAACGAAAATGGAATCAATCTGTCAGTCGTCAGCACCCGGACTATGCGTAATTACTGGTGGGAACATTCCAGCTCTTCTCCCACATAGTAGCCAAAGTGCCCTCTCCGAACAGCCTCATGGCCTCTCTGTTTGGGTAACTATGCTCCTAATAGACTTAATTCCTTGCAGCAACAAATGTAACACCCGTCTAGATCGGAACTCACCGCTCGACAATGTGAAGACTAGGGGTTGAGTCACATGCTGGATTGCCGCATGCAAATGGCCAACAGGCTGGATGTTATGCTCCCAGATAAACTAAGAGGTGTTGAGTAGGGCTCGGTCACTAACCAAGAACTAAATAGGTGGCATCAGTGATAGATTTGTGGGTGACCTTTTCACGTCAAGTCAAGCCAGATGTTTGAAGCTGAAGGCCATCTAAAGCTTCTCGATATCTCATCTTATTTACTGGATGCTTAATATGTTAATAATATGAAAAATGCTCGGTTTACCAAAAGGCATGCATCTTATCTGCTTGCTGTTGAGAAGAATCAAGGAAGACCACTTCTCTTATCGTACAAGGCAGCAACTAGATCGTATTGACAACCCTATGCTCCAGATATAACAATAGTGCACCTTGTCCTTCCGCATAGGCTCTAATAAAGGACCCTGATAAAGGATTAGGAACCCATCACGAATTTCAATTTCAAGCCACACTCGAGATGGCCCGGAGATTAGTATAAAAGATTTTGAGGAAGTGCTGTTATTTGTAGGCGTGAGAGCTTAGGGTTGAGCAGGATCGAATGTTGAAGAAACCCGCATGCAAAAATAATAGACGAAATAAGACGAAGTAATGGTAGTAATCATCGTAAGGGTATTGGACAGTACCTGAATGATTCAGCTTGGTGTTCCTCTGATGTGAATCTGCGGGGCATTGCGGGGTTTATCCTCAATCACCACCTGACTTTCAGGGTAGGGAGATTCAAATACTTCCAAGGTCGTCCTAGGATCTTATGCATAGCTTCGGCATCTTACTCGCAAATCACAAACTTTCCCTAGGTAGCGATCTAAGAATGGTAGTGGTGGATACGAACCTGGAAACCGCTACTAGTTAAGTTGTGCCCCCTGCGGACTGCAATTTTGTGACGCGACTCTTCTTCCTCAAACACACTTCAACAACAACCTAAGAATTAGGTCCCGAACACTTCCTACCCTCACGTTACAATATATCGCCCCAAACCACTGCCATGGTAAAATTCCCAAAACCATCAGTAGCAAAACGTGAGAGCACGTATAGCTCCCTACGAACTCGTCGTACCAAACGCGCTAAATCCTCCTCTGCCAGTAAGTTCGCGACTCCCTCTTCCCGGTATGGCACAATAGCTAACCTAGAAGTCCTTCCATTCCGATTCCTAGACCTTCCACGAGAGCTCCGCGACCAAATCTACGCCGAGGTATGGGAAGATTCTGAAGCGCTCCAAGTCGTGTACAATGGAATTATTTTCGAGGCCAACCACTGTTCCCCTACAGCCCCACCAGATACTATAAGCAGGAACTGGAGCCGTCGTGATATGTGGCTCTTGGCAAACAAGCAGATTTTACGAGAAGGCATCGAGACGTTCCAACGAGACGCCTACTATGTTTGTTACATGCAATCAGCCCGGAAGCCTAATTTCAGCCAATGGAATTTACGACCACTGTTAAACCCATCTGCAGGAAAGAGCCTCGACCTCTTCGGTCTCATCAAAGAAGAAACCATGCGCGAACTCGACACGACGTTTGGCTACCACCTCCGCAACGACGGTCGCAGCGTCGAAGGCCGTCTTGAACTCTTCGAAGGGGACATCAAAGCCCTCCAGAATCTCCGAGCTGTGATAGGCCCTGCGTCTAGCTTGCAGGAACTCTGCATCCGCATCGACGTGTCAAAATACTACCGATTAGAGGTTGATGAAGGGTGTGTTCCTATCTCGACCGATCTCCGGCCCTTGGAACTTCTTAATACGGCGACGAATTTACGGCAGGTGCATGTTTGGATGAGTACGCGCATGAGATTTCTCCCACGTCCGATGCATTATATTCATAGTGATACTTTGACGATTATTGGAGCGGAGATCGCGAGGGTTGGGAAGGTGTTGGTCGGAGAGGGGTCGGTTACACAGTTGGTCTCGACGGTGCTGTCGAATACACAGCAAAAGTGGAAGTACGAGATTCGACGAGCTTGAGATAGGAGTGGATAAAATATAGAATAATCGCAATTAGCCATAATCAATAGATTAGATCCCGATTTCTATGACGAAATATATGTGCTCCAACTCCATATGTCTTATTTTACAGCCTCGAGGACTCGAAAATGGGGATTCTTTGCACGTCCGGACCTTTTCGTAGAACAAGCCGATACGTTCCTGGGTGGGCGCTCTCGAGATAGATTTAATTCTGTGTTTTGAATGTGGCTTTTCCAAATAAGGGAGTAATGAACTTATTTGAAATGTTGCCAATCGCCCCTTGTCCTGCTCTCATTCCGCGGAACTGAAATGTAGTCGAAGTTCTAGATGCTATCATTAAGAAAAGAACTTGAAAAGTGTCACGGCGGTGCATCCCTTAAATTATCATTGCTTCCACGATGGAAAGATAATTCACAATTTTTGTATGTGGGGGGGGGGAGTGCACATTCGGAATACTCCCTTGGACTGGCGGGATACGAAGGAGCTAAAGAGGCACAGGTGGACGCAATTTTGAAAGAATTGTATCATGGCTAACTCGCTGACATTTTGATTGGTTAGATGACTTGGCACATCCTGCGGGGAGAAAGTTGTTTAGAGGGGGATGTGAAGACAAAGTGGAATGGAACACGGGCCGAGTGGAAAATTAAGGGAAGTACCTGGTCCGCGGTCTGTAGACTGTGCCGGCCTCAGAGACAATCAACTGGATCCCCGAAGTAAGGGTCAAACAGACGACCACCTTGAAACACCACAACACTCCACTTGCCCAACACCTATAATCCGAGCCTTGTCTGTGTTGTTCTTATACCCACACTTACAGACAGCTTCTCCGTGCGCAGAGGGCTGAGATGAGTGCCTCACCTCACCGCTTAAGTCCTGTCACCCGCTCCCACTGCTACACCATGCTTGACGCCCTGAGTGCTCCAAATATGTTTCCCTAGGCAAAAGCAGCGGGGCTCAATATTTGCTGTAAAGGAGCCACACCTCATGGCCATCGATTTACTTGAAGAAGATATCCTTAACCTGTAGGTATAAGGCCCTGTTTATAGTACCAAATTGCTAGCCCTGTAGACAACTATTTAGATAAACAAACAAAAAATTGGAGCTCATATGGATTGTTATACCAAGTCAATGCCTTTCATATCCGCCAATGTTAGAACGAAATCTCTAGTGCTTGATTGATGCCTCGTAAAGATATCGCGATTACCACGACACACAATGTTTGTGACCAAGGTGGCATCTCAAGGAGACTCCAGCTGAGAGTTTTGAGTAATGTTCTATCGTTTTCTCTTGTTTCATGTACACAAACATGAGTGGCCCCGAGCAAGTTCAGGAAACTGCCGGGCAGTTGTCGCTGCCCAGGGAACGAGTTCTTGTTCGATCTGCCGTCTGACTCTATCGTGGTTGAAGGAACGGTTGAAGAGCAGCGCCTAGACAGGAATAAAAGCTTGCCCTTTGCGTGATTTTTCTTACAACCATCCAGACCTTGGATTTGGAGAGTTTAGAACGAGTGAAAATTGGCATCTTGCAGTCCATAAAACTTTAAGCACTTATATGAGATGGATACGGCGGTTGAGGGCATTTGTTAGTGCCTCCGATACACTATTACAGTCGGCTTCGGTTACTGAGGCTCTCCCCAAGAGAAGGTCGAATATCGGGGTGCTAAGCGTCGGCTGTATACCCACCTAGTCCCTTGGGGATCAGTCGTAGAGCAAATTGTGGCTAGACATACTGGTCGAGTCTCTTCGGTGGATAAATCCCGCAATGCTTTTGCGGTACTGGTAACTCCCTCCTCTTCCTCATTATCTATTGACGCTCCTGAACAAGAATGTGTGTTAGCATGATGTATAGTTTCCAGATTGGTAGGCTTCGGGGAAACCAACGTTTTACCAATGTTAGTTGAGAATTTTTGTTGATATTTATTGCTTCACCTGCACTTTTCCTCGCCTAGCTGCCTCGTGATAGTGAAGGTGTTTTAACCCTTGAACGGATATTAGAACCCTCTGGAAGGACTGAAGCGTTGCTGCCCACATCCTGAACGGTCGTCTGCTGAGACTCAATCCAGCATTCGCAGGTCACCAACTTGAAGCCTTCAAAAACTGGCTTTCCACTTCCGAATCTCTTCCTTGGACATTGCGGCCAAGATCTCGTCCATTTTGCGCCGAATCCTCTTATCGGTGGCTTTAGTGCCGAGGCCCCGTTTCACAATCGCCAAGGCATGGTAAGCAAAAAGGTCAACCTTGGTCTCGAAGTGAGAAGGGAGGTCGTCCGCATCCAATAAATCAAGCTGTATATCTCAGCGCAGACTCCTCGACACCGTATATATCGTCTTTGCAGTTGGTCCCTCTACATTAGCGGAAACCCGCTCATCATTTTGAAGGTCTTGCTGCTCGGATTCTGGCTTAGTCTTCTAAACAGGAATATCTTCCTCTTCTGGGTAATGTTCATCCCCTTGGAGTTCCGTTGCCTCATTAGTGTTATTTCGATACTCCATGATAACATCTTCACGTATTGCTGAGTGTAATCTAGATCTAGCGCGGCCTGTCACTCATGGGGGTGAATACAGTTGTGGTGTCGCCCTCATGGTTGAGAGGACCTTCATTTGGTAGGCTGAGCCTAGTCCCATTCACTAACAATTTGGCGTTATCCTCAGCAAGCTTGTTCTGCTGTTGCACGAAACCGGCCATCATGTCTTTCGACGCGATGGCCGTACTTTTTACCGTGAAGCCTATGGCTGGCCGCAACCACGGATGCAATACCCACCTCAATTTTCTCGGGGGTCTCCATATACCCAGCCAGTATCCAAGCCAGCTGATGAATCATCTCCGATCGGAAGAGATCTGACATCTGCGATATTTTCTTCTCCGTCGCCCCTGCCTCGCTCATGTGTGGCTGGATCACATTGAGACCGATCTTTTTCGGAAAGCCATCTGGAAAGCATATCTTGATTAGGTCCCGAACAGACTCTTTGAACATGGGATCACTGGGATCCAAGAGGCAAGCTAGCTTGATGCCAAAGTTCTAGGTTTTTACGTCCTGGGGATCGGCATTGTCTCTAATCGCAGGGACATAAAGGCTCAAGTCTTTGTGGAAGATGGATTTGGCTTGCAAGATGGGATGCTTCAAATCCGCTGTTTCCAATTTACCTGTTGATATGGTTCGGGAGCGCTTCGTACGGGTCTCAGAGGAGCCCGGAGACCCACGTCGTTCCTGAATTAACGCGTCAGTCGTGAATCAATTTGTACCCAGGAAAACTTGTGTACTACCCTCCTCTTGTGAGAGTTCCCTTCCATCGCTATAGCTGGCGGTTTAGTGGCCGTGAGACTAGCGTGAGAGGTAGGAAGGCGATCAGGTTTTCGTTGCTGTACCAATTGCGTAGGCTAACCGAATTGGTGACTGCAGGTGAAGTGAAAGAGGCAGTCGCGACTTTCTCAACGCGTTGTACCGGAAATAAGGCTCTAAGTCCGATTTGTCGTAGCGCGCTATCACGTGTATCTAACCCTCCCCACCTGTTGAACCCTTCAACGGGTATGTAATAAGCAGATGAGGGAACAAGGTTTGTACGACTCGCCCACTTTGCACCCTGAGGCCGTCCAACCCACCGCACACATTAAAAGGCGAGGCCTTACCACTTTGACGAGTGCATCGTCAATTTGGAGGGGAAGCATTGCCAAGCCTACGGGAAGCTCCGGCCAATAAAGCTTCACCTCAAGTTTCTCGCAACCAGACGCTCCAAGTCGAACTTCCGTAACACGCGACTCCCACTATGATCCTGCGCCCCACAATCACACACCCTGCCGCTATTCTGTCGCGAACATGTCGGCAACATATCCTACTAGAATACGACTGACTGTCGAAATCCTTCCCCTCCATCCCTCAGATTCAAATGGACCACGTCGAGCTGCCACCCTCGCAGCGTTCCGGGGAAGGAGGATTGCGCTGCCCGTTCAATTGGAGGACACCTTCGACAAAGTATGGAACTTGATTGAGGAGAGGTACAAACGGAACTATCTGACTCCGGCGCAAGCGTCGTGAGTTTCCCCTCTTGCGGCTCCGTCGCGTATCAGATCGACGTGTACTGATGGCGGTTGTAGGAATTTCACAATAAAACGGTTGCTGGACTTCGACGACTGCGAAATAGAGATGAGCGACACTGTCGGCTCCATTTATGAGACCGTTACTGAGTTGGAGAAACGTAAGGTCAAGGTTGTTCCAAGCTTCATCGATCGCGACTTCTCCGTAGCCATCGCATCGAACGTTGTGCCTGAAAACACCCTTAAGCGCTTGCGAGAAATTGAAGAGCTGAATGCAGGAAATAAGAGAAGGCGATTGGAAGAACTTCCACACGACAACGAGGACTTGGATCGCACGCGAGATCGGCCCGTCCCTTCTACCGAGTCCGACGAAAGCAGGGAAATCCATACTGGGGACAACGCTGCTCAGACAGCATGCAGTGGAGAAGAGCAGTGGAGATCCGCATCGGCCAGTTCTATTATATATGTACAGGATTCGCAGACCGGACTCCCAAAATTCCAGCCCGACCCGAAGATCGAATCTCCAGAGTTAGGCGCTCAGTCGGTCCGCACTATTCCCGAGTCAGATGAGGAATCAATTCATAGCCCTAGGCGTGTTGATGTGGGTACACCTTCTACAGACAGACATCCGTTTAAGAAGCCCTTACAACCTGCATCAAAAATGGCGCACAACAACCCCCGCCGTCGTTCTGAATCACGCCAAGAGTCCTCCGTGGAATCATTCCATAAGCCGCGTGAACAGAACAGATCACCAGAGCTACAACATGAGGATAATGAGCAGATTACTCAAGAGGTGGATGTGAATGTGGAAGATAGTCAAACCTTAGATGAGCTGGAGCCTTTTATATCTCTAGAGGATGATCTCCCTCACAAGACTCCTTACAATAAGTCAGCGAAGCGGCTCAAAACATATGGCGGTCGATTCCCACGGACACCTAGGCTCCTCCAAGAAGAGATGCATCCCTTCAAAAAGCTTCGATCCACCTCAACAGAGGCACACAAAAAAGGAAGTAACTCTTTAGGGGCACAAAAGAACCTATCCGCCAAATCTCGTTCTTTTCAACGACCGAAACCGGACGAGATCGTGTCCACTCCAGAAGTGAACGGCGGCGTAGCAGCTTACGGAGAAGACTCTCCGATTTTTGCGTCAAAAGTGCTTGCTTCTAAGCGAGGGTCCCGTCTAGCTCGAAAGGAAAGCCCAGCCCTTGAGGCTGGCCAAGATACGGGCAACACGTATGTGACGCCTGGGAACAGCCAAGTAGCGAAATCTACTAGGCCATTAAGTTTGAAGAAGCCCCCTCAGGTGTTCTGCAAGATGCTCAAGCCAGGTACTAGTCCGAAGAAAATCATCGGAACCGATTCGGCTCTGCCGACGTCTAACGAACTTGACGAGGTGGAATCAGTGACCAACCCCACACCTCGACACGGCCTTAGAAAATCTGCCATAGGACTATCAGAATCTGGTGAAAAGTATAGCACACCTACACCATCTACTGTCAACGACACTTCGCATACTCGGATCTCTTCGAACGCGTTGGCTAAGGTTGACGCGCTGAAAGAAAAATTAGCCAAGCGGAGAGTGTCCCCAAAGGTTGTCATCCCATCAAAAAAGCCAACTCCTGCTTCTGTTGATCAACCTCCCGAGACGGATGGTCCGCAACAGAACTTAAAGTCTCGAAATGGAGAAAGTGACGCTTATAAATATGGTAGTGCAGGGAAAGCTTCGGCCAGCCTCACAATGTCGAAGAAAACAGCATCAAAAGCGCCAAGGCCGTCCACGATATATGGTATTTCTACAGATATACTGCCACGTGGAATGTCCGAAACGTCAGAAACAAGACCTACGCCAGCCAAGAGCGAAGTCCCTCTCCCCACAAACGTAAGACATCTCGCTAGAGATGGGGTTAGGAGTTTGGTTAGTGCAGAAGCCGTGGCAAAGAAACCTGAAAAGACTAAGAAGCCGATATCAACCACGCCAGTACCCGTACCAACAGTCGAAACGAGTATCAGCAACTTGGTACGAAGCATGTCTGAATCATCCACCTCGCGAGCTACGCCAACGAGGAGTGAGGTACCAGTTACTAGTAAAGCCAAGCATCCCAATATAAACGGAAATGACGTGCATGGGTTGTCCCAGAAACTCTCTTGTTCGGATGTTTCGAAGGGTCGAAGGGTAATGAGCGAAGTCCCTTTGCCCGAAAATGTCAGACATCTCGTGGGGAACTCGCAGCCTAAGCCTGCATCTGAAGAGCCTGAATCAAAGGCAACCAAACGCCGGTGTCGCCAATTACAAAATGGCATGACGGACTCAGCGTCATCCGCCCCTGAACTTAAGTTGCCTGAACACCGTGGCCTCCTACAGAGGAGTGCCATAGAGGAGTCAATATCCCTAGCGTCAAAAGCAAACGCTACAAAAGCACGCGGCGTGGCGCAAAAGAATGCGGGGACAATCTCGACCATAGCGCCTAAGGCACGTCGACAAAGTTTTCTTCAATTTCCTCCAGAAGAACGTCCAAAGAAGGTAGCCGAACCATACCCTCAATCAGCACCAAAGCCCACCACTACCGCGGAAGACGCTATATCGATTTCTAGTACGAAGTCGGACACTTCTTATGAATCAACTGAAGATGAGGTGCCTAGTGGATTGACAACCAACGGTAGAGGGAAGCTACAAAATCTTGATGGACCTGCCAGCGAACCGGTATCACTGTCAGCAGCGGCTCATGCCCATCAGGAGAATGGAGTCATTCATGGCGGTGACGAGGTTCTGCCTAACGCAGATATAAACATACATGAGGTACTTGCAGCAGGAGAGCCAGAGGCAAACGAGGATGTTTCAAAATCAGCGCCATGGGCCGCGAACTCGTGGAATTTTGGAGCAGTCCAGCAGGATGAGAATAGTAATAAGAACATCGACGAGGATGCCGCGTCAACTTCCAGCTCCAAATCCCACTCCCAATCAGCATCAACGAACCCATCCGAAGCTAACTCAAATACTGGATCCATATCGAAATCAAGATCCGCTTCCCGCGTGACATCGACGAGGTCTTCGCCCGCAGTAGCCCGTACACCAGCTCGTTTTCTCACTCACACCCCAACGCCAGAATCAGAAGGATCGAGCAGTGGAGACGAAGACATCGCGCCAAGTCCTAAATACACAAATATTGATGGCGAAGAAGGCGATAGCGAAAGCTCGGCCAGTGACAGTGACAGTGGCAGCGATAGCGACAGCGATATGGAGATGGCAGACTCTGATGTCGACGCCGGTGCAGATCCCAATACCACAGCAGGCGCCGTACCTCCATCCTCTCCTCCACCAATGCCCGAACAGACCCGAGTTCCTATCCCGAGTCCGCCAAAGACCCAGAACCAAAGCCAAAGCCAACGAACAATCCTGCCTTCACAATCCCTTCCCCGGCTCTCACAAATCCCGCACTCCCAAGTACCTCTCCCTGCCAACGTCCGCTCCCCAGCCCCAACCCCAGTTCCAGCTTCCACTATAGCAGTCCACACCTCACACTTTGCCCAACCACCATCCGCCTCCCGCGTTCGCCCCCCCAACGCCCGTTTCCCCAGTCTTCGTCAACAAATCACCGAAGCTAGATCGACGCCACAGGCAAGCTTGCCAAGTAAGGTGTTTGACCCTCGGACTCACAGTTTTGGGAAGCTGGTGAAGGCGAAAGCGCAGGGGAAGAAGGGGAAGGTGTTTGAGGTTAGTGAGAGCGAGAGCGATGATGAGAGTGAAAGTAGTAGTAGTGAAGATGACGGGGTGAAGAGTAAGAAGAAGAATAGTGCGGGATGTTCGGTTGTTTGAACTTGAGGGTGTTGACAGTCTGTGTCGTGCGTGTATATTTGGGGGAGTCGTCGGGGTTTGAAAATCCTACCGTGTGAAGGTATCAGTCTTTCTCCCTCTTTTCTCAAAAGATTTTCCTCGACCTCGTACTGCATGCATATTTTGGTTGGGATTAACATTGGCGTTGTCATTGATGCTGGTTGTTTAACTGTGTCCGCCGCCGCCGCAACTCTAAGGCCCATCCAGTCCCGCACTTTCTCGACCATACTCATACCGTGTATAGTTATTCCATTCCATCATGCTTCTAGCGATCGGTGATATTGGCGATGGAGTCCAGGTCTAGCTACAAAGGGGGGTTAGCCTTCGTCATGTCCTTCGGTGAATTATTTCATCCTTCCGGGCTTTGTATTTCGCTAAAGAATCAAATACAGTTAATTTTCTGAGACTTAGGGATTGTGGATTTGAGGATACGGGATGAGATGAAATGAATAAAACACGTAAGTGGGCTTTGTTGATGTTTGCGTTGGGTGCATGCTTTCGATAGTGATGCGTTTGTTGTCCTATGGATGATGGGTCGGTCTGTCGTGCAACTGGAATTCTGAGGGGGGCGTATCTCGGATGTTATTGACTCAGTGTAGCATTGGTCTTAGATAGGGTTATAACATGCCTATTTTAAACAGTTTCCTCTCCATGCCTTGCTCTTGACATATGGGAGAGGAGCGCTCGGCTTGGTTGGAAGGATTCTATTAGTTTCTACCATAGAAACATATCTGGCACAGGCGCTTCAACACCCCTTCCGCTACCTGGGACCAAAACACAGGGAATGCAAAGGCAGGCGAGTATCCAGCCCAAACTTTCGAGCACTACTCAAACTCCCACACCTCCTTCCGCTGATGAACAACACCCTCAGATTTCCCACATTCCTCCGTAAACACCGAAAACGTGCGTTCGACGCGGATCTCCGGTACACCGTGCAGTCCCAGCCCATCGAGCGTCTACTCGTTGTTAACAGAATCAAATGGTTTGCGGAGGAGGGCTCTTTGGCGGCCATGCGTAGGGGTCCAGCGTGCTTGCCTGGGGTGAAACTGGGGGTGGAACCGAAGCCGGAGGAGTAGGTGGGTTCTGTACGGACGAGGCGCTGTTGGTGCTTGGCGGATTAGTCCCGGTTGGCGTTGGTCGACGTGAATTGGTCGTCGAGGGGCCCTTGAGCGTCATGTCCATTAGTTCGACGCCGTTGGAGGGAGGTTGCTGGTGGACTAGCGTTACGGGTTCGGGAGGTAGTTGACCGTGCTGGTCTTCAGAGTACTTAGATTCTTTCTCTGCTCGGATGAGGCCGGGGAGGGGACAACAGAAGGATGTGTAGCAATCTTTTAGACCGTTGCCTTTGAGGTGGTATTCTCTTCGGACTTGGGCGTATTGGATTGTCTGTGGGATCCCGAAGCAGCAGAAGGTACTGGAGGCGAGGCATATCCAGCACTGTTGAGTATATTAGAAAAACCAACTACAAATTTTGCAAGAAGCCGAGAGGGCTGGAGGGGAGGGGCTGCATAGGAAATGTGCAATAAACCCAGCTTGAGGGGCGAACATCTCGTTGACTGACAGATAAATTGTTCCAGGGCTTATAACCGTCCATGTTTTCGTGATGAACGCGATGGGACGTCCTACCAAATACGACACAAGGGCACCAGAAAGCCTCGCAAACTGTGAATCGATACCTATCAGTACATGCATTCAATTATATGACAAACTCGACTGCGCGGGGTGAGAGCGACGAAAGTGAGAGACTTACACAGACTAAAGGGACAGCAGCATCCCAAGAGTGCATGCTTCCACCCATGAGGTTGGTCACCTGCAGCGTCCTGGACGGCCACAATAGTGTGTTTGTCCCTCCACCACTGATTTCGGGCTTCTGCGAAGCTAATGTGGACCTTCTTTCCAGGGGCTGCAGATGGCTGGTTCGCGTTTCCAGCGCTCACAATAACAGTGTTCTCTGGTTGGATAGACATGCTGAATAGCAATGGGCTGGGTATTGCAGTTGGATATATTGATGAACGTTTGTGATGATGTGGCTCGATTGAGTGGTGATGATGTTATGTCGAAAAGTCTATAATCAAAGTCGTGAGTGCATGGAGAGGCAACCTAAAGAGTCTTCGTTAGAGACAGAAGGAGTGACGGCGGGAATAACAGCGGGTAGAATAGCGACTGCCTACCGCATGCTTCCGGCTCTAGTAGAGGGACTGAGTTACTTCCTCATACTATTTCCACCCAAAGCCTGGGATCTGCCCCCGCTGGCCGCAAACTGTAGGGACAGATTTAAAAAAAATTGTTGGAATCGCACGCAACCGTGAGCATGCGAGGAGGCATCCTGTGCACCTTCTAGAGAGAAAGCGAATTAGTACGGTAAAGGCCTGGTTCTGGATGTCGATTGAACTTGATGAGTATCGAGAAATGTATTGTGGTACGCTCCCTAGCGAGTGCAACAAACACAGGCTCGAGGACATAGCTCTAACGCATCTCATCCTACTGAATGGCACCTGACTATTGTGAGGTCTCTGCTGGAATCTTTTGTTGGGGCCAGGGAGGCTGTCAACAGTATGCAAGATTTTGTTTTAAGTCATAACTACCGCGACTGTGTTCCATGTTAGGTGAGTGAGCCTATGATCGACGTCGCTGGTACCTCCTACCGACATGGATGCCTGGGCTTCGAAATTCTACTCCAGGGCATTTGTTGAAATCTCCATTGTGATCGACTTTGCTGAATCTTCGCTATGTATTACAGGCTAAGGAGGGGATGAAAGTAAGAATGGGAAGAGAGAGAGCGTAGCGGTGGATAATATCGCTGTTCCCTGAGCATCAGTAGAAAAATCGTCTCACTGCATCTGATGATCAGCCCTATGAAGCTCTACTTATGTTTCTCAGGCATACAGTATGAACTAAGCTAGAGCACGGCTTCTGTACCGTCGTTCTCCCTCTCAGACACCTCAGAATGTGGTGGCACAAGCGAGACCAACCCAACCTTAAGTGCAACTTCAATTATATTCAATCCACAAAAAATGGCTACCGATATTGCCTTCGCCATATCAATCCCAGTTCAATCCAATCATATCGCAACCAAACCATCATGAACCAGAAACGCAAAATCCTGCAGTGAGGAAAGCCTTGCTTTGCACCAACCAACACACGAGAGTAAAGGCAAGGGGGAATCTTAGCGAGTGCATGCTACAAGAAAACGGAAAACCTGCCAAAACAGAAGTGCCCCCGAACCAGCCTTAGACCAAGCAGACGAGGGCGGGTATGCCAGAAGAGGATAAAAAAACATGGTCGTAGTCCTCAGGGCCCTAAATCCAAGGCCCTAAAGAGTTTAGCGCCGAAACGCCGAGTATGAAAAAGCGCTAGATGGTATAACGCTGACTGCAAATATTACTTTATACATGGCCTACTCGATGGAGCAGAACAACATATCGGTAAAAGCCCGAAGAGCCAGCCCAGGGTTTTACCAGAATTAGGAACAAATATTAAGGAGAAGGTATATGTCGTAAGTACCGAACATGCCCAGTATGAGCTGTGAAGGTACGTGGCTTGGAAGACAAAATGTGGTCATCAGTCTTAGTAGGTATGAATTGGGTGCGGCACAGCGTCTTTGTCATTCGTTCGTTGATGGGAGACATTATTGAAAATATCGAGGTCGGATGTTGTTTGCGGAGGTCTTCAATCGAACATACTCTCTTCTTGAACCATACGCGGATCTTTTCGGGCATCGTCTCGTATACGAGGATTTGAACCCTGTCTCTGACCGTTGAGGCCCATGTTCATTAGAAGCATGCCGCTTTCTCTTCGTCTCTGTTTTGCTTCTCTTGAGCTGCCAGGTTGCAGAGCACCATTCAGGCTACCAAAGCCTTCGCTCTGCGCTGGTTGTGGATAAAGGGGAGCATCATAGCTGGGATGCATTGGAATGAACCCAGTATCGTAACCGGCATATTGTGGTTGCTGGGGTTGTTGATGGTGTTGCGACGGAGGTTGCAGCTGTTGCTGAGAGGAATTTGGGCCCATCGGGAAACTGCTCGGTGGTTGGAAAGCATGGTGTGTTTGAGGCTGGAGAGGCTGGAATGATGTTTCGTTGTAAGCGGGTGTCGGAATGTCCGAGAACATCTGGCGACGAGGCGAACGAATAGCTTCAGATCCCAAAGGAGGGGTGCTGACATGTATTTCGTGAATGGGTGAATTTGCTTCGTCGAGTGGTGTGCCAAAGATGTCAGTGAAGTCCGTTAAGAACATCGATATCAGCGGAGCCGGGATGTTTAGGGTGGGAGCAAACACGATCCCGACGTTCCTCACCGTCATCTTATTTACATCTGCGTTATCGATGATGTCGATGAGGAAACCCGACACAGCCTGGAGGAGCTCGAAATTGACTCTTGGTAGCCTATGCACGAGCACATTGAATGTCTGGATCTTTTTCTCACGTTCGTCCATATCTATGTCATATGTTAGCGAATGCTGTGGGAGGCGGTTTTCTAGCACTGACCAAGGACTTTCAGGAAGTCGATATGCAACTCGCGAGTTAGAATAGAAGCTGGAAGTTCGCGCAAATACAGCTTCAAAAGCGAAGCGACAGCGTGGACATCGTAGTATTGTCCGTCGAGAAGCTTGACATCGACTTCATTGTTGAAGCGATCGCGAAGACCCTTGATAACAATATTCGATCCGCTGAGCCGGAAGATGCCTTCCTCCCGGAAGGCGCTCTTCGCCCTCAAGTATTCTAAACACCGGTAGACAACGGCAGGGAGCTGGGCTTTGACACCAAAGGGCTGGGAAAACTCAACGGCTTCCTGGAGTGGAATACCAAAGACGTTCCGATTCTGGAGCACCGCTCCCTGAGCCAGCTGTTGCTGCGGCGGCCCAATTTGACCTGGTCCTCCGTCGGAGGAAGCACGACCTCTAAAGCCAAAAATACTACGCTTCTTATCTTTCACAGCAGTTGGAGCTGCCAATGTCTTGTTGCCCCATATCTCAACGTTTTGAATAGGAGCGCCATTGGTTGGACCAGAAATCGAAGGGTAATGTCCGGTGCTTTCACTAGAAAACGACGAATTCTTAGGAGAGTGAGCATACGTTTCTTTGGCTTCTCGGTGGGTGGGTCCACGTATTGGGGCCTCGGCTGCCACGGTGTCATCGTAACTAAGCCCTTGAAGCCTCTCTCGTTTCTCTCGTTTCTCCCCTTCCGGACTATCTCTTTGCTTCGAACGGGATGTTTCATGTGAATGCCCCTTTGGAAAGTTTGTGCTGCGAGCGGACCCAGGCTGTGTCTCAATTGGCGAGGCTTCTTCTTGCCAGTCCACATGTTGAAGAAGAGCATCAACCCAAGCATCCCGCTCCTGATCGCTTTCAGCACAGAGAACGTGACGGACCAGGCTGGAAGAGTCTTTGCGCTTCGGCTCCAAAATAAGGAAAGCATGGCGATACTGATTGTCGTCGGAATCATCCCTCCGCTGTGGCGATTGGTTGGCCTGTTGCTGAGATTGCTTACCAATTTGCGCATTTTGCAACTTGATGGTCCCTAGGTGTGCCCCACCAACAGATTCATAATATCTGAACTCTGGGCCGTCAAGAATGAAGTATCGTGCTTTCCAGCCGCCAAAATTCTTGCCCCGCTTCGTTAGATAGCCTTCTTTTTGTTGTCTCCCTTTGGGTGCAGATGCCATTGCCACTGCAGAAGGTTCTGGAGCTAGAGTATCATCGATTTGTGCACCAATGACATCTGTCGAGAAGAATTCGCAAACCACCAGGGCGGCTTTCTCACTCATTGGTGTCTCTAGCATCATGTCGAAGTAGTGATTGAGAGCAGCCCTTCGGGCATCCATTTTGGCAGGTGCGTGGCCGCCGAACAAGGCCCTATCAGGTACCTTTCCGTGAAAGTCGCATAACGCTCTTAGTTGGTCATGGAGGGTCGGTAGTGCCACAATAGTTTTCTCAACACGCCAAAGCTGCTTCCCATCCGAGCGGGCGTAAATTGCGAGTATGAAGACAGGATCTTCCTCTTGAGGTTTTGGCGCCAAGAAGCTTAAGCGTGAGGGCCTAAGCCTGGACGAATATACCTTCACATCGATAGAGGGTAGCGCATTGGGTGGAAGTAAGAGTCCCGGGTACTGATCAGACACGAGGCCTCGATAGACATGCTCGGGGCTAGAAGGGTCACTCTGACCTACAGTACTAATATCCGTTTCGAGATTTGGTTGTGCATTGGGCGGCTTAAGGAGATCCGAGGACGAAGTTTGAGACTTTGATTGGGTAGGTGGCTCTGCTCGCGCTCCTGGAGGTGATACGTAAGACTGAGGCGTGCTAGGTGGTAGCGGAATCGGCTGTCGAGGTGTCCGCGAGTTTGGCTGCGGTGCCCCGTTGGCCGTGGATCTCGGCGACATTGGAGGAGATGCCAAGGACTGTTTCGGATTTCTTGGTACTGGCGATCCAATTGGCCTATCTCCGGGACGAGGACTCATTGGTAAGCCTGGGCTCATCAACGGTGGCGAGATTAGACCTCTCTGCGCGATCATAGAACTGTCTGAGTTGGTGGGGCTCAAAAGGGCGTTTATGGAATTTGCAGGTGGGTGGCGGGGAGAAAGTGGTAACCCAGCTTGAAGGGGGCTGAAAGGTCGTGGGGATAAGGATCCTCCGACAGATCTCTTCTCATCGGGTTGGGAATTATCCTCGGAAGTTGCCGGTACCTTGCTCTTGCTCTCGCTCTTTTTCTTTTTCGACTTGCTCCGGGCTTCATCCTCCTTAATCATCATGGCCTCCCTGATACGATCATCTTCTTCCCGGGTCTTCCTCCTGCCTCGGTCAACAATTGGAATTTCATCAACTTCTAGCGTGTCATCATAGTCCGAGTCTGAATGGTCTCCTGGGCGGGATTGGTAGAGATGTGCGCTGGTTTTCTCAGGCTTAGATAGATTGAGAGGTGCAGGTGGCGCTTTTCTGAGCGGGTGTGCAGGTCTTCCTGGAGGCGCTTCAAAACCATCACCACCAATTATAGGAGTTGCCTGCGTAAGGGACAATGATGGGGCTTTCATATGGTGATTGGGAGAGGTAGATGTGGCGTTTGATGCTTGTTGTACCATGGGCTCAGCCATCGCTGTTTGTATTGGGGTCATCTCCACGATTGGAGCACCCTCGTTCATGACAGCGTTAAGACCTAGACCTTTGTTCCCAAGGCTGAGTGGTTTGACCGAGTAATCGGTTGGTGAATTCACCGATGATGGGGGGTTCGACGCGGAAGCCGCCTCAGACGAATGCGCAGGCGAGTGCGCCAGTTGGCTTTCAGGAAACATGTGTGTCACCGTGGTGCCTTGTGACAGCGGAGAGGTTTTGTGCTCAACGGTTCTCGCGGCGGTGTTCGCCTTGGCAGAATCCTCCTGTTTCTCGCTCGGAGCTGGCGACTGACTGTGCTCGCGTTCCACAACAGAGTCGACCGTGTCTGATCTTTGTGGTGCACTGGGTAACGGCGGTACCTGATTGGCGTACTCTTTCAGTTTCTTCCGGTAACGGTCCTTATCTTTCAACGCTCGCTCCAAATCTTTGTTCAGCCCGATTATCATTGCCCGCTGTTTCTCGACTAGCCGCCAGAGCTGAGCATTGTGATTAGAAGCACTTTGCTTCTCTTTCCACATGGCAAGCATAGCAGCTTCTGGGGACCCGGCTGCGGCTGCGAGGCTTGCCATATCCGGTGGGTTCGCAGTCGTCGTATCCTGGGAGGACTTGTATGAATGTGATGTGTTGGACCGGTATGATTGGGAGGCATTGGAGGAGAGAGACGATACAGCGGAGTCTATCGAGGGATTGCGGGGTGCTGTGGGCCGGGTGTCTGGTCGGTTTGGCCGCGAGGGTGGAGGCATCGTGGCGGGAGATGAGGGAGGAGAGAGATCGGCCGAGGACAGAACGGGTGCGGAGAAGTTTCGTAGCTGGGCATACGAGGACTGCTTCCCTGGCGGGTTGTGGAGTCTGATCGCAGTGCCTGGCGGGGTTGGAGGGTACGTCTGCGTTGGCGTGGTTCCCTCAGATCGCGGATTGTTCTCTTCGGCTAGAAGGGCGTCGAGCTTCTGGCGTGGAGAGCGTGGTTCGTCTGGATAGGCCGACGAAGGAATGAACTGGGGAGAGCGCGGCGAATGGGGCTTGCCCTCGCTGCTGGCCGCTGAGAAATCGGGACTGGAGTGCTGCAACGGACTCGGTACCGGCCTGCGGCGGCTGCTGCGCGGGTCGGCGAGGTTGTTCGGGCGCGTCGTCTCGCGCAGCGTCCGAATGCTGTCCGCGAGAGACGGCGAGGGCGGCGGGAAGCGGAGTGAGGAGGGCGTGGAAGAAGTTGGAGTTGTGGTGATGGCCGGGCTGTCTGCCAGCGATGGACCATCGCACTGCATGACCGTCTCGGTTGTAATGCTGGCTTAAACAAGCTTAGCTGCGCGACAAGGGTGTCCTCTTAATTGGGGCCCCTCTGTAACAGCGTTACTGGAGGCAGGTAGGGTGGGGATGATTAGGCGTGTTTCGTAATTTTCGACCTGGGTCTGGGTGAATTGAGCTGCAGCGCGGGCAGGAGAAGGGACGGTGTCAGCACTCAGATGGACCAGCAGCAGCTCGACAGTGCGCCGCCATCAAAGAGGGCCGCGGACAGCAGATAGCACGGCTTGCAGAGGAAATAGGAGCGCAGTTCGGTGGGCGAGCTGCTAGTATTACTCGTCGCCCCACGCGCCGGCCGAGCAAGGTTCGCAGTGGGAAAAATGAGGATGTGCCGGTTGCGCCTGTGGTGTAAATTGGAAGCCCAACGCCTTTTCCCTATCTAGAAGCGAACGGACGCAGGAACCCTTCCAAGCTTCCTCTGGCCAGGCCACCTTGTGGGCCGACGAGAGTCTCCCGCCGTGTGCACTTGCGCTTTGTCTTGCGGGCTGGACGCCGCAAGTAGTGACGAGTGATGGCTCCGGCGAGGGCGCCTCTCGACGGCCATGGATGCTGTGAGGGACCACGCACACAAAGCTGAAACGCACCTCACCACCAGCTCGTCCAGCCGTGACTCTGGCGCCGTCGACCTTCTGCATGGGCGCCAAAGGGTCTCTTTGCGCGTCCCAATTGGGCGGCCCAAGCTTATGGCTTGCGACCTTGGACGTCTTCTGACTGCCACCCGTCATCACCAAGTGCTCCGCTAACTCTCCCTCGTCGACCCTTTGCTGCACACCTCATACATACGAGGAACTAGCCTCGAGCAAGTGCAGAGTCGTCAACACCGGCAGTCCAGCTCGCGTTGTTCCTCAAACTTCGTTTCACTTCATTGCTCAGAGTACTCTCTTCTACGGCAGCCAGGAGCCGCCAGTGCATGTTCCCTGCTCTCCATCACGAGCCAGCCCGCCCGAGAGAGAGATTCGCGAGCATTTGGAGGTGACGGTCCCGCAGCGCTTGGGGCGGTGAAGAAAAGGAGACACCTATCTGCGGCGGCCGGCGTCCTCATTGGACGGGTCCGGAGTTATCTCTCTTAGGAGTGCGATGCATCCAAACCAAGCATTCGCCAGAGTGCAAAGCGAAGCTTTCTTGCATGCCCGAGATGACCCCGCCTGCAGCTGGATCAACAAGTGAGAATTGGACAGCCCCGGTCGTGACGGTAATTTAAAGGCCAAGTAGCCCCTCGGCCAATAGCGTTGGGAACGAGTGAACTGTGCGCCACGACATTCTGCGTTTGAAATTCTCACCTGGGAACCACACAGGAGACGTGAAAGGACGTCGCCGTTGTTACAGACGGCTGATTTGATATCGCATTTTGGAAACAGCTCTGGGACCTGATGCTGGAGCTATCGTACGATTCTCCGCTTCCTGGCTGGAAGCATCGATGTTAATAACTCTCCCGGAGACAACTGCATTTGCGAGGCTTGAAACTTGTCCTTCTCCTTCTAATGCAGATAGCCGCCCAAGACTTCGTCGCGAGTAGGCAAGACACAACACCTTGACGGACTGCTCGCGAAGCTGCAGCTTGCTGCAAGATGTATCGTATTCCGAGCTAGCCGGCTATCCTAAAAGAGTTACAAGTCCAGATCCTCATTGAGCGCTCACCAGGGGGGACTGTGCGGATATGAGGAGTATGGCTCAACGACAAAGAGAGACATTTCTGTGCCACCGGGACTTATTCGTGGAAATGAAGGGCCACGGTTTAGACAACAGAACTTCTCCCCGCATCTTTTGATAGCGCTGCAGTCGGCGTGACAGAGGCTCAGGTTTCACTCGAGCAGCCTTCCTTTTTCCTTTGGCTTTCATTGGCTTTCAACCATTTCACCCGGCCAGGGCTGAGTCTTGCGCCTTGAGTAATTGCGCAAGCTAAAACTACTGCAGGTCCAGATTTCAATGATTTCTTTTCTTAATTTGACAATATCTGGGGAAGCACCCGAAACTTTTCTTTCAATGCTCATCCCCAATAACAGCCGTTATTAGGGCATTACCCCTGGTCCTTTCAATAATTCTCAAACACCACTCAACAACTTTCTCAAATGTTGCAGTTTCTATTCAAGATCATTTTACGTTGAGCGGCGGTTTTTAGTCCTACGTCGTCATGGACCGTTCCCATAGTATGCAGGTACGTCTTTCGCCTACCGCATAAGGAAGGAACATTGGACGGACTTGATCACCATGTGGCTTCAAGCCTTCAATCCTTCCAGGCACTGCCCCACTAACATCTCGCCAGAGCTCCTGATGGATTCTCTATCGGAAATTCAGCATCCTTCTGAGTGGATGTCTTTCAAGGATCAACACTCCTGACGTTGTCAAAACAGATGTGGAGACCGATTTGGCAACGCAATAGCGGCTAGTGGTGGACTCCAAGAAACATTGCCACGCCACTACGGTGTCCTCTAGACAACTTCATGCATACGATATTGATCGCTTTGGTAATAGTTCTCTAGAACACTCACCCACTCATTCAAATGTTTGCATTTTGACTTGACCGCGTCAGCATCCCCTCGCACACGTGAGGAGTGGTACCATGAATTTCAACCATCACACCATGCTGTGGTACAGCCCCGAAATTCAGTCGCCACTTTGCATTAGATTCGTGCTGAAAATCTCTCCGTCCGTAAAAGCCAAGCTCACACAATAGAGAACATGTCGTTCTCGGACTGTTCGGTTCTCCAATACGCCACTGTCAGAGCATGTCGTACATGTGAGGGCCTAAGAAATGATTGGTGAGGCTAACTACCTAGGTAAACGCTTGTTGGTTTTGTGACTCCTTATCAGTCCCCAAGGCTTCAGTCGGACTTCTAAAATTGGGTCAAAAAGTAATTGGCCATGTTCCGTCTTGCGGGACACGAGATGGGGTTGCACGGGGCTGTTGTTGTATTCTACTTCGGGAACACAGGATATCTTTCACCCATGTATCACCCGACTGACCTTTCAAACATGGTAGCACTTCACGGTAATCTGAACCTTTTCCTATGTCATCACTTACAACATACTTTGATTGGTAATAGTTGGATATGAAAACTGTGCTGTCACTCGATGAACCTGAAGATCATGGCTTTCAGCTTTAATTCTGAGGGATGCGTGACTCTGCCAGAATCTCTCAAAGGTCACGACGGCTGAGTCCGGAATAAGAGAAAAGAGACTGGTTAGATGCTACTTATGAACCATACGCCCTAACATCCGCTCTTGCAATTGAAATGCAGGTGCACTTCATGTTGGGATAATCTTGGAACCTTGACTCGGTGCATAGGTCCGCTGAGCCTGCCACCGTTACAGCTTTGGACCAAACCGATGCCGTTCTTTGATCTGCATCCGAACATGATATGGGAATTAACATGTGGTATCACCATTGCTTCTTAACTCGCATGGTATGCCCATTTCTACCAACAATGGACTGTTCGCGTTTGAATGAACCTTGTTCAAGTGGTTGAATGCTATGACGCCAGCCTATGCTTGTGATACAATATTCTACAACACATCTGCACATGGTTCCTACATCTGCACCCTTCCCAACCCACCACGCTCAATCTTGTTTAATTTTCTTGCCGTTGTGATCTATCAATGTCAGCATCCGCTACCATACTGGGGTGTCCTTCCCACTTACCTGTGTCCTTGTCCTTTGGCCTCTCACCGGTAACCCCATGGCATGGCGCCTTCCCCGATACGTTCCCATATCCTTTAGTCTTCGTATGTTATCCTGGACCTCTCTTCGTAAATCATTCTCAATCTTCATATTGGATAGTTCGGCGTTCAGTTCTAGAACTTGTGCGTTTTTGAGACCTCCGACTTTGGCGAAGGGGTAGATGTGGTATCGCGCCATGATACGCTGCGAAACTTTGGGGCCAATGCCGTAGAAAGTTTCAAGGAGACGCTGCAAGAAGGTTAAGATGGTGGCATAGAGGAATGGGGTTGAATTGTACTTTTACGAGCGTCTGTTCGGGGAAGTTGAAACCGAAGACTTGCACCTGATTGCCGTTAGCTCTACCAAAAAATCGCCTCGATTGCGTACGTACCATCTTGCCAGGCGACCAAACGCACTCAGATCTGTTGATAGATCTCACTTGCTCAGAAAAGCAGCCCTGAAGGCCGTACGATCGCGATCACGAAACTTCTTGGCTCGGATAAATGTGATGCCGGAAACACCGATCCTCCACGGTTTCAGAAGCGGTCCAGGGACCAAAGACACCACGTTTCAACCATCTCTGAATATATAAAACCCCCCATCACCCTGATTACTGCCAAATCCAGAAAAAACACCATGGCTTCTCTTCAGAGACTCGTTATTTCGGCTCTACTGATCTTGTCGATCACTTTTGTCTTCTTTACGCAAGCCACGGAGGCGGCGAAGGGCCCAAAGATCACACACAAGGTACATGGGGACAATGAGCTGTATGCTGAATATTTGGAGCTAATAGTAATCCCTTTCTAGGTTTACTTTGACATTGAGCAAGATGACAAGCCCATTGGACGAATTGTGATGGGTCTCTATGGCAAGACGGTGCCTAAGGTTCATTAATCCCACTCAGTCGCTCTGATCCAGCTAACTGTTCTATTAGACCGCCGAGAACTTCCGGTAATCCACGCTTCCCACATTCCTCGATTCACGGTCTAACTGCTTAATAGTGCCCTAGCCACCGGCGAGAAGGGCTTTGGATACCAGGGCTCTACCTTCCACCGTGTCATCAAGGCATTCATGATCCAGGGTGGTGATTTCACCAATGGCGACGGAACTGGTGGAAAGTCCATCTACGGCCAGAAATTCCCGGACGAGAACTTCAAGCTCAAGCATAGCAAAAAGGGAATGCTCAGTAAGCACGCACAGTTCGCAGATGTTTGACATCAAGCTTACGTTGCTAGGCATGGCCAACTCCGGCAAGGACACCAACGGCAGCCAATTCTTCATCACTACTGTCGTCACCGGTTGGCTCGACGGCCGCCACGTCGTCTTCGGTGAGGTCCTCGAAGGCTACGATGTCGTCGAGGCGATTGAAAACTGCGAGAAGGGTATGGGCGACAAGCCGGTCAAGACGATAAAGATCGCGAAGAGCGGCGAGCTGGAGGTGCCGGAAGAAGGTATCCACGTGGAACTCTAGGCCTTTGCGGGGCTGTGCATTTGCTGTAGAGGCGCTGATTCTTGTTTTCCCTGAAGATATTTACGGAGCAGCAGAGCCTGCCATCGAAGGCGACAATCTCGATGTCACGGCCTCTCAACAAATACTGCCGTCAGCAGAAGACACTTTGAAGCCCCCGTCTAGCGAGACGGAGCAAATTACGATTTCAGCAAATAGCGAGGAGGGCTTGTCCCTGGGCCAAAAACTATTTTTCTTGGGCGCGATCATCTCGATTTGCGTGCTGTTCATTCACTCTCGGAGAGGGGGCGGGTCAGATAGGATCAAAGAAAAAAGCATGGCGTAGTACTTGACTGATGAATAAATGAGGCACGTTCACTGCACGCTCCGCCCGAAGATGTGGTAGCGCAGATCTAGAGATGGATATTGCCCCGGCCGTGCACAGAATCAGCAGAGCACGACCCCCATTTACGGTACTCACAAACATAGCACCGCGCCCATCCCCGTAGATCGGCCGCGGGCGCGATAAATTTTCTCTGCTGGCTTCTTTTGCAAATGCGTGACGCAGACAGGCCGCCGGGCGCAGAAATTTCGGCTCGCCTGAAGAATCTGATGCTGGGGACTCACCGCAAATCGAGCCCCGGTCCTCACCGACCCCCCTAGCACCTAATTTGGCCTAGCGCGCTAGTGGCGACGAAAACCTTCTTCTTCCCCCGATCCCTTCAACCTTTTTCCTTCCCACATCCTCACCCACACAACAACCCCTCCTTGTGTGCCCCCCGAAATCTCCATCAGCACAGTTTCTGTGAAGTCCTTTCCCTTCTTTTTGGCTGCACTTTCATTTCTTCCGTCGTTTAGGGAAGAGAGGCGGCTTGAACCTCATTTCCCATCACCAACAGTTTCAGGCGCGTTTCTGCCTGCTGTCACGACTCTCATCTCACTTAGCCCGCAGTATCTTTCTGTAGCTCACCTCCCGGTTAGCTTGAGAGGTATCTAAAGTAATAATCAACCTCATCCGCATCTTCCTTACTTCGATCCATCCCCTCCGCAGCCCGGCTCGCAGTCAGCCCCAATAGTATTTACGCCTCCATTCAATATGGCTGAACAACTCGACATGGGTCGTCTCTCTCTGAACGACTCTCAGCACGCTGGCAACTTCCCAGACCGTGCTGCCTACATACCTCCACATCTTCGTGGTCGACAGGCGCCCGCTCCAGCTCCCGCGCTAAATGGCCCACCACCGATGATGAACGGTGGTGACATGAACGGCGCCGCTGGACCTGGTGGGCTGAACGGCAGCGCCTGGGGCCCAAGGTCAGTACAACCTGGAGTCATCGATGATGATCAGGGAAGTAACAAATTCGACAGCAGAGGTTATGGTGGTCCCCCTCCCCAACGCCCCACAAGTGGCGGCGGCAACTGGGCTAGCGCCCCTAACTTCACTCCTCGAGGTAGCGAGCCCCCCCAATACAATCAACAACCCGGAGGCGGCTGGGGTGCCAACCCGGGCAAATTCGACCCGAATGCTTATGGGAAACCAGGTGCAGGTGGAACAAGTATTGCACGTGGATCTGGCGATGGACAATGGAGGGACGGCAAGCACATCCCAGGTCCAGCCAATCCTCGTGTCGAGCGTGAGCTCTTTGGCGTCCCTAACGATCCCTCGAAACAACATACTGGCATCAACTTCGAAAAGTATGACGACATCCCCGTCGAGGCATCCGGCCAAGGCGTTCCGGAGCCCGTCATCAAGTTCACGAACCCTCCACTTGACGACCACCTCCTCACCAACATCGAGCTTGCAGGTTACAAGGTTCCCACCCCTGTACAGAAATACTCTATTCCCATCGTCATGGGTGGCCGCGACTTGATGGCCTGTGCACAGACAGGTTCCGGAAAGACCGGTGGTTTCTTGTTCCCTATCTTATCACAAGCCTATATAACGGGACCGAGCGCTGCCCCGCCAACGGCTGCAGGTGGTTATGGCTATGGACGTCAACGCAAAGCCTACCCTACCTCCTTGATCTTGGCTCCAACCCGTGAGTTGGTTTCTCAGATATACGATGAGGCTCGCAAATTCGCATACCGATCCTGGGTTCGACCATGCGTTGTCTACGGTGGCGCCGACATTGGTTCCCAGCTGCGTCAGATCGAGCGTGGCTGTGACCTTCTGGTTGCTACTCCTGGGCGATTGGTTGACTTGATCGAGCGTGGTCGCATCTCTCTCCAGAACATCAAGTACCTCGTTCTTGACGAGGCGGATCGTATGTTGGATATGGGTTTCGAACCCCAGATTCGTCGCATTGTCGAAGGCGAAGACATGCCACCTACGTCTGCCCGTCAGACTCTAATGTTTTCTGCTACGTTTCCGCGAGACATCCAGATGCTCGCTCGCGACTTCTTGAAGGAGTATATCTTCCTTTCTGTTGGTCGTGTCGGCTCTACCTCTGAGAACATTACTCAGAAGGTTGAGTACGTCGAAGACGTCGATAAGCGTTCCGTTTTGCTCGACATTCTACATACCCACGGCGCAGGTCTCACTCTAATTTTCGTTGAAACGAAACGCATGGCCGATTCTCTTTCCGATTTCCTTATCAACCAGGGCTTCCCCGCCACCTCGATCCACGGAGACCGCACTCAGCGTGAGCGTGAGAAGGCTCTTGAGATGTTCCGCACCGGACGTTGCCCAATTCTCGTTGCGACCGCTGTTGCTGCACGTGGTCTCGATATCCCCAATGTCACTCACGTAGTCAATTATGATCTTCCCACCGATATCGATGACTACGTCCACCGTATTGGTCGTACTGGTCGTGCCGGTAACACTGGTATCTCCACCGCTTTCTTCAACCGTGGCAACCGTGGCGTTGTCCGAGACTTGATTGACTTGTTGAAAGAAGCTAACCAGGAAGTTCCTTCATTCCTGGAGAGCATCGCCCGCGAGGGCTCCGGCTTTGGAGGCGGTCGTGGTGGACGCGGTGGCGGCCGCGGCCGCGGCGCTGGTAATGCTACCCGCGATGTTCGTCGCTACGCTGGAGGCGGGGGAGGCAATGCTGGTGGCTTCGGTGGTGGCGGGAACTGGGGGGGCGCACCACAAGGTGGTTACGGAGGAGGTGGCTTCGGTGGACCTCCAGGAGGCGGCTATGTAGGCGGCAGTGGAGCCGGGTACGGTGGTGGTTTTGGTGGAGGAGGCTATGGCAATCCATCCGGCCCTGCGGGCAACTCCTGGTGGTAAACAACGAATGCTCGCCCCGTAACACTGCGATACCCAGGAACTAATTTTCCTTCTCCAAACGATACCCTGGGATGTCGTATCGCCCCGAAGGCGACTTTTCATTTCGTTTTTTTCCAACAACTGTTTTATGGTTTTCCTGCGATTCATCTGCGGTTACTACGGAACGACACACGGAAGTCCGGAACTTGCTCTCATACCCCGATCAGCATATAGACAGCGACTGTTTCTTTGCGGACCTGCCTCTTTCGAGCTCTACTGCATACCTAGGATATCCGGCGCATCTCGTCGAACTCACGTCGAGCTCGATTCATAGACGGCAGAGGCATGAAGGCTTTTTCTGGAAGAGAATGCATGACGAACATTTTATGCCTTCGCTTCCTTGCTGCTTGGGGAGCCCTCAAATAGATCTCGTTTCTCCGGCTTTCGATGCCGACGGCTCTGTTTTCCCTTTTTTTTTCTTTACATATCACCTAAAAGCGATTTCTTTCCCCTCGTCATTCCCCTCGGCGAGCACGTCTTTTTCGTCGTCTTTCTTCACACGGAGGAACCTGGGTGTGGATCTATTCTGGACGACGGAAAAGTTCGCTTGTTCATCGCACATAGATGGCGTTCATGAAGGCTTCCCCTTCTAATAAGCCCCGCTGAGGGTCAGCGAAGACCTGTGGTTTCGGTATCTCATGGCTGCGAAATGCATGCTCGTGGTGGAGAAGCTTTGGTTTGCATCTACACGCCGAGATTCTTTAATGACTTGGGCGAGGGAATCACCATACATAAAAGCACAGTTCTCATCGGATGATTAAATTAAATAGACTAGTTTGCATGGGGCGCATGGCAATGAGCTAGTTGCCCTATGGAATCCACGTGTGTTTTCCCAATAACCTGCTTTGAATGAGTTCATCAACGAGTGACCTTCGATCTCAAGTGTCGCAAAATGCACATGATTGGATCGTGAGATCCTCAAATCTAGATCTCGGATTTATGTTACTCCGACGCCGGCAAACGTAAAGCTCGCTCACGACCGTCATGATCAAAGGGGCGGTCCAGCCACTTTGTTGAAAAGCCTTCATCCTGCATAGAAAGTGCATCAATGATTCTAATGTCCAGACTCTATCCCTGCTGAATCCGAAACCTTACACGGCGGCTGCAACCAAGCTCGACACATGGATCCGAACACGACCTCTGCTGCGGCACCAGCTCCGCGCGCCGACGAGCCCGACTCCAGAAACAGCCTCCGACACATTCTAGCAGCAGAACCAGCCATGGAAGACGCGAAGCCTGCCCCTCCACAGCCAAATACTCCCGGCCCTGACGAAAGTGAGGCTGCACAGGATGCTCCCAAGTCTGCAACCGACTCCAAGCCATCTGTCGAGCCACCGATGTACACGGCCACCACAACCACGACCCGCCGCAATGCCAATGGAAGCGTCTCCTCAGTCTACTCTGGCAACAAGATTCGGCATCTGAAGAAAGATGATGGCATTCCGCTCTGGCGGAAGGACATCCAGTACGACTTTCTTCGCTATGTGTTCGAAGACCCGCAGACTGTGTTTCACAAGGTGTCGGACGGCTCAGGAGGACACACGTTTGCAGACATCTACTTAGATGCAATGGCCAAGAGCAGCAAGTGTAGCAAAATCCTGAAGGACAAGCTGCTGACAGAGCGACCGGCTGCCATCAACATGGCAATGGTATGTCTGCTGGTCAATGTTGGGCGGATGAACACTACTCTGAATTGTGAGAGAAGTTGAGGACGTATACTTGGGTATCTCTAATACTACCATAGTCTTTCCGGAAATGCGTGCTCAGCTCCGAACCTACCACTCGATCCCCTCCCTCCAAGCCCGGCAGGACCCGAATGCCTACAAGCAGCTGCAAGATGCACCGAGATTGAAATCAATACTCAAGGGCGCGACCGAGGATATAGAACAGCCTAGCACGATCGAAGACATCAGGTCGCATCCGATCCCTCGAACGAATCCCGTCAACCTGATCTTCGTGCTCTCGCAATACGCGCCAAAGATATCCGAGATCCACTTCTTTCCACCCCGCGACTTCTTTGACCTCGTCATGCGATCAAATCTTAGCAGCAGGAGTAGAGCCACCGCATTCTTGTGGCTGATGTGGTGGTACCTAGAGAGCGACTTCTCCAAAGAGGCAGCCCAATCTAATCCGTTCGGACCGGGACAATATGGAGTCGATGGCGATGCTACCAATGGCTTGCCCATCAAATGTCCCGCATTTGACTTTCTGACTCCGGATCTAGAAGCATTGGAGAACGTTGATACCCTAGATGAGAAAAACTTTGGTGAGATCAAGCGAAAGGAACGAATAGGTATGGACGCCAACTTGAACTCTCATAATTGCTCTGCTAAGGCAAGTAGCCATTCTAGCAAGTGACATGGCGCCTGTTGTTACAGGCCCTAAGCGCACTAACAAGAAAGGTGAGTACAGATCTAAGTCGACTACATTTTGTGAATATTTGCGGGCTTAGCAACTTAACTTGCAAGGGTCCTCTTAAGCTCGTCAATAGCTGTAAATAGGCGCCAGCTGTCGTTCTTTGATGTTTTTCTGGTTCTCAGAACCATTCCTGCTAACCATACCGCAGCCTTCAATCAAAATCCCGTCTTTTCAGTCCTGGCAGATGATGGCGCGTCTACTCCAGGCAGAGACCGCCAATCTCCATCTCATGGCAAGTCTCTCAGACTCTCGTAGGACCCGTCTTCTCAAGAGCATAGCTAATAATACAAAGGCTCCGCGAGGGGTGGTCGAGGAAGCAAGCTGGCAAAGTCTATCATCGAGAGGGATTATCCCTCCGACACCGACCGCACACGCTCAGCCTCCCCACCCGCTAGCGTATACAACACGGGGAAAAAGTCCACCCCAAATATGCGCATCAACACTCTTCTAAATGAAGACGGGCCAGCGTCAACCCCCGCACCCAAAGGCCCTGGCCGTGGAAACTGGTCTCGCAACCGCAACGGCGGAGGGCGCGGCTTCAAAGCCAAACTTGATGCTCAGGCTACTTCTCAAGATGGCACGTCTCCTTCTACAAATGCCCCGGTTGCGACCTTCAACGGACCGCATGGCTTCTATCTCCCGCTAAACGGTTCAGATCCGAGTCACAAGCGCACAAGACCCTTGACGCAGCACCAATTAGCCGTCGAACAGTACCGGCGTCGGCGCGTCGAAGTTATCCTCGACCGCGGCCTCCGCATCGAATACCAGCGCGCGAAGAAACAACGACATCGTGACGGCGCCGTTATGCGCGCCTGGGTACGCTGCAAGGGCATGCCGGATGGCTACGATACAGACGAAGAATCTAACATCCAGGCGGTTCAACAAGCAGATATCGAAGTCGGAACTAAAACCCCGCCGCCGATGTTCGCGGGCTTGGTCCCATCGGATTACTCGGGCGAGACGAACGATCATGGCGAAGAAGCGTACTACCGAGCGAAAATGCTGCATCGAGCGCTCCGTCGAATGGAGCGCTGGGAAGGCGGTAGAGGCGTTGTACGCACGAAGAAGAAGGGGAAAGAGGGGGATTTGGAGTGGATGGAGAGTAATGGAAATGGCGTGGACAAGGAAGATCGGGATCAAAGTCCGGATGCAGATGCGGATGAAGATCAGGAAATGGAGGATGCGGACGAGGGGGAGAGAAGAGAGGATGTTGAAATGGATAGTGAAGAGGAGGATGAAGAGTTGGAGAGGCTGAGCAGGACCGGATTTGGCAGGAATGTCTTGCCTCCGTTGAGTAGGCTACAGGAAAATGTAGAGTAAGAGTAGGGATAAGTGGAAGAACATATTCTTCAATGGTTTGTTGGGACTGGTTGTCACCGTCTCCTTCAGGATATTGTGGTATTTGTATGGAGCTTTGATGTGTTTGGAATCATGAACATTAGGACTATCCAAAGGTTTGTTTGGGAGGATATTCGGTTTAGTTTCTATTTTACCTCTATGAACGGTCTCATACGTTTGTAACATCACGAGACTGGCTCTAATGGAGGACAAGTGGCTCCTATGTCTTGAATTCTTCGCGGTTCATTTAGATAGCTAATCCGACGGCGAAGATATTGTTCATGAATCGCTCCCATCTGTTGTTCTGCGACTCGTTCACCATAGGTACCCCTAATAGACTAGTTAAGAACGGCAAGGTGTGTTTTCACCTTAAGGACAACGTGCGCCAGAAAATCAGATTTAAACAATAACTCGCGTTTATTCGCGTAAAGCTGTTCCCAGCACATGGGTATCATTCATGTCACATACTCCTTCCTCCCTTCATCTCTCCTCCCATCTAAAACGCCATTCAGAGTATTTCCCGTTCCCGTTGCCATCGACATTTACACCGTCCCATGCAACCAGCACAACAGCTTCCAATCCTACGAACCTGGCTGTATGGAAACCATACCGACCGTCTCAACATCCAGTGTTTCCATATCCACCAACACCGCCGTCTTCGACTGACTAAACTTAGGCACAGAGATGAGAAGAACTTTCTGCCCTGTTGGGCCGTCGATAACGCGTTTTTCGAATTTTGCTTGGTTCCCTACAAAGTAGATATGTGGACAATCTTTTACGATGAGTGGGTCGTCGTCTTGGAAGGGGTAGCACCCTGTTCAAATTAGCATCGCCTCATATTATCTTGGTTTTGGTTGCGTTCCATTGCGTGGCGGGAGAGTAGCGGTTTGGTGGGATTTAGGGACTTACATAGTGTATCTGGTGCAGTTGGTGCTACAGACCGCCACCGAAGCATCATCTCCATAACATCCATGGCCTCGACATCTTCAACGTATTTTAAGAGGTCGTCGACGGTTTGCCCCCCAGTTCCTAGCACTCGCCACCCGTCAATGTCGCCTTCCCACGGATTCGACACGCTGTCGAGTCCTTCGCGGCTCTCGTTACTCTTGACGGGTGGGTTCGCGTACTGTCTGCTCTGGGGAAACAGCGCTGGATGCAACGGTTGTTGTGGTAGTGCAACATTCGCTGGATCCGACGCGCCAGGGATAAGCGTGACGGGCAGCGAAGGCAGGACGTCAGACAAGAGAGCATCGAAGCGTTCGGACGGCGTGGCGTTATAGCTGGAAGCGTCGTATCCGTAATGTTTCTTCCCCTTCCTCGCATTGAAGTCCTCGCGTGATAATATCGGACTTGCATGCGACAAGCTATTCCCAGCGATAATCAACCTCGTTATCTTAGCTGCTTTCTCTTGCTCTGCATGCGCGCCAACCTCGCCGGTCAAAAACTCAACCAGCAAATCCAACCCCATATCATCGTCCTGTGTGCCTGTAATCTCCAGTCCACTCACAATCGCCACCTTCCCTGATTTCTCTCTCTTCACGCCCACGCTTGTGCTCCTCTTCTTCCCAGATACGGTGAGCGCAGAATCGTCCCGTTCCCAGCGCTGTGGTTGTCGCGGGAGGTCCGCGTATTGCGTTGCGATGACTTGGAAGGAGCCGTCTGCTTGCTCAGTGCCGAGCGCGGCGAGGACGCAGCCTGTCACGTAGTGCGAGTTTAGCGACTCGCCTATGATGCGAAGACGGCCGGATTCGTCTTCTAGCATCATTTCGTCGAGGCCCGTAGGTGATATGTAGGTTTTGCGGGAGGGTGGGGCAGCGATCCAGTGCTGAGGAATTAGTCCGTAGTCTAGCAGAAGGGAAGGAGGAGGTAGGAGGAAGTACTTCTTTTGCTATATCATCCAAGATGTTGGGTTTCAATCCCATTTCCATATACACCGTGCCAACAACCCAACACAGCTCGCCCTGTCGAACATCGAGTACTCGGTCTACCATTTTCGCTTTCTCTCCTGCTAGCTTGTCGTACGTCAGCACATCTCAATCTCCCCATTCCCAAAGCCATTTAGCTCCATAAGAACTCTATGATAGGATATAGCTACCTCAAAATCCCTCCATGCCTCCGTCGCCTGTTGGACAATAGACGGTCGCAATTGCGAAAGCCGTAAGAAGTACATATCTGCATATTGCTGCCCGTAATTTTTCTCAGCGCCTTTTGGTAGGTCGAAGGTATGGAGAGGGTTGTAGAATGAGGCGCTTCGGGAGGGGAGAAATGGTTGGTCTTGACTGGAGCTGCAGTGAGCGACGAACTCTTTCAGAGGTGGCTAATTGGGGTTAAGACTTACAAAGGCGCACCTTTGAGGAGATTCCCATCTGTAGATGCCATTGTGTATATTAGAAGAGGTATTTTAAGTGTGGTGTAGATGGAGGTGGGAGGTGACGTTCGAAAAGTTGGGGCTGAGCGCGAACGCGATCTCGCGTTTTCGGACGTCTTCCCGAATAGGAAGCCTAGGACACATGCAGTCACGTGCTCTATTTTGACTAATTAGGCTACTCATAACTATTTTCTAGCATCGTAGCCGTTCACGGCTTAAACGGCCACCGCGATAAGACCTAGACAACGGTGAACGGCGTGCGCCGGCTCCGCGATCTCTTCCCGACTGATATCCTGAATGCGCGCGTCTTCTGCTGGCATATGATGCGAACACGCACGGCGACTGTGTCAGCTGCTAATACCTCTACAATTACGTAAGGCAACTAGTGTTGGATCTTTGCCTTAAAAGAAGGCTTGCAGATAAGATAGACTATAAGTAGAAGTCAAAGATAATTCTTATATAGGCAAGCCTATTAACTACTGCTAAGTAATTAGCATACAGAAGGACGTGCCTATGTTAGAGTTATACAGCATATTTTCTTGTCCACTCTTGAGCTGTTGCCTGAAAACACGCCCGATTAGTTTTATAGACTTGGGCGATTTCTCTCTGGATGGGACAGTCTGGGTCCGGATCCGCCATGCACATTGATATGGACATAAGAACTGGAGAGCTAGTGTTAGCAGGCTGCAAGCATTCAACCACTAGAATTTGGGTAGTTTATACCCGACGAAACTGTAAGGGATGGGCTCCAGAGGGTATTAAGGATCCCGTCGTGGTAGTGACACATAAAAATTCGCCCGTCTGTGGAGATATTTGGGTGATATATGCGAGTGGTAAACCGTATCACCGGAGGCTTAAAAGGGTAATCGGTAGGGAAACGAATTGAGAGTAAGAAGACACCTCCCTCGTACGGACTGTCTGTCTAGAGGCCGGTTATCCATCGAGCACTCCGACAGCGGTCAGAAGGCATGGAGGACGTGGCGTACCGGTCCCAAAATTGTCGCCTGCCAATTGAATAAGTCGTCACTGATTGGCCCTGCAGAACAGGAAGATGGCGGGTGACGCTCAAGATCTACCAGCTCCCTCTGGATTCGTTTTAATGACATTTGCGCTGATCGGGCAGAACCTGGCGTGAACGGTGTGTGGTGAATTGAGAATAGACGAAACATGTGACCCTAGACGGTTACAGACTTGGCATTGTTCAGCAAATGATACACGGCGCTATACCTAAAGGAGGCTCGCTACAAATCAACGCAGCGTCAACAACGCGATGGTAATTTTTGAGTGCGAAGGTGCCTGCATGTTCAGGATTGCCTATAGTACACGACTAATACAAAATTACGACAAAGATATAGGATTGCGCAGATTTTAGGTTGGCTGAAGCCAAAGTACCCCTTATACTTTTCGGCACGATGGGTTTTTCGTGACACAGAGACGGACATTAATTAGGTAGTGTCCATCTGTTAACCCGTGCTGGAGCCAAGGAGAAGGCCAAAAGGATACAAGTGTTTGTCTAAAATTCAAAATTTCCCTGCCATGTTCAGCAATAGGTGGCAAGACACAGCATTGTTGGTCACCCTTGTGCGGTGGCGATTTCTGTAGGTGGTTCCAGAGAGCTGCATTGGTTGACTGGAGGCACAGCCACACGCCCAGTAGTCACTGTAACGCTGCAAGTAAATTAACTACATCAAATAGTTAAATCGATAAGACGGGCGGAGTTGTTCTATACTAGCTAAATTGGTAATAGGGATTTTGTCCTGCGTGACAATCTAGCATAAATTTGCGCCCCACATCCTACAAAAGGCTGAAGTTGACTTTCTAACATTGTAATAAGTCTCTAAGGCTCAGAAAAGATCCCTTTAGAAATGTTAAGTTTAGGAAGACCTCAATAGTGATGCTATAGGAGTAGATGCTGTTTAGAGATAAAGCAAGGCTTTCTGCAAAGTAGGCTTGACGGTGATGATGCAAACGTAATACTTAGGAGGGAGGGGCCTACAAGGTTCAGGAGTCCACTAGCACACGGCTTATACAGAATTATAGGAAATATTGGCGGGCGCATAGATTTTAAGTCCTTTAAAGTTAAAGTACCCCTCAAACTCTTCAGCACAGGAGGTTTTCGCAACACAGGGACCGACGTTATACTTTATGCAATGTAACAACAATGCTTTAAGACTAATTGAGAGCCACCGAAAAGTCCGATACAGTATGGTATTTCAAAGTATTCATTGTTTTTGATATCTTGTGGTAGGTCTATCAACGTAGCCATCGTCTTAATGCCATACTATTCATTTATTCGTCTCGACCGTAAGCTATCCATCATCATTAATCAGTCCCTCCGCTATTACAAAGGTCTAAGTCTACGATGCATTCCATTTCCTAGGTCCAAACCCAATGCCAAATTCCCATGCGCCATAAAATGTCGTCCATGCTAAGAACCCTGTAATCCATCCATTATTAACATCATCCCGACTCTGTTTGCGCCCGTCGTATCTCCAAATATGTCGTGTGAGAAGTGAAGAGTATGAAGCTGATCAGATGATCTTGAATCCCATCAGTGGTACGTTCTTGTCATGGTTATGTATAAGGAAGACTTACCAAAGCAACACCTCCAGCAATGACGAGTGCCAAGGCTGAACCTGCGACATTCGCGGATGCTGCACCTGGGAAGGGGGTCTGTGTGAAGCTCGCCGTTGGAGCGGGACCAGTGGGAGCTGCAGTGCCCGTTGGGATGCCGGTACCAGTTGGGTAAGGTGCAATAGTTGTGGAGTTGTATGGGACATAGGTGGCACAGGCAGTAGCGGCAAGAGCAGCAACGATGGAGACGAGCGAGATCTGCATGTTGGCGGTGGCCGTTGAAGTGGGTTTGGAGGGGATGGAGAGTGGAGTCTGGTGAGAGGATTGGGTAGTACGATGAAGGCTTCCGGGTATCGTACACAAGAAAGACAATTGCAACCGCTTTAAGGTCTTGACTGGAGTGAGAAGAAGCTTGTGAGATACCACCCTACCTTGCGGTTCTATCTTCTCTTATACAAGTCACACACCACCATTTACTCCAGCCTACGTAAACACTCATCTCCAGCCTCCTCTCAATTAAGCCTAACAAAAGTACGTTAATGCGACACGGAGTCTCCACCGAAGCAAGCCGGGCTCCACAAGTAGTCACCTTAGCCTCCACTCAGATCCGCTCACTATTGCAAAGTGGAGCTGGGGGTCGGGAAGACGTGGCTGTCGGCAGGCCAACGTTATGCTGGAGCGCCACACACTCCGCCCCAGCCACGCGGATTCGCGGCTCCCAGCCACACCAAGATAACCAGCCTCGCCTCCTCGATTTGCGAAACACTAGGACACTGAACCTCTTGCCATGCCAAATCATCAGCGAAATGTCTTCCTCTTGGTATCTCCTGACTTTTGGTGGTGTCGTGAGTGGTTTCCAGCGTTGAAAGACCCCATGTATCGAGACCTTGGAGAACCCAACCGGCCTTGTTTCACGACTTCGGGAGAGGATCCTCGACGACCGTTGACAGCGGCGACCGATTGGCAGTTCTAAAAATATGCATGGAAACGCTCCACTCTTCTTATCAACTTTCGTTATGGCGTTCTAGAAGCTCAATTTGCGACGAGGACGCGTAGCTACCTCAACCTTAAGGTCATGCTTTCACTAGGCATTACGCCAAATGAGAATTGTGGATGAGGGTGAATGATATATCAGAGTGAGGATTTTGAGTTTAGGTTTCGTATGTCTCATTTGCCTGGTTTGTAAGGCAGGTATCTGGGGGCAAATTAATGTCGTTCATTCATGTCACTCTCACACAGCGGCTTTATAATATTCCCACTTCCAACATCTGCGTAAGCCATGAAACAGGAACACAGACATGATTTTCACAGATTTTTCTTCACTCAACCCTCTTTCACCATCTTTGCCATCACTTATCATTATCATTCCCATAGGACTCTAAAAAATAACCAGTAAACACAGTCGGGATTACAATTGGAAGTATAAAAGCCGACAGACCTCCTGGAAACCCTTCAGGTGAGATCGAATTTTTCTCTTGTCGGCCGAGTACCCAATTGTCTTTCCCTAACTCCAATGAGACTCGTAGTTAGGCATGTATGTGTAAATGTAGGGTTTACTATGCTAGTGGGATTTTACCGCTGGATTCGGAATAATGTGGGAATGTAAAAAAGATAGGGATATTAATCTACAACTTCAAAGATTTGATCTATAGGAACGAGAGAAAACTTGGCAGATGGTGAGAGAGATTTAGAGGAGAGTAATTGAGATGAAGTCATGAAGGTTAGAGTTGCGGTGTGGGGCTTAGACTAAGGTGTATTTTACCCCTTGTGCTAGTAGTGAAAGGTTCTGTTACTCCCAAGGTTATAGCTTTTCCGTATTTGCAATGAGCCTGATTTTAACTTTTCTTTGATGAGATGCAATTTTATCGTTACCAGCGTCAGCATCTAATCCGAACCTTCCAAGTGTTAACCTCTTCGGGTCGTGGTGGACTACTTATAACCCTTCGCCTCTGTATATTGTCAATCTAAATCTCCTAGTCAATTCGATGATCGCAATCTCTTGGCTACAATTCCAAGCATACAACCTATTCTACGTTTTGAGGACAGAATAAAACTTTCAAATGTACCGTAAACTATGACTCAGTTAGAGTCCTTAAGATCTTTACAAGACACGTGGTGACTCAATCAACATTCCGCTCATAGTTCACTTTAGGTTTTTACGGCTCCAGCTATGGACGAACCCCTAACAGTCACCGCTCACCGCTTCGTCCTATTTATTTACTATGTAAACACATCTAGAGAATAACCGTCTCGGCTCTGCCTCCACCGGTTCATAAACTACACAGCCAACAGACTCCTCTAAAGAATAATACTTGCCATAGGTCACTTTCGAAGGCAAGATTCTGTCTTTCGATGACAGCTTAAGCTAAAGTTTTAAGCCAATCGACGAGAAGATATGACGACGGTGGAGAACATGGCGGGCGCGAAAGCTAATATCTTTCCATTTCCAAGGCGCCTACAAGGATTTCGAGACGATATCTATGATGTCTTGTGGAAGCTCACACCTAGGATCTTAACGTGCCACTATAGGTACTCCTTCAAGGTATGCATTGAATCTGTCCCAGGGACCATGTCATTTGGCCTATGTTTCCTCGATAGTTTCTCAAGGTCACCAAACAGCTTCTTGAAGAAGCAATGAAACCATTCCGATACAACAGCGAGTGGCAAATATCAGGTGACCCGATCCCCTAGTGCAGGCCCCGTTCGCCTCCTTCCCCAATGGCTTCGTCCACTATTCAGACTCTACAGTACTGTTTTGAAACGAAGGTGATCTAAGGTTTTGGAATCCCGCCGCCCTCTACTTGGGATCGACTTACGGTTAAGATCAAGTCGTTCCCTAGTTCCACACGCAAAGAATTGCTCAAAGGTCGCGAAATACAAACAATATGGCGACACCTAAGATCACGTTCAATCCGCTTCATTGGCACTTTGCTTGACGAAGTTCCCTTCCGACTTTTCTGCATGTGCAATGGACCTTGCGGCCCTCGAGCTTCGCGGAAGCTTAATCTCGTTGACGCAAGGTTCAGATATGACACTACGAGGATCCTGAGCCTATGGATCTGGTCAGATTCCCATTCGACACAATGTATCACAAGCTAAACATTTCCATGGGGGACAGATGTGAGTGTGCAAACTCGATCCTCTCATAGCCAACTAGAAATTATAGGATCAGTTTATGATTCAGGAGAAGAGGCTTCCAGGCCTTATACGGAAGCATCATGAGCGTAATATGATGCGCACATGTATCCTAGTTCTTCAAGCTTGATATTCGATACAGGTAGCATTCGAAAACAGAATCCGAAGGTTTCCTGGACTAACGAATATGTTCTAGCATTGTACCAGCTGGAAAAATCTGTCGTAGTTCTTAAAAATATCACTAACAGCTAGATCTACCTCCTAAACATCACTCGCCCCCAACCTTTGACGTCTATATCAATCTTTTCACATAAACTAAATAAGCTTCGACGTCTCACCACGTTGAGTCTTGAATAAAGCTTTCTCCCAGGCACCAAATTGAACCCATGCTATCCCGATTACACCCAATTAGACGACATCGACAAGTATACGAAATCTGATCTTCCCTATTCGGAAACCTACGAACCATGTCTGCAACAAAACGAAAGATTAAATGTGCAGACGATGAGACACATAAAGTGGACAAGCCTAATATCTAGCTCAAGAGGATCAAGAGTAATATTTCACCAGGCCACTCCGATATAATTAGTGAAGAAACGGCTAACAGCCCTCAGGGTCATCTAACCGAAAGGAATCAAAATCCAGCCGTGTCCACTTCTACGACTTCCACAAGAGCTTCGAGATATTATATACAAACACCTAGGAATTACAACCCCAGTAGTCTCATGGCATGCTTCGCTCCTTATCGACGATGATCGTATGGTCTGTGTTTAAATGTCATGTGGGCTTGAGGTGTAGCTGCGCTAGCCCTTCTTCGAGAACAGATTTGCTCGTCAGAAGCCACTTTGGAAGAAAGGGAGAGCAGGGCTGCTTGAGAGCCATAGCATTCTCGGAACGCAGCTCTAGTCCCAAGTTTCTGAAAGGGGTCGCGACAAATAGCACTGGGGTTACACTCCAGAGTTCGTCATATACATGACTACGAAGTTCACAGGGGAAGTCCATGAAACGTGAGGACTGGGAAGTCATATCTTCTGAACGCTCCGTTAACTTGCCTGCTTCATGATACAGAGAAAAAATGGTTTAACTTACCTTGGGCGAGAGTCAACGAGGGCTGGAGTGGAGGGAGTTAGGGGAGAAGCAGTGCGGCAAGCTGAAGTGATATTGAAGAGTGACTGAGTTGATACCAAATTAGCCATTCAATGGCTGAGAGTTTCTCCGCCCCAAGGTAGGCCACGTGCATGCGCCAATAGCCGAGCGAAACGGAACACCAATAAGTAGCCATGTGACTACATGCCATAGAGATATTATGAAGATGAACTAGTTGACAAGCTTGAAGCCATATACATCAACTCAAAAAGTTCATTGCACCATGAGAAACTGTGAAGCAGCTAACTGTCTTCCCCACGCCCTAAGTTTCCCAAGATAGAGAATGGAGATGGTCTGGTTCCATGTTTTGTCTAGCCTTCCTCCTGCTGACGAGTTAACTTAGCGTGGATAACGAGAAACATAGCCCAAGCGAAGTTCAATAGGCCTAGACCTCAACAGTTCAAAGCGGTGAGGATCTAGCCGGAACGAACGAAGTTGACCAGCAACTTGGATTGTAACTGATTGTGGAGAAAAGCCGTTCGGTGGAAGCAAAGGACGTGGGCAGCAAACTTGATGGCTCCAGTCAAATGCTGTAAGCTTAAACGATCTTGTGCGATTGGTTAAAAAAGTGCACGAAAGGGGAGCTGAGAGGCGTGTTTAAAGGGAAATGTGGTACAAAGTGTGATGTGTCAAGCGCACTGAAGCCGGAAACGCCCGTTCATGAACTGATCGGCGCAGATAAAGGTAGAGATGCTTCACGAGTGACATGGTCATTGTGCCTCTGTATTTTCGTCAATATGACATTGCAGCTCGCAGTTCGAGAAGGATAAAACCAAGGGTCAAGGTTCGGCGCACATACCCTCTTCAATGGTCTCGACTCAGTACGGAATGACGTTGGGTGGCTGATCTTCTGTTGATAAATACGGCGATGCAGTTTCGCCAATGCAGCTTCGTGCTCTCCGTATCCTACTACATAGATATTATGGGAAAGCGAAGAGCTAGAGAGAAAATCCATCAACGCTCAAGACCTAAACTTGCAGAGCCTTTCGAAAAGCTTGCTTGGTGAATGCCAGTCTGTGACTGGAGGTAATTCAAGATAGAATTGAGCATATTGCCATACGAATGATACGTTGATGGATGATACTCTTCGCGTCTTCAGACTTAACACTCTAACATCAGTGACTGGTGGAGCGGTGTACGCCCCGCGATTTGAGAATTTCGCAGTCTTACCAGTCGTCTAATCCTGGAGAGGAAGTGCCTAGGGCCAAATCAAGTCTGAGCATCAAACTCTGTGGGAATGCAACGACATGGCTGGCCGAAGTTGGTGTTGAGGTACGGTCTGTACGACTGTGATATCCAAAGAAACGCGCCTTAGCTCCAACCTTCTTTCATGGTCATGCGGCCACGAGAAGATTTCGATATGCGTATGCGAGGAGGAAGAGTGGCGTGTTGTCACTGAACAATAGAACAAGAGAATGAGGTGAGAACTTCGAGGTGTCGGTGTCGTATGTAGCACATCTTCTATAACTCGCCCATCTTATGAGGTGATCGTGGCGAGTCTCAAACGTGTGCTAGAGATTTAGTCTAGCAAGGCCGAACGATTTCAATCGCCAGAGCAGCCAGCAACTCTGTGGAAGGGAGATAGAGTGCCGGGAGGTCTTCCTTGCGGTGTTGTGGAAGAGGCGAGGAGGAGTCGTGCCTGTGCTTGGAATTTCAAGCGAGTGGCTTGTGCGTGACGGGGCTTTCCTCGGCATGCAGCTCTCCCTGCCGTTGCAAACCTCTTCACCGACCAATTGTCTGGCTATTCACCGCAAAGAGGTGGTGTTTGTTGGTGTTTGTAGATGCGCTCCATCAGGCGGAATGCCGTGCGCGTCGCCGCCCGCCGCGGCGCCCTGGGGTGCCCGGCGGTGACAATGCCAACTGCGTCTTTGTCCAGACCTGCCATCACCGCACCTTGCCGCGCACCGCTATTCCTGGACTCTCGCCGCTCGTTCCTGCACTGGTCCAACCCCACGACGGCCATAAAACACCCCACCACCACGTCCAGCAGATTGCAAAATTCAGCCCCGCGCCGTACCCCTCTTGTAATCTCCTCCACCACCGTCCGCTACTGCTCCCACCGAAGAAACATGTGCCGACATCAATTCGGCGCAGATGTCAACGACTCCTCCATGGACGTCTCCAAGGCTCGCGAGATCTTACCCGCCAATGTGAAGCCAGTCCACTACGACCTGACCCTCGAGCCTAATCTCGAAAAGTTCACGTTTGAGGGTAAAGTGATTATCGAGTACGTTCCTGTTCCTCTTTCAGCCCTTTGAAGCTCTTGTTGCGGGGTATGCTGAAAAAAAGAATTAGCCTGGATGTTATCGAAGACACCACGTCCATTTCTTTAAATAGCACCGAGCTAAAGATCCACTCGACCAAGATCTCCTGTGGCGACGAGGTCATCGCCGACTCCCCCACCCTTGTCCACGATGAGGATAACCAGATTACCAAGATTACATTCGACAAGACAATCCCTGGGGGGAGCAAGGCTAAGCTCATCCACACCTTCAGCGGGATCTTGAACGACAATATGGCGGGCTTCTACCGCTCTTCGTTCAAGGCAGAGGACGGGTCCACCACCTACATGGCTACCACGCAGATGGAGCCTACGGATGCGAGGCGGGCTTTCCCCTGTTTTGACGAGCCGGCGTTGAAGGCAGAGTTCACAATTACTCTGATAGCGGACGAGAAAATGACTTGTCTGAGCAACATGGACGTAAAGTCGGCGAAACTGGTCGACTCGGCCATGGCGGGGGGGAAGCGGAAAGCCGTGACTTTCAACAAGAGCCCGCCCATGTCCACATATCTCTTGGCCTTCATAGTTGGAGAACTCAATTATATCGAGACTAATAGCTTCCGTGTGCCTGTCAGGGTCTATGCTCCAAAGGACCGGAACATTGAGCATGGACGATTCTCGCTGGAACTCGCTGCCAAGACATTGGATTTCTACGAGAAGACTTTTGATAGCAAATTTCCACTGCCCAAGATGGACATGATTGCCATTCCCGACTTCAGTGCTGGGGCAATGGAGAACTGGGGCCTTATCACGTACCGCGTGGTTGATGTGCTCATTGACGAAAAGGTTAGCGGCGCTGCGACAAAGCAGCGGGTAGCCGAGACTGTGCAACACGAGCTTGCACATCAGTGGTTCGGCAACCTTGTCACCATGGACTTTTGGGACGGTTTGTGGCTGAACGAGGGTTTCGCAACGTGGATGTCCTGGTACTCGTGCAACGTCTTCTATCCCGACTGGAAGGTCTGGGAGGGCTATGTCACAGATAATCTTGCTAGTGCGCTCTCTTTGGACTCCTTGCGTAGCAGCCATCCGATCGAGGTTCCAGTCAAGCGGGCCGATGAGATCAATCAGATCTTCGACGCTATTTCCTACTCTAAAGGATCTTGTGTTCTGCGCATGATCTCTAAATATCTTGGCGAGGAGACCTTCATGGAGGGTATTCGGCGATATCTCAAGAAACATGCATATGGAAACACTAAAACTGGAGATCTGTGGGCAGCATTGACCGATGCAAGTGGCAAAGATGTTGAAAAGGTCATGGACATATGGACTAAGAAAGTTGGATTCCCGGTTGTCACTGTTACTGAAGATCTGAGTGCTAGTTCGATCCACGTTAAGCAGAATCGCTTCCTGCGTACTGCCGATGTCAAGCCTGAAGAAGACCAGACTTTGTTCCCTGTCTTCCTTGGACTTCGCACCAAAGATGGCGTTGATGAGCAGCTCGCCCTCCGCTCTCGCGAGGCGAACTTCAAACTCAAAGATTTGGACTTCTTTAAGTTGAACGCCGATCACTCTGGTCTCTACCGGACTTCCTATACCCCCGAGCGGCTTCGCAAGTTGGGCGTCGCTGCCAAGGAAGGGTTGCTGACCGTAGAAGATCGAGCTGGTATGATTGCTGATGCCGGGTCTTTGGCTGCTTCTGGTTACCAGAAGACATCTGGGGTTCTATCGCTTCTCGACAGTTTCAAATCTGAGCCCGAATTCGTCGTTTGGCAAGAGATTACGAGCCGGATTAGCGTTCTCCGTTCTGCTTGGATGTTCGAGGATGAACTCATTCGAGATGCCCTAAAGAAATTCCAGCTTGACCTCTCAAAAGACAAGGCTCACGAGTTAGGTTGGACGTTCAGCGAGCAGGACGGCCATCTTGAACAGCAGTTCAAAGGCATGATGTTTGGAAGCGCTGGTATTGCAGAGGATGAAACCATCGTCAAGGCTGCCTTGTACATGTTCAACAAGTTCAAGGCAGGGAACAGCTCAGCTATCCACCCGAATCTGCGAGGCAGTGTCTACGCCATTGCCTTGAGTAACGGTGGAAAAGAAGAGGTAAACCCCTACTAAATGATCTAGCAAGATTCCCGCTGACACATAACAGTACGATGCCATCCTCTACCAGGCCCTTAATGCCCAGACTAGCGACGAGCGTAATACCGCACTTCGTTCCCTAGGTCGCGCTAAGTCGCCCGAACTTATCCAACGGACGCTTGCCTTGTCCCTCAGTGAGGATGTGAAGGGACAGGACATCTATCTGCCCATTTCTGCCCTCCGAACCCATCCTGCTGGCATCATTGCCTTATGGAAGTGGGTAAAGGACAACTGGGCTGAGCTAGAGAAAAGACTCCCACCTAGCCTCAGCATGTTGAGTTCTGTCGTATCTATCACCACCTCTAGCTTCACCCATAGAGACCAGATCGCCGACATTGAAGCTTTTTTCGCCAAGAAGAGTACAAAGGGCTTCGACAAGGCCCTCGCCCAGAGTTGTGACGCCATCAGCGCGAAGGCAGCTTGGATTGAGAGGGACTCGGAGGATGTCAAAACTTGGTTGAAGGAACGTGGATACCTGCAATAGACAGGCAGGGCATAATGACTCTCCTTCTAACACTTCAACGATTGAGCTGACGGAGTGATACCTTGTGAATGTTCACTATACAACATGACATTTCTACCGAAGAATAGCCAATGTTAGATGTATGTACAAATAGAAATGAAACAATTGTGATTAACAATTGCATACACCGGTCCTAGTTAGCGTCTTGACGTGCTTTGCAACTAACGGAACGGTCTTCGGCAGGAAGCGACTTTCGCCAAGGCTGGTCGAAAAGTTCGATAAAGTGATAACACACCTAAGCGAGAAGAAAGAGTGAAAGCAAATCTACTGAGGGGACTCAAGGCGTCAATGATGAACAATGAAACTACGGATTAGTCCTTCAACTATCACTGTAGTCGTGACATGAGTTTAACATTCACTACGCCCAAAAAGAGATATGGTGTGCAGAGACAGCTGCAGGAGGATTCAGGGACCTGCTGGATGTCGATCATTGCACTAAAGGCAACGTCAGCCCTCTCAACACTTCACGGCACCGTCCAAACATGTGAGAATCGTCAGTGAAGCCTCGTATTCCTTGGTACGTAACGACGTCGCCCTAGCCTACTTGGTAACATGTGGCATCTTAACCTCGACTTCTCCTCATTCCTTTACTTTGTGTCAATTCCCTCGCTCCTGTTGAATTGAGCCCGCAACAACCCTACCTCGAAGCCTTTGGGGAAGACTCCACACTTTCCCACACCATGGCTGAGTGTTTGGAGCCTCCAGATGCTCAGCTAGAGGCACTCGCACAATCTGAAATCGAGGCGTTAGAGCTGTTCCGTCGCTCGCCGCATCCATACCATCGCCGCCAGACCGAGCTCCAGAGATCCCAAGCATCCACCGAATCCTCTAGCAATGACTTCTCTCGGACTGCGCTCGAACGCTCGAATCGTATAACTTCGGATGAGGATAGGAGAAAGCCCAGGAAACAATTCTCTCGCACTCCGAGTGACAGTGGGACTGAGGCGGATGATGAGGGCTATGGGTTTGTGAAGGCACTGCCCGCACCTCCGGTCAGGCCCCGCAAGGGACTTCGTGATCTGAGAGGCAGCGGATACGATGCCGGGACGAGCCCGCTTTTGACACCCTCGCAAGTGGATGACGAAGGGCGTAAGTACTCGACCGAATACTTCAGGCCAAGGAGAGATGGGTCACAGAACGATGGGCCTTCGCCAACGGACGATGATGTACGAGCAGCTAGACAGAAATACCTGAAGAGGAGGCGTAGCGAGTTGATAAGGAGGACTACCGAAACTGCGCTTCTTGGATTGATAGGGATGCTGGCTGTTCGCGGGTGTGCTTGCTGGACGAGACTGTTGCGGTGGCATAGAGGTCAGATCGCGATCACATCCCCGGAGTCCTTCGCTAATGCAACTTTAGCAGAGCTTCTCACACACGTACTAGTCATGTCCGGCGTCCTAGCACTTTATCCACTAAGACTTCTGCGATACTCAAAGACCCGAGAACCTCCCTCCAACCGTCGACTCAGGCAACAAATTCGAATACCGGCTGCTTTTGACCCCGCTCCTATCCTCTACCCCACGACCCTACCTGTTCTAATATCCATATCTCTGCTTCCATCGTTTGAAAAACCTCTGTTACCCAATGTTCTACTTGGACTGGCTGCATTACCCTCCCAATTGGTTCCATGTGGACGCTCTCCTGGTGCATATTCTTCTGTTCATTGGTTTGTCTCCATACTACCGTTAATCGCCTCTCAGAACACAGAAATACCTTCCAAAAAATCCCCGCCAATACCATACATGCTTAAACTACCTCCCCCGGAAGGCCTCCACCCCGAGACACTAGTCAGCCTATTCGCTCTCCATCAGGCCCTTCTTCCCCCTTTACACTACCTCACCACTACTAGTTTACTTCCTACAGAGCTTCATCTGCTTTCCATTGGACTGATAAATCTATATCTTTTCGCAAACTCACCGCAGGCTGAGATACAGAAGACATTACTCTGGCTTGGCGGAGTTGGGATTTTCGTGCTCTGTGGTAAAGTTCTCAAATGGGGGGTTGCGTTAGCAAGGATTCCCAGATGGAGATTCAGACACGCTGGGCAGATTATCAAAACACGGCAGTCTTTTCTGCAGGTGTTGAATGAAACTTTGAACTCCCGTCGATCTCAGAGCGTTGGTGGAAGACTGTCCGATAGCGACGCGGATGAAGATGATCCCATGCTTCAGAATCCTCTTCAGAAAACTAAGAGCTTAAAGTTGAGTATTTTGGACTCAATGCGAAATGGGTCGATACTCGCGAATGAAAGTGAGACAAGATCGGCCGTTGAGCCGAAGCAGCTAGATATTTCGGAACATAACGATGATTCAGATCAGAAAGCGTTACCTAGGCGTCGGAATACCCTTCCTTGTCTCCCTTCTCCTTATCATACATCTCGACATCATTCAACACGTCGACGCTCGAAGTCAATAGCCCAGTCCTTCCTCTCGCTCACTCCTGCACAAGCAGCCATCAGGAAATGGTTTTACGCTGGATACTTCTATCTCACAGTATCGCTGATCATCCTTCTCCCCATCCGTTATATGGTCGGCAAGTATGGTCTCTACAACCACGAACCATTTGGATGGGCAATAGGCTACCTCTTCGGAAACATCCAACCGCTCCGCTTCCAAGTCGTAAACTGGAACCTCGCGTCTTGGATCCCGCTCCCGCCTCTCCACGATCCCGACCACATGGCCCAGTCCCAGCACCTCGGCCTCGCAGAACACATTCGCCGCTTCATAGTCGGCGAAGCCAACATCCGGCTCCTCCTCTGTGCCTACTGCCTCAGCATCATTAGCATCGGCCTCATCGTCTTATTTAGTCTCTCCTCCGTCGTCGAGGTCGATACACGCCGTAAAGTCTTCCACGGCATGATGGTCGCCATGCTCCTCCCCACCATCTACCTAGATCCGACATTCGTCGCTCTCGCCCTCTCCCTCGTCCTCGCAATCTTCCTCCTCCTCGATCTCATCCGCGCGTCGCAGCTTCCACCGCTCTCACGACCCCTGGCGAATTTTCTGACGCCGTATGTTGATGGCCGTGATTTACGCGGGCCCGTGGTGGTGTCGCATATTTTCCTGTTGATTGGGTGTGCGATTCCCCTGTGGCTTTCTCTCGCAGGTGTGGACCGTATCGGTCAAGCCCCCTGGACGGGTTGGGAAGTCAAGACAAGAGATGTCAGTATGGTGGCTGGTGTTGTCTGCGTCGGCATGGGCGATGCCGCAGCCTCGTTAATCGGACGTCGATACGGCCGCCGCAAGTGGCCTTGGGCAGGCGGCAAGAGTCTCGAAGGCTCTCTGGCTTTTGCTGTGGCTGTCACGCTCGGTCTCCTGTTTGGGAAAGTGTGGCTTAGACTTGGTCAGTGGGATGGCGGTGACGTAGACGGAGGGTTTAGATTTGGAGGCGTGACGGAGTGGGTGGGTGTGGTAGGTAAGGCGGCGGTGTGTGCGGTAGGCGCGAGTCTTAATGAGGCGGTGCTGACAGGTGGGAATGATAATGTGGTTGTGCCGGTTGTCTTATGGCTACTGGTTAGAGGGGTTGGGCTTTAGATTTCGATGTAAGATTTCCACGGGCATTGCATGGCGTTTTGGCGTTTATTATATCACTCACGGGGAGCTGCAGGTGTACCACTGCTTCCATGCCCTTATTTTGGTTTGGGTAATAAAAAGCTAGAACATAGACGCTGAATCTGGATCCGGGTTTGGCTTTAGGTTGGGTATGATTTGGCCCAGCTTGGTATGGGCATGAGATGAAGGGGAATGTGACTTGTGATTCTTCTTAGAGATATTTCACTGCGGTCTGAGGCTCTGTACGATATTAGGGAATGCGCATGTGGGTGAGTTTTGCGGCTCTGTAAGATATTGGGTAGTGCATGTGGTTGTGGTGAGGCTCAGCAAAGATGGATGACCAAGTGTGCTACGCACGTGGTAAGACATGGATCATAGGTTGGGAAGATAGCCCTGTTTTAGTTCCCCTTGGGACAACAATCTTGACTCGGGCAATTGATATTGGGTCTTCGGAACAATGAACTAAACTGGTACATATTTCTTCTAAGTCGCGGGACTCCGAGATCATCTTCACATGGGAGACAGATGGGCTTCGACAGGTAATAGAACGGAGCCGAGATACCGCAGGCGAGCTTAGCGCGGTAGACAGATTTGAACGACCTTGAACTCGAGTTGAAGTCGTTATCTCTATCGTCGTACGATGGTTGCCGTAAAATATGTTCCGGGCTGAGTTCCGTAGCACTTTGAGATTGTGCAGCTAGCCTATTATTTTGGCCGAACAGTCAGGTAGTCGGCGGAGTCTGGCGAAGTCGGCTGGAGATGAGAGTTAAGGGTGTCCTATTGTTGTTCAAAAGTGGTGTCCTGCGATTATAGATCCTGGAGCTTGTCATACGATCTCTGAGGTTCGAGGCTTTGAGGTAAGACGGAGGTCGCGATGGAAGAACTGGCTGACGAATGAGTATGTGGTCTTGAGAGCGTTCGGCCGATTCGAGAGATAATCAGCCGCCGTTATCGGATTCTTCGTGAGATGTCACCTGAAGCTTAAGTTCGAGATCGAGTAAGACGGCTACTACTACTGCAGTCTTATTTTGGGGCTATATTATGTATTAGACGTTATAATAAACCGTCGGATCATATCGGATTGAGATCCTCACACGACACCTGCTCAAACTGGGCGCGCGAGGCTTGCACAAGACGTTGGTGGACGTCCTGCTCAGGTCGGCTGCGCTTGCCACATATGCACCAGTCGGTCGGGATTACCTTGGGTGTGGGTGGCGCGATGATGCCCACGATGCGATGTGATCGTCGGCGTGCAGCAGAAATCAGAGCGAAGCGTTGCTGTGGGGGTGATATTGCTCGTCCTAGTCCTATCACTGCGTGCAGACGGCCGCGGCAAACAGATATTACCCCACGATAAGCATAGTTGCAGCTAGACTCAGGGAACGGAGACAATTTGAGGAACTGCACTCGCAGGCGCCGCTGTGAGGAGCGCTATTGGTGGGCTCGGAGTGAACGCCGATGCAGTCAAGTTTTGGGTTGCTGGATCAAGCAAGCCGGCTAGTCTTCCTCAATGTGAAGCGGCGTGTTTTTGCAGAGTGATCGTCTCCTTGAGGGCATGCAAGTACACAGCAGAGTTCAGGTTCCTGTTTCGACATGGAAGGGAAAGCTTCCCGCCACTATCGTTGTCGCAGGTACGCGTTCTACTCACTACTCACTCCTCACTCCTGCTCAACCAACCGCTGTAACAGGAGGTGAAGTCATAAGTCAACCTTGGAACCTTCGAACGGACTGCTGGGCGCACGTGCGGCTGCGCCGAAGACTGGTCCTGGTGACAGGAAGAGTGCGATTTCGCGGTGGCACAGGGCGCGAGCGGCGGCGAATTGCATGCTGCAGACGGGCTCAATGGGGTTCGTCATTATTCGCGATCGAGCTCGAGGCCTCAGGACGTGTCACTTGATTGCGCCTTGGAATTGTTGCGGGAGGGGTACGTCCACGAGTCGCCTCCTGCTCAGACTCAGGACAAGAACCCGCCCACGGGACAGCGACGGCGCAGCAGAGAACTGAGACGCAGAGAATGCTGTTGACTTGTCGTGACTTGCGTCTCTCTCGCTCTCGCGTCGGTGGTGGGACCTTGCCCGTCATGCCAGTGTAGGCCCGAGTGTGTCTTGTCCGATAAGGCAGGATAACAGCTCGCCAAGCCGCTAAATCAAGCTCCCAGTCATTGCGAGCCATCACACCTTCACCCAGCTCTCTCGCGCCGCTGTTTCTCTCCTCCTCAACACTCACTCCGCCTACGAACTCCTCTTCTTCCCTTCTACCACCTCCCTCTTATTGTGTTTATTCGTTTTCCCCTGGTTGCGCCTGTTTTTCCTTCTTTGCACCCCTCCTGCGCCCCATCTTTTGGCTGCCTGCCACCACCCACTTCCATTCGTTCATCCAGGTCTCGACGGCCCACCCCAGCACCCTCAAGCTACAGCCTGGCACCCAGCCCCAGCGTGCTCTAGCCGCATCCCCGATTCGACGCCGCTACTGCCTGCATCATCTATAAACACGTCGACTAATAGCCGCAGTCGCACCCCCGTCCCCTGTACCTCTTGTCACCTCATCGTCTCGAACCTCGAACCTCTACAGCACCGCCGACATATCTTGGCTCCAACACTCCTTTATAAAAAATTATCGACATACATGTGCAACGCCCTTACCGCTACTTTGTACCCGCATCTTTGTTGGTAGCTAAACGCCGAGATATAAGGGAGCAGGACTACACCGGCCACCTGGGGCCCCGCCAACATGGCAACCCCGAATTCTCCGTTCAAGCAGCGGAGGTCGCTGTCGACGGCACAATCGTCTTCCAACATGGCGGAGCAGACTATCGGCCAGTTTAGGCGGATGGACCACATCGGGAAGGGAAGCTTCGCGGAGGTATATCGAGGCATACATATTGTTCGTTGTGCCCTCTCCTTAACCTCTCCCCAATCTTGTACCGTATACCTTGGGGCCTGCGTTTATTAGTGTGTACTTCGAGATGGAAGCAATGCTAACATGGGCGCGCCTATTAGGAGAAACGAGCTTCCGTCGCCATCAAATCTGTCAACATGAACAAACTGAACAAGAAGCTCAAAGATAATCTAGTTTCCGAGATATCAATATTGCGGAGCCTTCACCACCCTCACATTGTCGCTCTCATCGACTGCCAGGAATCCCCCTCCCGAATGCACATCATAATGGAGTTCTGCGAGCTTGGAGACCTGTCGTCCTTCATCAAGAAGCGCGCCGACTTAGTGAACCACCCACAAACCCAACGCATGGTCGAGAAATACCCAAACCCTGCTGTGGGAGGCCTTAATGAGGTCATTGTGAGGCATTTCGCAAAGCAAATGGCCAGCGCTCTTGAGTTTTTGCGGTCAAAAAACTATATCCATCGTGATCTAAAGCCACAGAACCTCCTGCTAAACCCCTCATCGCTGTATTACTCACAGAGTGGGACTATTGAGCGCATGCCTCTGGCTGCCGATGCGAACTCCTTGATACCTGCCACTGGTGTTGAGTCCCTTCCAATGCTCAAGATTGCCGACTTCGGTTTTGCCCGAATCTTGCCAACAACGTCATTGGCGGAGACCCTCTGTGGATCACCACTCTACATGGCTCCTGAAATTCTGCGCTACGAGAAATACGATGCGAAAGCTGATCTTTGGTCTGTAGGAACTGTCTTGTTTGAGATGATGTGCGCGAGGCCACCTTTCAGAGCAAACAACCATGTTGAGCTTCTCCGAAAGATTGAAGATCGCAAAGACCACATCAAGTTCACCGAAGGAATTATAGCCAGCAGAGCGATGAAGAATCTTATCCGCGCCCTCTTGAAACGAAAACCACTGGAGAGGATGTCCTATGATAGCTTTTTCTCTGACCCAGTCATTCAAGACAATATACCCGGCCTTGTTGATGAAGACCTCCCACAGCCTTTTGAACCCGAACCCGTCGCTCCGCGTAGGCGAAATCAACCAGCACCAACCGAGACTGATCGACGCGCACAAGAGAGCCCATACTCGCAGTCACCAAGGGAGCGGACTCCCTATGGAACGACCCCACCATCACGACCGAGTTCTCGGCCCAACTCAGGACAATATCACGGAACTCCTCCACGACCGAGCTCAATCCGAAGGCTGAGCAACACCCCTCTCTCGACCGTTGACCAACACACTCCTGTGCGTGAGCGACGTCCGACAATCACTAATGCAGCTACAGCGCCTGTCCGCCCAGCTATGTTGCAGGACCGTAATGCAATTCCCACAAGTGCCACTGCGACCCGACGCTATAGCCGTGAAGAACCCTCTCCTGCCGCATCCGGACTCAAAGAACACCTCGAACGAGAGCGGATTCCACAGCGGACGGAGATCAATGCTATGAGAGAAGCTGCGGAACGGGCCGCCCAAGACATCGCTTTCGAGAGGGACTACGTGCTTGTTGAGAAACGGCGAGTGGAGATTGATGCTTTGGCGGACGAAATTGCTGCTAGCCCACAAAACACAAAGGGAATTCGCGATGCTACGATGAAACGACGAACCACGACTCAAGGGTCTCCTACTTCTACAGCAGGCGCAACAGTTCCATCAAGGGCGATTCAGATTCAGCAGCAGCGGCAAGCCCCCTTGCATCAGCGAAACGGTTCCTACGAGCGTCGCTATCGGCCAAGCTTTGAGAGCGCAACTTCCGCATTGTCTAAGGCGATGAACATGGTCAATATTCGAGGTCTTGGGCTTTCTCCACCTATGTTGAAGGGCGTATCTCCACCTCAGAACTATCCAGCGTACCCTGTTTATCCAACGGCGCAGAGTAGCCTTCTTCTTGTTGGAGATGGCGGAAAGACCACCAGCAAAGACGAAGACGCACTTATGATCAAGAAGGTAGAAGAGCTTGCGCAGCTTAGCCATGTCGTGTATGGCTTCGCGGAGGTTAAATATAAACAGCTCGTACCGATCACGCCTAGCGATCAAGGTCTTGGTATTGGTCCGACTGGAATGGTCAGGAAACCGAGTGGTGATGGTGAAGATGACGACGATGACGATGATTTGACACCAGACGCCGTTTTGACCATTTCTGAGGAAGCCCTTGTGCTTTATGTCAAATCGCTGGCAATGCTCAACAAAGCTATGGATATCGCAGGCAATTGGTGGACGCGCCGCGCTCGAAGCAACCCTTCTCCCGAGAGTGGCAATCGACCGTCCGCGTATACAGAACGTTTAAACCGAGTTGTCTCGTGGCTTCGGGATCGCTTCAACGAATGCTGCCATAAGTCGGAAATTGTCGCACGCAAGCTCAAGCAAGCTCAGCAGCAAGTACCCGTCGACCATCCAGGCCACCCTCAAAATCACTCCACCGCGTCCGGGTCCGCTACAACTATCGGCTCTGCTGAGAACATTCTTCTGACTACCGGAGTCACAGCCGAGAAGTTAATGTATGATCGAGCATTAGAGATGAGCCGAACCGCCGCTGTCAACGAGCTTGTTGGCACAGATCTACCTGGTTGTGAGCTAAACTACAGCACTGCGATTCTCATGCTGGAGGCTGTCCTCGAAGAAGAAGACGACAACCCTAGAGGAAAGGTCGATGGTGAGGAGATCAACGGATTAGAGTCAGAAGACCGGAAGTCAATCCAAAAGCGTAAGTCTATTGCATTCCCTGGGTCTAGACATTGTACTGATCTTGAACAGTCTTGGAAAGTATGAGAACCAGACACAGGGCACTTAAGAAAAAGATCGAGATGCAGAAAGCTGTAAAACGTGCATCGATCACTAGCGCGCCCGCTCCGCACCCCCCAAGCCGTGGGTCTCCATCATCTCAGGGCACTGCGAGGTGAATTTCCCCCCGGCCCAATCACGATATGCAGTGCTACCATTTCACACCCATTGGGTGCCGATCAGTTGTCCAATTCGTGGATTTCTTTGCGTCTTAACGAGAACCTCACTGCATTAGCATACAGAAGTTTCCCTGCATGTGCATTGCATTTTGGCGGAGTTTCATGGGGAGGCGTTCCACGGGCTGCAAAGTGGCACCTCTCCCCTAAATTTTTGTTGTCTCTTGTGTTCATTATTTTTGCATCCACTTTGAGTTCACCCGCGTCCTAGTTTTTACACACCCTATTCTCTCCTTCTGATCAGGGCACCAGGAACGGGGTTTTAGTGCACCTCCTTTCTAGGTTCTCGACCACATTGATTTTCAAATGATACCAGATCTTGAGGGGATCACAGTGTGGGTAACCGGAGCAGAAATGGCCTCAGGGGACGGTTTGGGTGACTCTGTTTTGTGGCGTTTGGGCATGGCTTTGCACTGATTTTCGCTCATTTGTCTTCCCAAGAATGGGATGGGAGGAATCCTGTTTATAAAGGGGTTGGCTTGGCTCTGGCGTTATCTTGTGATTTGGCTTCTCTATACCATAGGCTAGGTACCAATGATGGTTTTGGGAGAATTGGAAATGGGCGCTGGGAATCCTCGATGGCTTAGATTGGACCTCTGGAGAATCTGGGCGACGGTTGATTGATATTGGATCGGGGAACCAAGTACCTATTGTACAGCGAGATTGAATACCAACATCGAATTGTTATTTCCTCATGAAGCGTCTTGTGACTGGTTTCTTGGATGCGGCATAGTGGAACGCTGATCGGTTGACGAATTGGGTTCGCAGACCTCAAAAGGTGGAAGCTGAGCATAAAGAGAGAGAGCAGTTTGTCGATATCATTTGATGATCGCAGAATGAGATGCTCGGGAATCCTTCATGTTCATAGGTTGGGTTTCCCGGCGCGACCCTGCGTCTTCGTCAGGCAACAAACTGATTGGTCTCGTGAAAGTGGCGCTCCTCCAGATCTCAACCGCTGCCCCGTCTTTCAATCAAGACACCCGCTCCAGCTACAGAGAAGCTTCATGGACTCAACCCACCTCCTCTCATTGCTCATTATGTGACACAGTTCCTCTTCTCTGATTCCTAGATTTGCTTCCTACTTCATGTGCATACCCCACAATGGGCCTCGGCATCCTTGAGGACAACAAGCTTGAGCATGTTCCAGGTAGCTTCCAACAGAGCGTGCAGCCGCGCAACATGATGCTGATGATGCAATGCAGGAACTGCTCTAGTCCTTGAAGATGACAGAAGACAAGAGACAGAGCATGCTTTTGCGCGCGATGCGAGTCTCAAATATGATGCCACCGGACAGATACTCCTCGTCCCTCAGCCTTCCGATGACCCCAACGATCCTCTAGTATGAAACTACAAGTCCAACGCTTCGCACAAGACTGATCATATTAGAACTGGTCACTATGGAAGCGCGACTGCATCGTGTTGATCCTCTCCCTCACTTCTGTCATCGCCGCGACGCTGTCCCCGCTCCTAGCCGCCAACACCTTTTCGCTCACGCTCTCTTTTGGGCGTACTTTCACCGAAATGGCTTTACTTACAGGTTACCATCTTCTGGGCGTGGGTTTAGCAGGTTTTTTATTTGTACCGTCGGCTAGGATATGGGGCAAGCGACACCTCTACCTGTTGGGCACCATAATCGTTATCATCAGCACCGCATGGGGTGGCTCGAGCAAGAAAAACTACAAATCGCTTCTGTGGGCGCGGATATTCCAAGGCATTGGTCTTGCGCCGTTTGAAGCGCTCGTCAACGCCAGTGTTGGAGACTTATATCATGTCCACCAGAGAGGTATCCGGATGGCCTTGTCAAATCTTGCTCTTTTTGGGGGGGCATTTTTCACGCCGGTGTTGGTCGGAAAGATTGCGGACACGATGGGATATAAGTGGACGTTCTATTTCGTGGCTATTTTCGCGGCAGTCATGTTACCATTCGTCATTTTCTTCGTACCAGAAACAAGTTTCAAGAGGGAGCAACGATTCGATATTGACACGATGGGGAATTTGATTACGCAAGATAAGCCAGAGACTAGGGCAAACTCTGGAGAGTCGGGCTGTGCGACTAATGGAGATGTGGAGAAGCCAGAGGGAAGGGATAGTGTGCATGGAGTCGGGGGTCAGACTACTCCACGCCCGATGGCGACGTGGAAGCAGAGTTTGATGCCGTTTAACGGGAGGAAGACTGATGAGAGATATCTTCATTTGTTGTTGAGGCCTTTCCCTCTCTTCTTCCACCCAGGAATACTCTGGGTATGACATACACCTCCCCACTTCTCCTTCCCTACTAATAGTCATAGGCTTGCCTTATCCAAGGCACTCTCATTGGATGGACGGTGTTGATCGGAGTCGTCCTCGCCGCCGTAATGATGAGTCCACCCCTTTGGTTTGGTGAAGTAGAAACCGGATACATGTACACAGGCGCTTTCGTCGGCGCACTTCTCGGATTTATCCTCTCCGGTCTTCTCGCAGACTGGTCCGCCAGATATCTAACCCGCCTAAATCACGGAGTCTACGAGCCAGAGTTCCGCTTAGTGCTTGTCATTCCTCAACTCATCCTCGGCTGCACAGGTCTGTATGGCTTCGGCTGGACAGCGGCGAATATGCCCAAGTATGGATGGTTTTGGCCGGACTTTTTCTTTGCGCTGGAGGTTATGGGGATGGTTCTCGGTGCAGTGTCAAGTGCTTTGTATATTGTTGACGCACATCGTGAGTATCGCTAGTACACTTACGCTTTGCAACCAATCTAACAATGTGCATAGGTGACATGGCTGTCGAAGGCTTCACATGTCTCCTCGTATTCAAAAATCTATTCTCTTTTGGACTCACGTTTAAGGGATTCGATTGGATTGTTCAGGGCGGGGTTAAGCCGGTTTTCATTGCTATTGCGAGCGTGCAGGTAGGGATTTGTATGTTGACAGTTCCGATGTGTAAGTTCAACACTCATTCAGTTGCCACCCTTTTTACTAATGCCCACGACAGACGTTTTTGGCAAAAAGAATAGGTCGTTCTTTCATCGACATAATGTGTTCTTTGATGTCACGGATTGGATTGCTGATCACCTGACGTTCTGGTAGTTTTTGGTTCGGGAGAGATCGGGTGGGATCTGAAAGGAGATGATTGATGATGATGGAACGCTTTTTGATACTTGTGCTTGATAGTAGTCTCGTTATATTAGTGCAACCTAATCATAATACATCTTATCAAAAGGGGACACATCAGATGAGGAAACTCCCCTCCCCAAAAACCCATCATATCATCGAGGTGCCAGAGTTGAGTTGGCCCGCGCTCACCCACCAATCAGCAGTCGTAAGTTCATGTTAGTAACGACGCCAAGAGGCAGCAAGTTCCTGACCCTCACACCCGAAAACCTCCTACACGACCTTCACCTCCACCCACGCCCCAATTGACCGTTTCCCCTACCCGACGTTCCCGAGCCAGCTTCACATCAACATGTTGGCTCGATCGGCACTGCGCACGGCGCGCTCTGCCGGTGCTGCAGCCCGCAATGCTACCTCCAGAACGGCTACGGTACGATGCCCGGTCATCCCACTCAGCTTCGACAAGCTCCCGCGAATCCATCCTCAGAGCCCCAACGCCCCCTAAAGTTCTTTCCTCTGCACAATTGACCCTCTTGCTAACGAATTGGGTGGTACAGCGTCCTGCCTCGACATCCAGCTCGACCGCTGAGGAAGCAGCCTCGGCCTGGAAGACCACAGCCCTCGGATCTGGCGCCACCGTGTTCGCGGTTGGATCAGTTGCCTGGTATTATCATCTCTACGGGCGAAATGTCGATGCTATGACGCCGGCGGAAGAAGGGTGAGTAATATCGGACGCTATGGAGCCGTTGAGGGAATATTGAGCTTTGGGGGGATTGGCAGCAACATCGAGCTAACAGATTGTCATTGCAGTCTTCATCCAACGCAGTACCCATGGGAACATCAAAAATGGTTCAAGACATTTGACCATCAAGCGTGAGTGCCCCTCGATATATAGAATTGATGAACAGCACTGAGGTACAATATTAGCCTCCGCCGCGGATTCCTGGTCTACCGCGAAGTCTGTGCATCCTGCCATTCCCTCTCTCGAATCCCTTACCGCTCTCTCGTCGGTAACATCATGACGGTTGACGAGGCGAAGGCCCTCGCTGAAGAAAATGAATACGACACCGAGCCCAACGACGTGGGTGACATCGAGAAGCGCCCCGGAAAGCTTTCAGACTACCTCCCCGCCCCTTACAAGAACGATGAGGCCGCCCGCGCAGCGAACAACGGTGCTTTGCCCCCAGATCTATCGCTCATAACTAAGGCGCGGCACGGTGGCTGCGACTATATCTTCAGCTTGCTGACGGGCTATCCGGAAGAGCCGCCAGCGGGTGCTGTTGTTCCAGAAGGTTTAAACTTCAACCCCTATTTCCCCGGCACCGGTATTGCCATGGCTCGTGTGCTTTATGACGATCTGGTTGAGTACGAAGATGGAACTAAGGCAACCTCTTCCCAGATGGCAAAGGATGTAGTGGAGTTCTTGAACTGGTCTGCCGAGCCGGAGATGGATGAGCGGAAGAAGATGGGCTGGAAGGTGTTAGCTGTCACCAGCGTGCTGTTTGCGCTCAGCGTTTGGGTCAAGAGGTAAACAACACTGCTTTCTGGAATCGTTATTTATCACTAGCTAACAATATCATTCAGGTACAAATGGGCACCAATCAAGACGAGGAAAATTGTCTATTCTCCACCTAAACAGAAGAGCATCCTCGATCAGCTTCCCAAGCCAGACAAGAAATCATAAGCCATGCCACGGCAATCGCATTTGGTGGGAGAACAAAGAGTCAAAGGGCCGGTGAAAGTGTGCGTGTGTGTCTTATACTTGTACAGTGTCCGTTACTCAAAAGAACGAGAGTTAAGATCTCCTGTTTGATTCCAAGTGAAGCTGGTATAGATGCTTGGTTCTCTTTTCCTTGTTCTTCTTCTTTGTTATGCGCGTGTGTGTCTGCTGATGTAGGTAGTGTACCATCAATGCAGTTCCGTTCAACCAATCCCTCCTTTTTCTAGGTGGGTGCGTCCGTGGTGGACGGTGATTGTTGATGGCAGTCGCTATGTGCTACGATGATGGTGACGACGGGATTAGAATCATGCGAGCCTATAGTTTCTGATTGAGTAGTGTTTGGCAGTGGTTGGGAGCACACTTATTATCGACTGTAGTTTAGAAAATGAGAAAGATAAGGAAAAGGAAGATGGTTTGGGGCTGCAACACATCTGGGAGGAAGAAGGCCAGGGGCGATCGCAATGTTAGGTTCTTTGGGTGATTCTGTTAGTTTACTGTGGCTAGAGGAAAAGGGCAAAGTGTCAAGATCAAGGAAATGAGGGAACAGGTGAAATAGGGTGAAGGAAAGCGCCAACGTGCCCGTTAAGCACTTTCAACCTCCCTGGCTTCGTGACAGCCCATCTCAACGCCACAACTGACTTGCGTCTATCCATAATTGCCAACAGTTTGTGCGGATTACTTTCTCCCACCGTCTAGGTCTGGTTTGGTTAATGGTTAATGGTTTAGCTATAGGGGATTCTAGCTCAATATCAGACAACGGCCACCGTACTGGTTCGCCCTAGAACATCAACCAGTCGCAAGTCTATCGCCGTCGTAGATCTGAGATCTAGTCTAAATGAGGCAGTTGTAGCAAACACCCCAACCTCAGCCGGCGATTTCCGCGTCGCGTCACTGACGAATGTCCGCCTGGAACTACTGTCCGACTGTAGGACTATCCTCCTCTCACTTTTTAGATTGAGGGACGCCCTTGGCAAATCTCTGGCTGGTGTATCCCTCTCAAAGCAGCCAGAACCCATTGAATCTAAGATGAAAACGAACACGACCAGTTTTGCCAAGCCGACTGCATTTCCATTTCATAGATCTTCCTCATGAACCCTAAATATAGTCTATTACGAGCTCAGGGAGACAAGCCCGGTGGTCGAAATGCCGTTTCACAAATTGAGACTCGAGGTGCGAGACAATCCTCATTTCAGAATGAACAACGGTGGGGGTGAACCCCGCTAGTTTCCTACTTATGTCAAGATGAATGTGGTGTCTTGGAAGAAGGCATGGAGCAACTCCGCCTCAAAGTGGCTTCGACACGTTAACCATTCCGTAACCTGGTCCAACTATATGAAACGCAAGCCTTATCCACTCTTACAAGCGCCCATGGCAGATGTTTTGAATATTTCCCCTAGAGTTTCCAAAATCGGTCAAGACAGAGTAACTTGGCTGCCTCGACTTCTGGCTATCAAACCATAGTTGTTAAACGGACTCGGAGGCACCCTAAAGCACCTCAACAATCTAGACAGCAAACTTCCATGCACTACGCTTAAGGCTCTGGTGGAATACCAACAGCATGTACCTCAACTCCACACCCAACTTAGGCCATCTAGATACCGTATCCGGCGTCAGCAGCCAGATGCTCCAGGGCCAGGCTTCGGGCAACGCCACTATCACCCACAGCAACAGCAATCCCAATATCAACCTGTACTCTACTACCTCCACTATCGCGGGCCAGCCGTCGCTATTCCTGCAGCGGGAGTCAGCTAGCGAGTCGGTTAAGGGGTTCTTAAAGAAAAACGGGTGGTCAGGGGAAGGTTTGGACTGAGGATGAGGATGAGGATGATTGGGATTCACTGGCGAAGAGGAAGAAGAGGGTTGTCGGGGAAAAGAAGGGGAAGGGAGAACGGATCGGGATCGGCTAGAGGGATGATTATTAGGTTAGGGGTTAGGTAGTAGCCGGACAGTTATGGGTGACAGCTGCTTATTGGTGACATTGTAATAGGCATTCTCTGCCGGGGTTTAATGGTGATACCAGAACCTGATCTTCTTTTGGTGGGCGAGCAAGGAGAGAAACTTGTTCCGGCCCATACAATAAATCAACAGGTTTTGTTCACAAACACCAGTGGTTAGCTGGACATGGGGAACACTAAAATGCATGCACAGCATTACCTTCATTATGGGTGTAAGGGTGCTAATGTACTCAGAATCACCAGGCTATATGATAAGAAGTTCAGATCGGTTTTAAGGGATGACCTTACCCATATTTTGACTTGCCCTCACTTCCTCTACGTCCAGCCATAACCGACCCGGCAACTTCCACTCCTGACGAAGGTTCTAGAGGAAAGGATTGGTATCAAAGTCTTGCGTCTACACCTCATGGCTAATTATGGGAACAGTGGGGATCAGATAGAAGTGAACTTATCGCATGTACAGGTGGTGTCTGGCAGGGCTGAGAAGTCATAAATTGTGGTCTACATTCCCTGCTTTATGGATAGCGACTGTGCCGACCACCAGTGTGCTATCGATGCGGAAGTTAGGCAACTTGGAGAGTTCCTTCTCGGAGGTAGCTGCTAGACGCAATCTGCAATTGGAGAGGCTGGTTCATAACACTGTTCGACAAAATCTACTAAAGGGAAGAGCACCTCGAATTCATTAAGGTAGGCCTCAAAGAGGATTTAGTGAGCACGCAGAGATGAGAAATAGAGCTCACGGCGCAATATGCCGTGACTTAGCTGAGATTTTCGAGTACATTCTAAACGACATTACCACGACCTGAATGGATGACTGGATAATGGGCTTCGATACAGTCTCAACATGTCATCATTTGTTAATGGTATTCCTTCTATATAAATCCTGTAGATATAATGCTCTCCCCCATCCAAACCTAGATTACTGAAACACAAATCCTTGCCTTTGCATACCCACATGTACGGATGAGACTCTCACCACCAACAATTGCCCATCCACCGGGATGTGGTCCGAGGGTAACTCATACCAGTACCTTCGATGACTACGATTTCGGATTTTTACTCGGCCAACTTTAATTGAGCTTATTGTTCGGCTTCGAGGGGGCGATTATGGATTCATATTCGGTTCTACTGCACTCGCTCTTGCTTTCTAAAGATTTCGAGGCGAAGTCTCCATTCTTCAACCTCCTGTACGAGCTCCGAAATGCAGTGTACCACGAACTCTAGAAGGAGGAGCTGTTCATTGTGGTCCCGTGCTTGGACTCCCCATTCAAGATATGCTACGTTGGTTACACTATTGGGACCGAGTACTGGAGCGACCTTTGCCCCTGTCTTCTTCTTTGGCTCCAAATTAACAAACACCCCCACGTGAAATTCGGAGCCTGATCTACCGTGAGCACATGGAAAAAGTATTTTAGGGGTTGGGGAAGAGGGAGGAGGGAGGGAACAGCCAAGTTAAGTTGTCGGTCTGAGGGAGATTTTAAGGGCGAGAAGTCGTTTTCGGTGTAGCCAGTGTAGCAGATAAAGCAGCATTCGTTGCTGCTACTGAGGCAGTAGGGTCCACGATAGTGATTTATTTGACGAGGAATTATTTCTTTGTAGGAGGAATCTTTTGGGATGAAGGATTGTCAAGCCATCGTGGGGAGAAGAGTGAGAGTGCCAGGATAAGAGTTTGTTTTGTGAGATTTAGTCACAGGTAAGCAGAATTGAGCTACGATTTGGTAGCTGTGGCGGATCATACCCAACATTCTCTACAATTCTTAACGAAACCCTCTCCCCGTAAGCGGCTCGGGAACAGAACTTTCGACTTTAATCGACGGTAGGACCAGATTGCTCCGGATTAGGAGCGCTTTACTCGGAAGAGTAAGGTCCATATGATAGTGGGCGAAAGGAGCGATAACCATGTTCAACCTCATCCTCATGAAGAGCATAGTAGTCATAACCACCTCCTTGGACTTCACTCAACTCCCCAACAGCCTACCTCAAATCCGTTATCAGCCGCTCCGTGCTAACCCACTCTCGAATCGTTTCGCGAACGAACAACCAGAACCACAACGACGAAACATCGCTACACTAATACTCAGCCTTACCGTAAAGCTTGGAATATTAATCTTCTGGCTTAAGGTTCAGGTCTTGGAAGGACCTTGCTACACGGCCTAGGATTTAGTATATATCTATTGTCTCCGCTATGAGGAGTAGTTGGAGATATTCTAGATATCTTCTACCAGCGAGCTCAACGCCCCGCGAGAAGTCCCTGATCAAATTCTCGAAACTCTTGGTCTCATGTCCAAATCTCCAGGCTTGATGTAGACTTTTTTTCCCCTCCTCCCCACGTCTAGATCCCATACATGCAGGATGTGAGACCAACACAACTATCTTGGCCAATAGTCTGGCTAAGCTATTGTCCATGTGCCGTGCGTTTACTTGAACAAATGAAGATGTAACTGCAGGAGGTACTAGTAGCCCACGGAGCGAAATATTCGGGATCTTTCTGTGGCTGTCACAAAACCGTCTTTTTCTTGACCGTAGTCGCCGATGAGAAAGTAGAGATTTAAAAAACATCTTAAAGATGAGAGACTTTGAAAATGAGACACAGGGTGGAGATAGGTGTATATATGTGAGATTTTCAGCGGTGTTCTTGCACTGCCATGACTTCCAAGTATGCGAATAAAGGGGCTATGAGGGTTACGCACTTCTATAGCCAAATCTCTAGTACGGTCTATCTTGAAGGCGAAATTTATACAATGAAGGGAGCGTTGGGACTTTTGGTTGAAGAAGACTACAAAGTCACGCACCGCGTACTTAAAATGCTGCCACGCCTGGGCACTAGAATCGTTAGAGAATCGCATTCTGGATGACCCTAACCCTAGAGAGCCGCGCGGTTTTGATTTGGAACTATCCGATCTATCGACCGCATAGTACAACCCTATATTCAGAAGTCTCGCCTTCGAATTCCAACTCTAGTCCCGGAGCCCCAGAGACCTTCAAAGCAATGGTGAAGGAAATTGCAAGGTGTGTATCGCCCACGAACGGAGGAGGATATCCAAGATGTATCTGAAGATTGATGCAGGAAGTTACAGCGGTGATTTTTTACGCACTGCAGCGGAGAGTACGGGAATTGTCGGCAAGGGGATTTACGCCGTTGGAGCTTTATCAGATTTTACGTGATAGCATGAAGACAGCTTGGACGAAGAGAGGCGTGGTGTCAAAGGGGAACTGCTGGTGGATTATTATTGAGTTGGTAGTTAGAGGGTGGATTGGGGAGGAGAGAAGGATGGCAGAATCGAAGTAGCGCAAGGTTATCATGAAAATAATTAAGAAATAGAAGAGAATCTAGTGTGAGAATCGATTGTACATTGAATGAATTAATAAATTGTAGCAGAACGAGTGGCAATGCCGTGGTATCGTGTATCCCAATTCCCCCAAATCCTAAATCTGAAAGCCTAAAACCGCATCAAACCTGAACATCTAGACTCCAAACAAAACCCAAATGCCAAATCTGATGCAAAACGCCAGTGCTAACAATAAAAGAAAGTTCAGAAGCTTTAAGAGTCTATTTCCAAACTGTTGTCTACCACTTAATTCTTCTACTCTATCTTGGATTGGCGGGACTGCCTTTCCAATCCCGAATCTGCTCTCTACTATCCTCTTCATAACCCGCCCTCTCCATCAACTTCGTAAAAGTCGTGTCCTGTGTCAGTCGGTTCTCCCGCATTCCAGGCGCTTTCGGTGGCTCCAGGAAGGAAGGCGCTGGCATCAGGACGTCTATAGTTTCGGTACTGGTGCTTCTTGTGGTTAGGGGCCGTTTTCCCTTGTTGGAAACCGACGTTCGATTTGACCTAGACGTCATTCGATTTGGTGTACGTGTCGGCGTTGCGTACGGATCTCTATTGCCTGCTCTGACGGCCGGAGGTGGTACAGGCACTGTGGAGAATGAAGAATTTCCGCCGAACCCAATCCTCGGGCTTTTTCCAAACAGGCTCTTGATTCTCGGAGTCATGCCTCCGCTACCTCCACCTCGCATCCCGTTCTTTGGCACCATTCCTGTTGCGGAGTTTGGCGAGGGCTCTACAGAACTGGATCCTCGGCGGATGAAGTCTGTTCGATTGGCATACATAGGGTCGTAGATTGGATCGCTGATTTGGCGGGAAACGTGTCCGAAGTCGCCCGAATAGCGGTTTCTTTCTTGAAGCTCGCGGCGTTTTTTGATGGCCCAGAGAAGTCCCAGTGCCAAGAGTGCTCCGAGAACAATACCTGGGAAAAAGCCAGCGGCGAATGATTTGCCATCAAAGCCCTGCTTAGCCCGAGGAGTTGGGAGGGGAGCGGCTGCTGTTGTCTGAGATGCAGCTGGTGCGTCTGTAGCTATGGGGATAGCGGAAGAGGAAGGAGAAGAAGTTGGAGATCCGGCGTTTGCAGAGCACATGCCGCCATTGCAGGTATAGCCTAAGGGACAACACTGCCCTCCGCAAGTGGGGAGTTTGACTTCAGTGGAGTTGGAGAGATGGATTTGGTTGTCGGGATGGGTGGTTGCGTTTAGCTGGCTCACGTCGCAGGTTATGGGCTGAATGAAGGAACAGTTTGCGCCTTTCGGACAACATATTACAGATACAGACTTGGTGCCGTTCACCGAGACACATGTTGTATCCTTGGGACAGCAGAAATCGGAAGGAAAGTTGGATCCACACTGGGCGAGAGTGGACATACCACCACAAGTTGCCGCCTGCCGAGAGAGGAGGTTCATAGCTTGAGAAGTCGGTATTGTGGTCGATATGAGATAGAGAAGCGATAGTCTGGAGAGCTTGGAGAGACCCATCAAGGGACCCATTGTGATGGACGAGGAGAAGTACAGAGAGGAAGTGACAAAGGCAAAGGTACGTAGCGGAAGATTGATATACCAGAACGTGCAATTGTGTCCAAGCTCAAACTAATCGATAAGACAATGGCATTATCTGTTTGATAGAGAAGCTTGGATGGCTATGGAGGCATGCAGAAACAGGACTGTGAAACAAACTCGACTTTTAAAATAAGAAGGGAAACGCAAGCTCCGGACGCGGCCGCCAGTATATAGTCCTGCATTTTTAGACGTGGTGGACCTTCAGCATCCGATTCTGACGTATCTCACCCGATGGTCAGGCTCCGTCCAAGTAGGCTTCCGTTCCATGTTCTGGAAATAGAGGTGGACAAGCGCCGAGTGGATAGCAGACATTGAATGGACTATGCTAGCAGAGTAGCAGTGGCAGATGACTCTTCATAACGTGTGGCTATGCTGTCGTAGTATTGCGAGCGGCTGAAACGAAGCGCTGGAGGGGGGCGCTTGCATACGTTTTGAAGTGGTGGTGAAGTCTAGGCGGGGGGGACTGTGATTGGCCGGCCGTACTTGCAGGGCGCTAGCACATTTCTCGGGGAAAAAGAATCAGACGTCGGCCATGGACAACTCAAGTCGCCCACACGACAATCATGATAATACGCTCACTCTGTCGGCGGCCGGCCGTCTTCCAGTCCTTCGCTGCAGCTCCTGCAGTAAGCCATCCCGTCAGAAAGGCCTCAATGGCGGTCGATAGGCCCACTGACGATGTATTAGAGATCTGGCGCTGCGCCCTTTATCCGCAAGATTCACACGCGACCCACGCTTGCGAACGAAGCGGAGCTCGAGAAGAATGGAATTCCGGGTCTGCTGTCCCCGCGGGCGTTCAGGGTTGCGTGGACCGAGTACCAGCAGCACATGATGGACGAATTGAATGCCTCAACATCTGGTATGCCATTGCGTTCAATTGCGGAACTGCGTTTCGCCATTGCCATTTCCAACTCGTTGGACACATTACCGCGGCCCGAGGGACTGACTGAGTTGTGAACAGGATCAATACTCGAGAACCAGGACCCGAAGAACATCGTGCTTGAGCTGGCCCGGGATCCGACCTCCGCATATGCCTTTAACGTGGCATCCATGGCCTGGAACAATCACCAGTTCTTCAAAGGCATTGTGAGTTGGCAATTCTCCCTAACTACCTCGGTTTCTAAATTGACATAGAGCACCAATCCCAACGTCAAATCCGCCCCCTCCTCCGCCCTCTCTACCGAACTAACCCACTACTTCTCCTCGCTGTCCACTCTCCGCGAAACCTTCCTTGCAACTGCCGAAGCCATGTTCGGCCCCGGCTTCGTCTGGCTTGTCCAACAAAATGAAAACCAACATCCCTTCCGCATCCTTACTACCTACATTGCCGGCACCCCCCTCTCGGGTGCCCACTACCGGCGACAATCCGAAGACCTAAACAGCCACAACCCAGACTCATACCAAGCCATGAACAAGGTCGGCCACTTTGGTCGAGCAGCAGCCCCAGACACCAAGCCCAAGAAAGCTCTCGGCGGGGTGGATATCATCCCCTTGCTGTGTGTGAATACCTGGGAGCACGTCTGGCTGACGGATTACGGGGTTCGCGGAAAGAGAGATTACCTCGAGGCGTGGTGGGACAAGATTAACTGGGATGAGGTGGCGCAATATGCTACGCTGGCGCCGCGCAACACAGGCACCAACCATTTCCAATATCGGTAGCGACATGTGCTGCGGAAGGCTTGTGACGGAAATGTGTATGTATGGTATAGACGTTGTATATCTAAGATATTGTACAAAACTGTATCTACCTATGGATATCAGCAAAAGGAAACAGGAAACGACTCCGGACTTTTTCATTCTCTCTGTGTGATAATATTCAGCCCCACTCCCCCGGTTATCTCTATGAATCAGATTCCACAGCGCGCTGTACCAAGGTTATCCAGAGTTGAGATCGAGTTAAGGGTGATCTGACCAATAAATGGGTATTAACTGGTCCGGTTGTTTAAAAAAGTAGCGCAGGCCCAGCATTTAGCGCTTGTAAATGGCAACTCTAAGACGTAGTGGTGGGTGAACAGGAAAATCATGCAAAGGAAATTGTTCGTATACATGTTAACTGTCATCAGGAATATTTCTATGCAGAATTCGGACAGGTAACCCTTGCTAGAATCAAAGAAAGTATTAAGAAGATATGAATCTCGGTCTAGAATCACACCTCTCTTATGCACACTAGTGTCTCCAGTATATGTAAGCACACCACCTACGTTGTAGATGCGGATGGTTGAAGCTGAAGTACTGTCCGCGAGGTGTCAATTAGATTATTGATATGGTGTTGAAATGAAACAAGCTTGAGTACGGAACCTCAACGTTTTATGAACGAATGCGTCACCGTTGTAGGGAGGCAGTTGTGGAGCGTAAGTTTTGGTGGACACCCAAGGTCTAATTAGGTCAGCGAGACGGTCATATAGGCTTGTGTTGAGGCAGAACGGGACTTTCTTTGTATTGGACAATGAAGGACGGCATGTTGCTGCTATCGACGCCCATTGGTGAAAGTGAAACGATTTCGCTGAAGTAGTGCGTAGGAAGGAGAATATGATTGAGTATAAACATCGAAGGAGGGAGTCAAGTGTATCGAGGGCTTTACCAAGACCCCTATGTAGGAAGGCAATTCATGAGGGGGGTTCTGTGGCTTTGTTCCGCCCCCCTGACACCTCTTGGTAGCGGTCCCTTGTCCGTTTCAATCTATCCCGCCTTCCGCCGATCCTCAGTGCTCCCGGCTGTAACAAACTCAAAGTCTATTAAAGCACGCAGCTTGAAGGCCGGATCGCCAATATTTGGTAAGGTGAAGACGAAGACCAAGGAAACGCAGGATTCATATACCGTCTTGGGCGAAGAAAGGGGATCATCGGCAGCCAGCCAAGGTTGGGGTACATCTGGCACTGTACATCCAGTACATCCAGCAAGCCGGCAAACAAGAGACTTAGAAAGTCTAGGAAGTGCCGGAGCTGCAGCAGGCCGGGTGAAGAACCTGGGCGTCGTCGTGAAGTTTTCCGCACCCCGGTCGCCACACACAGGCTCCAGATACCGCAAAAAGCAACGTACGCATAGCGCCTGCAGGCGTTGCACCAAGGATCGTTTCAAAGCCGCTGCATACCGGCAGATTATTCATGTCATCGTGCAAGGGATGTAATGGGTGTGAGGGTGTGGTACTCCACATTTCGGGCCGGTACATAGAGATACAGATACATATTGAGATCTGGTATTACAAGGACCTGGGCTTTCTGTATTGCGTCTTGGCTTCGCACTTAGTATTGAAACTTTTTGCTTCTTATCATGTACGCAGTACACGCGCACTGTTTAGCAATATGCGAAACCGCATGTTTGTGGCCAATCATGAGCTTTTTCCAAGCCATTTTCCTATTCGTACAATCCGTGGTTGTGATGTTGGATGCGCCCTCTAACGCCTCCCCTCTGCTATAGTAGGATACCTTTTTCCAGATTTGCGAACTGTATTCATTCGCTTGCCTGCAATGCAATTGACCAGACTACACAGCTTGGTGTAGGAGGGATGTGCCCGCCTCATCAAAACCAACTCTTGCCTTCCTTCTTTCTAGCTTCTTTCCGTGCATTCATCTGTGCCGATTATGCAGGGTCAGCGATCGCTCTGATTTAAGTGGATCTAGAGGAGGCGCGGGTAGAGAGGAACAGCCTGGGTCGGGAGATAAGGAGGCGAGCCGCGCTCTTCCCATATCATGTCGTATTAAGATAGCAACATCAATGTACATACCCATTGCACCTTACAGTCTCGATAAGCCCTGTAGATCGCGCGCATAAGTTAGCATGTGAATATATAAATGGTGAGGCGCGCGAGGGGGATATTCAAGGGAATCCTAGGCTGAAACAGTGAAGATGGGATGCAGAGGTTAATGTGAAGGACTGGGCTGGGGCGTTCGTACTGGAAAAAATCAACACACATTTCCCTATCGCCACCGTTGCGGTGCAGACATTTGATGCTCTTCTGTGCGGCGGCTTGACATGGGTCGAAGTATTCACTGTACTGCTTGCTGTTGAAAGCTATCGTGAGTTTTCCAGGTTGCTGGTCAGGCGCAAGGTCAGGGAACAACGCACCTCTCAAACTTGGTGGCGGTCGGCCCGGTCCAGGTCGTTGTTTCTGTCTCTGCCGAATCTTTTTCTCCCATCGTGACCGATGTCGTGTGCCAAAAGGGAGCTGTCACTTGTCAGGTGCATGCAGCTGCATGGAGCGTCGTTGCAAAACACTCTGCTCTCGGAGGAACCCTGAAGGCTCTAGCGGGAGGCCCGTGCAGTGTGACGATGTTATCGATAAGCAAGCGAGGGGCCATGCAGACAGACTGTTGCACGCGAGATCTGCATCTCAAGTGGGGAGCTCGGACCAGGTTTATACGCAGCAGATGAAGACGTTAGTGTTTCAATGTTAGGGACGGACAGTGGAAGCACCGAAGCAGTAATGGAGGGTTGGCTTGGGGATATGCAGGAGCCGTGATTGTTGGGAGCATTGGGAGCAGCGAATTGCCCACCGCTTGAACGCCTTCCCCCGCATCTGCCCTCGTCATGAGAAGGGTTGACGTGGAGATTCGATAAAAGAAAGCTTGCTCTTGGTTCGTCCGCTTTGATGCGGCTCGAGAGCTTCCAGTTTCTTCTGTTCGTTCGCCGTAATTCTGTCAATAATTAGAAACTCTGCTTGCCTTGGTCCTGCCGCTCCAGCACACTACTGCATTCATGCCTTAACGGCGTTATATAATGACAGAATCTGGAACCACGACTGTGGGCGTGGTAGCCAGCGGGAAGTCATCCGATGCAAATCCGTACGAATAGGAACAAAGATGTGGAGGCATGGTGGTTTGGCTGAGGAGGGGCTTTGGACCTTCCAATCGTGATGTCTTATTTCGGCCAATCCGCCTCCGTTCTCGGACTTTCAGCGCGCATCTGAAGCGGTGGTTGGCAAATTATCAATGCTGAGCTGCAGCAAGCAAAAATGGTACCTGTAGACGAACGTAGGAGCAGGCGAGACGCGCAGTTGCTGAGTAGATCGGCGAGCTAGTCATCTATCTGTTCCCAAGCGTGGCTGATAGTCATCGATGTTCAATAACCAATGTGCAGGACCCATTCGAGGGGCTGATGCGCTTCCCCATTTTCAGGCATAAATTCCATTCAACCCCAGGCACTCCGGACGCTCAAGACTCCTTCATGACTCCACTTAGATAACTTCATGTCATGGCACTCTGCTAGCCCTCCACACCTTTCGATTTGCACCTCCACTTTTGATGTACGTGTCTTTATCGCCGCCTGACAGGGCCAATGCTCGTCAACGAATTGAGCGATGAACGTTACTCCAGTGTGTTCGCGACTGTGGCCATGAAGACGCGAATGCCGTATTGACTCCTCAACTTCGACAATTGTCCAGCATTAGCTTTGCCGGGGTGCATCGTGAACGCCTTTGTTGCAATTGCTGCAACAAAGCAGACCAGGACCTGGAATCTCAGGTGACGCAGCCCGTGGATCCCGGGTTTCCGTGAACAGAAACTCTTTCCATCCAGAAACAAAGTTCGTGAAGAAAGCTCCTCATCCCGAAGATTCAGACTGTGGCCGTGCAGAATTCCGCAAATCGATGTGTGAAAGAAAGGAAGTTACCATTCGCACATGCGCTGGTAAGCCCGTGGTGCAGTAGTGATCTGGGCCGACGAGCGTCGATAAGAGCGATAAGATCAGAATCCCCGGTAATGCTCGAAAGCGCGCAACAGCGAGGGTCCTCGATGCTCAGCGAGCCCGTCGATGAACCGAAATCAGCCTGAGATGACCTCGCGCCAATAATAAAACGCAATTCTGGTGTGGAGGGAATCCGACGATGAACGTTGTGGCTAACTTTGCGCCGCCCTGGCGGTAGCAAAAGCCGACTCAATCCGGGGGTACATGTTGTGCCATCAGCTGCGATGCCACGCATCGACAAGAGACTAGATGATCGAGGGCCGAATATAAAAGAGTGAAAGACCACCGTTGCCGCAGTCTCTTCCTACTATCCCTCATCATCGTGAAAGCGATCGAGATATATTTTGCTTGCCTGCTTGCCTTATTAGTTGTTGAATCAGTTCGTGTTTGGGACTTGACCTCACTCTGCCACACAACATCAACATCTCCGCCCACTATCCCTATCCCAGGCCCGGTTGCTCCCATAGGTGAGCTTTCATTCATATTTTCATGCTTTTCCCTACAGTCGTCAATGTTCTTGTAAAAGTGCCTATGGGACTACGATGACCCCTGGTCTCTGTTATCTACCGCAAAATTTCTCTTTGGCCTCGCCCCTCAAATTCTCTGCAACTAGCTCACAGTGGTGACTGCACCCCTATATAATTTTTAGCAACATCACTCTGTTGTGTATCCCATAAATACCTGAACATTTCCTTTCCAGCCTAAACTTCCGCCCGTTTCCTTTTCCTACTCTTTCCATTATTGCTACATCTTAGCATACTCATCTCAACCGTTCTGATGAATTCGAGCTGTAGTCAAGCGCAAAGACTCGATGGCTGCTATCGCTACTCAACGTGCCTCGGCGCTTCCCCGCCCAAACTTCAGGCCTATTATTGAGCATGCCACCATCCAGAAGCCGGCTCAGAAAGTGGTTAAGTTCGACCCGAAGAAGCATCTTGCATACACACCCCCATCTCAGATCGTTATGATGAAGGATATTGGATATCCGGAGGATGTTGGCGTGTCCCCAGTGGCTGTCTCCCAGCCATTCCAGCTCTTCTCTCATGAGGCCATTGAGCATATGAGAATGGAGATCTTCAAACCCGAGGTCACGGAACACTGCAGCTATAGCAGCAACATCGCTGCGTGTCAGCTTCGAGGCTATGCATCGAAGTAAGTATATGACCTAGTATTATTGTTCGAGGCGTATTGGAGTTGACGACGTTTAGGTTTGCTCCATTTACCTATGACGCATGGAACCACCCTGAGACTCTTGCCATTATTTCGAAGATCGCAGGTGTCGAACTCGTGCCAGAAATGGATTATGAAATTGGACACATCAACTTCTCCGTCAAGACAGATGAGCAGACCAAAGAAGAGATCACCGCTATAAACAAGCAGAAACGCTTCTTCGATGAGGACGAGGGTATTGCAGGTTGCCCATGGGAGGACGACAAGCCCGTAGTTGGGTGGCACACAGACAGCTATCCTTTCGTTTGCGTCCTCATGTTAAGTGATTGCACTAACATGGTTGGAGGAGAGACTGCCCTTCGCACAGCGAATGGTGAAGTCCTTAAAGTCCGGGGTCCCCAAGAGGTAAGCTTTCAATCCACTAATGGTATTTAGCAAACCTAATCCACATGTTAGGGCTGTGCGGTTATCTTGCAAGGGCGATACATCACTCATCAAGCCCTGCGTGCTCTTGGTGCGAAAGAGCGAATCACTTCCGTGACTAGCTTCCGCCCTCGATCTCCTTTCATGAAGGACGATTCAGTGCTCACCACTGTTCGACCAATTTCAGATCTCTCAGAGCTTTATTACGATTTTGCGGAGTATCGTTGCGAGATCATAGAAGAGCGGCTTCGGAAGGAGCGCAAGGAGATCATCGCTCGCCGCAGGGCTCGAAAGAAGTTTAACACTCTTGCACACAAGAGATTTCTTGAGGAGTCGATTGCCTTCTTGGAGCACACCAATAGCGAGATTGTCGAGGATAGCAAGGTCATCCCAGGGCACATCAAAGAAGTGAACTATCCAGATGTCGTAGTTGGCGCTCCGGAAGAAGCCCACTCTGCGAAGCGTGCTCGAGTTGAGTAGGAATTGAAAATGATTGTCGCTTCGGATTGTTGCAATGGACACACGCTCTCTTTTTACTCTAGCATTTTGGAAGCTCATACTTTCTTTCTGGTACGTAACATGATAGCATGAGTGCCGTACATGGGTGAGATTTGGTGTACATGGGTGGTGCCGGACGACAATTTGAGGGGTCTGTTGCTTCGGTTGTGCTGTTGGGATGGGGATCGTTTCGGTAGCCAGTGTATGCGAGGTTATTCACACATTACCAGCAAACATGGAACATACAGACTACGAGTGTGAACAGGGACTAGAAGTGCAATGAGTGTATTTGAGCGGACCACAGATGCGTAATCAATGGAGCGGGGAGAAGTGAGAAGCAAGGAAATTCCTGCTACACCCAATTTGGCATTTACCGTTGAGCACGTCAACTGGCCCCGCTTCATGGGCAACTACATCACAATTGAGTCAGGGCCTTTGACGCAGTTGATCAGCAGCACATCCAAAGCCTGAAGTTGACTTACGTTCAGTTGAGACACCTCCCGCGCGCAAAACTGCGATCGGGGGATCGGTTAACAAGGATCAGCAAGGAGATGGGAGGCAGTGGTGAGAAGCAGCTGCAAAGCTCGGCGTGTGGTGGTGAAGCACAGGGCGTAGAATATCTGTAACAAGCGCGAGGGTCACAGTTCTGCGACAATGGCTGGTGAAAGTGCGTTCATCACAATTGCTGGGGACGTGCAGACAAGGCGACAAGATGGGATGCGGTGCTGGTGAATGGAGGAGGAGTGGATTGGTGAAGCGGGAAGGGCAATGGCGCTTATTTCAGTTGGAACCAGGGCCTTAGTCATCGGTAGCCCATCCATGTCGGGCAGAAGCACGGCAACTTCGACCTGCATCCGCTTTCCGTACATTGACAGCCGTCCAGCGTGCCTTCCCGGCTTGGAAGTGCATGCAGGCCGTCCCTTCCTTCTTCTGAATTCGTTTCCATTGCTCTTGTCTATTTCCTGCATCCCTCCAGCATGGACACACGACCGTCGCCAACCCCGCCGGCCGCTGCCCGCCCAAAGAACTCCACCTCGCCCTCGACGCCCTCACAAGTCGCCGGGAGCTCGCAGCAACCAGCGACTATGCCGTCTGGCTCGAAGCCCCCGAGGGGCACCACGCCGGCAGCAAGTCGGTCGGCTATCAAGCTCACCGAAGGCAATAAGCCCGCGCGGCCCTCCAGTAAAGACAGCCTGAAGCAGAAGATGATGAAGAAGCCAGAGGAAGCTCCAAGGCTGAGCAAGTCAGAAGAGGTGGGCTCGTTGTGGAGCACAATGGGACAAAGAAATGTTCGGCTGACCTTTGTGCAGCAACTAAAAGCTTTGAAGTCCGACTTTGACGGCCTCCGCACCCACATTACTTGCAAAATCTGTGATCGACTCCTCTACGAGCCGTACATTATATCATGTGGGCACACGTACTGCTACAGCGTCAGTTCCATGTCTGCAATGCTCTATTCTACGGTCTAATCAATTACAGTGCCTCTGCACTTGGTTTCTGAACAACAAGGCTCGAAAAACTTGCCCGGACTGCCGAACGGTAGTGACCCACCCACCCGCGCCTGCCTATGTCGTGAGTACTTGCAATTATATGCCCACAGTTCAGACACTAATTTGTCAAAACCACCAGATCCGAGAGATGACCCTCATCTTTGTCAACCGCGCAGAGCTCCTTCCCGCGGGAGAAACGCTAGAGCAGCATGCCAAATGGCAGAAAGAAGAGGCAGACGCTGTTCAGCAAGACAAAAACAACACAGATTCGAAGACTGGTGGGCTCTTCAAAGGTTGCTTCCGTTCAAATCGTCCTACCCCCTCCCTCCGGGTGGTCCGGGATCAGGAAGACGGTGTTGATCGGTGCCCAATGTGCTCTTGGGAACTTGAAGACGGGGAATGTGGCCAGTGTGGCCTGACTTTCGACGATAATGGAGAGTTGACCTGGGGCGATAGTTTTGGAGGGTTTAGTGACATGGACGAAACCTCTGAACGAGACATGTCAGGCGAGGACCTCGACCCTGATCTCGATATGGAAGATGGTTATGATGGCTATGACGAGCCTATAGATGGGTGGCAAGACTACCTGGGAGACGAAGGCCCCTTCATGATGCGACGATTCCTCGAAACCGGAATTGCGCCCGGAGCATATGGACGCCGGCGGCGATTGACCCACAGCGAAGCAGGCAGCAGACGGTCATATAGTCAAAGCATCGTCTCAGACATCTACACGGATGAGATGGACACAGTGGAGGAAGAGGATGAAGAAGGCTTAGACGAAGACTCCTCGATGAATGACTTCATTGAGGATGGTGAGTCTGGGCCAGCTACGTCACGCGCTGCTTCATCCACGCCTGCAGAGACTCCACAACCATCGTCTCTTCAGACTGGATCACAGAGGCGGGCTCGTCGCATTGTGGAATCGGAGGCTTCTTCAAGCATCGGCAGTGTTCCCGAGGAGGAAGATGAAGAGGATGAGGGCCCAATTCGCCCAGGCAGGCGCAACATCGCACAGACTCGCATCCTAAATCGAGCAAATGGCGTTCGAAGGCCTATAGCCCCGCCGTCTTCGGCGTCAGAGACATCGCTTGATCAAGACCTCGACGAGGATACGCGCCGCTTGCTCCAATCAGAAGGTTGGATGCTCCAACATGACGGACCAGATGACGATATGGATGAGGATGATGAGGATGATGATAGTGATGGCGGAAGAACGACCGTTGGGTGGGATGCGACCGCGATTTCAAATGACAGAGTCCGAAGGGGCGGTTCTCTAACACCTACTGCAGATCGACCACGGCCTAATGCCCCAATCCGTCCGCCCTCTCGAGTGGGCAATACTCGATTTCCTGACGCATCGCGCGGCCTACGACGACGAAGCTCGGTCCTCTCCTCATCAACAGTCAACTATGAGGACGGGGAAGCCGACGATGACGATTCAGATCTAGATCAAGATGGAGATCTCACAATGGCAGCAATGAACTCTCTACGATATCGCCGCTCCCGTGCTCAGATGCGGCAGTCTGCAGCATTCTCACATCCTAGCAGTCGGTTCGCAAACCGCGGCCTCTCCCAAGGGGATGCCATTGATCTTGACACTGATGACAACTCAGATACTGCTCAACCAACTAGCGGTCGACGTATGGCACCTCGAACGCGCCGGCAAGAATACGATCCCCGAATTAGTTGGATGTTCGCCGACCACCAGCGGGCTCTGCAGGATTATCAAAGGCCAGGCTCTCTTCTCGATCAGGAGCCTCGTTCCACAACACCAATCGCTCGTCCGCGCACTGCAAACAGGAACCGGCCAAGCCCGGCGCAGCCAGTTTCTCCGTTTATGCCTCCCGTACCTTCTCGATTGCGTACTCCTCTAATGAATAACTCTTCAAACCATCCAACTTCGCCCTCTGGACAAACATCTCCACCCAGTCGCGCCGGCATTTTCCAAAACATGCACACAACTGCTGGTTTAGAGAGCCCTCTTAGAGTAGATCGCGCAGCATCTGTCGCCTCGAATAGTACTGCTTCGAGTGCCATTAATACCCCTTCTTCCAGCATCACTTCACTGCCATCTGCCAATACCATTTCCCAGGCGCAGGCTAACGCAGCTGTTGATATGATTGACCGGCCCCCAAGCAGGGTTGGCGCGCGGCCCCCGTCCGCAAACGGACGACGAAACTCAACCGGGTTCTCTCCTGTATATCCTGGGTTTCCCCATCCTAACGTGGGGCTCAACATTGGCGGTCGTATTTTCCAACCTCCCCGGCTGGGAAACCCCTGGGGCGCTTTTGTCCAACCTGGTGGTGTGAGGACGCGTAGTTCACGAGCGCAGTTGAGGGAGCAAACATCAACTGCTACGCTAAGGGCTGTCAACTCGCGGGCGAATATAAGAGATGTGGTCAATCCATCCCAGGGCATGAGATCACCACCATCTCGAATCGATCTGCGAGCCCAGCCGTCACGCCGCCGTTTGAACAATCAATCTTCGACTCGCACACTTCGAGCGAGTGAGCATGCTCGACCTCCCCAGTCACCTACTGCAAATACGGGGTCTGCTACATCTCCTGTCGCCCGTCCAGCTAGATTCACACCAGATGAGCGGGATACCCTTGCCCGTGAGCTCATCAACAACAGGATGCGTGCGCTTGGGGGGACATACCAAACACGTCCTACTCCAGTACGCACAAATCCCTGGCGGCCCAGCACGTCCCCAGAAGCTGTACCTGTAAACGCCGGACCAGTTGCACCTCAGCACATCAGAAGCAACTCTAATGAGTCCATGGCCTCTATCGGCTCGTCTGGAACCGCCAGCGGTGCTCCTCCCTCCCCAAATTTAAACCGACGTCGAAGCAGGCGTGACATATCAGTTGCTACAGCCTCGGCTTTCCCCATCTCGCAAGCCACTTTCTCTCCACCAGCAAATACCTATACGAACAGCTACCTCCGAACCCGGCAAGGTTCTCTCACAGGAGGCAGTCCAGCCTACGAGTCACCAATCAACACCAACACTAGGGGGTTGAGCCCTATGGTCGCTGCTGGAAACAGTGGTCTTCTCTGAATACATTTCCCATAACCACCATACCCTCTTTCCTTTACCTTTCATTTTGGATCTTGGAGTCATGGCTGAGCAAATGATACCGGATCGCATAGGCGGCATTCATGAATGTATACGACCCCTCATTCTGTTCCCTGTTCTCTGGCATTCGTGGCATTAAAATGGGTGGGGGCATTTTGTATGGGCGTTTATTGTTTTTTGTGGCATTGCGCTTATACCAATTGGCATGGCTTTCTGGCTGAACGGAAGTACTTTCTGGACGGGCTTGGGATGGGTGGGTTTTATTGGGACGGGCATATCTTAGGTAGCTTACTTATAGCCGGTGGTGGCCGTTTCCACTGGAGTTTAGAGGAATATATCAAGTTTCTGGGTAAATTTTTATTCCTTTGTTGACGCCTAGTTTTCAGCTATCATGGAGCGCGAAAAGCCAGTTAGAGCAGAGCTCTCCAGCCTTTGCTTCCAGGCCTGTCAAGTCCTAGATGGTCGCACAATTGACCCATGTGGTCAACGCCCCAGTACGCTTCTGTCTCGCCTTTGGAATTCGTGGCTATATCACCAAGTCAGCTTCATTATTCCTTCCCCTTCACTAATGCCCCCAACCCCCCTCAAAGCCAAGTAAATCCAGAAAGACTCACCAACAAACCAAGGCAACCCAAACGCCCCCTCCTGAAAGGCCTTGTCCGTATTCGCAATCAACTGCTTCTTAATCTCGTCCGTCGTACTCCGCTCTACAATTTTCTTGGCCTCGGCTTCGGAGCCCACGATCGTCTTTATGATGTCGAGTAGATTTTCGGGAGATGTTGGTGTGTTGTAGTGAACCCAGAAGTTTTGGTAGAAGAGGGAGAGGGCGTGCGGGAGAGAGGAGGGGTGGGAGAGGGATAGAGAGGTTAGGACGCGCTGGATCTGTGGAGTGTGGAGTTAGTTTGAGTGTTTGGAATTTGAGGGAAATAGAGGGGGATAATTACAGAGATTGTATTGATTGGAAAGCCGGGGGGGACTTCATCCGAGATGGGGACATTGAGAAGCTTACACCAGCGCTTCCGTTCGGTGTTAATCCATTTGTCCTTGTCTGGGAGTGGGGTGTTGTTAGTGGGGCTGAAGTAAATGTAAACAGGAATGTTGAAATGTTTGTAGCGAGGTCCAAGCAAAAATAAAAACAGAAGCGTAAGATGTGTAGTGCAAACTCAAGATTCCAATTCAAGGGCGTCCGTCGGGCGTGTAAGAAACCTGAAAGCCGCTGGTGCTGTTCAAACTCTCTAACCTCTTTTGTATAAATGTACCATCCAACTATAAGAAACACGCTAGAAGGCATAATCCCGGATCATACACAAACAAAGAAAATAGACCAAGTCTTACTCTTAACTTGCAACGGTGGGGCATTTCCACACCTCTTCATCAATCCGCCCAAAAAGATCGGTATATACGTGATCTCGCATTGTTTAAACACAGGGAAGTTCTACTATTGGGTTAGCTGCCCCTCTCGCACTAGGATATCTCCGGGGGAATCTCTGTGTGTGCACGTGCGTTCTCATTCCTAGCTGCTAGAGGTGCGTGCATATAAGGTAGTTGGATTAGGGGAATTCCTTAGAGTTTGGGGCGGGAAGAGTTTGACAGAGCGGAGGGTGCTATTCCGCAAGCATCTGGCAAGATCCCGAATAAGAAACACAAACACAGGAACACAGTGTAAGAATCCCATCCCAGACTCTCCACGCGTTAACAAATCGACGCCAAAATGACGAGCTCGGCAACGCACGAATTACAACTGTAAAAGGGCAACGTACCTGCAGCGCATAAAACCCAATATAGGCAAACGGAGACACAATGTCAACGAAAAGGGTAATCTTAGGTTTTGACATTGTGCTTAATGAGCTTGACTAGTGAACAAGAAGTTTCTAGATATAGAAATGTGGGGAGTTTAGGTTAGGAATATAAAGACTGGTGAGGTTGATGTTGAGTGATCATTTAAATCTGGAGCTTGGGAGGTCCGAACAGCCGAGGCAGATCCGTAGGGCGGGGATTTGAGCTGAAGCTCTTTCGCAGGCCTTACCTGAACTTGGCATTTTTATTGTTAGCTACTCTGGCAGCACCGAGGTCTATTTTGCTGTCTGCGTAGTACCTCTCTTGAGTGGTCTCCACATTTCATGACTGCTCCAAATGGATGATCTGAGCTACTGAAGTGGGGACGCCACCCTTCATACTTCATTCTATCTTAACAAATACGAGTAGCTATCCAAGAGTCCACTCAGCGATTCCTTACACGCTTGCAAAAATTTGAAGCCTTCTCGTTCACGCTGTGCCAAGTACCTGTCCTCGTTAATATAGTTCCAGTTCAAATGCGAATCTCGACTCTTAGAGCTTCTTTCTACACGGTATGCACTGGAGCCATATGCTGCTTCTCCGTGAAAATTCTGTTAATCACGTAGATTTATGCATCAAATGAGGCCTGAGGACCGCTATGCTTTCCCTCTACCCTTAGCATTTGTGCTGATCCCACGCCTCTTCTCCCACACCTGCACATAGCTCTCTTTTGTGAATAGCGTTTCCCCTCGCTCCCTCTCAACGAAGAGGTCTTGGATCCCCCACCACTCATCTCGACTCCGATCTCGCAGCTGCACTCTCCAGACTTTGGTCTCCTGTTCTCCTTCCACAGAGTCATCCTTCTTTTTCACTGCTTCGTGAGTAATGTTGGCCACTAAGTCGTACCAGACGGGCTCCCCTGTCGGGTAGAGCACCGGGTTTGGTTCCACGTAAGCCGACATGTCGAGGGAGCGGGTCGGGAAAGTGACGATGGTGGGATTACGCTCCGAGACGAACTTGTTTTTGCTGAAGCGCTTGATATGGAAGAGGAGATACGGGGGAAGCGGATGTTGGAGCCGATATCGGACACGGTTCTTCATCTTCTCTTGTGGCTGCACACCGTTGTACTTGTTGAGGATACTCGTGAGAGGTACCTGTGGAATAATGTTCCTCTCCAAGGCATCCTGGAAGAGCGGCGCAGCTGGTAAGTCTAATGTGAGGATCAAGAATTTAGTGATCTCCGTCTTCACAGCTGCATCTTCGAAGCGCAAGCGATCACCAGCATCTGCGCGTGCGGTAATTTCTTGTGACTCAATTTTGAGCGTGCCTTGGAAGACACGCTGCACAATGCTGCTGTTCGGTTTTGTTCTTGAACCTCCGACGGCGAGATGCAGGTTGTTCAGAAACCAGGAGAGAAAGTCGACTGGATCGGACTGGTCGGTCAGAGTAAATCGCTTGGACGACCGTAGGGCGATGTCCTGCAGGAGTTCATGTGGTGAGACGTGGCTCTTGAACGCCCGCGGATTCCACATCTTGCGCACCAGTGTACTAAACCGTTGAGCAAGTTGAGGCCGTGCGGATAGGTCTTCTAGCATAAAGTAATTACGCAGCGGGACGACATGCGCCAGTGCCTGAATCACAACATTAAAGTAGTCGTTCGCCTTGATGTTGTTCATGCCAACGAAACCTGGTACATAGTCCCGATTTAGAAGGTCCCAACAGATTTTTTGCTCCTTGTCCAGCCGTGCTACCTCGTCTCGGCTCATTCGGGGGTCGACGACAAATTTAATGTCATCCAACGACTTCGACATGACCTCATAGCCCTCTGGAAGTACATAAACCTTCTTTGTTTCCATGTTGACGAAGACGTGGTGGCCTTCCTCGAGCGCGTGGAAGTAGGCTTGTGATTTATGTCCTCGGCCCTGGTAGTATTTTCCGCAGACGAGACAGGCATAGACATTGATGTTCGACAACGTCACGGAGCAGAGCTTCTCAAAGTCGAAGTCTAGGACTTTGCGATCTATGGTGTCGAGGTAGAGGTCGGTGTATCCTTCTGTCGGTGCTGCCTGCCGTTTTGGTGCCTCGAAAGCGCTGGCCTCCCCATCTTCCTCTGCGTCCAGTGTTGCGCCAGCTTCTTCCAATTCCTCATGTTCTTCCTCATATGCGCCGATAATGTCTATTCTTTCGCGGTCCTGAGGGCGTGGAGACATGAGGTGTCCATTGCTGCTTGCGCCGTTGACAGGCTCTGGGCTTTGTAGATCGTCTTCCATGCGTGAACGTTTGGAAGCTGGAGAAGGGGCATCCATGATATCCTCAAGTGGTTCTAGCGCACGCCGTTTTGCCATGATGAGGCTGCGGAGGAGAAATTGGGTGGTGGTGTTGGGAGCTCTGCCCATTGTCGAGCTCGAATGAAAGTTGTAGGTCTTGGCGTGTATTCACCCGAGCTTCTGCCGATCGTGGAGGGCGCGCCTGCAAACACTGCAAACAAGCTTGCTCAACTTCGAAATTTCGAAAAGTCGCGTCGCCAGGCACCACAAACCCAACAACATAGACCTCTTTGCAGATACCCCCTCTCGGCTGTTCTGTTTCTGGTTGATAATGGTAAGACTATCCACACCTTCACTTCACTATCTGTCCTGCTAATATTCGTCCAGTCGTACAATAATCCGACCCAGATCTTTGCGGAGGATGTAACGGAAGAAAAGGGTGAAAATGCGCGCCTCTCTGCTTTCGTTGGCGCAATCGCCGTGGGGGACTTGGTGAAGAGCACCCTCGGTCCAAAAGGAATGGATAAGATATTACAGTCTGCGTAAGTACAACTTGGAGCCTCTCTGGAGCATGTTTTAATGATTCCCCCAAGTTCAACCGGTGAAATCATGGTCACGAACGACGGTGCTACTATCCTGAAATCGATTGCCTTGGATAACGCCGCCGCAAAAGTGCTCGTCAACATATCCAAAGTTCAAGACGACGAAGTCGGCGACGGGACCACATCAGTTACGGTACTAGCTGCGGAGCTTCTCCGAGAGGCAGAGAGGCTTGTGGATCAGAAGATACACCCACAGACAATCATCGAGGGCTACAGGATAGCAAGTCATGCTGCTCTGCAGGCTTTGGAGAAGGTCGCGGTGGACAACAGCAACGATGAACCCGCTTTCCGAAAAGACCTCGACGCTATCGCCCGAACGACACTGAGCTCTAAAGTCCTCAGCCAGGACAGGACACACTTTGCGAAGCTGGCCACAGATGCCGTGCTCAGGATGCAGGGTTCCACGGACCTCACACACATTCAGATCATCAAGAAAGCCGGAGGAAAGCTCAAGGACTCATACCTAGATGAGGGTTTCATCTTGGACAAGAAGTTTGGCGTCAACCAGCCCAAGCGGATAGAGAATGCCAAAATCTTGGTTGCAAATACGGCAATGGATACGGACAAGATCAAGATATTCGGCGCAAGGGTAAAGGTAGATTCTACCGGAAAGCTAGCTGAGCTGGAGAAGGCGGAGCGGGAGAAGATGCGGGCTAAGGTCGAGCGCATCAAGGCACATGGCATAAATTGCTTCGTGAACCGACAATTAATCTACAACTGGCCCGAGCAGCTGTTCGCGGACGCTGGCATCTGCTCTATTGAGCATGCTGATTTTGACGGTGTCGAGCGGTTAGCACTTGTCACCGGAGGGGAGATCACATCGACGTTCGACCATCCTGAGAACGTCAAGCTCGGTCACTGCGATCTTATCGAAGAGGTGATCATTGGCGAGGACACGCTGATCAAGTTCTCCGGCGTTGCGGCTGGCAAAGCATGCACCATCGTTCTACGTGGAGCCACCGAACAGCTTCTCGACGAAGCTGAGCGGTCACTCCACGATGCTTTGGCTGTCCTTTCCCAGACGGTCAAGGAGCCCAGGACGACCCTCGGTGGCGGCTGTGCTGAGATGGTCATGGCAAAGGCTGTTGCAGAGGCGGCACAGAATGTGGCAGGCAAGAAGGCTATAGCGGTTGAGTCCTTCGCGAAGGCACTGCAACAGCTACCGACTATCCTTGCAGACAATGCAGGCTTTGATTCAAGCGATCTGGTCACGCGACTCCGCAAAGCCGTCTACTCCGGCTTGACGAGCTCGGGACTAGACCTCTCAACTCCCGGCGGCGGCATTACCGACATGAGGCAGCTGGGGGTCATAGAGAGCTACAAGCTGAAGCGCGCGGTTGTTTCCTCGGCATCTGAGGCGGCGGAGGTACGTGTACTTCCTATTCGCGATCTCATATCGAAACAAGAACTAATTTTCCACAGTTACTGCTTCGGGTAGACAACATTATTCGGAGTGCGCCGAGGAGGCGGGAGCGGATGTAAGAGAGGTGATACAGCCACCTCGGACAAGCATGATGCTGCAACGGCACCTGCACTAGATAGATGTACACTACAACAGTGATATCAATGCCGTGAGCGAGCTTGTCGTGCATTCATTCCAATTGATAAAGTTGCAGTGAGATTGTGCAAGCAGTCAGCGGTCAAGTCAGCATTGCGACCACCACCCAGGAAATCTCTCCAGGTTTTTCTTCTTTGGGGTCCGGGAGGATGCAGAGGATGGCGGATGCATGCAGGGCGCTGGTGGTGAGAGGTGAAGCTGACGACTGGCGGGGGTGTGGAATATGAGTTTCAACGGATGCAGGTCCTTGCTTTTTCACAGTTCTGGCCATTGAATCTACCGGTTAGCGAATGGCAGGCTGCTCCGGCTGCGTTTCATCTGGTGGCTCTGTTGGTCAGAGAAAGCCGTTTCCTTGAAGTTCGAGTAGCTTCGATGGGGGGGGGGTGTACTGGACTAGATCGGGGGCCTGATCAAGCGAGACGTTGGGATAGATTGCTAGTCGTCACCTGTGGAGCACAAGGACGCCAGCTTAGGATCATATCGACGATAGTGGCATCAGTAACGCGGCGCGCCAGGAAGATGCAGTCCTTCTGCGACGCGGCAATGACCAGCGAAGCCATTATAGGGAAGCATGTACACGCTGCATCGGGACTGTTGCTGATGTTGAGCCCACTGCAGTGATGGGATCCGCTTTGTGCCTGCTGCAGTACCAAGGGAGAAGGAACCACAGCCGGTCGCACAAAATTCTCCACCCCTCCCACACTTTGATGTCGTGAAGTTGAACTCCCTCCTAGACAGCCAGCACAACCAGCACAGCCAACACAGCCGGCACAACCCATCCATCCCCACCCATCGCACTTGCTGTCATCAACAAATCTCCAACATTATTTTCGGTCGCAAAGAGTGATCAGCCTTACGATCCGCCAAGGGCCTAAACTCAGAAAATCACTGGAGAGGCGGCGGGCCGAATTTAAGCGGCTGGGGGTGGTTGGCTGATCCCAGGACCCTGTGCCCCTTGACGCCTTGACGCACTCCCTCAGCTCTAGGGCTTCCAAGCCCTCCCCCACCGTAATCGTGTCTAATAACGAAAATCTCACCTCACGGCTTTCCGCCGCCCTCACCTCCTCCCTCTCCACCGGCCAACACCCTCTCCTTGATCGCGTCGCTAATGCTTCATCTCCTCCCATCATCAGGCCTGGAACAGGCTTCGACTCTCAAATCATAGACCAACAACCGACAATGCCGCGTCGCCGGCCGCCTGGTGCTGGCCCCGGCTTGAGCACCTCGCTGCTCCTGACCCTCCTCGTCCTGCCATGGGTCACGTCGACGGCCGCTCAGCAGCAGCAGCCGCCGCTCAATGTCAACCGAAGATCTCCCCGCCAGGAGGCTCGCGTCGACACCATCATACCCGAACGGCCCGCACAGCCCGATCAGGGACGGCCCGAAAATGCCACAAAGCGCAGTCGACACACCCCGATTATAGCCCAGAATGAGCGCGCCGTAGCAACACATATCTCCTCGGCTCCAGCGGTCTCCGCTGTTAGAGCACCTCCTACCGGGAACGCTGCCCCCTCGTCGGGTGGTCTTACGCGACCGAGTGCGCGCTCCCTGAAGGATTGGGAAGTTGAGGACTTTGTTCTGTTGGCGACCGTCGATGGACACTTACACGCAAGAGACAGATACAATGGATTAGAGATATGGGAACTTGATGCCGCAAGACCCATGGTGGAGACGATATACCATAACCAGAGCGATTCGAACATGGACAACAGCCCAAACAGCAAGCCTTTCATCTGGATCGTGGAGCCGAAAGAGGACGGGGCTCTCTATATTCTCAGTCCCGGCCCGTACCCGACGCTTCAATCCCTCGGCATGACGATCAAGCAATTGGCCGAGGAATTGTCTCCGTGGAGCAGCACCGAACACCCAATTGTGTACACGGCAGAGAAGAAGAACGTCATGATGGTGGTCGACGCTCGCACCGGCCGCGTACTCAGACGATTCAGCTCCGGCGGATCCACCTTCATCGATACCGAGAGCTGTGAGCCCCAACCGACCGATTTTGTTGGCTCCAAGGGCAGCGAATGTAGAGGCATCTTCAATCTTGGAATGACCGAGTATATCATCAGTATACACAACTCTCAGACCACTGCCAACATTTGCACAATCAAATATTTCGAATGGACCCCGAACAATCGCGATCGGGACCTCCATAGCCAGTACTCAGAAACAATGGACAATCAATACATATACAGTAGTTATGATGGGTGGGCTATTGCGTACGACCACAACAGGCCTAAGAGGATCGTCTCGCAGCGGCCGGTATTTGAGAGACCATTCTCTTCCCCAGTGGTCAGGGTCTTTGATGTTGCAAGACCACAGGATGACGACAACCCCGAGCCCGCTCTAATCCTCCTCCCACAGCCTCCGGGGCCCGCAAGTCAAGAAGACAAAGCAAAGCAAGTTTGGCTTAATACCACTGAGGCAGGCAGCTGGTACGCCATGTCCGAGGCCAATTACCCAACCGTAACCGACAGGGCTCCTCAAGCCCTTTGTTATAACCCCGAATGGAGCAATGAAGCTTTGGGTTGGGACGGTGAACACTACCTTCCGGACAGGGTGAGTTTGGTGGGAGTACACTCTCTCGATTATAAATTGCAACCTTCCCGTCGCCCTGATCTACCAGGTATCGATGCCCCTGATGAAACAGAAGAACCATTCGTTCCACAAGCCCCAGCAAAAGAAGACCCTGAAGTGAGGGAACCAACCATTATCGAATCTCAGTCTCAGAAAATGTGGGGCATCTTGATCACTTTTCTACTGGTTATTTTGACTGGTGTCGGCGGATATCAGTTAGGAGGACAGCCAAAGAGGGTTGAAGCTCTCAAGAAGAGCATATTGTTGAGGATTGTGAAGGGTAAGAAGTACGAGGCTCCCTTGTCACCGACTCCCGCTCCGAGCCGATCCGATCCTCCTATCGTCGAGGACAAGCCTGTCAGCCTGCCGCCGGTGGATGTGACCGAACCCTTCACTTCTGCGGAACAGGCCCCTGCACTAGAGGCTATTGATACCAAACATGAAGGGCGGAGAGTTAAATTTGATCTTCCGGACGATGAAGATACCGAGCTTGAGCCACTGTCAAGGACCACTACCGCAGAGCAGCTTTCGCCTGTCGGCGATGATATGGAGTCAAGCGCCATATTAAATGAAACTGCCAATCCCAACCAACTGCCACCATCGACAGCTGAGGGTGATGCTCAAGGGCAAGTGTCTACTCCCACTGCTCCGGTCAAGAAGAAGAAGACGCACAGAGGGAAACGAGGCGGAGCATCAAAGAAGATCAAGAAGCTCAAGGATGAGGATGAAGTTGATCGTATCGTAGACGCAGCGAAACAGCTTGACCAGACTCCTTCCCTTCATCCCGATGAGGTTACGATGAATGGCGATGATGTTCAAGATGTTTCTAACATCAAAAAGATTGGCAAATTGACCATAGACTTTGACACGGTTCTTGGAAACGGTAGCGGAGGAACCTTTGTATTTGCGGGAAAATGGAATGTGAGTAGTCAACTGAAATCCAACCTCTGCGAGATGATTGTTGCTGACTTGCATCCAAGGAGCGTGAAGTCGCTGTCAAGCGAATGCTGCCGCAGTATTTTGGACTCGCGGAGCAAGAAGTGAAACTTCTCCAAGAAAGCGACCTCCACCCGAACGTCATCAGATACTTTGATGATGAGAAGGATGAAAATTTCCTATATATTGCCGTCGAGATTTGCCAGGCAAGTCTGTGGGACCTCTATCGAGATGGCAGACCAGGTGAAGAGCTCAGTGATATTCAACAGCGATTGGTCAATGAGATCAATTGCGATGTTCCCAGAGCTTTGTATCAACTCGCGCTTGGTCTCAACCATCTCCACAGCTTAAGGATCATTCACCGCGACATTAAGCCACAAAACATCCTGATAGCATACCCGAAACGTAACCAAGAGAAGGGACCTCGCCTTGTTATTTCTGACTTCGGCCTCTGCAAGACTCTTCCCGACAACGTTAGCACATTGATCGGAACAACGGGAAATGCTGGCACTGTCGGATGGAAAGCACCAGAATTAATCCTCCAACCAAGGGACAATGAAAGGAACAGCTCGACCGGTCACTCCCGAGAGTCTTCCAGCTCTAGTGAAGCTGTCTCTCAAGGGGTCAAACGCGCAGTTGACATATTCTCTCTTGGTTGCGTCTTCTTCTACGTCCTTACCAATGGCTCCCACCCCTTTGACGATGACGAAGGCTGGATGCAAATCCGCGAGCTCAATATCAAGAAGAACAAACCCAACTTCAAACAGCTCAGTCTTGGTGACGATTCCGAAGAACCCATCCACCTCATATCCTGGATGTTAGCCAACCGACCAGAAGACCGTCCCACGGCCATCCAAGTAATGAACCACCCATTCTTCTGGTCCGCGGAAAAACGCCTCAACTTCCTCTGTGACTGTTCCGACCACTGGGAACGTGAAATCCGCACCCCGCCCTCCGACCACCTCAACAACCTCGAACAATTCAGCTACACCGTGCTCGACAAGAAGCGAAACTTCCTCGCTAAGCTCGACCACGGCTTCATCAACTCGCTCGGTAAACAGCGGAAGTATACCGGCGATAAGATGTTGGATTTGCTGCGAGCGCTGAGGAATAAGAAAAATCACTACGAAGATATGGAGGATAGTGTTAAGTTGAAGGTTGGTCCGCTGCCACATGGCTATTTGAGGTATTGGTCGACGAAGTTTCCAAAGCTAGTTATGGCGTGTTATGAATGTGTGGGACAGTGTGGGTTGCAGGCAGAGCCGAGGTTTAGACCATATTTTGAGGGGATGAATGGAGCGTAGAGGGCTGGAGTAGAATTATGGAGGCGGTTGTGATTGCGGTTATATTTGTCGCTGCATGTTATGAGGTGGATGCACATCGCACCGTCGAGAAACTACAAAGGACGATAGGGCTCAGACTACACACGTCTGTCTTGCGCTCACGCAATCTCAAATCTCAACCGCCGCGAACCGCAGCATGTTGCTCTTCCAACACCATCCTCAAGAGATACTCGAGGAGGATTGAGAGAGCCTATATCGGTGGAGTCGGCGTTCAGAAATACTGTGCTTCTTATGGTCGTTTCACGGTGGTTTCTACCTGTGCTTTTGCCGTGGGTTTGCTCCGTGTGCGCTGTGTTGTTTTACGTAGTTCACCTGCTCGAGACTTAGTTATTGAACTTCTTTGATTTATAAATGTGTGCCGTATCGCCCTTGGTGCAATTCATGTTTGCTCACGAAACAAATTTCTTATATTTTGACCAGTCTCTGAGCGATCTATTTTTGTTTAGAGAGGCAAAGGGATCGCAAAATATGTGTAATTGACGACATCTGGTAGGTTCCTTTAGTTGGGTATGAGAATGTAGGCTGAAGTATAGTGCTATGTAGCACTCTGTTAGCGTGTTTGGTGGTTTGGGGGGGGGGGGGGGGGGGGGGGGGGGGGATCTTCCTAAGGAATGGGGAAATGAAGGTAGGTGTGGTTGTGACTGGTGAGGAAAATATATAGTAACGTCTGTCGTAATTTACGAGTTTAAGAGGGGGTAATTTCCATGGGATTCGGAGAATGGGAAATAAAATATAGTATAGTGTTAACAGAGATGGGGATTGAAGACTCGAATATTTAACGGCTTTGTTGTTAGACTGGATGTGAGTTTTGAGTTCTTTATTAAGTTGGTGATAGAGAGGGAGTCTCCATTTAATGAGAGGCTTCGCAGCCTATTGTCCTTCTTGAGCGGCTACACCCGTATATTCTGACATATTATGCATGCTCATATAGCCAAAGCATGTGTCTTCTGCTATTCAACTCCATTCCATTCAAGCCTCCAAACGCTCTAATATTATCTCTGCACCGCGCTCGTTTCCAAATCCTCTAACGACGCCCGCGCTAGCCCAGGCCTCTGCTTCATCAGCAACGTAACACGCTCTTCAAACGCTTTGATCATATGTTCCGCCACCTTCGGCGCCACGCCTGCGCTTAGCGTCGAGTACAATGGGTTTGCAAAGGCAAATTCAAGACTCAATCGGACTTCTGTCTTCTCGGTTGAAGACCCTGCGTCCTTAGGAACGGGATTGATTGTCCAGCGGCTTGACAGATGGGTTAATAACCCTTCGCTATTACGTGCAGATGCCGTTGTAGTTGTGGTTTCCTTAGCCCCGCTATTACTTCCACTCAGATGATGCGCGATATCATTTCTATCCAGCGCACTTTCCGTAACGCCCCCAACCGACTCGACAATCCGCCCCGGCACGCAGAATATCCGCGAAGTAAAGCTCTCCGTAATACTACCCCAACCAACCGTGAGCCGAGCCTCAGACGGCCATTTCCTGTTGTATGTGCTATCGGGATCAGACCATTTTGTAACAGCACTAGATTGGCAGTATGGCAGGAAGGACGCATATGAGGGGACGTCTGAGATTATGTTGTATATTGGGGCCAAGGGATAGGGTAGCGTTCGGGTTGCGGTGAGGGTTTGATAGCTTGATGGAGAGGAGGGGTTTAGGGGGTTTAGAGCATCGAAGGGGTTTGGGAGGAATGCTCGTCGGTGGGGTTTCAGGATGGCGTAGGGCCTGGGGCTGTGGAGGAATGGCCGGAGGGATTTAATGGTTGCCATTGTGAGAAGTTGGGATAACTAGCGGTGTGTAAAACTAGGGAAGGTCAGAGTAAAGTAATTGTCCCGTTGGTATCATGGTTGGGACCCAGAGATTGAGGAATGAAGCGGGAGTGAAACAGTCGTCATAATTCCGAAGTCGAGCAGGGCTAAGCTTTGCGGCTCTTGCGACAGGGTTCAAGGATCAGCGAGCCATTCCTTTTCTGTACTAGTGTTTCTGAGCTTATCGATAGCGAAATTATTTCCCCGCGATCCCCCCTCTGCGGCTTCTCAATTTAACTCTGGACATTTTCGCCCTTTGCTACCTGCAAAAATGGACGCTACAACGGCGCCATCTCGGTTTGACACCAATAACTCGGTCACCAGTAAAAAGCAACCTCGTTCACAGCTCTCAAAAGCCATGGAACACATGCGCTTCGCTGTCACCGTCGATCCTATTCCTAAACGTCCCTCCGACACACCCACAGCTCCCCTCCCAACCTCAAGTCCCACTCCCACCACTACCGCAGAGCCCGAATCGGACGCCTATGGCGTCCCCGCTTCCTACGCTCCTCTCCGCAAACCACCACATCGATCACACTCCCCAACCAACAACCAGAAAAGGACCGATCCATTCGCCTTTGGATCCCGGTACCTCGAAGAAGGCGACGACATCTTTGAATTCAACGCCTGGGACCACGTCGAAACTGACCCCGCCTATCTCGCCTTCTCTGAAGAACAATACTCGCGCCAGCGCCTTGACCCTGTCTCTGACTATGACAAACAGCGCTTCAACTCCAATCCCGAGAAATGGTGGAACCTCTTCTATAAAAACAACAAATCCAACTTCTTCAAAAACAGAAAGTGGCTGGCGCAGGAATTTCCGGTGCTGGATGAAGTCACGAAGGAGGATGCGGGAGAGGTGAGGCTTTTGGAGGTTGGGGCTGGGGCCGGCAATTCGGCGTTCCCGATATTGCAGAAGAACGAGAATGAGAGGTTGAGGATGCATGCGTGTGATTTTTCGAGGAAGGCGGTGGATTTGATTAGGGAGAATGAGCTTTATAATCCGCGGTTCATACAGGCAGATGTCTGGGATGTTGCGTCGTCGCCGGATTCGGAGAATGCAGGGCTCCCGCCCGGGATTGAGGAGGGCAGCGTCGATGTCGTGCTCATGGTGTTCATCTTCTCAGCGCTAGAACCGAAGCAGTGGAGTCAGGCGGTGAGGAACATCTGGAGGGTGCTGAAACCCGGTGGGCAAGTGTTATTTCGCGATTATGGGAAGGGCGATTTGGCTCAGGTGCGTTTTAAGAAGGGTAGGTATATGGAGGAAAATTTCTACGTCAGGGGTGATGGGACGAGAGTCTATTTCTTCGAGAGGCAGGAGTTAGAGGGGATTTGGGGTGGGAGGTGGCGGACAGAGACTGTGGAGGGAAACAATGATGATGAAGACGGGCGGCAACGAGAGTCTTCAGAGCCAGACGAAGAGAGTCTGCGAGTATCTCCGGGACAAGAAATGACGAACCCACCAACCCCAGCCTTCGAGATTGTACACTTCGGAGTCGATCGCCGCATGCTTGTGAATCGACAACGCAGACTCAAAATGTATCGCTGCTGGATGCAAGCAGTGTTCCGCAAGCCTGGGTCTGGGAGTGGGGTACCAACAAGTACAATACGGCAGGAGAAGGCAACCCCAGAAGAATCCGAACAGAAGGAATGAATAGAAGTTAAGAACAGTAGGACACGCGGTGCGGATTTTCCGCATTTCAAGTTGTGATTTTTGGTATCGAGAGCGCATTTCCACAAATATAGATCAGAGTAAAAGAATAGATATTTGCAGCATGTAAGCAAGTCATTTGATATTTGTAGACGAGTCCTTTTCGGTTTTCGTGTTATTGATGCGGGCGATTTGATTGTAGCTTTCCGTTTCTGGCCAAGTCAATCCTTCTGTCTTTGGGCTCCGTCTTCATCGTTGTGTTTTTTCGCCTTTGGGACGTTCTTTATCATTACTTTATTCTTCATCGTTGTGTTGTTCTTCGCCGTCGTGTCTTCGAGGCTGCGTTGTACTTCATCTTTTCGTTGTTCGTTATCATTGTGTTCCCCAGAATGGCCTTGTCGGTCATTGTTCTAAAAAGTGTACTCCCTAGAATTGTTACTTGAGGTTTTTGAGGTCCCCTGCTCTTCTCCCCTCTCCTACTTCACTTCCTTCCCAATGCTCAGAGGGAGAGATTAAAGAGCCCTAACCGTCTTTGGTGTTTGCCTAGGTAGCTGCGAAGTTTCTTAGGTGAAGGCATTAGTTCGTTATGCAATTGAAACTCCCTATCATTACTCATGGGCACCTGCATCCCGGAGTCAGCATCGTATTCCATAGCTTCCGAGGCAGTGTCGAACGGACTTTCCAGAAGTGAGGAGGTGATCGTGCTCAGTAGGCGATCTTCTGCCTGTGCATCCAGCTCTTCTGGTAAGTCCGCTTAGGTGTAATTGCTATGGCCATCTATCTCATACTCCAACTTTCGTTGGTGACCCCCACAACAGCATTCCCCCATCGCAGCACCAGGAATTCTTCGGCCGCTAGGAACTTATCCCCAACGTGATCATTGTGAAGAGGCGCAAATGCCGACTTATCGACACAAACTACATGTGCGAATTTACCATGGATCACCGATTATCGAGTAGTCATAGAGAACCTCGGGAGACAAGTGGTCCCATTATCAAGATTCATCAGGGCAAGCGTGCGTTTATAAATTCATCGTCACCCAGACTCATTCTCACATCACCTAAGAGAACAAGAACTCCGCCCTTCGAATGTATGGCTTCGCGGAGCTTGCAACTTAGGGAGCTTGAACTTCCATCAATTTTGTGGGCTCCAAAATTTCCTCTGATTTATCCAAGGACTGAAAGGGCTCAAGACTTGACTGCCTGTATCGCAATAGCCATGGCTGCCCGCCTCCAATATTTAAATAAAGGGACTTGAGACGTGAATTTTGGGTATCCAATGTTTCTACTCTCGTAAGGGCTTTTTATAAGAGCAGAGGATGTCCTCCCGGAGGTGGAGAGCTGTAGATGGCTCCTTTTCTATTAGTCCTTCCTGATCTGTCCTAGCTTGTGATTGATCTACTGCGGAATTCTCTTTAATAGCTTGTAGGTTGCATTCTATAGTAGCTCAATTCCCGAGTGCCCGTTGACTTTACAAGAACGAGATATCCTGGGATCGTATGCTCACTATAAGGTGCAACGAGGGGGATTTAGAGATCTGGAAGAGAGTTTGCAGAAAATGGCCCAGATATTGCTTTCTGCCAGGTTACAGGGATAAGGCAATTGCACAAAAGAATAAGACCCCGCTCAAGGATATGCGATAATATTTGTTAACCCATTCACTTCAGACTTGTCATCTTTGCTAGGGCATTTTATGCCCTACAGTACAAATGAGCCCTTGTTCAAGCCGTACAAGAGTATAGACTGACCGCACATATACACGAGGTATGAGAATGTCTGGAATAGAAGTCGTCGGCCTGTTTTTGAGGCTATACCCCTCGTCGTACGAGCACTTCAAAGGCACTCTCAGCGCGTAGGGTCTATGAAGCGTTTCTTCAAGCACAAGCGGTAAATTAGAAGCCTAACTCGTCAATTAGCCGTCAAATCACTCCTCTCTAATATACATGCGAGGAACTTTTCAATGGCCTCGCTCCGGGTGATCGCGCCTAGAAAGGTCAAGATATCGATCAGCAACAAAGGAGACATGGGAGACACATATTCCAGCTACCTAAATAGAGTGGCGGATATGGATATGGATATGGTAGTGGAAGGGCTCAAAGGCCGTCTTAAGATTGATTCTTTGAGCGAGGTTCGGAAATCCTATCTCATGTTTTGAAAACTTCCGCCCTCTAATGTATCTAGGAATTAGCTGCAGAAACAACTAGCTAACTCCAAAACTCTCAAACAAACATGCAAGGAATTCAAAGTTAGCCTGTGTCAAGAGGACTACGACGAGTTGTTGAATATAATTACAAGGAAAGCTATTCTCGGGGCCAGCCTCCTAAAGCTTTCGACTGAAATCTGTCCGCTATCTCAACACGCACGGAAGAAGTCAGTCTTCGAGATTCTTAGCAATTATGCCGTGAGCCTTTAGACACTTTGATCTGGATTCGGCTGTCAGTGTCCTGATTTTCATGACATTTGTCTTTTACTAGAGAAAGAAACCACGGGGGCGCCTTAGAGCACGAACATGGGTGTTTGCGCTAATGAAAAACGGAATTTGGTGTTGTTTTCGAATACAGTAGCCACAGTGATATCGGTATAAACCGCCTTCTGTTGAAGAGGCTAGTAAAGTTTGACGTTGCCGATCAAGAAGAGAAGAGATAATCCGAATGGAAGTTGAAACTGGAAAACCTTTGGTCGGCCCGGAACCAATTAAACTAAGAAAGGTAGCAAGATTTATCCTACAGTATACCGAGACAGCACGTTCGGAAGAGGTCGCCTCTGCATTGACTTTGACCACCACCTTAGACATACTCCCATTCCAGGTCTTTGTAAACCTGTGGAAATGTTCTGGCCTCTGGAGTTTAAGAGGTTACTTCGGGGCTATTTATCAGATAGATGCAATCGATAAAGGCATATCACCATTACAGCTAAATTGGGTAGTTGGACTGATTACTAGATATCCCCATAGTGTTTAATATAATGTAACTGTTGCTCTTAGTAGTGCTCTTGATGCGTTACTAGCAGCAACAGAGTTTCATTCTTTTATATAGAGTGAGTTAAATAAGCCTTACATGCAGTAACAGTTACTACTAAGTTAATTAAGGGAGCTACTGTGTAGTATAGTTACTGCAGTAACCAGTGTTTCTAGAGGGTCTAGAGAATCCCGTTGCTAATATAGTCGGCGATATTATTTAATTATAAGCAAGCAATATAAATATACAGTCTTCTAGCAATCTAGTTGCGTTGCAGTTGCATGGCGTTAATTGTGGAGGCCATGGCTGGTCAAAATTAATTATAATTGTCCTTCTTGCGTTGTTAAAGCACCTCCCTCACTTATAGCTGGTGGAAGGGATAGATAGGAAGTTAAGAGCCAGCTTGTACAATATTAGGCAATGCTTACGCCTAATATAGTGCCACAGAGTGAGTGGATCTGTATAGATTGTATTTACTTCGGCTGCAACAAGCGTCACGGTCCTATCCATTATTAGAACAGAATAGCGAATTAGCTCTTTATTTTACCTACTTCTAGCTTTAGTAATCCCTACGAAGGCACGCCTAGCGAACAAGCCGCAGCAGGGTATTGATTTGTGTGTGTTTTGGCAGCTCCTCTTTCACAGCAGCCATTGTATGTAAGGACGGGGCTCTGTACCACTGCGCCAATACAACCAAAAAGGTGCGAATAATCAACCAAGAGTTAATTCTGCGTACAGAATAGTATATATACCTGTCGCGCGTAAGGACCCGTACAGGCCGCTTTCGGGCTTACGGTGCATTATCCTTTGTAAGGACTAGCGGCCTTACATTGCACTACTACGCGCAAGAACTCCCTCCGTGAGCGCAGTATTAACATCAAGAAATTAATTAGCTTAGACAGCTAATACAGTAGCTAGAGTCTCATTAACTGTACAGTAACAGAAGACAATTCACTTTTATTCTGACTGCCAAGAGATTGCTACTATCAGTAATAGTAGCAACAGTACTACGTTCTATTAAGCACCACGGATATCAGGCTCGAGTGCCGTGGGAAGGTACCGCTTCTTAGGATATCAGACAAGAAATCCCTCGTAGCGGTGACTGCCTCCAATCTTCTTCGGTTTTCAAGAACCCTTTCGTTGGGTTCAGGTTGGAAGTTTAAAGGACATGAGCCTCCTGCATTCGTCAGAAAAGGGGTGCTATACTTAGCTCCATACCTCATTCCCCATCATCTCTAGAGAAATTGATTCACCAATAGAGACAGAAAACACTCTAGAAATATTGTAAATGTGCCCCCTAGGACAGAAACAATTTCGCCTTCGGGGTCAGCATTCTTTCATCGAGCTCTGCTTTGGGGATCTCGTTGAGCAGCTCCGTATTCTGTCTGATCTGAATGCTAACGGCCTTAAGCATATTACTACTAGCTTCCAGAATGCTGACAGATTGATCGAGTATGTCTGCCAAGAGGCTAGTGCTAACTATAAAGACGCGGTTTGTCGTTATATCCGTCGGGAGCATGGAAGATGCTGGTTTTAGACGCGTGGTTTACGAGGGAGTTAGGTATTATCTTGAAGGAGACTTGAACAGTTTTCATCATCTAGTTTGAAAGTGGTGATGAAGTTGAAATGAAGGAAAAGTTCAGCAATGTATATAGGAACAGCGGATGGAAACAGAAAGACCGACTCCTGTGGTGGATGTTGTTCCCATGACTTTCTAAATTGGATTTACGATTCCAGAAGTGTCTTTTCCTGGCCATGTAGTGTTATCCCGACTTAATACATCCACCTTTGTAAGGCAAGGATAGTCTTCGCGGTTCCCGTCAAAGTCTCAGGACCTTGCTTCTTCACACCTTTCCCAATCAGGAAGGTGGCGGAAGTCATTACCTGGGCATTCCAACGTTCTGTCGCTCTGCGCTTTATTAATGAAAATCGACAAGCAGATAAGAAATGGTTTACTCAATCTAAACCCAGTGCTCCTATCTCTACCGCGGATACAGCGGCGACATATCGAAACCTTTCCAGACAGACCGAAAAGGAATGCAGAGGTATCAATCGCCTGCAGCCCGCCGCCCCTAATCGACCAACATTTCGAACGGCCGCAGAAACAAACTTGCTAGCTCTGGATACATAAGCGAGGTAGATAAAAATATGAAAAGCGTCTGTCAAGCGTCGATATTATCCGGGATTTTGTGGTGTCCGCTTGTTACGACATCAACCTCGCGAAGTGCGAAAGCGGGAACTTCCTAACAACCGGGCGGGGAAACTTCACAAGATCTACAAACCAGGGCCAATCCAACATCTCGGGAAATCATCATAACGAAGTATCAAACTTAAAGCTCATGTCTAAGCTCCGATGACGTATTTCCTCTCTTTCCTCGCCTCGTTTGCTTCATCTCCCTTCGCGATGATCCCCAACCTCTCGCACTACCTCACGGGCATTTTAACATTACAAGGTGCCCTTGGAAACCCCATTCCGAAAGATCCATGGTTGGGAAATGGAGATTCAATATCGAGAGCGCATCTAGAGGAAGGTCATTTAGGAGCAGTGGCTTCCGAGAGTGACATATGTAGTAAGATCGGAATTGATCTATTAAAGAAGGGAGGAAACGCGGCCGATGCATTGGTAGGGACAGTATTTTGTGTGGGAGTGGTAGGGATGTATCATTCTGGTATGTTGGCTTTTTTTCAAGTACAATATTCCCTACATTGGATATTTCATGTTTTGGGAGAGTACCCAATGAGTCCTTCATGTATGAACAAATACCCTTGACCTTGCGTTGTCGATACGTTCCAGTTCTCTCCAAATTATTTGTTTTCTTTCACAATAAGGCTACTTTTCAATCTCTATTCGTCTCTTCAGTAGAAGCCACGAGAAACACTCAAACACTAAGTTTTCTAAGGTCTCGGCGGAGGCGGGTTCATGCTCGTCCGCGCCCCAAACGGAACCTACGAATTTATCGACTTCCGAGAAACCGCACCAGCGGCCGCCTTTGAAGACATGTACAAAACCAACATAAATGAATCCCTCTCTGGTGGTCTAGCATCCGGCGTACCCGGTGAAGTCCGCGGCCTCCAACATCTCCACGAGAACTATGGCGCTCTCCCTTGGTCTGACGTTGTGCTGCCTGCTGTTAAAGTAGCCCGCTATGGGTGGACTGTGAATCAAGACCTGGTTAATTATATGGTTAGCGCCATTGGATCTGGAGGAGAGAATGGGACTGGAAACTTCTTAGTTAGGGACCCTGAGTTTGCCATGGACTTTGCACCAAATGGTCGACTTGTACGACTCAATGAAACGATTACCCGGAAACGCTATGCAGATACCCTCGAAACTATCGCTAATGAAGGACCCGACGCTTTCTACTCGGGACCCATTGCAGAAGCTACCATCCGCACCTTGCAATCCGCAAACGGAACTATGACACTGTCGGACTTAAAAAACTACACCGTAGCAATCCGCAAACCCTCGACCATAACCTACCGCGACAAATACCGACTGACAGCCTGCAGCGCGCCCTCAGGAGGCGAAGTGGCGCTTTCCGTTCTCAAAACCATGGAAGGATATTCTGCTGTAGGGTCACCCGCCAATATAAACCTCACCACGCACCGTCTAGATGAAGCTATTCGTTTCGCGTACGGGGAGCGCAGCAACCTCGGAGATCCGCTGTTTCTCTCTGGCATTGACAAATACCAAGACGAAATGATCTCCGCAACCACAGCCGCCGAAATCCGCTCCAAGATCAGCGACACAGAGACATACGAGGTATCCTACTACAATCCTACGGGCCTCGAATCGCTCGACACACCAGGAACATCGCACGTCGTGACCGCGGATCATACGGGTATGGCAATAAGCCTAACAACGACAGTAAACCTGCTCTTTGGTTCCAAACTCGTCGTCCCTGAAACAGGCGTTATTATGAATAATGAAATGAACGATTTCTCCATCCCAAACAGCACGAATGCATTTGGCTACATTCCCAGTCCCGCGAACTTCATTCGCCCCGGAAAACGCCCGCTTTCCAGCATCTCCCCCGTTATCGTCGAACATCTGAATGTCTCAGACCCAGCGCACGCGCTTTACGTGTCCATAGGGGCAGCAGGTGGATCGAGGATAATCACAGCGACCATTCAGAATCTGATCCACATCTTGGATGGAGGGATGACGTCGCTTGAGGCACTTTCCCAGCCGAGGATACATGATCAGTTGGTCCCGGCGTATGTGAGTTTTGAATGGGCGTTTGATAATGCTACGACGGCGTTTATGAAAGAGATTGGGCATAATGTTACGTGGGTAGCTCCTGGACAGAGCACCGCGCAAGGGCTGAGGAGGCTACTGAATGGCACGTTCGAAGCCGCGGGGGAACCAAGACAGAAGAATTCGGGCGGGTTTGCAGTTTGATAGAATGATTCGCGGATATGCATGGATATCACCACATCCTCACCACATCCCTGTTGTGCGTTGAGGCTCGTTTAGCATTAACACTCAGGTTCATAGAGCGTACAAAATCACAAGAAAACTGACATTAAAATCAGTCACCTCATGGAAGGGAGTGTTGAGGTGAACACCGACTTTTGATTAATTTATTGGCCTACAAAGAAACCAGGGTATGCGAGAGGGCCAACTGCTGATATGCTCCGAGCTCAACGATAGATCCCGAGAGATCACTAGCGCAAAGGATGACTCTATGTGGCCCAAGGGCGTGTAGAAGAGCCTACCATCAGAGTTGACCAGGATGTCCCACCCGTTGAAAAAACCATCCGGATCGCCATCGCCATGCCGGTAGCGCAGACCATGAAAACCCGCCCGCTTATTTGGTCGTCCATACTAGTTGTGAGCCGTTCAAAATCGCTCTGCTGGATGCAAACGACCATGAGACTACAAAGGAGACAAATAAAATACAAATCCGAAAGACAAAGACAAGAAAACAGGAAGCTAAAGCTAGACTGGTTGGAAGTATCACCTCCGATAGATCCCGGCAGGTTCGAGCTTCTGGAATATGGTGGCAAGCAACGACAAGCCCTAGAGTACGATCAATCAAAGTCTATCACGAAACAAGCAAAAGGGGTTGACCTGCTGCCTTTGCTGAGTCGGATACTGGTGGATGCGTTGAGTTTGATATTGATACGGACCAGCAAAGGGAATGAGCTGGTTAGCGTACTGAGATTGACTGTAGATCAGACCGCCGGGGAAAGGAGATTGATTTTTGTAATGATGTTGACAACATTCCATAGGAGCCGTGCTGAAACCGGAGTGCTGGTAGTCGGTTGAGTTCCCCAAAACCCTAAATATGAAATTGAGCACAAATCTTCAGCGGATAAGGGAGATTACGAAAACCTGAGAGGCTGTGCAACGAATCAGCAAACATTCAAGGAGGTGAGTTTTCGCGACGTACATTTTGGTTGGGATCTTCTCCCTGCTCTTCATAGTACCGAGTGTAAGGATTGGCGCCACGGCGGAACTCGGCTTCGTTGATTTCGACTCCAGGATGGCCGTTAGAGGCAACTAGCCTAATATTGGTGGTGCTTTCTTTGCCGTCCGGGGCGACCTTGGCTTTCATTTGGCTTTGAACTGAGAAAGGACTGTGGGGGAGGGTCATACTTGTTAGCAAGTTGGAGAATGTGGCGGTACTCCGAAAATTGTGGACTCTTTTCTATCAATAGCGAGGTGCATAGAATTAGACAGGAGATGGGGAAGGGAGTAGTAATAACTGATCGAGGTTGCAGCAAATTCAAGACAGCTTGCTTAGCCGACTTCAGAGTGAACTCTAGGCATTGCCAAATTCACGCGAGTTGTCTGTGTAGTAAGGTTGCTCTGAAGGGGGAGGAGTGAGGAACGGGAGGGGAGGGACATCTGCAACAGATGATACATACCCGTTTACTTCTTTATCAAGCTCCATGTACTCCTCGGCGGCGTCTTTGCCTCCATGCTCAAGCAGGTACTCCATATAGAGGTGTGAGAGGTCCCTCATTGTAGATGGCGAGAAGCGGCCCTTCTCGCGCATCATGCTGTGTACATTCTTGATGCGAGCAAGTGTCTCTGCTTCCGACTCCTTAGAACCATCCTGATCCATCTCGAACCGAAGATACTTGATCCAGAAGGCCCTGGAATCAAGATACCTCTCATGCCAAGCCTGGAAGAGGTCTCGAGCTTCAGTGGGAGAGCCTTTGCACTTCCAAATGATGCGTGCTTGTTCCGCAGCCAAACGGCCTCCTGTGTAGACATCGCGCTCGTTTCTGTACTGGTCTAGGAGTTGAATAGCAGCATCGATGCCTTCCTGACGCCGCTTTAGGCCGGCCAGAGAGATTATGGTCTCTACGTGATCTGGACTCTGATCCAAGATGGCGAGGTGGATATCAGCGGCAACATCAAGTCTACCCTTCTTTTCTTCAAAACGGGCCCAATGAAGGCGAACGGTTGGGCGGGCAATTGGAACAAAGATGGTGCTTGCCCTCATGTAGATTATCCGAGTATCTTCTTCCTTGCCTTGGGAGAACATCCAACGGGCATAACGAAGCCAGAATTCATCGTAGAGGGCACACACCACCAGGCAACGTTCATACAGGAACATGGTGCGAACGAAGTTCCCCTCGGCTTCTTCGAAGTCGAGGTATTTCCGCCAGTTGACGAGCTCGGCATCCTCAAGCTCGGTTACATGAAAATATGCTCGTTTGATGTTTTGTTCGAAGTTCCAACGCTTCATGGTCTCGGTATGGGTGCGATTGTATGCCTCCAGATAGTACTGGTCTAGTTTGGCACGAAGCAGTCGATCCATTTCAATAGCAGATTTCTCGGGCTCGCCCTGACTCTCCACCAAGACCAAGTTCTTCATCTCTTGGAGTAGATCAGGTGCGGCGAGCTCTTCTAATGGTCGAACGCTGATCTCACCACGAAATTTCTCGAAATTCCGAGAGAAATGGTACATGGGAATGTGAATGATCCGCTCTAAAATCTTTGTCACGTTTTCCGGGTGATCAATTCGCTTCTCGAACTCGATGTACTTGTCCCAGAAAGGGTGGCACTGGAAGTCTAGTCCGACGAAGTGTGCGCCGCGTTCAAAAAGTCTAGAAAGTCAGCATTGGAAGATTTGTGGGTGGGTAAGACAGAAGATGGGAATTATGGCTAAGGGAAGGGACCTCAAAGCTCAATGTGAATGCTCTCTCCAACCAAATCGCTAGGGAGTAGGTGAAAGCCTGTGGTGAGATGCCGAGTCACACGATGACTGGCGTTAAGCACGCAGGGCCACTATGTTGGTTACACACAGCCTCAACAGGATACACTCTTGGAAAAGGGTCAGGGCGATGGTGTGGAAGAGGGAAGGAGACGGGCGTTGGAGGCCGGCTTACTCTCGAACGATGTCAATATCATGGCATGTATCCTGCTTGAAGGCGCAATAGCCGGTCCAAAGGTCGACAGAGGTTGGCACGCTTGACACACCGCGCTCGTAAACCTAGCGATGAAAATCAGCAAACGTGTCACGCAGGAGCCAGAACTACATACCATTTCCGCCGTCTCCGTGCCACCAATGCCGAATTCGAGGTCGGCATATTTCTTCCAATACCCGAAGAATAGAGGATATTTCGCGAGGAAGCAGTCGAATACGTTGCGGACGATGTCGATGGCCGATGGGCTGGAGTTGCGCGTGATGCCACCCTCGAGGCCTTCACAGAAGGTAACCAAAGCTTCCCATTTTTCAAAGTTGTCTTCGTCTTCAGCCTGGAGGAGAGTCAACTGGTGAAAATAAATGCAGTGGGGGGAACTCACGACTGCGAGGAGTAGCTTCTTGATTTCGGGAGCACTCTCGTCCTCGCCGGAATAGCGGACATGGGCAATCATGCCGCGCCCGAACACCAGCTTGTCCAGCATGGCGGTCGCGACAAGCCGTGGGACTGGAAGGACGAATTAGGGAGTTGGAAGTGGGTGTGAGTGTGGGAGTGGTCGTGGGCGTTGGTAGTAGACAAAGAGGTGGTGAGGTGAAGTGGTTGTGTTGTTGAAGTTCGTGTCGCAAGAGCCATTGAAGCTCAGTTTCGCGGCTTGTTTTAGCGCGGCGCTTGGCGGCTGACTGATCGCCTCCATCTTGGCACTCCGTCATTCACGTGCATGAATTAGAACCCCCAACTTAGATTGGGGTCTGGTTCTTCGTCATAAATAGGGTGTGCGAAAAGCTTTTCATATCTGGCTATCGTTCCCGTATCCTCTGAGTTGGAAGTTGGAAGTTACTCAGCCATCACTATTTACTCTAGGTATCATCAAAGGCATTACACTTGCTCCCAGAAATCAGACCTTCAAAGTACCCTAAGAATGCCGAACTCCATTACTCCAGAATGACCTTCATAGGTTCCCTACACTGCTCGCTCCCCCTTCAAATACTTCGCCGTTTCATTGCCCGCAAATGAAAAGGGACTCTTGCTCATTTCTGGACTGCGCGGAGAAATCGGAAGAGCAAACAGACCATCATCCTTATCATCATCTGGTAACGGTGGCCCCCGAGATTGAAAAGCCGGGGCTGTGACTGCGTTGAGGGACGCCATACCGGAAAGTTGCTGTTGTGCAACTACCGAAGGTGGCGGGCCATGAGACGCCAGCTTTCTAGTCGCTTGTGGAGGTTGTGGGGGTTTTGCTGCGAGCACAGAAGGATTTGCGCCTTTGAATGCAGCGAAAGAGGAAACCGCCACATCCGAAGACTCGGGAGACAGCGGGTTGGAGTGCAGCATTTCACCAAGGTCTGATTTCGAGGCAAGATCTTTCTCGCTGGTACCGAGCTTCAATCCTCGGAGCTTCTCCATCAGCCGTCCTCCACCTGGAGATCTGGGACTTGCAGGTCCTAACGGTGCCACCGTGGGTTCAGCCAGTGAGATGCTGAGCCCGATGGGTTTCGCGGTAACGCCAAAGGTCTGCTCGATCCACTCCTTCTCTTGCACTGCCATCAGAAAGCCTATCCCCTCAACGTTGTTCCTGGACTCGGTTTCAATCTCCCTTTGCAGGACCTGCAGCCTCTTCTTCGCCCATATTGTGTGAAGAATTCCCTTCTTACCGGCTGCACGGGCTGACGCCCCTAATTCAGGCGGGAATATAGCGGGGAGCGGATTTGTGTGCCACACTACGGGTGTCTTGATTCCATCCTGTGGCCGGTGTGTAAGCGTTACGATGGAGGGGACTGCTACCCCTGGTGGCAGTAGAAAGTACATGCGGTTGATGTCGTTGCTCGGCTGGTCGTCTGCAGGCAGAACTGTTGTCTTGCCTTCCCACGAAATGTGCCAGTCGCCGCGAATCCCACGCGTCGTGTCGTCATCCTCCCATTCAACCATGAGTATCTTAGTGCCCTCCCTCCCATGGCCGGCCTCGAACTCAAACCGCGCAAGGGCGTTGGTACTAGAGATGCTTGGCGACTCGACCTCGTCCTTGACCAGGTGGTTAGGTGTCGTCGTGTCCACGGGAGAAAATGGTGGGTATGTGGCGGAAGACGACATTTGGAGAGGAGTACGGAAAGGTTAGGGAGCGCGTGCAGTTGTGAGGCGTTGTATAAGTATGGGGGCCGAAATGAAGTATAAATGAAAGGCAAGACGGGAAATTGGTAGGGCCGTATTTCGTCGGTCGCAATGCGAAACAAAATCAGGTGACGAGCGGCACTAACCTTGGAAGCTAAGAATGTCTTTCAAGTTTCGAACAACCCTTCGTAGTTGTGCAGCACTCAGTTAACAGTCACTCGTGGGCGGCGTTCGAGATTCGCAATCCCTTCCGAAGCTATCGCTTTTTTTAGAACAACGGGTCGACTTGCTTCTTACCCCTCGAAGCGCGCCACTTGCGGAGCATGGCAACCTAAAGTGTGGCGGGTGTGGCTAGTCACAGGTCACGCACAATGCGGAGGATTTATGGCAATGTCTTTGTGGAGCGTGACGCCCAGCATTTCGTGCTTTCTATTCACTCTCATCTGTTGGTCCTTGGAGATCTGTATGCAGTTCTCCCAGAACCCTTATCGATTAAGTATTTTACATGTGGAAGCTGCACTAGTTCCACACCCAAAATCCTCGCCCAAAAACCCGAGATGCTATCCCTGTGTGCAAAGTGGAATCTGGGCATCCATCAGCCGTGAAATATTCGTCCGTAATGTTTCCTCCCAACGCCATTCCATACTTAAAATTCCACCCTGCCTGTTGTGTAGATGCTGTCTTTCTCCTCCTGATGTCGATGATATAAAAATTACAAGTGGGTATAAAGCTCAGTAGTGCGAATATATGCAGTGAAGAACGATACTTTTAGTGGGTGTACCGAGGGTCCAAGCGATCATTTAGATGAAGGTCGGCTGCGACGAGGAAAGAATGGAATCGGAAGGTCGATCATACAGACCAGGATGCTATCCAGCAGAACGGAAAGGATTCTATATCAACAAGAAATCCCAACCCTTCTGTCGCATCGTGTCCCGCCAGTGGACACTCTGTTTGTCGCCTTTCGCGAGAGAGTCATCGTTGATACGCCATACGTCTTTTAGGAGTTCTTTAATTCTTCCAAAAGAGCCAAAATCTGAGGCCTCGCCCAGTCTAACCGCTCGCTCCGAAAACATCTTGCGGAAGCCTGTGTTCGGAAGGGAAACGGATCCGGCGACGAGAAGGGGCCAAACGAGAGACCGATCAAATCCATCCGGACCAGCAGGAATAAAATCCATCGCATCACTCAAAGCGTTTACAAGATTGGCGATGCTCGGTTGTGTTCGGTCGAAATCCGGAACCAAGCTGCACAGATAAATGCGCGCAGCCAAACGGAACACGGCCGTCATGTTCCTGCTCAATTGCTTCGGCCGGATTGCACCTGTGGACGAGTATGCGTTTGCGACGGTTCCTTGAGGGGGTTCGGACAAGCTGATTTGGTCACCAAGAAGTTTAATGTGCGCGCACAATTGCACCTCATCCATTTTCTCGAGCTTCAGAGCTTCAAGACAGGCAATCTCCGAGATCAGGTACATAATACGATCCTCGCATCCCATGAGCTCAGCGAGCCCTGAATGTGCATCGGCTATGAGCTTCTCCCGGTAGGTATCTGCGAAGGCTGGAGTCCTGCCGAGCATAGTAGCACCTAAGATATCGATCCAAGAAGCAAGGGTCATATTGAATGGTGGCTGGGAGTGCGGCTGTCCATTCAAAGCAACCAGGTGTGTGGGAAGCTCAAGCTTGTGCACAAGGCTCGTGGCAGCTTGGAAGTGCTGGTGCCATGGAATATCTGGAAGGCAGTCATCGGGTCTGCCAACTGAGCATTGGAAGAAGATCATGCCGAGGGTAGCTTCGAGGATCTGAGAGTGGTCAGTGTCCCGGTTCAACGCCTCGCACAGCTCTGAGATCGTCGCATAGCGGTGGCGCATGATATCGTTGTCAATCTGGTCGCCTTGTATTCTTTCGGTGGCTTTGAGATGTAGCGCGGCGATGCTGAGGCAGCAGTGGAGATAGGTCTTGTTAGACTCTAGTGCCGGTAGGATGACGTCCGAGCGCGCAGATCCATGCTGGTTGACTTCAAGAATTGGAAAAATTAGTCGGAGAACATTGTCGATGAAGTGGTTGAGGAGATGCTGGTCGCATTCGTCGACCTGGATCATTGACTGGTGCGACGGGCTGAATGATCCATGAGGAAAATCAAAGACTTGAAAGTCCAGAGGTTCCTCTGCGAAGGATTCGCGACGACTCTCAAAATAATCCTGTTGTATCCAGTTCTCAGTCGGGAAAGGATGACCAATGACTGGCGGTGCTTGGTAGGTGCTGAATGTGGATATAGTAGAATCACGTCTTGCAGGGATGTCATTGATGAACATCTGGCTCTCAGTCTTGATGTCGACTTCGTATGGTGCAAATTGTCCAGGGTGGGGAAACGAAGGTGCGAACATGGGCGGAGGCATTGCGACGGAGTTGTAAAGGTCTGGTGTTGAGACCGGGTTGAAGTTGTACTCTAAGGAAAGTTGTGAGTCAACTGATGGGGCGCGAGTGCACGCAATTCCATCGGAGAAGGTGTCTGAAGTAGGTAGGGAATGGCATAGGCTTGGTGGTGTGTTGGCGCTCATGGCTACGCCCTGTGCAGTCTTTTCGTTGAGCTTCGTACGTTTGATGATATTTTTAATGTGTTCTTTTTGCTGCCGTCTCTGCTCGTTGTTGCTCCACCACATTGGTCTCTTGTATTCGCATTTTAGTCCAAGATGTTTGCAGGCGCGACAGGAGGGCTTTCCCTCGTCGCATTTCTTCCTTCGCAGACGGCATGTGAAGCAGCCTGTGCAGCTCCCGTTAGCCAAACGTCCAAGCGTGGGACCCCTGCAGGACCAAGATGAGGCATGGCACTTACCTGTCCGCGAGCGACGGTGCATTTTTGTTGCAGCTTGCTTTGCTGCATTGGCAGCGTTTGTAGTTCCTACCATGTTTGCAGATTGTTTGCCAGTGGAAGAGGGCGCGGAGGAGGAGGACATGGACAGCTCATGTACTTGGGCCCAGTGAAGTGGTTTATGAAGGCAAGTAAACAATGCGGCAATAACGACTAACGCGCGACGGGAGGGATCGAAAGGGACAGGACGGAGAGGCTCGACCGGGTTGCTCTTAATTAAAGATAGATATTCGAAAGCCTAACCAGCAGACCTCGAGGAAGTGAAGAAACGGGAGCAAATTATGTGGTCTACCTTTCTTGGAGGGAGTGAAGGTTTTGTACCTTATAAGTGCCACAAATGGCACAATGGTAGTAAAAAGAACCGAATCTATTCTTGGAGCAGCCGGGCAGTCGAGATGCTGGCGTCCAACTGGGAAGGAAGATGAACGCCATATTGGGAGCGAGTGCAGGGTGCTGATTGGAGCTGCACTGCGACTTGATAGCGAAATTTGGGGCATTTCAAGCCCGCAGCTATTTTTGCGTTTGGTTACCCGCCGGGACGAGCCCACTACAGGCCAGTGCGTGAGAGGGGTGCATGCATCCATGTACATATCGTCCTTGGGATGGCGGCCCCCAGCACCACACGGCGTTTTTAGCAGCTAATTCACCCCTTTGGGCCAAATTAGCACGCTATCAAGATGCTGACCAGAACATGCATGTCTTGGCCCGTCTGCCCCGAACCCCGGAGCAATATCTGCTCATCCGAAAGCGGCGTGGGAGCCAGATCAAACACTTGCAGCGGGTTGCGATAACTGGCCGGCCCGAACGTTGCTGAGCGCCTTGACCACCGTCGATCTCTCACGAGAATATTGCCAAGGCCGCGTATGTGAGCCTTGCATTTGCGGGCGTTGGCGTCCAGAGTGCTGGAGCTTACAGCATGAATGGAGACTCTGCATCGGAGACGGCTTCGAAGGATGCTGAGTGACCTCGTGTCACTTCCTCGAAGCTATTTGTTTGTGCAATAAGAATCCAGAGCACTGAAGCACGGGAGGAACCACGCAAGCTTGCCTGGCCCGATTCGCTCACCTGTTGGGAGTCGTGATCATTTCCACCACGGGACCTGACAACCTGGAAAGCAGCTAGATGGCGAATAAGGCCTAATTCATAACAGAGATTATCATCCTCTTAACGTTCATCCGGCTCCACGCTAGGGGTCGGAAGGATCAAGTACACTCTGTTCATGTTCCGTGATATGTGCAAATATCCTCGAAGCCCGGCCCTTGCGGCACAGTTGCTCTCGTTGGGCTGGCGAAGTGGAGAAGCTACGAGGCATTGTGCATTCGCAAAGAGCACTCGTGTGACACGGCGGATGAGCAAGGGCGTGGCATGCTTAAGCGACGGGATGAAGGCGTGATGGCCGTGATCGCGCGGCATATCCACGCTGAGTGGTACAGAGGGTGGCATTGGAGTTGGAATTTGCATGACAAGCTTTAGATTAGCTCGCTGTAGTGTCCAATAAAAGGGCTTATCCGGGGGCGCCCGTCAAGGTGTGGAGCGAGCGCGGACGGACCAAGTCCATTTCGGTTCGATTTCGTGCATCCAATCATGCTTCATCCCATGCTGCTATTAAAAGACCGCTAATTAACTTTGGGGGTCTGTGAGTGTGACGACAAATGCCCATAATTAGCCCAAAGAAGAACGAGCCCCAACCCCAGCTGGACTGACTTCCATCTTGGATGTTTCGTCTGATATGACCTACCATTGGTTACCGACTCTGATATTCAATACTTGGGAGCTCCGCGAATAAACCTCAAGTTGCAGGTACCTGCCCGCCTTGATTTAACAAGCTGAGCACTCACCTGACACCGCGGATTTTTTGCTCCGCGACTTGTATCCGCGACAAACCGCCATTCGCCCCGGCTTTAAGCATGACCGAAGTCCCTGTTCTCAAGGCAGCCCGGATTCTGGTCCAGCCGTTGGGCCTGGAGATATCCGAAGGATGAGGTCCAAGATTGAGCCTCCACCTTTTAGTAGCTGACGACGGCCTGCTCGAGACGGCAATGATTCAGGGACCTCAACGGCAGGGTAGCGCGGGAACCGCAAGCCAGGTCCACATTTCGATTGGAAGATCTACTCGCAGCAGGATGCGCACCTGAGCGGATTTGATATCGAACTTGTTGAGACCGGCAACAGGACCGCTGAATCGGCATTGCGTTCACGACCAGCGCAGCTTGTAGCACAACAGGATTGACTTTGCGGTCTATCTTGGCGTAACAATTGAGGTGGGTGCGGCCGAATAATGCCTCGTTGGTCGCTGTTTGGTAATTGAGCGATGCGAGCCATCTTTGGATGCTGATTCGTCTTGTTCGACCACGCTTTGAAAGGTCCATCGTGGTAGCGGAGCACGAGGGACCGAAAAGATCAAAGGCCGCATTAGCTGTCAGTCATGTGAGGAGAGTGTGGCAGCTCTGCGCAACATTGTTGGCTCTCGAGTTGATGATGGTTCCATCGCAAGCTCTCGCACGGCATCCCGTGGGGAGGTAACAAAGCGATGGCTGGAAGGCGGTCAAAGGCCAGAACCGATACGGAGAACGGTGAAGTCGTGTTTTCCCTGCGCTGCTTAACGTAATGAGTCGCCGTATCCGCTATCGGAAGTGAAGCCCATGTTGCACGGCGAGCAGGCGATGTTTGATATCTGTTGCACAGAGGCCAGCGCAGGAAGTTGTGTTCTGCGTTCCCCACGTTTGGGATCTGGAGTATGACGACAATGTACTTATCAGCATCAGAATTCTGCGATGCTGCTAGGCGCTCCCCTCCATCTGCGTCCGTGTGTGGCGTGCATCCTGCACGAAGCCGTGTGAAAGGCTCTTGAATCCTGGGCTTAACGATGTTTCCAATATTGTTCGCTGCATGAAGGCTTGAGATGAGGCTTGCCGGTTCGGGTGGCCGTGCGACGTGACAAGAAAGCCCTTAGCAGTGGAGCTGGAAGACTCGTGCCAACACTCAAAGTCCGGTTGTGTTCCGTGCGAACCTCAAATCTAAACCCAACCTCAAGCCTCACTGGCCGCCACCGGGCTCTGGAGTCCACCCGTCGACGGCGACCGCTGGCAGCCAGGCCGGCAAAGTCATTTGACTGCCCGACAGCGACGACTGACAGCGAGTACTGTTGAGGAGTACGTACTACCTGTGGCTGCACAACGAGAAGTCTGCTCCGCACGCGATCACGGTTCCTGACCACACAGATCTGCATCTCGGAGTGGATGGTGGATACCATGATCGCTCTGGTGGTTTGAAACGAGGGCCACGCTCTGGGCAGGTGAGTTGCGTCCTGGATTCGCGTGTGGGCGGAGGTGCGAAAATCTACCGTCTCCTCGAGCCTCGCCCTCGTGCCGAAGCGAGAACCGTGACCCTCGCCGCCGACCCCCATATTAGCCTTCATTCTTTTCTTGTTTCGGCCCTATTAATGGACATGGAAGACCATATCAGGCCATTTTAGCTCCCACTCAGTCCATCTGCACTTTACCTCCAGCGAATGGGCGCCCGCAGCCCTCTCAACGTCCCTGTTTAAGCGCCGAAACGTGAGGATGCATGTTGGCGGGAAAGCTCCGAGCGAGGATTGGGCGGGGGCTGTCACTGTCTTGGACTCGAGGCCCTCGTTGGGTGGAAGAAGCCAGCATTGTGCTATCTCTGCAGCGGCCGGACTGTCACAATATCGCCCGCCATTTTTGCGACCCAACTATCGTATCAGACTCAGTCGGTCAGCTTCTACAAAAAGACCCGGAAGCGCCCTCAACCCGAAGGGTCTTTTCCCCGTCTTTTGTTCGTTGTGCTGCTTCATTGTGCGTACCATGATTGTGACATTCACGATAATCCATTGTTAGAGCACGCACAATCAATTTTTCCCGACCACCGAAATTGTGTGTTCCGTCATCATGGTAAGTCTGCTTGCCGCACTCCTCTATCGATAGGTGGGCACTGACATCGTGGCAGCAGGCCATGACACCCATCACCCCGCTGGAACCGGGCGTAGAGATGTTCCAGAGAGGAAAATCGCAGTCATTCTTCGTCTCTACTGTTTCTGCGCGAACGTCGCTGGAGCGGCCCATTTCTCATATTAGCGATGCATACACCGACATTGAGGATGATTCGAGCGACTTCGAGGAGTACAGTCTTGGATCTTCAGTACGTCTCACAATCTATCATCGCCCAATTGATCGAGCTTACGTTTGATAGAATGAGAACCGTCGAAGTCAGACAACAATATCAACGTTTGAAGAAGTGCAAACGCCACGGGACGCTGATTCCCGAGCACCCTTCGCCCGCGAGTGGTACTTACCGAAGGCAGTCGAAGGCCCAAAAGGCCCGCATTTATTCAGAGCATCGCAATCTTCAAACGACTTCCCGTATGATTTTGCGCTACAGTTATCCCCGCTCCTGCCCAAAGAGCCTCCTTCAAGACTCCAAACTTCTTTTAGGGAGTCGACTCCTGAGACAGTTGTTCCCCGCAGGGAATACAATAACATCGCCTCTGCTGTTGCCCACCTTGACAATGCTGAAGTGCGAGCTTGGACCTCCCGGGAGGTCGCTACCTGGATGTACCAGAACGGTTTCGACTCAGAGGTTATCGACAAGTTCGAGGCACACGACATCACTGGTGCCGTTCTGCTTGACCTTCAATTCGATGACCTGAAGGAGCTGGAGATCCCGTCCTTTGGTAAACGTCACCAACTGTGGAATCAGATCGACTCGCTCCGAATAGCCGACGGTCTTATGTCTCCGACTGCCCCAGCGCCAACACCTTTCGAGGACACCAGCCGTCCTTGCACGGGGGCAAGAGACCGGTCAAAGAGCAAGAATCGTGAACGGCGCCACCGTGACAGGTCAAGAGGTGGCAACGAATGCGATGGGGACGATGTAAAAACACCAATCACCCCTGGAGGTGGTCGAAGGAGAAGAGGCCGCCGGCACCGGCACGGAGCAGATGATATTATCACGCCTGCCGAGTCTGTCTCCATTGTTGCCATTGAACAGTTACTACCAAAGCCACACAAGTGCGCGAAAGGAGAGCGATGTGCCAAATGGAAAAAGCAGCAGCGACAGCTCGCCAGACTTCAAGAAGAGCATGGATTCCCCATTTCACCAGAAAAGGGAGGTCATATCTTCATTGCAGGAGATCCAGGGAACGCCCAAACTGCGCATCGTGCCATCGAAAATGTCTACCGTCCAACATCAGATGCAATCCCATCTGTGGTAGCATCGTCCGATTTATTGGGACCAGGCCAGCTGCCTGAATTTAATCTCCAGGAGAACATGCTACAGAAGCTGGACTCGCGCGACCCCCAAGATAATGTTCGACATTTCCTCAGCCTTCAAGGTGTCGAACAGCCTTACACAACTGCTACCCCTATAGAGGCTCCTCCGACCCCCCCACTAGACTTGTTCCCACCACAACCTCAAATTGTGCAACCCTACCAACAAATCTCCACTTTCTCCGCATCAACGTCAGCTCATTCCTCACAGTCTTTTGACCCTACCTGTCTTCCGCCTCCAGCACTGCATCCGCCAGAATTTACTCCGGCCCCGCATTTTAATCTCAAGAGTCTTCCGAAACTAAGCATTCCACCACCCCGCTCAATGTCCGCACAACCCCCGTGCGGTGGCACTCGCACTACCGCCCCATACAACCCCCAGATTACACTAGACACTGCCTTTTCACCTTGCCGCACCGCGTCACCGGGCGGCCTATACCGATTCGGCACACCCTTCTCCGAGATGGACGCACCAGTAACCGCCATTCCAGTTGGGCCTGTTTCGCGTGACACGACCCAGTCTGTACCACCAAACATGCAATACAGAGACCCGGTGCAGCGAGCTGGGTCACGAGTCGAGTGGCGACGACCATCACTTGCTCTACCAGCGCTTAACGAAGACCAGGTGTTCAGTCCCGTGGGTCACTCCGATGACTCCGACACCTTGCATGAAACGCAGTTCTCGGGCGACGACAGCGCAGGTTCGTCACCAATGAGCACTGCGAGACCCGAGAATGCGCTTAAGGGAGGGTTTGTGTACGACGGTGTGAATCATCATGGCTGGATGAAGAAGCGTCGCACCAAGCTTCTCCGCCATGAGTGGCAAGACCACCATTTCCGTCTAAATGGTACGACGCTTGCCATGCATCCGAACGAGCTACCAACCTCTTCCGCAAACCACACTATTGATGTCGACGACTATGCGGTCGCCTGCTCGTCTCTTGCCTCTAATAAGCTCTCTGCTAAGCTTCGAGCCCTGAAAATTTCTTCAGGACACCACGGAAAGGATAAGAACGGTGTGCCCACAGCCTTCGAATTTCAGCTCGTGCCTACTGCAACAGGCAAAGGGGAGATCCGTCGGGTCATGGCCAACGGCAAAGTCCACCATTTTGCGGTGAAGACGCGCGACGAGCGCATCGACTGGATGCGCGAACTGATGCTCGCAAAAGCACTGAAGGCGAAAGGCGATGGGTATGAGGTTAACGTCAACGGAGCTGATGTTTGAAGAAGCACATATTCTACAAGCAGAACTTCTCTACCGCGCTAGAAAGTTACCTGTCTTATTCCGCTGCGCCAATTCCAGACGAGCATGTGTTTATGCCGCATGAGACTTGCAGGCAGAAGACAAAGTACTAACTAATGACCCTAGAATGACCACTGGGTGGCTTTTCGTCTTTGAGTTTGTTTTCCCGGTTATCGTTTCTGCGCTGCACGTGTGCTTTTTGGCGCCGACATGCATGTTTAGCAAACGAGCGAGTGAGCCCGCACGCTTCATGCTTGGTGCTTTTGTCCCTTTCAGTCTTTTGTCTATTTTAGATCTCCGTCATCGGAGTCGCTTCGCGATGGCTCTGTTGTTGCCCATTATACCCTCTCGAGTTTCTTCTCTCTTTCATCATCTATCTGCATTGCACATACATCCATATCTTCTTCCGTCTGAGACGACTAGGACATAAGTTTGGAGGAACCGAGGATTTGATCAGGGAGTTCACACACAGACTCAGGAAGGTAATGGATCGGATGAAGCATGAGTAGCCTTTTTCGCATAGCGTTGGATTGGATTTGCACTGGACTCTTCAACACTCATTCCTTGATAAAGCAAGAAAAGTAGTGTGGTGATATGATTGAAGGACGCTCGACAGAACATAGGGGATATATTGAAATGAAACATTGAATGATTTAACAATCAGGGATCCTGATTTGTGAGAATTTGTCCTATGTACTTGAACCTGCATGTCGAAGTAACTGGTTGTGATATGCATGCATAAATCAACACGCCCTCCCATCTCAAGTTTTCTGAAAGATTCGTAGCACAAATTAACACGTACTTCGCGATTCCAAAGGAACAAAGTCTGCTAATTTACTCGATAATGTTCTGGATATCAGTGCTAGTAAAAGGCACAGGCGTTTCAGAAACGTTCAATGCCGGTGTTTAAATCTCCATCGCATGAAGTGGCTGTACATCGCTCGCATTAAGCCGTTTGGCTCAGCCTCAGAGCCACACCGCAAAACGGTAACGGCATAACCGATTCCTTCCGTTCAAAACGCGACACGCAAACAAAACTAGGGAAGGAAAACAAGGCAAGCTAGGAAGACTTACGCACAATGCTATGACGTGGAGTGGCTCAGAGTATCACGTACAGTATTTGCGCAAACTATCCCCTTGCTTCAGGGTCTTCCTGTGGATCTTTCTTTTCCTTCGCAGCCTAAGTGCTGATGCGAAAGCTGATGGGGCTATAACCAGTTACACCCTTCCCCTAGTCCCCCCAAACGGGGTCGATAACTCAGGCATGTCCGAAAGCTAAATCTGTGCGTTCAACGTTTATCCTACGAGGTTAGGAAGAGGACATCTAATCAATGCAAAGCTTGCTGACATTCGGAAAAAGGGGGTTCTGTTTGATTGTACAGAGTTCGGACGCTAAGAGCTTAGGCTCGGGAGGTTGGATACATGAAGGGAAGGTCGTCAGACATGTGAGTTGGTAATGGAGTCTATGGTCTAGGTGCACGGGAGGGGAAACTGGTATGTGGGTGTATGAAAGAAGAGGATGTAGAACACATGTGAAGATGTGGATGAGTTTGTGATGGGACAGTGTAGTACAATATTCCAGAAATTGGAAGAACTCCAAACGTGACCTTCACTCAATAACATCACATCAAAAGATTGATGGGGGATGTAAGAGCCCGACAAATATCGTTCGGACAAGCTTGCACGGTGAATTTGACCGTCTGCCATCAACCTAAACTACGTACATCTTTTCAGAAAAGCATAAATCCAAGTAAAAGATAACCACCAATCAAGCGCGACTACAGTAATTGTGTTCGTCACCTCGGCGAAAAACCATTTCTCCATAATAAGACTAGTAACTTTGGCTTTTGTCCAGTCTATGAACTGTAAAAGAGCCAAGAGATGCCATCCTTCTCTACAAGTCTGGCCTTTGAGGAAGGATAAAGGTCGTTTGAGCCAGTGTGTAAAGCATTACTAAAGTTGTAGATATACAATTGTTGACATTGGAATCGGATTGAGGGATCGAACACTTGAGCGTCAGCGAGAAAGGCTGCGAAGACAGGGCAACGAGCGTCAACGTCTACCACCACACTCCTAACGGCTCGGCGAGACGTTTAAGAGCATGGCTGGCCGACGAGGCGGCAACGGCGTTTGGTGAGCTCGGCACCAGCTTCAGAAATGGCCTCACGTGCAATGATATCACGCTTTTGCTTGGAGCAAGGCTGTCCGACTAGACGGCAACGGGCCTCAGGGTCGGCCCAGCGCTTAATCTTCTCGCAAATCTCGTCACCAAATGCACAGGCCTTGGCGAACGCCTCAGCGCTGGGGAAAGCCTCAGCGTAGGCCTTGGCGACGGCCTCAGCGAGGGCATCGGCCGAGCGGCGGGCTTTCTGGCAGGTGTGGGAAGCGAAGAGGCAGTGACGGGCTTCGATGGAGTCATCCTCGGGACTAGCAGAAGCAAGGGCCTCCGCAGCCGCAAGAGCAGCACGCTTGAGACGGTCACACGGCTGGCCGGGCATGCCGCACGAGCGAGCATCTAGCTCACCCTCGTTTGGATGGGACATAGCGAAGGCCTCGGCCTCACGCTTAGCCTTAGAGCAGGGCTGGCCGACGAGCCTGCATCGAGCATCCGGCTCGGGAATAGCCTCCCTCTTCTTGGAGCAAGTCAAGCTACCGAAGGAGCATTCGGCCTCACGCTTGGAGCATGGCTGACCAACGAGACGGCAGCGGGCAGCAGCTTCAGCCTCAGCCTCACGCTTGGAGCATGGCTGACCAACAAGACGGCAACGGGCCTCGGGTTCAGAGACGGCAGCACCGTAGGCGGTGGCAGCGAGAATAGTGGTGATAATGATGCTCGTGAGCTTCATGTTAAAGGATTGTGGGATCGGTGGATGTGATGAATGATCGTAGTCGTTTGGAAGTTGTTGTGCCAAAATGATTGACTCGAGACGATGCCGAGTTGAAATTGGCTAGAGGAGGAGGATATTTATGCTTCGGAGTCTCTCTTAAATAGATAAGGAGGACTGCATGGAGAGAAGAGGCTTTTTGACCTCAATAAGGTCAATAAAGAGGGAATGATGAGTGACGAGCGAAGGGTGATAAAGGGAAGTGGGTTAGGAAGGTGTGGCTTCCCTCCAATAACGAGGGTTTATCCTGAATAGATTTGAATAAGGACCAATAGAAGTCAGTGAAAGATTGCCTCGACGTGAATCCTCGGCCCTAAACATCGACATCGGCGAGCGAAACTGGTCCAGATGCTTCGAGAAACCTGATCATAACTCGTAAAAATGGGCACGCGGCAGGGAAAACACAAAGGAGATATCGATTTCTTTGAATAAGAATAAGTCCTGGAAGGTGAAGTGAACAAGGGCGAGGTCGTGCTGATTGCCTGATTAGGGTCTGAATAGACTGAATGGAAAGTTTTGGTCTTGGCACGGCTTCACCACGAAACTCGCCCTACTTACCGAGAGCACGGCTTAAGGTGTTTGTTTCGACGGATGAATACCGATCAGAATACCGATCAGAATACCGATTAGAATACCAATCCGAAGAGTTGACAGGGGGGGATAATTAATGCCACTGCGGAGTGGATGCTGTGGATCTATGTGTGTAGTCGGTAATGGCCCCATCCGGTACCCATGTCCAAATTCCCCTCCATAGAATGGTTCTCCTTTGAATATATTCATTCCAGGATCGTTGCCATGCTCTCGGGAACTCCGGTTCAGTGTTTCAATTGGGATTCATGTAGACACAGTCTTGATGATATGGTCCGACAGAAAGCCACGGGAACGACCCGAGGGATGTGGTGCTTTCAAAAACGAGGACACAGTGAATGGCTGCGCAAATCAAAAAGTGAGCTGGCATACCATGTGCCAATCGAAATATAAGGGTGTGGAACATGAGTGGACAGCCTGACCAGCGGAGTTAATCTCAGTAGGAATAGTGAATTGAAGTGGATAGAATCGTAAGCATGAGTATTCTTAATTTCTACCAATAGCATGGTAAGCAGATGGGGTTATTAAGAATTTTACTGTACCTGAGGGTGAATGAATCCAAAGTCGCGCAAGAGTTGATGTTGAGTGCTGAGTCAGCCTCGCGAAGTTTCCCGAAGTCACGTTTTCTCCAGAGCTCAAGCTCAGACCACAGAGCAGATCCACGGCCAAGTCTGATAGACTTTCAGGTTGTAAATAGAATTGTAGAAGAATGCGGACACGAGCCCTCAATTTAGCCTTGCCTCTTTCTCGGAATGCCCGCCTACGACGCCCTTCGCCATGGGTCTGCAGGTCATGCAAGACTCACGGAACTCGCAATCGACAATTCTCATCCCAACCTTCCACTGAGAAGCCGTACTACATCACGACGCCGATATTCTACGTCAATGCCCCCCCTCATATCGGCCACCTTTATACTATGGTCCTTACGGATATACTCAAACGATGGCAGCAATTGAAGGGAAATAAGGCTATACTGTGCACCGGCACCGATGAACACGGTCTGAAAGTAATTGCGAAACCCCCAGGCCTACCCATGTCTATTCTAACATCATCCAAGGTCCAGCAAGCTTCTGCAAAAGCGGGTATTGACCCGAAACCGTTTTGCGACAAAGGCTCCGAGATTTTTAAAGTACGATGTAGTGGTCCCTGACAAAAAGTGCACCAACTCACATCACTCGAGGAACTTGCACGAAAAGCCGACGTTACGAACGATCATTTTGCCCGGACAACGGATAAAGAACACAAGGATGCCGTGGGTTATGCTTGGGTATGACAAGGATGCCATTGAGCTGGGCATCGAGCTGATCTTGGATAGTTTCTATTGCAAGAGAAGGGTTATATATATACATCGCAACATGACGGTTGGTATTCTATCACTGACGAAGCATTTTACCCTCAATCTGCGGTTCAGTTGTACCTTGATCCTCCCACGGGCAGGAAAATCATGGTAAGTAGTCATCAAGGCGAGATTCCCCTAAAACTGACCACCGTCGAGACTTCGATCGAAACTGGTAGTGAGGTGGAGTGGTCTTCTGAGAAGAACTACCATTTTCGTCTCTCTGCTTTCCGGGACCCTCTTCTCGAGTTCTACAAAGCAAATCCCTCTTGGATATCACCAGAACATCGCATGAAGGAGGTTGTGGAAGCCGTGGAGTCCGGCCTCGAGGATCTATCTATTTCGCGTCCCTCTAGTCGTCTTACCTGGGGCATTCGGGTCCCACATGACGAGACCCAAACCATCTACGTTTGGCTCGATGCTCTTATGAATTATGTCAACAAAGTAGGCTATCCCTGGCAACCTGGCTTGGAGAGTGTCGGAGGCTGGCCTGCGGACTGCCATGTCATTGGTAAAGATATTATGCGCTTTCACTGTGTCTACTGGCCCGCCTTTCTCATGGCGCTCGGCCTCCCCTTACCGAAGCAGATCCTCACTCACGGCCACTGGACGCTTGGTGGTTCAAAGATGTCCAAATCAACTGGCAAGGTTGTCGACCCTTTCAATGCTCTTGATAGATTTGGACCGGACGTCATGCGCTTCTATCTAGCACATGACGGTGGCCTTACACAGGATGCAGATTACGATAACATCCGCATTATCCAAATGTATAACAAGTTTTTAAACGATTCTCTTGGCAATCTAGTCTCTCGGATTGTGCGAGGAAAACGCTGGAGCGTTCGAGGAGCCATTGAGAGAGTCGGTGATAAGTTAGAAGAGGGTTGTCAAGAAGGTCCGGGCTCACGGTTCTACAAGAATACATTGTGCTCGATGGCAACCGACGTTGAAGCGGCGATAGAGTCATATGATCCGCGCAAGGCAGTTCGCCTCCTAGCAGAGTTTGTACGCGGTGTAAGTGTTCGATCCCAACCTTTCAACCCGATACATGTTCTTACCATTGCTAGACAAACCAATTCCTTCAGATGTCGGCGCCGTGGAGCAAAATCTTGCCCTATGCCTCAGGCAATCCTGGCGAAGAAGTCGACAAGATCATTTTCCTCGCCTCCGAGGGTATCCGCATCTCTGGTATTCTGCTGCAGCCATACATGCCCAATAAAGCAAAACACCTGCTTGATATGCTGGGCGTCGACGACTCGCGTAGAACGTTCGAGTATTGTCGGCCTGGGTGCGACATGGAATACGGGACGCCTATGGTTGACTTAGGTACCTCGTATCAGGGTGTGCTCTTTCCACCATTGGCGAGCGAAGAGTAGCATGATGAGTGATCACATTATATCTTTACTGGATGGACTTGGTGTATGGTTGGGCTCCAGGACATAGGAGAAGGAACTACTAAGATAGGAAAACTGTATTATATGTAGTATAGGTTATTACACTGAACGCAACCCACATATATTCCTTAAATGCACTAGACCGTGTTGATCTAGTTGTCACAACTGGTGTTAGTGCCATGGCGGTGATTATGCAAATATGTTATTCAGGATGAAAGCAGGCGCGAGGCGGGCGAAGGAAGGTTTACACGAGCCTCGGTTTGACCTTCTCGAAGTGAGGCACTTTCTACAACTCGACGCAGTTCTCACTCTCCACGAAATTTCAACACCAACTTGTTATTCCGTCGTTATTATATTATATATTTGATTCCGGCTGACACTCATTCCCGATCAAGGCAGTCACGCCAACCGTCGCCATGGCGCTCAACTGGGAGAAGCTCAACAAGCTGCGGCGTGACTACCCAAAACCAAAATTCGCTTTGGCTGAAATCGGCAGACAACTCAAAAAGCGGCATAATGACCCCTACCTCCTGGTATCGTCGCATACCCTATCCTCTGCGCTATCTCGACTTTGGGCTAATGGCTTGGCATAGTCGTGGAAAGCAGATATCTGGCTTCAGATGGGGATCGCAGCACCCCAGGTTCTCGAGGATATCTTGATACCGTTGTGTACACGACAGCCACCAACAACGGATCCCAGCTTACTTAGCTATATCTACTTCGTTATCTTAGAGGCAACAAGGATTGCGAATATTCCTAATTCGTCAAATCTGTCTTCTGCGGGTGACGCAGCCCTCAAGGCTTGGCATAGCGCAGCTAAGTCTCTCCATAGTCGGAAAGCTAGGCTGGACTTATGGTCCAAGTTGTTTGTGACGGCTATGGAAGAGGACTGTTGGGAAGACGTGAGATGGGTACGTCACCCACGATCATTTGTTCTTCCATTACCCATTGTGCCCTTAGTACTGATTCTTGATAGAGTGTCACCCAAGCTTTACAAGAAAACCCCCAGTATAAGAAGAGAGCTGCCTTTGCACTTATTCTTGCCAATCAACTAGCATATGAGAAAAAGTGTGCCTCATCTGAAGCGATCTCGCCCGCCGTTGAAATCCAGAAACGGGTTGCACATCAAAAGATGCTGCAGGCATTCCAAAACACAACGAAATCTCCGGTAAACCCTTTATTCATATTGAAAACATCCATCTAATCGCATAACAGAACGATCCGGTTCGGATACAAGACAGTAGGGATGTGCGATTTATGGCACAAATCTTTGAACGGCAGAAGCTTGGTCTCGAATTAACCCAGCTTTGGAGTGACGCACCAGATGCTATACGAAACATCATGGACGCAAATTTCATCGAGACCCAGCGCTTAATGTTTCGATCTTTGAAGGCAGAAGGGCAATGGCGGATACTCTACGCTAGAATGTTCGGGGCTGTTAAAGCGGCCATAGATGGTAACGCCAAAAGCGAGCTCCGAACTCTTGCGAGGAACTGGGAACTCTGGGGCAGCATGATTGAAGCCTTGTCCAGACTGTTCCCAGAGGCGAAGTACGTTGTCTCAGCCAAACTGGAGTTGTGACACTGAACTGACTTATGTAGGGCAAAGGCGATAGCAAATGATGAATTGCGATCGAGGATTGAAGGGATGGGATTCAATGGCCGAGATGAGGACCTCACGAAAATGGCTGTTGTTAGCTACGCCGACCGCAGGGAGTTGCTCGCCCTGTGCGAGGATTTCTGGGTCCACTTCCATCACACGAACGCATGTTTCCGTGATCTTCATCCTTTTGTTGCACGCCTAAGTCGACAAGAACAAGAGAAATTCCTGTGGACCATCACCCCGTCCCCAAAGGGATACATATCATATCCAGAGAACGTGTCTACTGTAAGGCTACAACGGTGTTAAGCCGGCATTGCACTCTCGATCCTCGCTAATCAACTGAAAGGCGTCGTTGAGAACTTGGCTCGATACGGAAATAAATGTCGCGCGATTTGATTACATGTTGAACATCTCACGAGCGAGAATGGATGAGACGCATAATTCGACGAATCTTCCAGAGCTTTTCGTGTGCAATGCAATCCGGCTTTACAAAATTGCCGCTCAAGTGCAAGAAGACCCATCCTTCAGATTTAGGCCTGGTTGGCTAGCTATAATGGCTATGCTGAAATTGCAAGAGCTTTATAATGCGTATCCAGAATTCCGAAGGGAGAAGGGACCATTGAGCGAAAAGGGGGATAGAGTACAAGCGCTAGTCCAAGCCGGTTTTCTCGCCCTCCACATGACTGCTGACGAAGCTGGGAAACAAGATCGTGGTTTGATCCTGCTCTCCACTCGACTACACACGGTCCTTGGCCTGGGCACCATCGCGTTTGACCAGTACCGCCATGCCCAGATCAAAGAAATCCTCAACGATACTCTGTCATACTTTCTCCTATCTCGGATATCACAAAGCCATCCTTTCGACTCCGTTGGAGAGACCCCTGCGTATCCCGATGCCGAGCTGGCCAAAGTTATTTCCACAATCCAGAGAATGGAGAACAGAGTGGGAGACTTTATTTACTCCGATTTAGAAAACTTCCAGTATGACCAAACATTCGAGCTCCTCCAATTCAAACAGAAACTCCGGTCGAGCGTGACGAAGCACCTCTGCTTGATTGAACGACGAAGGATTGCGCGACTAAAGGGTGAAATTGTAGATTCGTCGCTTGACTTCGACTTGGGCAGTACGTTCCATACCAACTTCGAACCCGAACACCCACTAGAAAAGCATACCTGCAGCTAACCACTCCTTCGTAGATTTCCGCAATATCTCGGACAACCGCGACTTCAGCGTTCTTCAGAATTACGAGTTTGAATCGGAGCAACTCAACTGGCAGACATGGCTCCACAACTACCCAAATATCGAATGGATCGTCGACTTTCTTCAGACACAGGAGAGAGCATGCATGCTGGCATTCCAAGAGCTTCGGTCCGAGCGTTTTCACGAGCAATTCCGCGAGGAAGTGACGGAATGGAAGAAGTCTAATTTGGTGGACAACTTCGCTCAAGTCGAAAGCTGGTTTTTAGCCGACTGGTCCAATGTCCTGGCCCTCGGAGACTGCCTCCGCGATACAAAGCGCATCACAGAATCCCCAAAGCATATGGCAGATGTGGAGGCAAGGTTCGACAACATCCTTCATTCTTTAAATTGTGCAGAGCTGCAATTCCAGCACGAAATGACAATCTCCAAAACAGCCCCATCTAATAACACCCCTGGAACTCACGTCCTAGAAAACCTAATGCCAACAGAAGGCTATCTCCAGTACTTCTTCGGCCAACTCGAACTCCTCCTCGTGTACGCCAAGCTCATCGACCAGGTCCGCAACTTCCACAAACTCTCCAAATTTCCCCCCTCTCGAGTGAAAAAGGAGAAGGTTTGGGTCGACAAAGTTGCTACAGCGATTCAAAACTGCTATACTGCGGTCCGAAACGCGGCGCAGAGCTATATCGATGCGCTGAGGGAGAGGGGGTTGGAGAGTGTGTTGAAGCATGCAAAGGCTGGGGTAGTGGGAGAGGCGTTGGTGGGGTTGATGGGGGAGGAGGAGATGAGGGGGTTTGCGAGGGAGTACGTGGAGTCGGCGGTGGATGCACTGGAGGGCGTTTTGAAGGTTAGAATTAAGTAGAGAGGAATGCTAGTTTTGGGTGGTTGTAGGTACTGAAGTGGCAATGGGCGCGGGGGTTAGCGTGGATTATTGAGCGAGCGGTTCTTAAGTCCTTATCCAAGCCCTTATCCCGTATGGATGAATAGTCGCGCTGGATACAACTGGGTAGATAATACAGTCCAGAGACACACCTCCAGTTCCGTCATCTCCACACTTCCTCGGTGATAATTACATTACACAAACTTACATCAATGATTGAACCTTCCCATTCTCATTCGTCTATAGGATCTAGCAGCAAGACCAAGCTCAAGCTCAAGCTCAAGCTCAACTCCAAGCTAGCAGCTACACTGAGTGCACTAAACTTTGGTAACTATCGTCCCCCCCGTCCCTCCGAATCTTGAACTCCAGCCTCTCTCCCCCAGCAATGACTCTCTCCGTGCATGCAACGCCCACGATTGCAAGAAATAAATTCGCTTCAATGATCCAGGAAACCCACCCTTCCCTTTTGCATTCCCAAGAAAACTCCGCTGTGTTGTGGTGTATGTGTGCGTGCAACTCGTAATAAGATATAATCACTATGATTACGTAGGGCTTTGACTCGGATCAGATCAGAAGCAAAGACTTAAAGAAGATGAGACCGGAGAACCATAGTCCAACCCACCAAGTCTTATGTTGTGGCGGCAGGCGTGGAGAATGCCGGTCCAAGACGCGCCAAATTTCAGAACTAAAAAGAGATCGAGAAACACCGTAGATCGCCATGCTGCTGAATGTGAGAGAAATTGAACACTGTGAAAAGATGAAATAAGGTGCCGTGAGAAACGCGGAGAACCGGTTCCAGTCATAAATAGCGTGGGAGACATGCTGTGAGTCTTGAATGACTCTTGTAGTGGAGAGAGAGGGCTCACGAAAGACGCACTCTACAGCATCGTGTCCATACTACTCGTCCTGGGCGTACAGATTCTGGTTCAGAATCTTGTTCATGGTGAACATGTGCACACGGTCTTGCTTGAAGACGGCTCGCATGGCTTCGTCGCACCGGATCTGCCGCTTGTCATTTGGGTCTTGTAAGTCTCGCTCCTTGACGTATTCCCAGATCTTCTTGACGGTTTGGGGTCGTGAGAGCTGACGTGTGTTAGTAAGCGAGAGAGGACTTGCGGTGAAGAGTTATGCCGCATGCGTCAGGAACAGGGGAAATGGGAAATGGGAGATTGACATACGCTGGTCTCTCCTAGGAGCTCCGACAGCGGCGCTGATAGTGTCATTGGCTTCTGTAGAGATTGTTAGCTTCCGAGTCCCTCGAGCACAATGCTATGGGAGACATACGTGAAAACCCCCTGTCCGCTTTACCTCCTTCTTCTCTGCTCCACTGCCCGAGCCAATATCACTATCATCCTCTTCCTTGACCTTATTCGCGCTCTTCTTCTTTCCACTCTTCTTCTTCGCCGCTGGTACTCGCTTCTTCGTATTCCCACCCCTTGTGCTCCTCGCCCTCGACTTCAGATTCTCCTCGGCCTGCAATCTGGCCGCATATGCCGCATCGTCCTCCTCAATACTCTTATTCTTCTTTTGTTTCTTTTTTGGCGCGCTCTGTTCTAGTTCTGACACTGCTGACTCGTCGTCGGGAGTGCGCTTCTTGGAGTTTGCAGCGCTAGCGCTACCCTCGGAGCTATCGGCTGCAGGCGCTTTGGTGCCGTTTGTGGCAGGAATTGCTCGCTCGATGGTGGGGATGGGCTCTGCGGGTTCGGGGTCGGGGGGGCCGTTGCGCTCACTGTTGAATTTGTCGAAGCGCGCCATGATGAGGGCCGTAACTTGCTCCTGAAATTACATTTCAGCATAGTCCAGAGATAGTACAGAATAATAGAGCAAGATATACCTTCTGGTGGGAGATATCATAGTCGACCTTTTCCTGCAGGCCCTTCCGTATGCGCTTGGCGGAGATGGTGTTTAGATCGCTGGCGGCAAGGATGCTGTCAATGATGGCCGAGTACGACGCCTCGACTTCCGGGGGGAGAGCTGGATACATGTCGGGTCAGCGCTGTTCCGAAAGCTGCGATAGTGAGCAGGAAGACCTACAAGTCATGGTGGCTGGCGATCTTCAAGCTCCGCTCGCCGCTCGAGAGCAGGGAAGGGACCGAAAAGGTAGAAATAAGTTGCCAGACGTCGATCGGAGAATATTCCCGTCGGCGTGAACCTGCCGCGGCCCGGACTTCGAGACGTGGTGGACGTGGATCGGAAGAGACAGTTGGATGGCAGGATGGTGATCAGATGGCTTCAAAAGGGTATGTGGTAAATGCTCTGGTGGGGGCAGCGGCTCGTATTCCGCAGAAGCAGCGGGAGATTGTGTCACAGCGCGACAAGAGAAAAGCTAAATTGGGGCAGGCGAGAGTTTTGGTGAAGGCAGCATCAGTGAACGAGAGAAGGCCGGCTTGCATGCTCCGTGCGTGTGCGCGTGCGACAAGTGAAGGTGAAGATGCACTGTTGGTTGGAGGTGACGCTACAGGAACCAGCCAATCTAGGACCATGCTGGCCTTGAGCCGGGCTTGAGCCGGGAGGAGGCTGGGGAACCGCATCAACCACCTGCAGCCACCCACAATCGCTCCCACCGAGAGGAACCACCACAGCATGCTTTGTCTGAAGAGACAATGAATTTGGGCACCTTGAATTTGAATCTGAATCTGACGCGGCTATTCACATCACGGCGCATCCGACGCCGTACATTTGCCTCTCCACCTCTCGCTTGAGCTGGTACCAATCAGCCCTACGCTCCGCGAACTCATACACTTCTTCAGCCCTAAAGATCCCATGATACCGGTCTGAGTCAGCAATGATTGTTGCAATGTCTTTTGCGTGGTCCGGCGCAATCAAGTAGATTTGTGATAGTTCCCGCAGTGCGGTGAAATACTGCGTCAGCGATTTGTTGCGCAGCGATGCAATGTATGTGTTGTAGGCGTTCATGTCGCTGTCCCAAGTCAGGAAAAGGAACTCTGCAGGGGGTGATCCCAGTTGAAAGCTTACCTGATGAGCTTGATTGCGCCGTCAACACTGATTCTTTGCCGCTTGAGATGTTTGCATAATGCAGTAAATAGACGCAATCCGACCTCCTGGTTGAAGACGTCTAGCACGTTCTTGTCTGTGCTCCCTACGAGCATGCTGGTGTGCGACGACACAATATCAACTACTTTACTCGCGGTATGGCTAGGGCCAATGTCAAGCATCTCCACTGTCCCGTCTGCGCCCGGTGTAGGATTGAAGTCCGTCGGCAGTTGCGTTGTTCCACACAGGAATTCAACCTCATCCATAAGCACATCAATGCCCTTGTTCAGACCAGCAGCGACCCGCTCATCGAGCATCTGCTCAAATTTTTTCTTTTCCTTGCATGCTGGACTCAGAAAATCATCCCGATCGGTCAAATTGGCGGCCACTAATTCTTGAAGGTAGAACACATCTACCATCTGCTGAATCAAATCGCCCACGTTCACCAGTTCGAGGAAAGCAACAAGCGGCGCAACCCCTTGCTTGCTGTGATCGGCAACCTCTCGCGGTTTGTATTCTGACAAGTGATTGACCGCCTTGTCAAAGCCGGGCTTAATATGACGACCCCCAAGGATTTGGAGAAGCGCGAGGAAGATGTTTTCGCATTGCTCCTTTGCTTCTTCGCCAGACTGGCCACCAAGCCGCACAAACCGCGCTGCTCGCTCTAGGCTCGATTTAGCTGTATGTATAAGGTTCAATGCCACCTCAATACTGAATAACGAACGAATGCCTTCTAAACGGGAATTCATGATAGCTGCTTTGGCAGCAAGCTCTGTGGTTGGAGCTTCTAGGGGACGTGGAGAAGTAGAGCGTTCACCGGGGATAGGCGTGCTCGATCTCGAGGGTGTGTTTAACGCATCGCCATTCATACCGAGTGCAGCAGGTGCTGGTTTACTTGAACCTCCAATTGTGGGAAGAACATTGACAGGCATCATCACCACCTTTTTAAAAGACGTGAGAAAATCTTTCTTTGCTGCTTGGCGGCTGACATTCGACATAAAGAACGTTTCCGTCGACTGTTCTTCGTCTGTCAACCGCTTCTCCCAGACTTCCACCTCAGCAGCCGATTTTCGTTTGAAGAAATCTAGCTCTTCTTGAAGGTATAGGTCGATATGAGGTTCGAAACACCGGGACACAATGTGCATTACATCTTCTTTGAAATTCGGCTTTGAGCCTTTCGTCGGCTTGAGAGAAATAGCGAATTGAAGAGCTTGCTCATAGATACCTGCCACGGCTTTGAGATATATCTCGATGCTGGCATCGTGAGCTTCATCGAAGAGTGAGGTTATGTATTCCGATATGATATCTTCTCCAACGCGGTCTACGAAGGGGAGTAGCACATCGATTGAGGAGGGGAAAACGCGATCAATGATGGCGGCTTCGTCGTTCAAGGATATGGCGAGGCCTTTGAAAAAGTCGTGCGATGGCCTTGATGAAATGTGACCAGGACCAGCGTGTCGCAAACAATCCGCAGGATTCCCCAGCTTCTCCTTATCCAACATCAGTGGGTGATTGTGGATGTAGGAATCCACCCCTGCAGCTCCTCCATTCAAGGTGACTAAAACGTGGGCATATTTCTTCATCCGACCATCGAGGTCTTTTGTCTCAAATCCTTGCTCAAACTCTCGGAGGACGGCGTTCTCGAAAATACCTATCATAGTCTCCAACTTCTCTTCCCGCTGATGCCATCCCTGGGCAGAGTCGCTCTTCGCGAACGTCTGCAGCTGTGCTAGCATCTGCGCTTGTTGCTCAGGGTCTCGATATGTCCGAAAAAGGACGGGATCTGTATGGCTCCTCGACCGGGCGAGATCGAAGTAGAACGGCGCCAGTGCGCCGTATATTTTCCCATACTCTTGCCTAGCCATCCCCCTGATGGATCGAGCTCGCGATAGAATTTTTAGCGCAATATTTGGATCAAGCGGGGGTACTTGCGGACGGGCCGAAACATTCGAGGGAGATGATAAAGTCATGTCGTCGAAACCCTTGTCTAGTGTGGTAGCCCTGGGCCTGACCTTTCGATCCACAGATTTCCGCTGCATTTCTTCCTCTAGTCCAGCGTCAAAAAGGGTCACGCTGGTTTTACGTTCGCCTTCGCTGCCTCCAGCAATACCATTAACACTACTATTCGGCCCCGCATCTGCGTTCCGTGCTTCTTCATCTTTGGCCCGCTGAGCCTCCATCTTTTTCCTCATTGCCTCCTCGAATCTTTGACGAGCTTCGATGTCGTTCCAGCACCCCATGGTTTTCAGTCGCTGGATCCATCGCGTGTCATCGTAGACCATCTCCTGCATTCGTTTCGAAGTCCGAGCGAATCTGAACATATCTGGGACGGGCAGGTAGTCGAGGATCGTGTTGATGAGCTCTGTATCTTTTAGTTCAAAGTCCGTTATAACCTGCTAGGGTGTGTATACCTGCGGGCAATACCGCCTTCGAATCCAGGAGCTGCGTGGTCCGCAGCGAATCCAGGACATGTTGCCTCGACTGCTGGGCCGGAGGCAGGGCTCGCTTGAAGTTGGACTTGGTCGTCATTCTAGGCTGCCTGAAGGTATGGGAGCAATTTGTCCTATACAAGAGGCCATTTCTTCATCTTCGATATTGCAGAGAGGCCGATCGTGGGTGTCGCGTGGGGGAAGCGTTGTTTGATGAAGGAGGCACGTTTCCAAGTGCTGACGCGAGCCCGTCGTCCTCTGCATGGGCTTGAGGACACCAACGAATCCACACGCACGAGACCCGCTTTGGCGGTTACTTGCAGGGGTCTTTCACTTATCGATAAAATTGCACTTATTTGTGGATCAGAATAAGTTGTGACAATTTTCTTTCACAGGCACGAAGTGTCAAGTTACCGAAGAACCGATATCGTCACTCGACCCTTATCACAGCTCACCGGCGCCTGTATGCATTATGACTGGTAAAATAGTAACGCATTCATTATACGGTAGTGTATATATGCACTAAGAAGGGGAGCGTCTTCCAATTACTTCTATCCTCATTCTCTCTGTGACAAAAGTTTCACCTCCAGGAAAAACATCCGGTTGATGACCATCAACTATTTTAGTGTCCGATCCCAGATTCATGCAACAAGTATACCAACATCTTATATCTCCTATTATTTTCTCATGGCTTCTATCGTCCGTTTACAGCGCCGCCATTAATCCAGCGATGGCAACGCCCACCAAGCCTGCGCCAGCAGTCTGAAGAGGAGCGGCCCCAGTGCTCCCGGCCTGGGAAGGGGGCCCACTAGCAGCAGCCCCTGAAACTGAGGTCTTCGCTCCGGTAGACGCAGCTGAGGCACCAGAAGTGATGGCAGCGGTCACGTTACGGCTAGCCCCTGAGGCCGACGGAGCGGCCGTCGAGGCACCAGTCTGGCTGGCAGCGCAGGATGCAGATGTCGGCACAGAAACTTGGTATGCGTTACAAAGCTGGACAGCGACCTTGATGGTTGCTGATCGAGAGTGAGTCAGTAGTGGGCGAGCAAATTGCAGCAGGATACTGACATTCTTGCTCTGTCGGGGTGCAGGTTTGGGAAACGCAGCATGAAAGCCCAGCGATCAATGCTGAGTTTGAGCAGACACATTTGAAGTCGAGAGCGTTGCAGCCGCCCAAGTTGTTGCCAAAGCATGTTTGCTGTTGTTCATTGAGCGATTGTCTTGCGAACTGATTCCAGCTAACTCACAGCGCATTTGGGAAGCTGGTCGAGTTGCGCCAGACCCAAAGAGCTCAATGTGGCGAGGAGAGCAACGACAGAGAGACGCATTGTGATCGCTGTGTGTTTGATAGACGCGCTCTGAACAAAAGCGAGTAGAGGTCAGAGTTGAGGCAAGAGCTGTACAGAGTTTACGCGGGTCGAGGATGCCGCAAGGACGATAAAGTTGCAGACGCAGGAGGGTCAAATAGATTAATGAGCTTCTAGACTGAGCTGGGCCAACTCTCTTGTGGTTGCGCTAGACAGGAGAAATGTCCGAAAACACGAGTCTAGCGAGAACCTCACAAAAGCGGCTCGACCATCGCGACCTGCTACACATCAAGGTTCTGAGTAGGAAGTGCCAACGTCGCTGCAGATGCCTTGTAGCGCGTCGCCATGGTCCAGTTGTTTGAATTCTCACAATTGAAGCTACGTGGTGAAGCTGTGGCAAGCAATGAGCTGCCCCCGCATTGGTGCCCCTGAGTCTGGTGATCATGGGCTCTGGGGTCGTGAGACCAACGGGAGGAACATTTGAATTCTGACATGCCTGAAGACTTCAATGGAATTTCAATATTTCGCTTCAAGCTTTTGTAATGGATAGTATGCGATATTTGTTTGGTAGGGAGTTTGGACGAGGCGTTCTCTCACCCAGCAGTCTTTGGCCCAGTTGTGCGGTTTATGGTTCAAACTGATGCAGGGGAAATATCTCTTTAGACAGGTTAGTTTGAGAAGCTAAGGAAGCTTCCTTCTCTAGGTACGGTAGGCAAACTTGGATTGTGATGTCCAACATCAATCTTTTTGTTCTGTCGTGGGCTTCCTGACTGTGTCGAACAGCTATCATGTGGAATAGGGGGATTGACGGAAAAGGAACTTCAAAGATCTGGCAAGAGTGTTGTCTGAAATTTCGGCCTCTTTAGAGACAGAGGCAGCCGCTCCGATCACACAGATGACATGAAAGGGTCTAAGTCAGTCTCTCACAGGCGAAATCACAGGTGCAGACCATCTTAGCATCCTCAGCATCCACACCATCACCACTTCACCAGAAGGCAAACTGAAGGGCCTGTGAAATCAAAAGCAATGTCCCCAAGAAGCAAGCATCGAGTCTGGCATCAGTTGCCATAGGCTGAACGTGCACTGCCCGAGGCTTCCAGATTGGTAGAGTTGGGCAAATCGCAGGGCTCTCCCCAAGGTGTGCTTTGCACACAAATGCCCTACTTTTGCCTTACCTGAGCACTCAGTCGTGATGTGAAGTCGACTGGAGGGCGCTGGCCAGGGCGCAGCAACAAATAGCAGTTGATGCAAGAGGGCGCAGAAGTTGGCCGCAAGATCTCTCCTGTCTCAGCGACGGGTCGTGTTTCGGGGAGGAGGAGGATGAAGCAGGCGGCCTGGTCGACAAGTTGCGTGAACTGGTCTACTTTGCGGCGAGAAAGCCTCTGTTCCTGCATCATAAGCGGGTTGTGCCCGACTGGACAGCGTGGCGCGCGCACCAGTGTGGCTCGTATGGATGCGACTTGCGACAACTGACAAAATGTCTAATTAGCCACAGTCACGAGCAACTGTGGCCAACATAAAGCGGTCGGTAGCATCGCTATGGCGACTGCTGCGTGAGGGCGACAAAAGGCGACATGGAGGGGCGCGAGATAGATCTTCCATGAAGCCCTCGGCATACATCATCAAACCCTGTCCAATCAGAAATGTGAGGCAAAGCTCCCGCCTAACCATTTTGGGCCCTGGCTCCATGTTCCACATTGACGTCGCCCTCTTGTCTCAGCCCGAATGCCTGCTGTTTAGCATCTTTTGAGACGCCGAAAATGAAGCGAAAACTTGTACCGCCTTCATTGGATATGATTGAGAGAATAATGGGCCAGAGTCTTCTCAGTCTTGTTATGTCCACTTTGAGTCACCGTAGGGTCCTTGTCCTGGCAGAGCTTCACTACTCTGCTCAGTGCGAGTAAGTAGGGCCAACGCACTTGGCCATTGCCCTCTTGCCTTTCCTCTGTGCGTTGCCCTGGGACCATGTGGATATATATTCACACTCACAGCTCAGAGGTCTATCTTAGTATTTAAAGAATACATCTGCAGTACCCAAAGTCCCTAAGTTCCAGCTTTAAAAGCATTGTTACCAAACTACCGCCGTGAATTCCATTTTACCTTCCATCATTCGGCCTCAGACATCATCTTCTCTGCCTGATAACTGAGAGCTTCAATCCTTCGTAGCTTAGCCCAACGAAGCCGCCCCCATACCTCAAGACGCCGGAAAACAATATGAGTCCAAAAAACCCTGACGCCGGCGCACAAACACGAGATGGTGGTGGCGCCGCTTTGTGAGCAGCCATATCGAAATGTTTGAGAGATTGAGAGCTGACTTTCTGTCCACAGTCCCGAAGAGTTCTCCGACTAAACCAGGAACCCAATTTGGAAAAGCCACAATCTCCACCAAGCGTCCTGCAACAACCCACCTCAGAGCACGTTTTCTTCGATGTTCTTTTCCTTCCTCTCAACACGAAGTTGTACGAACATTTCCATCCACCAGCCCACCGCCGCAACACGCGTATCATTTCCCATTTCTGTTTCCGTCGAGGTCTCAAATTTCAATTTCAACCAGATGTTGAAGGTTGACTGGTAGTACGCGCTGCCTCTTTTGGAACGCGCAGGGGCGCAGCCTGGCACAACACCCTTGTCCGTCCAGACAACACCAGCTAGACGTCTCGGGGAGGGCTGTGCGTCCGCCGGTCAAGAGCTTGCCAGCAAGGAGCAGTCTTGAACAATATTCGAAGGACCGGTGGCCGCTTTTTATCAACAGCAGCGACGATCACTTCGGAGCGATCCGGCGAGACCTTGAAGTGAGCCTTGGAGAAAGCCCAAGCCACAGTTGCGCTGCGCCACAACTTTCACAGCCGTGCAGGCAGCAAACCATTTCATTTCCACTTGGAATTCTCGCGGCCACACGTCTGCCTTCATGGTCGCCCCAAATGCCGGCCGGCCTCGAAGTCTTGCTGTCCCTGTGGCTTGGACACGGTGAATGACCCGGGGCTGCTTTCCAAGGCCCTCAGGCGCAAGTCACTCCCCAATTACACCGGCCTCATCCAGAATCTTGAGCTTCGAGAAGCGCGCTAGAAGCTTGGCTGCCTGTTTGCCGCCTGTTCGCCCTGTGCAAATCCGCAGCCCGCCCACCTCATTCGCTCGTTGCGGATGTGTCTTTCCCCTTTGGTCGGAGCGTATTGGACCTTGACAGAAAGATGAGTCTCGTCTTTCCGCCACGGCAATCGTCCCAGCGTCATAGCCAGGAAAAGGCAGATGGTGCCTGTACCTGAGAAGCTGAATATCAATTCATAAGGCATTTTTTGTGGTGGCGGCCTCAGGATGTCCCATTGTATAAATCTCCCTGTGCCTTGCCAACAAGACATTTCAAACTTACAGAAACAGCCCTCAAGTGTGCCTACATATCAATCAACAGGAGCCAAGACATACAGCCACACCTACACAACCAAACCACTTCTACTTGAAAGCATATTTTCCCTCCCACATCCTCACAATGAAAATCAATATCCCCACCCTCAACCTCAAAATCGCCAAAGACCCTCGGGACGGGGGAGCTCCACACCAAACAAAACTGATCCGATCCACATCATCTTCGGAAATGTTCCTATCCAAAGAGGGTAGCGGACCCACACCACGAGACGGTGGTTAACGATTCCAACTCAGATAGTATGTCGGCAAAGCAGCCTTCTACCTCATCCCTAAGCTAACCTATTCAAGGTTTTCTTCCATTATAACTCATGATGGATGTGTTGATGATTCTTCTATATCATCGGCGCCGGACGGCTCTCCAGTCAACCCACATCTCAAGCACGGAGAGACCTGACATTCCTTTCACCACTTATCACCCTCTTGTCGTTCAGTACTTCTCGAATCGTCACTCCTGTTTCCTGCTTCGACCAATACCTTGGGGTTTCTTCGACATCTTCGTATCAGATCGGTTGTGCTGCAGCGTTTGGTAATGCATTAGTATTTGGCGTTGGGATTTTGCGAATCGATTGTGTTCTCTAAACCGTGCTACATATCAACGGAACGGTTGTGTGAACAACAATGGACACATTAGGCTACGGGTATGGATATGGGATTGCATTGATGGCGTTCATAGAATGACAGCGCAACGCTCAAGTCGTCAGAGGGTTTCTCGGGCAACGATTGTTCCGGCTGTAAGACTAACATTGGGACGGCGCGGGATGGGTTGGTTCTTTCTGTACAATATCTGCTGTTTACTGTTTCGTGTTTCTGCCGTGTACGATACTGAGAATGGAGTGGAGATAATTAGAAGAATTTCGACGAAAAAAGACCTTCTCCAACAAAAAGATCCGGACCTGCATGTCACAAGTCTTGGCAATCCCTCGCTTACACAACTTGTCTTTGCTTCTGCAGCGAGTCTCGTCGTGGCACAGCTCGATAACATCACCTCATGGCCACACCCTGCAGCCTTCCAAGGCAACGTCGCGAGTGATATTCTACCAAAGCCGCACGCAACACAGTCAACAATTTCCCCGCGGTCAGCATGACCTTCGCCTGCAATGATGTGCTTGCAGTCCGGCCACTCTAACGTGCATTCCAAGACGGAGCCAAAGTGTTAAATTAGCTAATAGGAATTCCGAAAGCAGCCCAAGGGCCCAAAAACGCAACGCTGTTTGCGCCCGGCGGTCACAGTCCATTGCTAATTCCCTAACTCTTTGCTAACAGAAAGCTGCTCGAGATGCCGTCGGCTTCGTCAGGGCAACACGAGGCCCGGACCTGCGAATAGATGGGCCTAGCTGGTCACGCTGAGGGGCAGAAAATGATGATTCCTTCGTGACACACTCCTGGCTGCTGCTTCGTTCTCTTGCCCGGCCGCGTAGCTGGGAGGACGCTTGACTGACGTGCTTTCCTTACCGTCCCGGGTGGTCCTCATTGCCATTTTGCTTGCGGCGAGAGGAGCCAAGAGAAGGTATATAAGAGCTGCCTTGTTCGCAGAAGGTCGCGTCATATCCTCCCTGTCTTTCCCAATCCCACTTCCACCTACTTAATCATCTTCATCGCCCTCTTCTATTTCTTACAAGAGCTTGTCTTTGAACCTGCTTGTGTCACGCCCTTGTCTCACAGAGCTTCATCTCTCAGAACCTCAGAACTCTTCCTCCTTCAAGCAGCATGGGCTTTGGAGATTCCTCACGTATTGCTTCCCATGGCCGCGGAGGGGCTGGTAAGCTTACTTTCCCTCTCACCCAATTCATAGTTCTCCTCTCCCTATGTTCAATCCATTGTTGTCGAGGTTCCAGCCAAAATGCCATTTTCCCGTCCTTCCTACCCACCAATCCACAAACCCCTCTTACTAATGACACTTTACAGGCAACATCAGCAAAGACGACCCCAATGCCTACACTAACCCTAACGACCTCATTACCCCAACCCTGAAATCCGATCACTACACGACAGGACGAGGCGGCTCTGGCAACATTGCAAAGAACGACCCAATGCACCCTGAACTCGCTCGCGCTAGCCAGGACGTCGACGCGCCTATTCACCGAGACTTCGAGGGTCCGCACCACTTCGGCCGCGGGGGAGCTGCAAATATTGTCACCCCAAGTGAGGAAGAAGTGCGAATTGCGCGCGAGCAGAATCAGCGAAAGAGCGACGAGGCCAAGCGACAGGAAGGCGCTACCCCGGGTGACGTTAAGGGCCTTGTTGACAAGGGCAAAGACTTCCTCTCCAAGCTTGGTGGGAAGAAGTAGACGTCTGTCTGTCAGGCTCTCTTCTAGCGAGTATACTAAAATTTCCGGTCCCCACCTTTTTCCTAAATTCTACCACTTCCATTGTGATATCCCTGGCGCATGGCCATGCGAGTTCATCGAGGAGCAGGGTCTGGCTTGAAACGTGGATGGAATGGAGTTTATGGGATTTTCTCCAAAAGTTTTCATTTTATCTTTGATGCTCGAGAATAGATACGAATCGAATAGCTCGATATGCAGGTCAAGCATGCGTGTATTGACCACATTAGTTTAATATTGGTCTGAATGATACCTCTCCTACCCCCAAGTCTATCAAAGTCTTCGAACTATCGCATTCTTACACTTTGCCATCCACACTAGGCCAATCACCACATCACATCCATCACGGAGGGTCCACCCGGAAAGGCATTGGTTCGCCTCACCCCAACTCATCTCTTGCTTCGTGTCCCGGCAGTGCTGATCCGGGGTAGTGGGGCATTCGTGCGCAGCGTGCCGACGCCCTGTTGAGCGACCTCGTAATCAGATTGCATTAGCGTGCTTGAATATAGTTAGCTGGTGGCTGAGACTGGTCAGCTCTGGCTGGTTTTGAGATCTGGCAGGGACGGGAGTAAAAACCTGGGTACTCTGTCACGTTACGGACCGCAACTTCTTAATCCTGCTAAATCGATTTTAAGATTTTAGATTTTGTACACTATCTCAGATTGGTATCCCTAAAGCAGTTGCTCTGTTCTGTTCATTTATTCGGCTTCGTCCACATCTCCTGAGCTTTCAGCTTCGTTCGTGGTGCTTTTCTTTGGGACTTCGAAAACAGCAATGCCGGTTCGGCCCTTCCCTTCCATCCATCGACCTAATCTGGGCTCTTTTCCAACCGCCGCTACAATGCATAGCCCTGCTTTGCCTCGGTCTCCTCTCTCGCAGACGGACAGGCCGTTGACGATACCTCGTACTAAGATTGAGTCTGCAGTCTCATGAAGCCCATTGACCCCATTGCCGTTGACAAGCCGCTCTCCATCAACAGCAACCCGACCAACTTTCCCTAGTTCTTCGATAGATCGTTTCTCAGACCCAACACGCCATGCTCGTATCCATCCGTCCCAGCTCGCGGATAGGATTAGATCTGCGAACGGTACTGTTGTGAGTGCTGTGATGTACCTTGGTAAACGTGGGCCTTTGACGCCTTTTTCTATGGCATGGACATCTGCTGACAGTTCGTCTGGAGCAAGTGGCGGGTCGCGTCCGTGAGCCAGTGGAAGAGTAAACAGTGGTTTCTTCTTGTTGATAGCCCATAGAGAGAGTGCCCCGTTGTCTGAGCCCGTGACGAACAGTCCCGTATCAAGGAGGGCAACGCAGTCAATCGAACCTTCCGCATACGCAATCGGGGGGTCGTCGTCATGGTTATGAACATCATTTGCCTGGGATTTCGGTCTGTCACCTTCGTGGCTAATATTACCCCCAAATCGTCCCTTGCGTAATTTATCCATCCCTTTCTGCTTTGCAGAACCACCGCCCCTGAAGACTAGTTGGCTTTCTTCGACGACTTTCCATAATCTTGCAGTGCGATCTCGTGCACCCACGCTGACACATGTCTCCTGGTTGGTGTCCAGCCCACCTGCAATACCGATCACGGAATCCTGGTGGCCGAAGAGGGTTTCGATGTAGGCAAGCTCGGGGCAACTCCAAATTTTGATAGTGCGATCTGCGGAGGCTGAGAAGAGCTGTTCAGTGCCTCTTCGAAACGACAATGAGGTAATGGCCGCACGATGTTGTGTGAACAGTTTGCGGGGTGTTAGGGTATCGGCATCCCAAATGATCAGTCGAGCGTTTTCATCCCCTGTTGCTAAGAATTTTCCGGAGTCGGATATAGCAACTGATATAATCGCAGCGGTGTGGCCGAGATAGTCACGGTCTTTCGCCTTGTTCTTGTTGCCCTTTCTCCAGAATAGTCGTTTCGGTCTTCGTCGAGGGAAAAAGTTCGTTGGTCTTTCCGTATCTGGAGCATTGTACGTCTCTGGGTCGAAAAGCTCCCACTTAGAAACCATTAAATCTTTGCTTATAGTCCAGACATGCGGGAGGAGAGCTGCACATCCAGTCACCGAGTGCTGCCGATCCGATTTTCCAAAAACATAATCTGCCGAAACAAAATCTAGAGTATTCGCGATCCTCCTATAGATCTTTCCCTTTGTCTCAGCTACATCCTCTTTCAGTCTTTCAGCAATCAAGTCCCGGTCTATCTGTTCGGCATCAAACCCCACATCCTCTTCTACCTCATTCCGGATGTTGTCAAGGTAACGTTCGGCGAGTCGTAATCGCTTTTCGGCCGCGGTCTCGATTTCATCTTCCGAAGAGCCGGATCCGTCCTGTTCTGCAGACTCGAAAAACTCATTGCCTTCGTCGTCCGAACTTCCACTTCCTGAAATTGAGTCGTCTCGCTCTGTTCGGCGGGGCGCTTTGGTGGATGAGGTTGAGGATGCTACATTTTGTTTTTTGGCAGCAGGTATGGGGGGCTCGGTTCTCTTCCGTTTCCGCTGAGAAGCTGGTGCCGTGAAGAAGGACGACATTATGGGAGAATTCTATGACGGAAGGTAAATAAGCTGCGACATGAAGCTCTAGAAATTTATGTCGGCGATGAACTTTTCTGATCCCGATCGGTTATATGTTTTTCCGGTAATCTGGCCTGTGCTTGACGCCAAGACGCAGGTCGAGCTTCACAGTGCGAAGTGAACGATAAGCTTGACCACCTACCACCGCCATCACTGCCCGTCGTTGCCCGTTGACCTCCCTCCACTTCATTGAAGAAATTCTTTAGTCGCAAATTAGCTTCTCCGGAGCCAGTTGTCCACCCCTCCCCCTTACCGAACTAACCTTTACTGTTTACACAGCTTTGTCGCCTGTAGCCCGCCTTCGGGAATCCGCAACTCCCCTCAACAACACCATCCTACGCATTCGCTATGAGCGGAAGCAGTGACCCAGAGAGAGAGCATGCTCTTGAACAATACAAGGCGAAACTTTTGGAGTCGAGAGAGTGGGAGGCAAAGTTAAAGGCGCTACGGTTAGACATTAAGGGACTCCAGCACGACTTCGATGTGTCAGAAGACAATATCAAGGCGCTTCAGAGCGTAGGCCAGATAATAGGGGAAGTTCTCAAGCAGCTTGATGAGGAGCGATGTGAGTCCCCATATGTCTACCCTGTCGCATATTAACCCTGCAACCAGAACTGGAAGCTAACATTACCTAGTCATTGTCAAGGCCTCCTCAGGGCCTCGCTATGTCGTTGGGTGTCGTTCCAAAGTCGATAAAGTAAAGCTCAAGCAAGGAACTCGCGTTGCGCTAGACATGACCACGCTCACGATAATGCGAATGCTACCCCGCGAAGTCGACCCGCTCGTCTACAATATGTCTTTGGAAGACCCCGGACAAGTCAGCTTCGGAGGCATTGGTGGTCTGAACGAGCAGATTCGAGAGCTCCGAGAGGTTATTGAGCTTCCACTCAAGAACCCCGAGCTCTTCCTTCGAGTCGGCATCAAGCCCCCCAAGGGAGTGTTACTGTACGGGCCACCCGGGACTGGAAAGACGCTGCTAGCTCGAGCGGTGGCAAGCAGCCTGGAGACAAACTTCTTGAAAGTTGTGTCTTCCGCTATCGTCGACAAGTATATTGGAGAGTCAGCACGTCTCATTCGAGAGATGTTCGGCTACGCAAAGGAACACGAGCCTTGCATCATCTTCATGGACGAAATCGACGCTATTGGCGGACGAAGGTTCTCTGAAGGCACATCCGCAGATCGGGAGATCCAGCGAACGTTGATGGAACTGCTCAACCAGCTGGACGGTTTCGACTATCTCGGACAGACGAAGATCATCATGGCAACAAATCGACCCGATACCCTGGATCCTGCCCTCCTTCGTGCTGGACGATTGGACCGAAAGATCGAGATCCCGTTGCCGAATGAAGTGGGTCGTCTGGAGATTCTTAAGATCCACGCCAGTGGCGTGCAGACGGAAGGTGAGATCGACTTCGAGAGTATCGTCAAGATGAGCGATCAGTTCAACGGAGCTGATTTGCGAAACGTCGTCACTGAAGCGTAAGTCCCAACTCCAATCCACCCTAGGCTGAAGCTAATACATTTCAGCGGTCTCTTCGCCATCAAAGACTACCGAGACGCAATCAACCAAGACGACTTTAACAAAGCAGTGCGCAAGATGGCCGAGTCGAAGAAGCTAGAGGGCAAGCTCGAGTACCAGAAGCTATAAGGTGGGGCATTCTCAAATGGCGCATTTGGGAATGGATGATGGCACTGCATGAAAAACCGAACCACCCATCATGTATAATAGCAAGTTATCTTAGTAGCAGAATCACCCATTCTGCGGAGACTCATGCATAGTCTACTATCCTTGTCGTTGTGTCATACATCTGCCGTATGTCTGACAAGACCCATCTCAGTTCCAGCTCCTTGAAATAGTTTGGGCTTTCGGAAACTTTCCTGAACCCCACACTCTCAAAGAGTTTGATGCTCCTCACATTTCCCTCATCGATCTTGACTCGTAGGTACTTGAGATGACCCCCTGACTTTGCTCCACCATGACTACCGTGGTATTCGTGCAGAATCTCGGGAAGGTACGATGCGATGTACCATAGGAAACTCGACAAAACGCTCTTTCCTAGACCCTGTCCTTGGAGATCTTTCCGAGCAATCATGATCTCTATCTCTCCAACTACAGCTTGCTGGCCTTTCTCCATGTTAACACCATTCGTCGTCTTGTTCTCGTCCTCGTCCTCATGATCCCCATATAGAAACAAGTTGACATCGCCGATCATAGTAGTTGGAGAGTCATCTTTGCCAGGAATAATCTTTAATCTTCCATCCTGTAACTCCTCGGATGAAGAAACTGCAGAATTTGCACATGCGATGAAAGTAAGTTTATCGGCGTCGTCGCGCCAGCTTGTTTGCATGTCGTATTCTTGCAGGAGAGTGAGAGGCTCGGAGGCTGTTGCTATTTGGAGGTCTTCATCTTGCATCCAGGAGTGGTAGGTTGGCACATGGTGCTTTGAATAAGGCACCAGCAAGACTTTAGGATTGAGGATGGCTGAGGAATAGTTTTAGTTGAGGGTTTTGGGGGAAGAGGGGAGGTGGACCTTTGTGTTCGTTGAGTTTCATGTTTGGAGCTTTAAGCTGGTCCTCTTACTGTTATGGGGATATTTATTTTGGGAAGATGTGGGCATTCCTGTGGGTGTGAGGCAGAGCCGAATTTGATGCTGAGTGAGGGTTCGAGAGGGCGAGGTGATTGGCTAAACCAATTTGCAACGGTGTTGAGAGAAGACCTCGGTCTTTGCTCAACTCATGCTTTGAGGATCAGTTAAGTCCCTTTCCACTCACATTTACCAGACCTCCATCCAAGAAAAATTTAATCCACAAGCTCTAGATTCTTTCGCGAGAATTTCCAACATGTAGCACAGGTGGAGGTAGCCTAACATGAATTCGACCATCAACGAATATTTACGTTCATTTTGACCCTCTTTGAAAGCCTTGGGTTTTCCCTTTGACTCGTCGGCTGGTTAGTTCTGAGGTGGTTTGACGGATAAATCATTGGTCTGCCGGCAACTACCGAGGAATGGAGGACAATCCCAACCTTCAACCTCTCCCGTAAACTCGAGCCTATCATAGCTCAAGACCTACTCTTGCGTAATCACTTGAATCTAATGGCACTTCAAAGAGTTTTGGTAACTGGTGGGACTGGATTCTTGGGCTCAGAGATCGTGAAAGCGCTCGTCAAAGCAAAAAGCTACGAGGTCACCGCCGTTGACATCAATCCCCCTGCTCTGGGCACCTCAACTTTCTCTCACGTCCGCTACGTGAGAGCCAACGTACTTCATCTGGAAGAGTTGGTGAAGGTGTTTAACGAAGCGAAACCCACTATTGTTGTTCATACCGTGGGGGTGTATACCCTCGGACATGCACGGTACAGTCGGAAAGGAAAGGATGCTATTTTCGCGATCAATATCCGGGGTACGAAGAATGCGATTGCGGCGGCGAAAGAGTGTGGGGCCAGGGGATTCGTGTATACATCTTCGATTGCTGTGCTAGGTGACGAGATTGATGCGGATTTTGCGAATGTGGATGAGACGTGGCCCACTGGCAGTGCAACCCTGGTGTACGGGCAGAGTAAGGTACATATATATCCACGGATTCATCATCGCTCATACCTTTCTGTTTCTCAGCCTTACCATGAAATGCCGTTCCTCTATCTCCTCTCAGATTTATTGGTAAAAGCGTCGCCGCTCTTCTTAATCTCCGAGAGTTTTCTACCCTGACAAATCCCTAGTCTATTGCAGAAACCTCCGTTCTCTCCTCCAACGCTTCAGATTTCCTCACTTGCAGTCTCCGCCCTGCAACAATCTTCGGCCCCAGAGACCCAGCCTGCGTCCCCATCCTCCACTCCTGCATAGCAAAAGGCGAAACCCCATTTGTCATTGGCACAGGCACCAACCTCTGCGACTTCGCCTACGTCTCCAATGTCGCAGATGCACACGTCCTCGCGGTCCGCAACCTCACCACGACCGGCACTGCCGCTGGCCAAGCCATCTTCATCACTAACGGTGAGCCTGTCGCTTTCCGGGACTTTTGTATAGCGGTGTGGAAGGAGTTTGGTCATGTCCCGCCATTTCAGGTGAGGATTCCAGCCGGGTTGGCCTGGTGGCTTGCAGCGATTGCTGAAGGGGTGGGATGGGTGGTGGGGAAAGAAGGATCGTTGTGTAGGGGTGCAGTCAGAGATGCGACGGCGGTGAGGTATGTTAGTCTGAAGAAGGCGACTAGAATTTTGGGATACGTGCCGAAAGTCAGTTTACCAGAAGCGTTGAAGATTACTTGTGAGGTGAGTTGACTTCGAAATATGAAGACTAGAGTATGCTAATATGACTCGTAGCACTATAAACGGCAGGTTGGAAGTTAATGATATGATGCATCCCCTTTAATTTCTCGAGTATCTAGACATGTAATTGGAACTCACTGGCCCGAAGTTTGGCTTTAAGTCTGGTCACAGTATTGCTGAAACCATGCCGAACCTTTTGAACTTAGGGACAACATACGATCTCGGGATTCCTAGTCATCGTAACCGGCCGACATGAAGGATTTGATGTATCATCATTCGTAATTCGGAAACCATCAAAGACCAATTTGTGGTAGGTTAATTCGTCGCCCAGGGAGCAACATAGCCAATCTTCAACTCTCTCACTACCTGTAAAGGAGACAAACACGGTTCAGGTTCTGTGGTTCTTGTCTATGGCAAGCTCATGCAATGTCCGTACGATCTTCTCGTGGCGGGAAACGGCGATATTGACCAGCAGCCTTCTCTCCTTGTGTTTCCATCTTCTATGCCCTATCGGGGACCTGTGCAGCGAAGGTTCCACAAATCCGATGTATTCGCCAGAAGGCGCACACATTCTTCCCACACGCAAGAAGATCTTGCGAGATTTATGATACTTGCTGTGAAGAGTTCTCTAGAACTGCGGTGTTCACAGAAGTTGAGTACGCAACCCGGGTTACCGCGTTTGGGGGCAGTGGCAGTCAACCGTGCCTACTCTAAATAGCGAGAAGCCGACAAATGGATTTGCCCCTCGCTCCCCACCTTTTAACATCTTCCTCCACTCCCTCTCTTTCTCCTTTTTAACTTCCTTCCTTCTGTCTAGCGTGTATTCTGTGGGATTTCTACGGTGGGGTTCAAACGGCAAGTCCTCACAATCCTCTTTGCTCCTACGGGGTTTCCCGACGAGTCAAGCCTTCTTGGTGAGAGGTCTGGAGTCTACCAATAAATCTTGGGCCTTCTGTTATGTCTAGAGCTTCGCAGTTTCCAGTGAACTCTTCTCTACCTGGTAGCTGATGGGTTTACATAGGCCTAAATCTTTCATCACTGGGAGCTTAGGCTTGAGATACCCTTAATTTCTCGACGGCCTTTAAGTCTTCAACACTTCAATCCTTCCATTTCGACGGGGATTACAGGTGTTCCATATCCACTGGGGGGGGGGCTCGAAGAACTAGTTGTTCTCCATCGCGGCAGTTGGTGGGTAATTGGCTTATCCAACCAGCTGGGAGCGAAGCTGACGACTTGCAGAACAACAGAGCAGTAATGTCAAACGTAATTTCTCGTGTTGTAGTTGAACATCTAAAGCCAGATGGACAACAAAGCCAGGTTCTGGACATCGTCCTCCCGTCCGCAACAGACCAGGCCTCCGAAGGGACAGATCAGCTGCGCCGATTTCCAACAGAGGTCCGTCTTATGATATTCGAGGAACTCTTGATCGTCTGGCCAAAGACTGTGTTCAGAGGGGCGTATGAGTTTGGCCCGCTCGACAAGAGAGAATTCGACGAAGAGATCGACGTTCCATGGCAGATTCTCCAGACTTGTCGTAAGTACCATGATGAAGCAGCTCCCATCATGTACGGGAAGAACCGGTTTGTCTTCTGCACTGGTAAACATGGCGAACCAGGGGAGTTCTGGCGATTCCCGGTTAACATCCACTATCTACAATACGTTACAGACTTGGGCATATATTTCCGGGCCGACAGCCCTGATGAGCAAGGTTCACAGAGGGTCGCACATTTCCTCAAAGCTATTTCCCGGCGGGCTACCAATCTCAAATATCTTGTGGTTCTCGTATCTTCTGATCGATTCTACGAGGCGAAATGTCCGTGGGATATTCTATTCTTCCATCACCCAGTTTGCGAAGCGCTCATAGAGCTCATTGAACGGAGGACGGCTCAGCACTTGAAAATTCGTCTCCACAATGGAGCTTTGCTTTTCCCTTCTTTAGCTCATTTCCTGGACCAGACTTTCAGGAAGAATGGGCCTTCGGCGGATCGATCGCTCACTTTCACTTCCTCTTGTACCTGTCCCAAAGGTTGTCCCCATCACCCGACAGACGTATGCTTTCTATGCGATTGGCCGAAGCAGCAGAAGGAGAGCAAACCCATCGAAAAAGTTGTGTCCCATCTGTGCAGTGTCGAGTCGTGTGAGGGGCGTATGATGGAAATGCAAGATGACCTCTTCGAGCATGGTATCTTACCCCTAGAAGAGGATTCTGAGGGCGATAGTGAGGGCGATGACGGCGTTGAGTTCGGCCTATTTGTGGCGGGACTTCCATTTGAGGATGACTATGACGAGAGCCGACTTGGATTCAGTTCTGGCTAGTATGAGTTAAACTCTCTACATTTGCGAAGTCTCACTAACTTCTACAGCCTTCTCCCTGGCCAATCACGTCGTTATCGAAGTCAGATAACGGCCCCTGAGGTGTGGTCCTTTCGACAGATGACGCTCCTTGAATTCTTCAAGGTCATCGAATACGGCCAATACCTCGACATGGTATTCGGCCCGGCTGGCTTCGAATCTTAAGCGTTTCTCTCCCTGAAAGCAGTGTTTAGGCAAGTTTCCCACAAGGTCGCATTAATTCTTAATTCATATCCCTTCACAACCCCCCGCCAGACATATTTTGCGTCCACAAGCTCCTACTCCCAACTCTTTCCTGCACTAGACCAATTCCCCTCCACTACCTTTGCTTTGCATAGACAGGCTGTCTACTTCTGTATTGGCTTCTTTTTGTGTCATATGCTTCCTGGCGAGGAGGAAGAGAAGGAGAAGGAAGAGAAGGAGAAGGAAGAGAAGGAGGAGAAGGAGGAGGAGGAGGAGGAGGAGGAGGAGGAGGAGGAGGAGGGAGAGGTGTAAGAAGAGGTGTAACTATATCCCTACCATATGAATAATATGTCTATGAAGGGTAATGAAGGGCAAAGGATGTTATATCTGGTGGACACAGCCAGCATCCATGTGCGGATGTAGGGTAGGAGTAGAGTACTAGCTAATATGCTAATGGAATCTCGCATACATATAACTTGGTCCGATACTCTTGCGAACATATCATGCTCATGATGTTAGTAGTTGTTAAGTTCTCCCCTGTCCTTGGGCTCCCTGTACTGTGTCTGTTCTCTGCTTTCTGTGTTCACATATCCTAAAACCATACACCTGAATTTCCCTGTTATACATGGAGTCTACTCCCCAGATCCCTTCATATAATGAACCCCTTACATCACACTAATTTCTCTGCCTCTTCTAACAACTGCTCAACCCGAAACCTGCCATCCCCTCGCGTAAACATCTCCAATAGCTCCCCTCTCCCTCTCCCTTCCGCTCCCACAACATAGAACTTCTGCATACACATAACCAGCCATCGCGCTTCGTCCACACTGACGCCCCGGTTTGCGACGACGGTTCCCTGCCCGAGGACGAGATCGTGCGAGTCTGCGAGCTCGGAATGGAAGGTTATGGTTGTGTGAGGGCTGGCGTATTCTCCCCGGAGCTTGTATTCGGCAAGGGAAGCAAAGAGGAGGGTTGTGGTGAAGGGGTGCGGGTGGGCGAACTGGAGGAAGTGAAGTTCGGCCGCCTGGGGGGGAGATGGTGGGGTTTCTGAGGAGGTGGATGTTGTGATATTGGTGGAGATTTGCCGAGGGAGGGGGAGGACAAAGGAGGGGTGTTTTTTTGCGTTCTGTAGGAGTGAGGAGAATGTTGAAGAGGGGAGGGAGAAGTGCAGGGATTGCGGGTTTGAGGCATGCCGGAGGCGCCAGAGGGTTTGGATTTCTTTGGCGGGGAGTGGGAAGATTTTGGAGAGAGTGAGGAAGGATTGGAGGGTTTTTACTCCGGGTGGTGGTGGTGGTGGGGTTGATGTGGGGGATTGAGGTGTTGGAGGAGGTGATGGTGGGTGGAATGGCTGACTCGAGGAGATTGTGGGTGACAGTGTGGGTGGTGGTGGTGGAGGTGTGAGCGGTGCGGTTTCGCCTGGGGCTGCGGCTTGTTTGCGGAGTCTTTCTATCTTGTCTTTATACGCTTCTTTTAGTTGTGAGATGTCCTTAAGGCCTTCTTCTTTTGCTTTTGATTCTAGTTTGTCTTTGTATTTGGCCAGTATACGCTCTTGCGTCCCATGGGTTGCAAGAAAGCGGACGTCTTGGACACGAGCCCACCGCCGTTGACAGATTCGGGGGTTCCAGAGCGGTTGGGGGAGGAGATGCCGTATCGTTGGTGTGGTCGGTATGCGGACGGAGGCTACCATGGTAAGTCGGCCACGGAGGAAAGAATGTTAGTGAAGGAGTGTGGAGCTTCAGGAAGCTTGATATCGGATAGGAGGTCAAAGGAAATCTAGGCTGGGCTCAATTGACGATATCACTGGAATGTTCATCATGGAAGCTTCTGCATCAAAGTTTAGCCGAGATCCGAGATCGCCAAGAATCGGCCCGTCTTTGTTGCTTCTTCGGACAGACTTCAAGCCTCGGGCGCCGCAAAAAAGAACAGGGACTGCACTGCACCACACCTCGGAGATTTGGCTAGGTTATCGATTCTCTTTGCCAACCCCGATTGCGTGAACAGAGAACAGATGGGCTATCCAACTCGCTTTTCATCCTTATGAAGCTCGGGTCGATGCTGATGCCCGACAGCGTTGTGCCTGAGGCCGAAACAGGGGTGGCTTACAGTCCTCAACTGAATGGGGATGGAGGGCCGGCTTCTATTATCAACATGTCATCTGCGCCCGTCATTCCTCATCCACAAGTGATCTTCGATGTTGCTTGTGCGCTGGTGACGCCCGCTTCGAGTACTAATTCCGCGCACACATGTCTCGAAAGTTCCGTAAGAATAGCATGGGGCCGTCGACGCGCATGCACACAATAGTTCTGCCTGCGAGATGACGGGCGTCGCGACGCAAACCGTGGCTGAAGACTCCATCGGAACGGTTATGTCTCGTGAAGGTTGCACGGTGCCTGAACGCTTTCTGCCGAGTGGGCTCGTCGGACCACTTGTTTCCACGGTTCTGCATTGCATCTCTGTCCCTGGCTGTCCAGGTACGTGGCGTGTGAGTCGTTGCTGCTTCTCGTGGCCCTCGCCTCTTCCTGCGCTTCCTGCGCCGCCTTGTCCTTGGTGTGTGTGACCATCCCCAGCGCCGCATCGCAACCTACCCCTCGACTTGCGGAACTCAACCACGCCAGAGCCCCCCATTCTTCTATCCCCTCGACGCTCACCGACAACCGCACCAAGCTCCACAGTGTTATCCGTCAAGCTTTTATCCCGCCATACCCGCATACCGCCCTCACCCTGCGTGCGCCTCTAACAATACTACGTAGCGCTACCTCCCGTCGTCCCTCCAATTCATTTCCGCAACCAGGCACATATTAATTACGCATCCAATCCTGGAGTTGCTGCGAGTCCCGCGCCAGATATCCTCGACTCTCGACTGCCTCCGTCCGCTTCGGGACAGGCATGTTTCTGCGCCTGCACACGTTCACGCCCGCGACTTGAGCCACTTCTGCATCAGCAAGCTGGCTATAGCACTTCGTCTTGGGTATGGGGGCTGTCAACAGTAGACTCGACGACGGAGGGGCCCTGTTCCTGCGGGACCAGAACCGATGTATGGAGCTCGAATTCCCTGATTTGCTCCTGAAGACGTCACTAAACCTTTGCAGTCTCCGTTGCGTCGCTCTCTATCACAAATGGCCGCAACCGTACGCTTCTGAACATCTCGCCGAATGCTTTCCCCTCGAACAGATATAGTGCGAAGAGAGATGTAGGGGATGACAGCGTTATCGAATATATACAGGTGGGCACACCCCGATCTGGAGGTTCTCGATGCTAAACATGAGGTTGTAGGACCCCGAATCACTCTCCTCCGGCGGACTGCCATCCTTTCTCATCCGCTTAACAAACGACGAAGAACTTACTTTCAACTTCACATTTATCATTCGCCAAGCACAAGCTCCTCCAAGTATATACAATGTCAATAATGCCTCTACCATTACCCCAAATGGACTCATCGATACCGTCATTAATGGCCTCACGTTTGTCTTTGCCCCCAGTACAAAGGACTTGGACAATTTGGTCACGAGGGAGTTTCACGCAAATCCAAATCTTCACAAAAATCCCCAGGTGGAGTTGGTGGGTGATTATTCGACAGGTGGAAGCGCCTCAGTTCAGTTCGAATGGTCCTGGAGATGGAAACCTCCGAAGTCAGGCGAGGATCGAGGCGGAGGATGGCGTACAAGCTGCAGTGTTAGTTTTTGCCTTACTCATTTGGAAAATTTGCTGATCAGAATAGTTTGTCGAGTATGACCAGCGTGCACACCGATTAGACACATTAGCAAGCTTCGCATTCTGGGTCCAGAGTACGTACACAGTCCATCGCATTGACCTCACGCGCTGACACACATAGACACACAACGTCAAGTTCAAAGCCCAAAATCCCCCTCGCCGCGGCTAGAACTTGGTGTACCTCCAAGACTCAGAGTCCCCTCCGCACAGTCGATTGAATCGCGCGTCAGTGATTCGGATGAATATAAAGATACCATGGATTATATCCCTCCAAGGTCTCCGACTATTGATTCCATACCGGAATATGGGCTTGGATTAGTCCCAAGCCAAGCAACAACGCTGACCAGTAACACCGTCAAGGTGGACGTCAGCTGCCAACGTCCCAGCGAGGACTTGAGTCAGACTGAGGATGGACCTCTCTTCAGAGCGACGATGAAGTCTCTGGAACAAAGGACCGGCAATATGCGCACAAAGTGGAAGAAGGTTCTCAAGCGCGCCGAAGCAGCGCTCGAAGCCCAGGTCAACTGCAACAGTGCTATGTCGGATTTGATGGAGGCTCTTCGAGAAGCTTCCTCGTCAAACGCAAACGCAGTACAACCCGCAATTGACCATTATTTTGACAAGATCGCCAAAGAAATCTTGTCTTACGAAAAGTCAAATACAACCAACATCCAGAAGCTCATCATTGAACCCATTTCTAAGCTGTACAATGTCGATATTAAACAAGCTGAAGCTAAGAAGAAGGACTTTGAGGAAGAAAGTAAAGAATACTATCAATATGTCAGCAGGTATCTCGGCCAACGGCAAGATTCACTCAAAGAGAAGAAGCGTGCCGAAACCGATTCCAAGTACCAATCGAAACGCCGGAACTTTGAGCTCAAGCGGTTCGACTATTCATCTTTCATGCAGGATCTCCATGGGGGACGGAAAGATCAAGAAGTCTTGTCACACTTGACGAGATATGCGGATACGCAGGCTAAGAATTACCTTGACACAGCAAAGAAAATCGAGACGATGATACCACAGCTAGAAGCATTGAGCTTCGAGGTGAAGGAGGTGGACAAAGAATTCCAGCTCCAGAGGACTGAAAGGGAGGAAAAGAGACGATTGTTGGAAAAGAGCAAAAAGCCCTACGACGAACCGCCACCATCCCAAGTGGTCCCAGCAACCCCTTCAAATGGGAGCGTAGCTCGTCCAATTGGATCATCTGACGCAGATCTCCCTGGACGGAAAGGCAGCGTTGCTCCCGTTTTCCAGAGTACAGTTAGCCCTCCTCCACCGGCCACTTCATTATCTAGCCTTCCTTCATCTATAACATCACCGCAAAGTCCCGAATCTAGTCAAGCTACCCTACCTGTTGGAAGTCCGAATCTGAACAAGTTCAAAGGAATTCGTGACTTAGAAGATAAGGATCACGCCTTCTTCACCGCGGGCCGCGAAACGAGCCACGGTGCACACAGGAAAGAGGGTCTCTTGTGGGCCCTCAGCAAGCCAGGCAGCCATGTTGACCCCAAGGGGCTGAACAAACAGGCTTGGCACAAGTAAGTTACTCTTTCGCGCAAGACAGACCCTTGATTAACCTTCCCAGATTCTGGATTGTTCTCGACCAGGGGAAGCTCTCCGAGTACACTAATTGGAAGCAAAAACTGGACCTTCATATTGACCCAATTGACCTTCGAATGGCCTCAGTCCGAGAAGCACGCAATGCGGATCGCCGCTTCTGTTTCGAAGTCATCACACCTCAATTCACACGAGTCTACCAGGCCACTTCAGAAGACGATATGAAGACCTGGATTTCAGCTGTCAATAATGCCCTTCAAAGTGCTGTTGAAGGGACGGGCAAGAACGACCGTATTTCTACGGATTCTTTACCTGGATCAACCAGACGGGATATTGCTTCCGTTCTCACTGGGAAGAGTTCATCACTTTCTAATCATCGAAATAACTACAGCTCGAAAACCCCCGCGCGACATGCCACAGTCGGTGATCGGCCCTCATACCGGAACATAGAGAATACCGGCGACGACGGCAAGCTCTTGCAGCAAATCCGCGATGCAGATGCTGGGAACAAACTCTGCGCCGATTGTGGATCAGAGAGCAAGGTGGACTGGGTGTCCATCAACCTTGGCATTGTCATTTGTATTGAGTGCAGTGGCATTCATCGCTCTCTTGGGACGCACATCACAAAAGTCCGGTCACTCACGCTAGACACGAACTCTTTCACTCCCGATATCATCGAAATTCTCCTCAAAATTGGCAACCGCGTCAGCAACATGGTCTGGGAAGCGAGGCTCGACCCAGGGCTGAAGCCGTCTCCAACTTCAACTCGAGAACAGCGACTCCACTTCATCACATCAAAATATGTAGATCGTGCTTTCGTTGCTCCCATCTCTCCAACCCTCTCACACTACGCTACTCCCGAAGAGACCCTCCTAGCCTCTATTAAGAAGAACGACATTAAAAACGTTCTCTATGCCCTATCCTTACGGGCGGATCCGAATGCGAAAGATCGATCGCGTGGAACGCATGCCGTATTCCTAGCTCTTGCCGCAGCTGATCCTGCCTCTCCATCAGCGTCTGCTTCTCCTGCAAGCTCCCCAGGCCCGGGTGCCCGTCCCCCGACACCTCAATCCACTCGAAAACCATTTCCGATTGCCGAGCTTCTGTTGCAGAATGGCGCCGATCTCCCTACTCAGCCTGCACCAATACCACTCAGCTCTTCAACGCGCATGTATCTCGATCACAAAGCTGATCAAAGAGCAGGGAAGAGGCCGTCAGGCGTCGGAAGTCCTGCTAACCCTAGTGGAGACACTCTAACTGCACTACCTCATATCACAGCTGGTAATGGAAGCACTCCTGCTGAGAGAGCGCGTGAGCGGGAGTCAAGGCTACAGAAGAGAGTAAGCGCTGGCGGAAGGTTGGTGAAGAATCACTCTGATAATAGCGAAGGTAGGCGAGGCTTGTAATGAATACGGGATCGCTCACATGTTTTATTTCTTTAGTTCATATTTCACCTGGGCGGCCTGCGGAATTGTGTGGACATCGGCAAGCTAGCACAGGCGCAACACTTAGCTATTGGCGTTCTTTTGAAGAGGGATGATGATTTCTCATCGCTTTGTTCAGGCTTGGGCTAAGCGGCCATGCCTTTGGATACTTTTTTTTTCTTTCGATTTTTGAAGGCATGATGGATGACGAATGCATTGGCATGGGGTTAGCGGGCTCGTCGGTATTTCATTGGGCCGGTCTGCTTGATGGTTGTTCTGTCTAACTGAATTTTGTTTGATTCATTTTGTGGGCCCTAACAGCGAGCTTGATGTTTTCTTGTTCTGACTCCTCCTTCGTTGTTTACAAGAGTGACTCACTCTTGGTACTTGCCTTGCAGAAGACGAGTGGATAGAGTGTGATAATATGTAATGAGTAATGGCATGGTTTGGGTTGTGGTTTCTAGCATCCGGTACGGATCCGTACTCATGAGTTAGATGTCGAAGTTGCCCTCACCGGTTGATGGAAATGAAATGAGTCATACTGGGTCCTGTTCTTTGATTCTCTCACTGCAGAATAATGAAATCCATTGGACAACACTTATACACTTGCGGAGTCATTGCAAAGCACTGCCACTGGATCCATTTTACTCAGAAAGTCTATGCATCACGTGATTGAGTTTTCCTCAAGCGCGGCACACAGAATTTCGAAAGTTATAAGTTGCGACAACCCCACCTCACACCTAACCCTAACAGAAGAAAATAATGGCGCCCTCATACGAAAACCTCCCCATCGATGATGATGAATTCGACGAATCCCAAATCGACTTTACTGATATCGAAGAACAATACCAAGTACGCCTAGACGAGGGTCTAGACGCCTTCGTGGTGGTGGATGGCTTGCCCGTCGTGCCCGAGGACAACCGGGCCAAGCTGGTTAAGTTCCTACTGAGGAAGTTGAACTCGGTGGGAAGGGTGAAGGACGATGGCGTGTTTATGCCGCTGAATGATGAGGGCAAGACTGAGGGGTAGGTCTAAATTCCGGAGACTTCGGCGCACGAGGTAGATGTGGAGACTAACGGTGGTGGTGATAGCTATGCGTTTGTCGAATACAATGCCCCAAGTGAGGCTGTTCAGGCTGTTAAGCAACTCCATGGCACTCCGCTTGACAAGAAACACACCATGGCCGTCAATAAGCTCACGGATATCGATCGCTACGGACGCGAAGGTCGCATCGAGGAGGAGTACTATCCACCCGAAATTGAGCCCTTCCAGCAAAAGGAGCATTTGCGATCATGGCTTGGGGATTCTGACGCACGAGACCAGATAGTTATGTTCCGCGGCGACAAGGTCGGTGTGTTCTGGAACGAGAAGGAAGATGCGCCCGAGGCGGCCGTTGATCGCGATAACTGGACCGAGTTCTTTGTGCAGTGGTCACCACAGGGAACATTCCTCACTTCCATGCACGCCCAAGGTGTACAGTTGTGGGGGGGCAAGACGTGGAGTCGGCAGAAGCGGTTTGCCCACCCTGGAGTCAATCTCGTGGATTTCTCGCCCAGTGAGAAATACGTTACCACGTGGTCGCATAAACCTCTTCAGGTTGATGAGAACCACCCGGTTCCCCATCTCTCGTTGGAAGAAGATGGGAAGAACTACATCATCTGGGATATTGCCACGGGCAAGCCTCTGCGTTCCTTCACTACTATCGATGTACCAAGCACTACGGATGCAGAGGGCAACCCGGTTAAGAAGAAGATGCAGTGGCCGACGTTCAAGTGGTCTTCAGATGACAAATATGTTGCCCGTATGACCCAAGGCCAATCCATTTCCGTCTACGAACTACCCCGGATGAACCTGCTCGAGAAGGCTTCTATCAAGATTGAGGGTGTGATGGATTTCGAGTGGGCTCCTGCAACACCCAAGCGAGACGGCATCAAAGTCTACGAACAGCTCCTCTGCTACTGGACTCCTGAGCTCGGTAGCAATCCTGCCAAGGTAGGTCTTATGTCGATTCCATCAAAGGAGATTGTACGAACTCGCAACCTCTTCAACGTCTCTGATGCCAAGCTTCATTGGCAATCCGAGGCTGCCTACGTTTGCGTCAAAGTCGATCGCCACTCCAAGTCTAAGAAGTCCATGGCCACTAACCTGGAAATCTTCCGAGTCCGGGAAAAGGGTGTACCGGTCGAAGTTGTCGACTCCATCAAAGACACTGTCATCAATTTTGCCTGGGAACCCAAAGGCAACCGCTTCGTCTTGATCACCACCGGTGAAATCCCCGCACAGGCCGCGGTCCCCCCAAAGACATCCGTATCCTTCTTCTGCCCCGAAAAGGCCAAAGGAAACGTCGTAGGCAACTTCCGACACATCCGCACCTACGACAAGAAGAACAGCAACGCCATCTACTGGTCTCCCAAGGGCCGCTTCGTGGTTGTCGCATCACTGCAATCTCAGCAATCCTTCGACCTCGATTTCTATGATCTCAGCTATGAGAAGCCGAAGGATGAAAAGGACGAGAAGGACAAGGATCTAACTGCTAATCTTCAGCTCATGAATACCGCTGAACACTACGGTGTCACGGATATTGAGTGGGACCCAACTGGACGTTACGTTGCTACCGTGGCGTCGGCTTTCCGTCACCATGTAAGTTCAGAATTTCCGGTTACGCCCTACAACTAAGAAGCATACTGATGTTCTCATGCAGATGGAAAATGGCTACCATCTCTACGACTTCAAAGGCAACCTCCTACGGGAAGAACACATCGACCGCTTCAAGCAACTGATCTGGCGACCTCGCCCGCCCACCCTCCTCTCCAAGGAAGAGCAATCTGAGATCCGCAAGAACCTGCGAAACTACAGCAAGCTCTTTGACGAACAGGATCTGGCGAAGAAAAATACTGCGAATAGACAGGTGGTGGAGCAGCGCAGGAGGCTGTTACAGGAATGGCTGGCTTGGAGGGAGAGCATGATTGAGATGTTGAAGGAAGAGGGCGCAGAGATTGAGTTGAATGGTGGGATAGTGAAGAAGGAGGATGGGGAGACAGAGGAGACGGAGGAGGTCGAGGAGATTGTCGAGGAGATTATTGAGGAGACGGAGGAGGTTATTGGGTAGGCGTTGGACTGGGCTTGTCTGCCCTGATGGGACGGGAGAGTGCTATGGGTAGGTGGCGAGAGTAAGGTCGGGGGACTGTGTGCGTCTGGGGTTCCTGGGCTTTGTACGCGCGCTGCTTGTACATCCGTCAACTAGCTACCTACTTAGCAGTCGTGAAGGGGACCGGGATACATGCAGCTGACTAGATAGACACTTAGTATATAGAAGACGATGACGCCTAAAAACCCTAGTCCTAAGTGAACTTTTCGTGCCCATTTCTCTATCCATAACGAGCCCAGTCCCGAAGGTCATCCACCTTTTTCCGTTCGCTCTAAATTACACCAACGCTAAAAGAGCAGTAGCTACTTCACAGAAATCAACCGCACCGCTCTGAGCACTTACGCATGACACACGCGCACCATGAACACCAAGCATCTCGCCAGACTTCATACCATGTGAACTGAAAACCTGCCGACAAACTAACCCCGCTCTACCTTTCTAAAAGCCCGAGTTCAGTCTATCGTTGTCAATATTGATAACTATCTCTCTATCACCTCACAGGCCGTAAGACCTCCCACCCTTTCAGCGCCTCCAATTCCTCGGACGGCTCATCGTCTAATAAATTCTCGCTTCCACCTCCGCCTACATTTGTTCGTTTGCCTCTCACAGAAGTGGGCGCTGAGCCAGTGCTACTGCCCGTGCCAGCTCGAGGCGGAAGCGGCGGTCTCTTCTCCTCGTGGGGATTAGTGTCCAGTAGACTCTGTTGCATCTCCTGGCTTGAGATTTTCCGGCTTCTAGACGCGGAAGTCTGTGCAGTGGCCATTGACCGACGAGGAGGTGGAGGGTGTGGTCTCTGTTGCGATTGTGCTTCCACTGGATTTTCTCTATAGCCATTGGATGGCGGTGGTAGCGATGGCGTAGAAGCTGGAGAGAGGGAGAGAGAGGCTGATAGAAGGCTTGGTTTTTTGGTCGGGATAGGGGGTGCGGGTTTACGAGATATTTGGACCTGGATTTGGGATGAGAGGTTTGACGGGTTTGGTGGGTGGGATTGGGAGTTGGTAGCGGGACGGACGGGGAGGTTCGGGAGAGAGTGTATGGACGTGTTGGATGGGGAGCGTGATAATCGTGTTGGTATGTTTGTTGGCGTGTCTTTTGTTCCATCAAAGTTCGAAACACCAGGGGAACTGCTATTAGAATTCGGGTTGAAAGGCTGCACAGTAAGCTTCCTAGCCATAGCTTTCGTATTTGCAAGACTGGTTGTCGAACTCGCCAACACGCTCGGCATACTCCTACCCACTCCCTTGTCTGTGCCATTCCCATTAAAATCCACCGTCTTCGTTCTGGTCGAGCCCCTCGCCGGCGGCGGCTCAGGCGGCCTTCCCATCCGCTTAACCTCGACCCAATCTGGCTCTGGGCTTGGGGTAAACGGATTACTTGGTCTCTTCGGGTTGGGGAAGTGGTCGTTACTTGGTGGTTGGACTCTCGATCTCGCAGGCAGACCTTTTAGATGTGAATCAGAATAAACGCTATTATGGGAAGAGAGGCGTAAATACCATTATCAAGCCACCACTTCTTACGATCAGAGCTCGCAGGCGGTAACCCTGGCTCAATGCTATCATACCCGATCAAATCTTCATCGTCGGTATCTTCTAGTCCCCCGCCTGCCCTTGTATCGCCAACGACGCCGCGGCGCTGTCGGTACATTTCCTGGCTTAACCGTTCTCTTTTCTTCTCGTCGACTTTGCTGATCAGGCATTGGAATGTGGCATACACAGGACGATGATCGGAGAATTTCAGAGGTGCGGCGTCGTAGTTGATTTGTCGGATGTTGTCGCCTTTGCGTAACACGCGATCGCACCACGCGGGTATACGTGCCTTTTCGGAAGTGTCGTAGGTGTCGGTGCCAAGATCATACTTGTAGGTGGGGAGGAAGGTGATGCGGGCTTCGGAATAGTAAGGGAATGTTAGGCCGGCGACCATTTGAAGATTGAGCTATGGCAATGCAATCAGCAGTCGGGCTCGGAAAGGAAGGATATAGGGGACGCACCTGGTCGTTTTCATATAGAGTCTCTAGATCGCCAACATGGCAGAGTCTTTGTACCTTTTCATTACTCAGACCTATTCGGTAGTTGAAGTCTCCGAGCCAAACAACTGTATCGTGGTCTTCGATGGAGCGATTCCTTTGGAATCGCAAGCCATGACTGATGGTTCTGTAGTCTCGATTTCGTTCTTCATAGTTGGCGAAGCCTGCTGCAAGATGGGCTGTGACGAAGACGATGGAAGTATTGGCATACTCCATACGAATTGCTACCGCGCCTTTGTTGCCTGCCATCCCAGACATGCCAGTCTGCGTTCGCGTCAGCATCAAGGTTGGTAGAGTTTGAGGATTCAAATCACCTTCTTTAAACTGCCTTCAACATTCTTGATGAACTTCAAAGAGTTGGCTCTCACAAAAACAGACAACGAAGCACCAACAAGCTGACCCCCTCTTAGAAGGACATACTCTTCTTTCCCATGCTTCGATGCATTCTTATTCAAGCAGTTCCTAACCGCAGACTCCCAGGCCTGCCTCCTTGCTGGATCTGTTGACATGATCTGCTGCGGACTAAGCTCAACGATTTCCTGAAATCCAACGGCCACAATCTCAGGACATTGCTGAGAAGGATCCACATTCGGACATAACCAGGGCGACAGATCTTCATTAATCCCATGCGTTTTGCCGTTTAAGTTGAAAGTGCCAACGAGCATATGGATGACCTCGTTTTCAGTAAACTCCGCGGATCTTTTGTTTAGTTCCGACATGACATAATCGTTGATTGGATCATAGAGATGGACTGGGACCTGCCCCATCAACCGTCCAAGGAGCATGTCAATCGTGTTCTGTCGTCCTTTGTCCGCGAAATTGTTGATATACATGCGCGTTGCGCTCTTCCGGGCATCTGCCAGCGCTCCGGCAAGTGACATCTTTCCATGCCGAGTGAATGATGACTTAAGCGCTCCCGTGCCTGCATAGATGCGTGATAGAGCGTCTCCATTATCCGCCCACATGCTTGAGTGTCTAATCCAGAAGTCAGGGTTAGCCCCCAGCCCCTTATGACCCAGGAAGATCTCCAGAGCCATTTTACTAATGATGGTTTGAACGAGGTTGGTTCGATCGAGGCAGTCGAGGCAGTTCGTCCTAAAGATACCCTCCTGCTGAAGAATTGTAGTTGGACATCTGACAATATGCTCCTCTCCATTTGCCCTCGCATGCTCCTCTGCCTCTTCAGCTAGGTAGTAGGCAAAGCTATCGGCGGAGTTCTGAATCCACCGAGAAATCTCACTAGCCATCTCATAACCCCCTGGTCCTCGTGTCTCAGCATGGAAGTCAAACTCCGTGAGCTGGATGAGCTCGTGGTCTCTGGATGAGCCCTTCTCTTGGCTGTTAAGCGGGCTGTTCCTGATGTGGTACCGATATCGACTAGTCAATTCCATCTCGTTAGGCTTTTCATTGCTGAGGAGATTAACGACGTGAGTCGCGCCATAGCTCAACTCTAGATTTTCGAAGTGCTTGTCGAATGCGGGTTGAGTGGCTTCAGGAGACCGGGTAATGGTAATCTTCTGCTGTCCGGGGAGCAGTCCAGTCTGCTGTTCCCAGAAAACAGGCACACTTCCTCGGACTTGTGTGTATGAGAAGCATACACCTGATGGTGCCCAGTATATTGTTTCTGTTTCCACGAAATTAGCGACATTGCCATCATCGTCAATGCCACGTGCATTGAACCTAGTGCCTGCTCTTCTGCAAGACAGTCGAGAAATAAGAGTCATGGATGACGGCAGTCCAGATCGTTGCGTCCGAATAGGGGAAGTGGATGAGGGAATGGTAATGGTAAGAGCAAAGCCTCGAATTGCGGAGGTCAGAATGCCGGAAGCATCTAGTGCTTCCTTCTCGCGGGGGGCTAGTCGAGATCTAAAGTCAACCAACGGCTGGATCATATATGAATTCCAAAGGAAACCGGCGTCGAGACTGTCGATGGACACGGTTGCTGCATCAGAGGACCTTCAGCACGTTAGCCTTGCGCTTCCGCCATAGAGTCGCATCTTCGCACCTTTCCTGCAGCCGCCTTGTAAGGTCGAAGTCTGAGCTGTAATAAAATGTACCACTACTTAACAACTTCTTCAACGCCAAGCAAGGGTGTTCCAGCGGAGACTCTCCCTTCCCTCTCCCAAAGCCCATTTCAAAGCCTTCATCGTCTATAGTATCCGTCGGATAAGGATTTACTTCATCGTTAAGAAGAGCATCATAGCTAGAGCTGTTCAAGCAATCTGCCTTCCATTAGCAAAAACCCCCCCCACATATCCCCACGGTGCTGCTCACAAAACCCCACCGAATGTATCCTCTGTACCGTCTCCCCCGGCCTCACTGTCGCCACCTTGGACGCCCCATTCACCACGACCAGGAAAACATCCCCATTCACGGTGATCAAGCCCAGCGTGCCATGCGTATTGACCATATTCAGGGCCCGGTACTCCCCTAAATCCAGCTCTTCCACCGTCGAGAATTCCACCATACATCTTGCCGCCGCAGCCCCATTACTCGATAGCGAAGTCTGAGAGGCGTTGTAAAGCCCATTCTGCTCGGTTGAAGTTGAGCTATGACGGAGCACGAGGGCATGTGTCGCGGTCGAGAGAGCGATTGCACGGTGGGGATATTCCTTGATTAGGACGCGAATAGACATTGTCTCTGGCTGGTGATCCGGAGAGCAAATTCGGCAGGCGGTACAGGCATGTCCGGGGCTTCACTTTTGGAGAAGGTTGTTCCAGGCGGCGAGGAAGAATTGTGAATGTGCGGCATGCCCAGGTAAGCCCAGCTGATGGCCGTGGTCGTGTGCAATCAACGCGCCCAAAGTTTCACAAGCCACATGCAAAAAGCGGCGTCCCAAGGTTTCACTTTTCAAGGAATGTGCCGTGTCGGTTGAGAATGACGACAACGTGTCCTATTTATGTACCTAGAGAGACTATTGTAGCGTCTAAGGATTCTAGGAATTTTTTTTTGTCCCTTCACTTCACGTTTGAATATCCGGGAAGAATTGAGTTGCGGAAGACAGCCCCGCACGCAGATCCTATGGATAGACAGGCACGTGACAGGTAACAATGCCATCCAGGCACCCTGTGACTTCATAGGCTAGATCACGCTTCTATTTTGAACAGAATTGCGAAGAAGAACGCCTGACAAGTAAATAAAACCCAAGGATATTCGAATAACCGTTCCATCATCACTTCACCAGTCGAAATGCAAGAACACAGACCGTAGCAGGCAAAGAATGCGCTCGCTATGGTTCTGCTAGAAATGCCATCTACCTTCGATATTCCCTCCTCCTGCGCCCGTCATCATCCACAATCACCACCCTCTCTCTGGTCTCTCGGTAGCTCCCTCGGGGGTCGTGGTCATCATACCCTCGACTCCTGCTTCTTACCCGACTGCGACTTCTCCGTCGTTCAAAGTGCTCATACCGGTCTGGCTCAGGTGCCGGTTCCACATATCTAAAGTGGTCATAACGCGGAGAGGACTCTGGCGAATAGTCTCTCACACGCTCTCTCCTGGACTCGCGCTCATGCACAACATACTCGCTGTGCCGACTAGGACTGTGGCTCGTAATACTGCTCCTGGGGCTGACTTCGACATAATGGTGTTGGGGCGCTGGAGCGTGCGGAGGTGGTGGAGGCGGCTCCTGGACAAACACCGGAACAGGCTGTGGAGCAGGAATTGAAAGAGGCCTAGGGGCCGGCACAGCGACGTAGCTAGCGGACGGCGGGCGAGACGTCTCCCGAATCACTTCAGTCCGGGAGACGCGATGTGTGGAGCGGCGGTGTCGAGGGGGCGAGGGCGAGCGAGTCCGGACAACTCGGTATGGAACCACAACATCCTCCTCCTGCCGCACCTTGACGAGACACATTGGGTGCTTGCGAACTGTGTCGCAACAATGCGATCGGGCTGTGATTCGTGGGCTGATTGGGAGTGGGGTACTCGCGATGGATGCAAAAGCAAGTGATGAAATCTGTAGTCACGGGTGTGCGCGTTTAACAGAGAGAGGGAGAGAGAGAGGCCTTGAAGAACAGATCTCGGTCAGCCAGGAATGAGCGGCAGCTGAGGTATTAAGAGGCCGGCAGCATGGCTGGGTGAGATGCTAAGGTGTTGAGGCATCGGAGCCCAGCCACATGGACCAACCCATGCAACATGTGCCGCCTTGGAACAAGTCCGAGTGACGACGGTGGCATCTCATCAGCCGAGCAAACTCACCCTAGCCCTGTCAACATCTCTTGGCTTTTCACGCCCATATGCAACTTAGGTTTGGAAGGAGTAAAATATGCTCATCATCACATTTCCAAGTGCTAAAGACAAAAGAACTCAAAGCCTACAGTAGTGATGTTACAGCCTCCACCTAATCAGCCCTATTTGCCAGATAGGGGCCGATCCAAACATTCCCTACAGTCCACTGAACCAATGCTTCCAAGATATTGCTCCCCTAGTGTCTTTACATATTGAGCCATTACCGTGCATTACCGCTTCACAAAAGGCCTTCGCTTCTCGTGGGTGATCATGCATGTTCGTTCCAAAATGCCAATTCCCCTATGCAGCAGCCAAGTCGTAAAAGCATGTGTCAACTAGAATCAGTCGTCAAACTAATCATCCATCGGTTTATCCTCGAGCTGCACGCCTCTAGGAGCGTCCTCCCCCCTCAAGCTACCAACCGAGTCACGGTTCACAGGGTTCCTCCCCAAGCCACCAGCAGGTTTCCTGGGCAGGGGAACGCGGGTACTAGATGGGGCCGGATGCTCTTGAGCTGCATCTATGCTACCATTGGTGCCCTTGCCATCAACAACAGGGCTCTGATCCGCACTTCCGGGTACTTCTAAGGAGTTTCGACTTCCAGCTGTGCCCCTGCGCTCCGTTGGAGAGGTTGTATTGACTGGGAACCTGGTCTCCGGGCCTCCAGAACTTCGGTCGCGACGATGGTTTCGAGAGCCAGGGTTCGGCGAGGTGGCGCGTGGGGAGCGCTGTGCGGCAATAGCACGGTTACGCTCTTCGTAATTGGCTCGTCGGTTGCTCTCATCCGTCGAAATGGCGCGGGGACGTTGTGCTCCAGATGAAGAGTGGGTGAGAGTGCTGGCACGCTTCAGTTCCCCAAAAATTGCATCCTTATGTGCGAAGAGATCGCGGATGAGGCGGAAGCTGTAACGTTCGTTCATTGTCAAGCTTGACTCTTGGCGTGGCCGTAAGATGCAAGGGGCGAGAGTCTGCGCAAGAGCCGTAATGTAGGCTTCATCCGCTGAGGTCAGCTCAATCAACCGAGTAAAATGAGTTGTGATCGCATCAAGAGTTGCAATGTTGGCAAGGCGGAGTTGACCAAGGGTCGACTGAATGACAGAGACCCGGGTCTCCTCGGAGGCGTCGGTGGCGGTGGTGCTGTAGATTGTCTTTACGATTTCATAAACATGGGAAGAGACGAGGGAATCTAGTGCAGTTAGTATTTGTGAGTCGATATTGAGTGGGCCTATATATACCGGGAAGCTCGAGAAGATAGAGCTTAAGAACGCTTGCAACAACGGGTATCTCAAATTTTTCAAGGATTTCGTGGGGGAATGTCTTTCCAGTATTGATGGCATTCCGGAGAGCATGAGTCTGTGCGAGAGAAACGTCGACAAGCCAAATGCCGCGGCGAACCTCATCACCTTCAAGATCAGGGTAGTGGTTGTCGAGGAAAGTGAGAATGGTAGTTATGATTATTGGGACCCGCTTGCGGTCTGATCGAGCCCTGGCCTCGAGGTCCACGCCAAAGGTTTGCTCTGTAACACAATTAGGAAATTATGTCAAATTATAGAATGGTGGGTTTATTACCATCAACTGAGTTGTAGTAGTTCTCGTACGTCGTAACCCTTGGAATAAATGGTCCTGTCCTATAGTTTTCGAGCATATACCTCAGATCACCCAGAGGCTGGACGGTCTCTTGGAACAGCATCATCTTATCCACAGTGCTCTGCAGACTGGGGATGACATTGCTGACGGCACCAGAGAAGTCTAAAATGACGGCCTTGATGGCCTTTAGCCTATCCAGCTCGCAACGTTCCATGAACTTTAGGTGGTCGACCATGGCCTCTTCCAGATTGCAGCGTAGAGAGTCGAGCTTCTTCACAGAGGCCTTATAACGCTCATCGGATTCCCGGGCTTCTCTCCGAAGCTTTTCCGTTGGTGTTTCGTTGGGATACGGGTTATTGAGTGGATTCCAGCCTTGGAGATACTCCTGCACAGTTCCAACGGGAGAGTCAACTGTGAAACTATCTTGGGACATAGCAGAAGATGCACGTTCCAGGGGTTTCTTTCTCTCTGGAATCCCCGTCATTTGGAAGACCTTCGTCTTCCACTGGTAGTTCATCCTCGAACTGTTTGCAAAGGCGTTTCCTACGTTTCCAACCAGGCGCAGGAAGCCGTTATCGACGATGTCCTGGCCAATTCTCTCAGCATAGCTGACGCTGGATGCACCCATGTGTTTCTGGATATATTCGGTAATGTCCGAGCCAGATGAGCAGTTTTGGTAGACACCCAGGATCGGAACTTTGACCTCTCCGATCTTGATAGTTCCCAACATATGCGTCAGAATCTTCTTGACCTGTTCTGGCTGATAGGTCTCGTCACCGAGGTCGATCGGGTCTTCCTGATTGTCGTCCGGTTCGGACATCTTGATGGTCGGGATATTCTTAGCCTTGGGGCTTGCTGCCTCACTCTGTGGGTCTTGGAAGGCCAGTTTATCCTCTTCTTCAAGGTCCTCGACCAGTCGGCACTTGTTGTAATACTGAGACCGGAACTTGCGCACAGCCTCGGCTTGCCGGTCGTGAATTTTGATGCGGTTCTGGAGATCATCTTGCGAGTTCTGCACCCGAGCGGCATGCGCCTCACACCAACGACTGAACGGGTTGACAACGAGCTCTCGGATGTTAGATGCGATCTTACGGTGGTTCTGGGCAGCCGACTCCATCTCGGTGCGGACGCCTTCATAGGCCTAACGTAATGTGAGCCACGCTCTTAAGTATGCCAGCCACGAATCGACTCACCTTCCGCACGCTAGCACCCTCATCTCTTGCGAATCCACCCGTTATGCGCTCCGCGGCGGGTCCAATGCCGCCCAAGCTGTTTCCGTATAGCTCTTCGGTATCCGCACGCATGCGGGCAATAGTAAGGACCTGTTGGTTTTCCTGAACACCTTGCTGAAGCTTCCCAAAGAGAACTCCTAGTCCTGCGAGGAGTCAGCACATGCACAGACAGAGGTGAGCACGTAGGTCGTACCGCCCGCATAGTCGCTTGACCAGAACGACCCAGCGAAGCCTGAAGCCATATTGGAAGGGTATCACTGATCCGTAGAAACTCCTTGCTAAAAGTCCAAAGTCTCCTAGATCAAGCAGACGTTTTTGTGTCGTGTGGCAGTGTAAATGAGCGTGGACGAGGAAAGTCTGTGGAACACGAGTAGCCCGCCCCAATGTGATCGCGGATTGTTGCACGGCGTGATACTTGCGGAGATTGGTGAGGAGGCACGGGGGGTGAAGCAGAAGGGTGAAGTGGGAAGCGCAGCCGCGACAAATAGTGCTAGCTGGCGTCAAAGGTGGTGAGTAGCTGCTGATTTCAGGAGAGCGTTTCTGCTTCGACGACAGAGGCCAGCTGAAGAACTCACATAATGCGGCAAATCCCTGCTGGCCTTATTCTTGGCACGCCGTTGTCACCCACGCCAGGTTCAGGGAATGATCACCGGGACCTCTTCTCAAAACGGGCGATTCCCATCAGGCAAAATCAGCACGAATCTCACCATATGTTTCCGTGATCCTGGGAAAGCTCTGGGACGAACCTGAAGGTCTCCCTCAGACGATCTCGCAAGGCACAAATTAGAGAACAAGTTCAGAATGGCCTCCCGCGAGAGCACACTTTACTATTCCAAGCACATCAACTACTGGAGAAGAAATCTAAAAACATTCCTGCCCCATCACTACACTGGCAACGATTCAAATCGCATAATGCTTGCTTATTTCATCCTCTCCGCAGTCGACTTGCTGGGAGATTTACCGGCGGCGCTTTCATCTGAGGAACGTCAAGGTCACATAGAATGGATATATCGCTGCCAACTTCCAGAAGGTGGTTTTCGAGGGTCTCCAGGAACAGACTTTGGAAGCTTGAGGAAAGCTGAAAATGCGGTTTGGGATCCGGCAACCGTGCCAGCGACTTTCTTCGCTATTTCCATACTCGCGATATTGGGAGATAATCTACGGAGAGTAAAGAGAAGGGAAACCCTCTCCTGGCTGAATAAGATGCAGAGACATGACGGGAGCTTTGGAGAGACTCTTGGGTTGGACGGCCGAATTGAAGGCGGCCATGACACGAGATTCGGATACACCGCTGCTGGTATCAGGTGGATGTTGAGGGGTACAGTCGCGGGTCCAATTGACGAAGTACCAGACATAGATGTCGACAAGTTCGTTGAGTGTTTACGGAACTCTGAAACTTACGACGGAGGAATCTCAGAAGATGCATACCACGAAGCTCATTCTGGGTATACCTGCTGCGCCGTCAGTGCTCTTTCCTTAATCGACCGCCTACCACTTCCCGCAAACTCCTCACAACAGCCTGACGACCGAATTCGAGGTATAAAAAATCCTCTGCTATTGCTACGCTGGCTAGTCTCCCGGCAAACTTTAACAATAGAGGAAGACGATGCCCTCGATGCCCACGCGGCTGAGGCCGATTCGGCAGCTACCACCAATGATCCACGGCCGTCCATGAAACTCTCAGATTCATATTACGACCTTTCAAGGGTAGGCCTCAACGGCCGTGCCAACAAAATAGGGGATACATGCTACGCATACTGGTCCTGCGCCCCTCTCAAAGTCCTCGGCCATCTCGACCTCGTGGACGGAAAACCCATCCGTCGGTGGTTACTCGACAAAACGCAGCACCTAGTCGGCGGCTTTGGGAAACTCCCAGGACACCCACCAGACATCTACCACTCCTACCTTGGCTTGGCCATCCTCTCTATTTTCGGAGAACCTGGGTTGAAGGATGTGGATGCGGCTTTGTGCATAAGTAATAGAGCAAAAGCACACCTTGAATCGTTACCCTGGAGAAAAGCGACTGTTGGGGATGCTAAGCAATGTGGAATGGGAGATGGTGGGGAACTATAGCTTCGTATGGCGATGAGTGGCCAATAGTGTTATTTCTATGAATTGTGCATTGAGAGTGCTGAATATCTTGAGGTTCAAATAGTTTGGAGAAGTACGATACCCCTATCTTTAAGCATCGGAAGGAATGGGATTCACCATCGCCACTCCAATCGAAAACCTATAATATCACATGCCAGGTGTCAGTTATTGCCGTCTCCGCCACACCTTGTCTAGCCACACGCGGCAAAATCTCGGCTTTACAATTCTCCCTTTCCCAAACTTCCCTCCCATCGCAAACCAATCCCAAATCTAAACCCCAACCGCACCCTGGAGACTTTCCCCCAGCCTCCTTTCCAGCTATCCTGCAACCTTAACTCCTTCACCAACGCAATCCTATAATGCCACCACCGACAAAAAAACGCAGAACCAATTCCTCAGTACCGCAAGAAATCCTCTTCGACCCCGCCGCACGTGAAGAATACCTCACAGGTTTCCATAAGCGCAAACTGGCGCGTGCAAAACACGCACAGGAAGAAGCTGCGAAGAAGGAGAAGGAGGAGAGGTTGAGATTGAGGCGAGAGGTGAGATTTCTTTCTATTTAAATACTTGCGTAGAGAATTGGGCTGGGGGTTTGGGGTATAAATGGATGATGGAGCGGGTAGAGCGGGGTGTACACTGAAAGAGTGCATATGAGAGGATGCATGAATGGGTACTCATTGACGTGCCCTACAGCTGCGGAAACAGCGAAAGGAGGACCTAGAACGACATGTCAGCGAAGTCAACGCTCTATTACGAAAAGCCACCGACGACCCCCACTCTGATAAGGAATCTCCGGAAAACACTGACTCCGACGACAATACCAGTGAAGAGGAATGGGAGGGGCTCGAAGAGCCCGTCGTAGAGGATATCGACCGCGAAGACGAGTACATAGACGAAGACAAATACACCACTGTTACGATCGAAAGCGTGCAGATATCTAAACACGGGTTTCAGAAGACTGGGGGAGGTGGAGCGGATAGTGGGGAGCAGGATAAGGAGAACGGGACCGGGGAAGGAGAGCAGAAGAAGACGTGGGCGAAGGAGAGGCCCAAGGTGGATAGGCCGAAGAAGAAAAAGAAGAAGTTTAGATATGAGAGTAAGGCGGAGAGGAAGGTCACGAGGATGAAGCAGGGAGCGAAGAATAGGGCGCAGGCTAGTGCGCGAAAGGGGAAGTAAAATACCCAGCTATGAGACTTTCGAATAACCCGCTATGATTCTATGGTTGTTTCGAAGTGATATTTCGAGAGACGTTTGAGCAGCGGTTAACCGGCACCAAACCAATACGTGCTTGAATGCGTGTTGGTGGTGTCCTAATATGGCCTCCAAAAGTCTTGACGGCAGATCACCAGCACCAGTCAGGCATGTGCCAACAGGTTAGGGGACGAACTTCCAACAATGTATTTGTAGCGCTTAAGAAAGAGTCTCTGAAGCGTACAGTCCTGTCATCCTCTCAAGCCAGCCACGAAGAAACAAAGAGATATGCAGTGTAAAGGGGGTTTCCGCCGCCCGATTCGATGTCCACACGCCCAACCAAGATCCGATTGACCATGCCCACTCAGCTGTTCACTGACACATGCGTCAATCACCAAGAAGGAGAAGTATGACTTAGAGATTAGATGTTACCAATATCAATGGCTAAGGTGTCGAGCTCCTTCTGGCTATCGGCGTATTTCTTAGCCATCTCTTCATACTTGGATTCCCACTGGTCGCGTGCCTGCTCGAGGGCTTGCACTTTGCGTTCGTAATGGCCGGATTTAACGTCGGTTTGGCGGAGTCTACAAGGAGAAGACGCATCAGCAATGTTACCTTAGCAGCCAACACCCGAATGTAGGCGAGGAAAGCAGGAAGGAGGAATTCTCACTTCTCGTTCAGCTCACGGATGGTTCTGTCAGACTCCTCAGCCTCTTCTTCGAGTAACTGGATTTTGCGTTGCATGCTGTCGGCCTGGCCTCCGGCTTGCGCTCCCGACTCGGCTTCGCCTTTGAATTTTTTAACTGACTCTTCGAGCTTCTCCACCTCGCTCTCGAGGACTTGGTTCTTGTGTGACAACGAGGTGATTTCCTGCTCCTTCTGCATGTTCTCCGTCTCCAACGTCTTCAGCTTCATCTTGTATTCTTCGGCTTTCGCGGCACTGTCGTCGGCCTCCAAACGGAGCGCCGCCATTCTCTATGGGCAGCATGTATGTCAGTCAAAGGGTTTAGGAGGTCGGCACTGGGGGATTCGCGGCATGTGAGTCCTCCGACAGAGCTTAATGCAGGACAAAGGGAGATGGCGGGGTAGGTTCAGAAACTCACCGCCCTGATTTGATCCATGGCTGGAGAATATGTGGAGGTATCGTAGGGAGGGTTATTTGTCTGAAAAGAGGAAGCAAGTTTGCGTAGGAGAGAGTGCAGGAAAGTGGTGTGTTGGTGTGGTGGTGTTGTTGTCTGAGAGGGCCCTTGATAGTTAATGCGGCACTCCGGGCACGGGCCAGTCCTTTTTGGCAACAGCGGGAAGTCAAGCGCCAAGACAAGCCTCGCCGCTCGGCATTCACCTGGCAACGGGTGTAAACAGGCCAACCAAAACTCCCACCACGCACCCCTCCGCTCCACCCACATCGCTCAATGTAACTCAACGCCATGAATGTCTTCGCTGCAAATGATCAAGAGAACTTGGTGCACAATCTGCAGACCGCCGCTGCCGGAAAGTCTCTGAATGCCGGCCTTAAGGGTTTCAATGCCAAAACACCAGGAAACAAAGCCCCGAAGACCCCGTTCAAGGTCCCGCTCAACGACGAGAATGGGCCGTTCAAAGGCGGAAAATCGGGTTTGAAGACCAATGGCAAGGGTAACGAGAATCTGTTCATGACGGGGAAGAAAGGGGGGAAATTGGAACAGAGTGCATTCGTTACTCCGGCTGGTAGGCTCCCATTCGGTCATTTTTGGCGAAAGAGAAGCGCTGACAAGTTGCAAACAGGTCCCCGTAACCGCGCCCCCTTGGGTATGAAAACAACCAACGCCAAAAGCAAAGCTTTCCAGACCCCTGCCCCTCTCTCCGCTTCCGTAAAGACCCAACATATCAGTCCACGCCTCCGTCGCCCTAAGGTCAAAGTCCATCAACCAGATGTCGAGGCTGAAGAAGAAGAGGATGTTCCGGAGATTGAGTACATGCCTCCCAAAGAGATTCCGCTTCCTGATTTCCCGGACGATGAACCGTTGAACCTATCTATGTTCGAAGGGGCAAACATGACCCGAGGAATGCATGCGGTGTACTTCGACCCTGTTGAGGACGATGGCCGTACCCGTGGAGAACGTGAAATAGAAGAGTCGTTGGCTAGAGACCGAAAGAAGAGGGATGAAGAGTTCGACAGGCTCTTCGCGGAGACTATGGCGAAAGAGGATGAGCAAATGAGAAGGCATCTTGGTCTAGAGTCACCAAAGAAGTCGGCTCTGAAGGCTCAAGCCCTCAGGAAGAAGGCTGCCCCATCGACACTGAAGGCAAGGTCCGCTGCTGCCGCCCTGTCACCACCTCCCAAGCCGAGCTATGCTGCCCCAACTGCAGCGGTCGAATCGCGACGCCCTGCCAGCTTCTTCCAAGCTAAGAGGTCAGCAAAGCCAGTCATGGACCCTTCTGCATCCCGCCATGCTGCAGCTACCACTGCTTCAAAGAGCACCATCGGCTACTCTAAAGGTCGTAGCGCGTCTACCTCCCTTCGCAAGCCCCTCTCAAACGTCACACGACCTACCCCAAACTCTGTAGCAGCCCGCAGACCTGCCACTGCTTCATCTCTCCACAATCGCAATGCGAGCACTACTTCAGTTGGCGCAAACCCTCGCAGTGCTTTCTCCCGCTCAAGCTCAAGCTCCACAAATGCAACTCTCGTCGCGCCTTCTCAAGGAAATTTGACCAACAGAACCGCTGAGGATATACAGCGCGAACTTGAGCTCATGATTTTGCGAAACAACGAAGATGACGAAGATGTCGAGGCTTGGGTGAACAGTTTCAGCACGCAGCTAGCGGATGATGCTTTCACTGACGATAATGAGATCTTCCAATTTCAACTCCCTCAAGGTCTATGAGCTACTTGACCTAGAAGAGAATTTCAAGCATGTTAAGTGTCATTCTTTTGGCCTTGAATTGGACGAGCTTGGCGTATTGGGCATCAGTCGTGTCTTATTGGAAATGTTGAGGACTTCAACGTGTCCACTCATTTCATTGGGCTGCTTTTCTCACTTGGGTAGACGGTTAGCATTCGAATACCAGATATCTTGTCATGCTTCAATATAATTTTCTAATCGAAGAACTCGTATACTAATGAGAGTCATCTTACGCCTCAATCTCACCTCTAATTGTGCATTACAAGGATGTGATATTCCACTACCAAAGCAGAATCACTCTAGGGTCCGTTCGAATACAAAATGATTGTTGAGAGCAAAGCCCATGAACGAGGAAGTCTGCACGTGCTTTCGCGCCTCGGTCTAGCCACACATTAGCCACACATGATTTCGACCTCGTCGCAATCTCTGCACAAAGTGAACGCTGCTCATTCACGTCGTCGCCCCAAGTCCTCTAAGAACTCGATATAAGCCATGGGATCGGACGGAATAAAGTCGCCTCGATCGGTGAAACGATCTCGCTCCGAAATGGAGGAAGAAGACAGCAAAGCCATAAAGCCTGCTCCAGCTGCAGACGAAGGTGATCCTCCAATTCACAAACAACATGATGATCTCTAACGAATCCCTAGACGACACCTCCTCTGACGACGACTTCGGTCCTGCGCTCCCCTCTGCAGCCCCCAAGAAAAAGAAAAGGAAACTCCCGTATGAAAAGCTCTACGTCGCCGCCCTACCAACCGCCGGCCGCTATTTCAAGTCCTTGATGCACAGAGATCAGCTATGCTTTACCACTTTTACCCCTTTCACCGACTTCCTTATAACGAGCTCCATCGATGGCGTAGTCAAGTTCTGGAAGAAGGACTTTGGTGGCGTGGAGTTTGTGAAGGAGTTCAAAGCGCATACCGGCGAGATTCGATCCGTAAGCGTCAGCGCGGATGGAAGGAATTTTGCAACGGCGGGGACGGATTGCACAGTCAAGATCTTTGATGTTGTTACCTTCGACCTGCTGTCTATGCTGAGCTTAGAGTATACCCCGAAATGCGTGTGCTGGGTACACGGCCGTGGGAATTCGCTCCCCCTGCTCGCAGTTTCGGCGGACGAGGATTCTTGGATTAGGATATATGATGGGAGAGGCGAGAATCAAGAATCTCTGCATACGCTGAAGAACGTGCATAAGGCTCCTGTGGCACTGATGGCATATAACAATGCGTACGATTGTGTGGTTTCTACAGACCAGAATGGAATGGTGGAGTATTGGCAGCCAAGTGGGAATTACGAAAAGCCTGACAACGTCTTTTCCATGAAGAGTTCCACGAATTTGTTTGAGTTTAAGAAGGTAAATTACCCTTTACAAATAGAATGTATAGGAAAAGCTAACTAAAAACAGTCTAAAAGCGTGCCGTCGTCCCTTACCATATCGCCCACAGGCAAGCAATTCGCGACATTTTCGTTCCCAGACCGCAAAATCAGGGTCTTTGACTTCGCTTCAGGAAAGCTGTATAGAACGTACGACGAATCCATCGGGACCATCACCCAGATGCAGCAAGCCGGGACCGCTATCCAGCACCTCGAAGATATGGAATTTGGACGCAGGATAGGGGTAGAACAGGAACTGGATCACGCCTTGACTCGACCTCGAATGAACGTCATCTTTGATGAGACAGGCAACTTCATCCTTTACGGCTCCATGTTCGGCACAAAGGTCATCAATACACTCACTAACCGCGTCGTCAAAGTCTACGGACAGGAGGAATTAATACGACCGCTCCATTTGGCGCTGTATCAAGGCCAGCCTGAGAAGAAAGGTATTGTGACTGTGCAAATGGCAGCTAGTGAGAATCCACTGCTCCAGGAAGCCGAAGCGCGTGATGCTATGCTTGTTTCCACCGGTTCTGGGAAAGTTCGATTTTACATGTTCACCAACGACGCCAAGTATGTCTCCTTCCCTCCACCCCCCCTTCCCCATCAAACTTCCTAACTCTCTCAGCGTCGCCAAATCCGAACGCGACATCCAAAACGAAAAACCCCGCAACATTTCTTCCAAACCAACCCAAGAATCCCAACCTGCCGCTACCGGCACCTCCGCCACCATCCACACTACCTACGGCGACATCAGCCTCCGCCTCTTCCCCGAAGCTGCCCCCAAAGCCGTTGAAAACTTCGTCACCCACGCCAAAAACGGCTACTACAACAACATCATCTTCCACCGCGTGATCCGCAAATTCATGATCCAGACAGGCGACCCTTTGGGTGATGGCACCGGTGGCGAAAGTATTTGGGGACGTACATTCGAGGATGAGTTTTCCACGCTGAAGCATGATAAACCGTACACGGTTAGTATGGCGAATGCGGGGCCACATACGAACGGTTCGCAATTTTTTATTACGACAGAGAAGACGGTGGGTTACTCTTTGCTCCTATCTTCGATGAGGGGATGTTTGCTAACGTCTGTGTAGCCATGGCTTGACAACAAACATACCATTTTTGGACGTGCGGTCCAGGGTCTGGATGTAGTGCATAAAATCGAGAACACGAAGACATATAAAGAGAAGCCGGAGGAGGATATCAAAATTATCAATATTTCCATATCATAGTGTGAACTAGTAATAATCTAATCATATAACAAGGGAAGCTAAGGACAGGAATTTGCATCCTATTGACGGTTTTCTTAATTCTAGCAAGGGGTTGAAGTGATAGACCCTCTTCTAAGTAATTATGTTCTATGGTACGTGACGATATACTGGAAGCATTGCACAGACTAATCTTGACATTTACTAGATCACAATCTTGAAACATTTAAAGGTCTTTTTTTGTGGCCACCTCCAGGCTCATCCCACTCGGGAACGAAAATCTTGGCACCCTACCTTTCATATTTCGTAATGCGCTACTACTCTAGGCGCTTTCTTTGCTACGGTACACAAAGATACAGTTTGGGTTCACAAGGGTGTCGTCAAAGCGGGTCAGCCATCCTCCCTGATAGCGCGCTACCTACTGCTAACTGATTGCTGTCTGATCTGTACAGCTACTTCAAGTCAGGCGGTAGCTCCTTTCGCTATCACTACTCTCGATCATTTCAAGCACCGGTTTCATACGTTACTAGAGCCGATAACGCACCCTAATTTGATGCACTGGTCTTTCCACCATGCGTGATTCACGCGGCGAGGCAATATTGCTTTAAATTGCTCCAATGCTACTCAATCCCACCTAACGGGACGATGTACAACGAGTATTCGGCCACTTTGCCATTTATGCCTCACAGTAAATATCCACTCATCTAAAAGACCCAATGCCAAAAAAGGATAAACAACGTCAACACGATAACTGCTACCACCAGGCTTACCATGCTAAACTAGTGAGAAAAATACCTAGCCAGCTCCCAATGAGCAACCGTCAACTGTTCGGCCGCAAGCGTAACCTGCATCGAATTCAAGACCGTAGAAACTACGGCGAACACGAAAAGAATAGGTCCATACAGCCGTTTAAATAAATCACCGTATTGCCGACGCAATTGTTCGGAATGGAATATCTGGGTAAGCAGCGGAGCATAACAGTTGAGTTGCGTCAACCTCAGCTCGCCGTAGCATTACCTCCCTGATACAACCGAGCCATCGATGACCTGAGTTCTGCGATGAACTGACAGAAAGAAGTCAACTGCACGCCCTTAGCGATGAAAGGGAGATTGTCCTGCTGAGTGATGTTAAAGTCTAATTTTTCCTAGCAGCGGGAAGCCCTAAGGAAGCCAAATGTTGTCTCGACTGTCGCCAGGCCGATCTGAGCCCTTATCTAGGGACACCTTCCAGAATCCGTATGATTACAAATGTCGTGGAAGAGGATAAACTTACGGTTGTGGATCTAGATTAGATGTGGCAGAGGATCTTCTGTGATAATAAACTTGCGACCCTTCACCCTTTGACGATGTAACGCGTTAAGATTGCTGCTAGACAAGGTTGTCATAATCCAGAGACGTGGAGCCATGACCTTGAGATCGTGGGAACAAAACTCCTTCTGGAGGAACTGTCTCATGGGTGGAATGCATAGGCAGGTTGAACAGAGTAGTATTCGGGGACGCAATAGTTATAGGATCGAAATTAGAAATGAGTTGATTTGCTTTTGAAATCGGAGACATGATTGCACTGAAGAGTAACATCAAGAGAAGTCGACCCGGTATGTATGATTGGATCGTGTGGTGTTTATATCTTGACAACTCCCTTTCAGCCCCACCCAGCTTAGCGGCGCCAGAGACAGACTGGGTGACTGTGTGACTGTGCCAGCTTGGAGCACATCAGCCTGCTGTCCTCCACACTTTTCCTCATCCTGGTTCTCGTGCCTCATTGAGCTCTCTTCTCTTTGACTATCAAACACACACTACACAATCGAGCATCGTGGTTCAAACATGGTACGCACTACGGGAGTACTCAGGCAGGGATGAAGTGCGCAAGGACTAACTCTGGACTAGGTTCGGCCTGTAACGAATGACGATACTGGCCTGAAGGTGCTCCGCGAGGCTCCAGCAGAAGCAGCCGAGATCATCGAGTGCGTTTATTCCTACAGTCCTCGATTTTCTGCATCCACACTCAGCAGTTTAGCATCGTTGCCATCCACGGCATTGGAGCGCACCCAGACGACAGCTGGTGTAAGAATGTCGGCACGGCGGAGAGCCCTCAGTGGGTCAACTGGCTCAACAAGGAAGACATGCTGCCAGCCGTAGCACCCAATGCGCGTATCATGCGATATGGATACCAGTCGCAGTGGTTCGGGGAAGGAGCAATGCGGCAGAAAGCATCGACGGTGGCACAGCGATTACTGCTAGCCTTGCAGCGTAAGAGAGCGGTACAGACCCTCAGTGCCAGACATGCCATTGTTGCTAACTTGATTAGGATTATCCGTTTCGACCGCTGCTCTTCATAGCACATTGCTTCGGGGGGCTAGTTGTGCTGAAGGTAAGTCATCAGCTGACAGCGGAACACGCCCCCAACTAAGCGTTCACAGGCACTCCTAGATGCCCGGCACGATGAGAGCGAGTGGCCTGGCGTGTTCGCGTCAACTACTGGTCTAATCTTCTTCGGCACGCCGTTCAGAGGCGCAGAAGGGATGAGCCAAGTAGAGATGCTTGAGGCAGCGCGGCGGGAATACGAGGAGGACGAGGTGCAGGGGGACATTCTGAAGATACTCGAGCCTGGGAACGAGTTCCTTCAAGAGGTGGTTGACCAATTTGGGAAGACACGGAGACAGGCGAACAAGGCTCAGGTCACATGCTTCTACGAGCTCAAGTCAAGCAATGTTGGAAGGATCGTGGGGAAGGTGGATCGCACGGTAGGGTCAGGATTGACTGTGCGTTCTACCTATACTAACTGTCTATGCAGAGATTCGTGGTTAGCGAGAGCTCTGGCTGCCTTGACCTGTCTGATGCGACAAACAAATTTTCGCTCTCACGAAGTCACTTTGACATGAATAAGTTTGGGAAGCCAACAGAAGAAGACTTTGAGACAGTAGGTGAGGTGGTTAGAGACATGATTAGGGCATCCCCCAAGCTCCTGCTAGCTCGATCTCAATGTAATTATGCATCATAGGACCTACTAGCATTCAAAGAAGGTTGACCACAGCGATAGATGACGGAAAGCATAAGGTTAGCTTCAGTCTCTAAGGTGTGCTGGTGATAAATCAGTTTGTTCCCTGTGAAGGAGAGATGCAAGAGCTGAAACGGCTTTTTCTTGGTAAGTCGCCAGCGGCGAGCCAGCGAAGAGCCAGCGAAGAGCCAGCGAGGAGTCGTCGCTGTTGTCCATGGTCTAAGTGGTATAGGCAAGACACAGCTTGCAGTGGAGTTTGCGCGGGAGCATCAGCACAGGTTTAGCGCGATATTTTGGCTGGACGGATCGTCAGAAACCAACCTAAAGCAATCATTTTCAGACATGGCACGGAGGCTGTCACAAGAAGAGCTAACGGCAGATGGGGTAGAGACACTCAAGCATTCTATCGTTGATGTTGACGTAACAGTGCGTGAGTGTCTCCGATGGCTATCTCTCTCCTCAAATCACGACTGGCTTTTGATCATCGACAACGTTGACCGCGACCAGTACGACAAGGACGACTTGCAAGCGTACAACGTAAAGGAATATTTCCCTCCCGCAGACCACGGGTCAATTCTTATTACAAGTAGGCTGGCCAGTCTTCAGAAGCATGGATCAGGCATCAAGATAGGAACGGTTGCTGCAGAGCAAGCAAGAGCTATTCTAGAGAACAATGTTGGGAGAGAGGTTAAGAGTAAGTCAACATTTACGTTTACAAATACAGATATAGTTAATAATAGATGTTGAACAGACGTTGGCATGATTCTTGAGCGACTTGACGGCCTTTCTTCGGCCCTTACCCAAGCAGGCTCGTATATTCAACAGACAAGTTTGTCCGCGTTGGCGTACGCAGAAAACTACGATAGAACGTGGGAGCAACTTATAAAGAAGCAGAGCCGATTTCCACTGGAGGAGTATGGCGACCGAAATGTGTTGACAACATGGACTATGTCGTACGAGCAGGTCCGGAAGCAGAGCAAAGAGGCTGTGTGTCTGCTCAAGCTGTGGGTGTTTTAGACCATGGGGAACTCTGGTACAAGTTGATCGCTGCTGGATTAGATCTATTAGAGCAGATGGACATTCCAGCGTGGTTGCAGCATATTGCAGAACACGAGCTGGAGTTTACTGATGCTGTAGGTCTTTTATCGCGCTACTCGCTTGTTGATGCACAGGAAGGCACCAGCAGCTACTTAATGCACTCAGTAATCCATAAATGGTGCAACCAGCTGGCGAAAGGCGAGGAGCGATACCACCTTTGTTGCGTGGCAGCCGCGCCAGTGGCATCAAATGTGCCCTCAGAATCGGAGGCAGAGTATTGGAAGAAGCAGAAATGTGTATGAGCCCATGGTGCCAATGTCAGCAGATGGATAATAGAAGAGTCCTTCTTAGATGGAGGGGATATTGTGGGAGCTTTAATCCCGCTGTGGGTATTGCACACGCTTAGAAAGCTTCTTTTAGATGAAGACAGGGTGAAGCAGGCGGAGGAGATGTACCAGGGAACACTGCAAGGAAAGGAGAAGGAATGGGGCCTAGAGCATACATCCACGCTCGACACAGTCAACAACTTAGGTAACCTCTACAAGAAGATGAGCAGTCTTGATGAGGCAGATGCCATGTACCAGCGGGCACTGCAAGGATACGAGAAGGCATGGGGACCAGAGCATACATCCACGCTTGACACAGTCAACAACTTAGGCACTCTCTACGCGGACCTAGGCAGGCTTGACGAGGCAGAGACCATGTACCAGCGAGCACTGCAAGGATGCGAGAAGGCATGGGGACTAGAGCATACATCCACGCTTGGCACTGTCAACAACTTAGGCCTTCTCTACGCGAAGCTAGGCAGGCTTGACGAGGCAGAGGCCATGTAAGCGAGCACTGCAAGGAAAGGAAAAGGCATGAGGACCAGAGCATGCATCCACGCTCGACACGGTCAACAACTTAGGCCTTCTCTACGCGGACCTAGGCAGGCTTGACGAGGCAGAGACCATGTACCAGCGAGCACTGCAAGGATACTAGAAGGCGATCGGTCAAAGGGGTATCTCTACCTACATTCTAGCACTAAATACCCTGTGAGGAATTGCCTCTCTCTCTAGGCGCCAATTCCAAGTCGAAGATGCTATAATCTGGTACTCGGAAGATTTATCAGGCTCCCGGAAGTCCCTGGGAATAATCATCCAACATGTCAGATTTTGCGTGGCAGTCTTGCTGGTCTGGATAGGGAAACAGATCGTACTAACGCCTCGAGCGAGAGAGTGTTAGTGTAGGAGTATGCTCACGTGCAGACTATTATCTATTATCGACTCTTATCCATCGCAGAACAAGGCAGCCTCTAAGCGACATACACTACTCAGAAAACCAAGCTAGAACCAGAAGTAAGATGGTATTTGATTGACGCTTTTAAGTACAGATTTGGGTGTTTTCCAAGCGAAGTAGCCGTTAGGAGCATGGCCATTGACACACAGGCATGTGAAGATACTTGGCGGGCTGCTAAGAGTTGTAGATAGATTACTTTACAACGGCTTGCTTGCGGTATGCAAATGCGTACGATAGAGGGGTACAAGTACTCTTTGTACAGTGGGAAATGATGTGGTCAGAGCTATGGTACTTTATTAGGTTTGTCAACTAGGGTGCGAAGACTCCCGTTGCGCGAACGGGGTGGACTTCGTTGGAACTGCTGTAGGGAAAGCCAGTTTCACTAGTGATGGTAACACTAGTGGGATATGCAAATATGCAAAGAAATTGCAACCTTATTGGCCATCCATTTGATTCCAGCTACAGACAAGACAGGTCCCTCCTTATGCAGGACAGCTAACAAACCCATGACAGACTGTGTTGAAAGCCGAATGCTCATCATTTCTAATGGCATTGCAGGCAGTTAGGCGGGAAGATGCAAAGATTTGGGCAGAGAGGTAAGTGGGTATACGTAGCACTTGACTCAGGTATCGGTAGCACGACGAGCTTCAACTAACAATCCGAAGATGTAACCGATGATGCGGGAGGCGCGCTTTGCAGACTCTTCGTCAAAGAGCTCGACTTCCGCAACTCGGGTTCGCTTGATTGGCTCTCGCTCTGGCAGAATGGAGACCTGGCGACTAACAGGAGGCTATTGGACATGTTTCTTACGTCTCGGGGACACTCGACTACTCACATATGGTACTCCGAGAAGAGTTGATACACCTCCTCGACTCCAGCGTCCGCCGCAATGTTTGAGACGATGATCCGATTGCGGACGTTGACCTTCCGCTGGGCTGCCTCATATGTTGTGATCTCCTCCAACGTCTGCTTGATGAGATTATCAAGTTTGGCATAGGCACGCTTCACGAAGTCTTCCTTTTCTAGTTGAGCCTTGTAGCCGTTAGACCCGTTGCCGAAGAGGTACTTCATCCACGCATCCAATTCGCCGTAATCATATTCGGCCTTCTCCAGAAGAATGGCGATAGAGGCACGAAGATGGTGAAGAGACGTCGAACCGTCAGTTGCTTCTGAAGGCGCTGAATTCATCGTCGACATTGCAGACGGGACAGATCCCATCAAGTTTGGCGCTGGCTGTCGGGCTGGGAGGGCCATGATTGTAGCACGGAATTCGCTTAGGCTCAGGTCAAAGGTATTTGATGCCGCTAGATTTGTCTTCCGAGAGGCAGCAGCTCGATCTAGCTCTGCTAACATTTGCTTTGGGCTGTCGAGCTCGGTCCCAATCATTGTGGTCTTTTTGTGAGCAGCAGCTCGATCCAGATCAGCCAACATTTGCTTTGCGTCGTCGAGCCCGGTGGCAACGAATGTCGTCTTCGAGTTAGAAACAGTTCGATCCATTTCAGCTAGCATCTTCTTGATGTCATCTTCAACACCGTTTTGCGAGCATTTGTGACTTGACTCCGTAGTGGCGACCGACGAGGTGTGGATAGGTCCAGGCTTCGACGAATCTGACCTTTGACCGTTTGTGTTCTCCAACATCTTGACTGAACTGTTATCATTCTTGTCAACTGCTATACTTTCTTTCTTGTTTTGCAGATTTCCGACCACGTGACTTGTGCTAGTAGTCATCGATTTGGTTGGCGGAATCTTGAGATCGCGTTGGCGTGCGATTCTTGCAAGGGTATCAACAATACCAGCCTTTTGGCGGCGAACCATGTCCTCGTTATGACCGTACCTGCGCTCATTGAAGACCTGAGGGGAAGCCATGATCACAGTGCTCGGTGATGTGGTACGGACCACGGTGAAATGCACAAAACTTTGCCTATATTGAATCCATTCATCATGCTGTTTATATACTTGATAGGGCTGAGGGCTCACCTTTATGATAACTTTGGGTTCGTGTGCAGAGCGGGCCTTGAATGAGGGGAGGAGTTGGTGATAGTCAGGATCGCGGGTCGAGTAATTTGAACGAGTGTAAGCACAAGAGTGGCCCAGCACCTAGTTTGGTGCTTTGGGAAAGAGCGGTGGAGGGAGTGAGAGAGACATGACCGCGTCACCCGTCCATGGAGTGCAAACAAAAGAGCGAAAAGTTTTGCTAGTGAATGACTCTAAAGGGACACCTTGCCTAGGATAGTAGAGAAGAAGAACTGAGAAATTGAGATTATGAAGAGGTGGAACCTTGTGCTTAGGTTCGGAATCTCCAAAGCTGGAAAACGTAGCTAGTACGTTCCGCTTACCTCTCCGTATATCGAAACCTCCCCAGATCCTAAACTAGGTCGTAGAGGCGCGAGATGGAGCACTTCCATGTCCAAGATTTGTAGTCCACAGAGTGTTTCTCCAAGAATGATAATACTACAGGGAGTTACTACTGGACATCCAATCCACCATACTCCTCTGTAACGCCTCGCTCCTCACTGCTTCTTCTTCCCCGCCTTCTTTTTCTCCTCGGCGAGGCGATCCATCTCAACGATCTCGGCCTCCTCTTTCCTGAGCGCATACCACTGCCCCGCCTGCAGCACCAGCACGCCGACCAACACCAACGCTAGGATTGTATTGCTGGCTGCAAACACTCTCAGCGTATCCTCTCTGCTAATATAATCATCCGGAGAGACCTCATCGCCCTCCATCGGTTCCACATTCCCGTAGATGCCCGCCGTCACAACCTTGAATCCCTTCACGATGTTCGTGATATACACGGTGACACCCGCCATGTAGAGCACGAGGCTCGCGCCATCAAATAGCATATTTGCTTCCGAGGGTTTGTACAACTTCGTGATAAAGCCGATCAGCCCGGTGCCGATTGCAATGTGCAGGATGCGCGAGATGATCGGGGGAGATGCGTAGAGGAATTTGATGTGGTCTTCCAGGATCCTGAAGTAAGCATCTCGGTCTGAGGGTGTGGTCCAGAGGACATTATAGTCGTAAGGAAAGGAGGAGAAGAGGATGCCAAGGAAGAAACAGGTTGCTAGAGAAGCCGTTAGCTAGGTGGTCCGAGGGATAAAATGAGGCGCAAGTGGGGGATTACGGCCGATGATTAGGAACGTCGCAAAAGAAGTTGTTTTCGCCATTTTGCGAAGTAGGTTTGCGATATTTCTCAGGGTCAGGGTCTTCCGGCGACGAGAGAGGGTATTTGTAATAAGTTCAAGATTTGGTCGGAGGTGCAAGGTGCGCAGAGCTGATGATGTTTCGCCGCGCTTATCGGCCAAACACACAAACGCGAAGTATTACGGATGCGCGTAGGCCTTTTGGGGAAGGTGGAAGTCGTGTGGCTTTTACAACTGGCTCGAATCTCTGAGTCGGGTGTCTTCACCTTAAGGAGTAAGAAGAAATAGAGGTAATGGCTCGATTGTGTGGCGACTCGCAGGGCTGCATTTCCGCACAACGATGAAATGGACGCGGAGTTCAAGTGATGTTAGGCGTCCTTGGCACCACCGGTCAAGGAGACAGCCAACAATGCAATATTCATTTCTCACGACGGAGGCAGCTTGACAGGAGCTAAATTGGAAGGTGATGGATGCATAATTCAACATTGATACCAAGGACGCTTCATGAATCCAATCGCTCTTCGACTGCAGATAGCAGAGAGCAGTCACATCTTGACATACATCCAACCCAGGATCTCGAAACGCCGTAGCACGCCTTATCCATGAGCCATCATAATCCCCGCCGAAAATCGTTACCATTGACTCTCTAGAAGTCATTGTCGGCGTCCATATCCTCATCTCCAGCTTCAATGAAGACCAACCTTGTGCCCTCACCAGTCGTTTGCCAGACCTAATCAGGATGGTCAGCATTCTCGAAACTGCATTCCCTTTCAAAAAGGGATCACTTACGTCTAATAGAGCATACTCATCAATTGCCTGCTCGAACTGGTCCGCGGTGAAGCCCTTAGCCAGTACCCGTTCCCTAACCCGTCGAAGATCCAACTCGCCTCGAGTTCCGTCCCCAACGGCTGCAGCACCGCTGGCTTCCATTGTCTTGATAAGATGATAAATCTTGCTGCTCGGTGTGTGATCATCTCTGCGGTTCTCGTCTGCGTACAAGCTAGCCTTGCTGACTTCGACAAGTCTCAATGCCTCATCTACGTCCTCGGTAATAACCTCGTTCGTAAACCGCAGACGAGCCAAAGCTTGCGAGAGACGTAGAACGCCAAGGAGAGTGCGCGGCGAGGTGTGAGTGAAGGCCTTCTTTGAACCTTCGTCTCGCTTCTGCTGCTGTCGCATCCGCACGTAGGCACCGACCATGTAGTCCGAGACCTCCTTGGGAACCGTTGGCCTGTAGGATCTTGCACGGGCTACCCACTGCCGTACCTCGGCAGGAGAGAACACAATGCCTCCAGGGGCTTCAGGATGAGCGTTGTGCATGTGGACATGCGTGACATGGCGAGCAAGCTCTTCGTCAGAATCTCGTGAAGGGGTATCTAGGATGAGGAAGAGGACATCGAAACGTGAGAGCAGTGCTGCGGGGAGGTTGATGTTTTCAACTGGAGAAATCCGAGGATTGTAGCGTCCGTACAGAGGGTTTGCGGCTGCGAGGATGGATGTACGGGCATTTAGGGTAGTCGTGATACCGGCCTTGCTAATTGAAATGGTCTGCTGCTCCATAACTTCGTGGATAGCCGTACGGTCGCCGTCATCCATCTTGTCGAACTCGTCGATACAGCACATGCCGTTGTCGGCCAACACAAGAGCACCACCTTCAAGGACCATTTCGTCCGTGACTGGATCACGCATCACAGCAGCAGTGAGGCCGACACCACTGCTACCACGACCGGTAGTGTAGACACCGCGAGGCGCAACTTTGGTAATATACTTGAGAAGCTGGGATTTGGCAACACCAGGATCACCCATCAAGCAAACGTTGATGTCACCACGAATGCGCATACCATCACCAACCTCCTTCGTGACTCCGCCAATGAGCTGTAAAAGCAGGGCTTTCTTTACATCAACATGACCGAAGATTTCGGGTGCGATGGACCGTGAAAGATATTCGTATAGTTGGCCGGTCCTCTCGAGCTCATTCATTCGTCGCAATGTAGGCTGGGCAAGAACAATATCGTCATATGCCTTCTTATGCTGCATCACATACTGAGCTTCCAGGTAAGTATCTGTGAGAAGACCAGCGCGGATGGCTTTGAATCCAGTATATGGGGTAGGAAGGAAAATACCCGCTACATCAATGACGTCTCCTGGATTGATCTGACGGACCAAAGCGCCGTGGCAATGAATAGATAGTTGCCTAGGGATATGGCCTACTGGAACCTGATCGGCCATTTCCTGAATCTTAACCTCTTGGAATGGGAGGAACTTCGATGCGCGAGTCGAAAGAAACAGCTGACCTTTGGTGTTGTTCTTCTTGCACTCATCTGAAGGACATTCGACCATTGGGGTAAACTGCTTGGTCGTGACAGGTTGGAATATCTCACACCCACAGCGATCACATGAGTAGGCGTTGACTTGAACCGCAGGTTTGACATCCGAGACTCTAGTTGCAATACCACGGACTGTGATCAGGTGCCCAAGATGCTCGCCGCGTACGTTTCGGACAGCTAAGGCCTTCATGTTGCGCTGGCTGCTTGCGCCAGATGGTATCCTAGGTTTGAAGTTCAAGGTGTATCGTCGAGTGAGGGCTGGGGGAAATATAGACTCAGGGGGAGGTTGAGCGCCCTCTTCTCCGCCCTGCTGCTCTTGCACTCTCTCGTTGCGTTTCGATCGCTGGGTCATGATGATATCCAGAACGTCATCTTTGAAACTGTGAAAGTCAGGAACCGTCAATGTCAGAGGGGGGGTCTCTGATGTTCGTACTTGGGCTCCTTCGTTGGCGGAGGCAACACTCTGTCTACTGCTCTGGAGAAGATTTCGATGTAGTGGTGCGCATTTCTTTCGATTGAAGCAATTAGCTTATAGTCTGCTTCTTCGCTCGACGCGGCTTTCTCATACTTTGGCACACGTTATTAGTCTAGATTTGTTGGCTCGAATCGCGGCTGGACTCACTGCTTCCAAATCATTCAGATCAATCACGACTGCGGATCTTGTGCGATCTGCCACCTCCTGTAGCATTTGCATGTACTTCAGCTTTGAATGACGGCCGCGATCCTGCGTTGCGTCTGGTACAGCATCATCCATCATATCGTACTCGTCACTATCGCCATCGCCGCTGATGTCCAGCCCCTCGAGCTGTTCCGCAGCTTCGGCGGAAGAAGACTTGAAGTGTTGGAGGAAATCCACAAAGGCAGCTGGCGGTAAAGTCAGATAATCGAGCTTCTGTGACAAGTGTAGAAGGGCGCGCAAACCTTCCTGCTCCTCGTAGTTCACAAAAGCCGGTACAGTATGAAGCGCCATTGCTTCCCAGATGACAATTCAGCTCGGAGAAGTCTAGTGCAGCAGTGTGTATCCTTGCGAAAGAACGGAATGGGCGAAGGGGGGTATACAACAGGAATCTTGAGAGAGGTCGGGCTGGGCGTCCTCGGCGCGTTCGCGTCGCGTCTAAGCAGGGGACGTCAAATGATTGGTCAACATGTCTTCCAGTTCTGCCAGCTGCGACCGCCTGAATTCACTCGAGCTTCGAAGTAACGGCCGACAACCTCGGCATGCGGAGCTCAACTGAATTCATTCACCATGCCCCAGCGCTCTTCGTTACTTCCCATTCTCCACCATGGCTCCTGCTGCGAAGAAGCCTGCAGGGCAGGTCGTCCAGGCTGAAGTAGCTCTCCAGCAATCTCTAAAAAATTGTCTTGTCAATCTACCCTCTTCCTTGGTTTCCATTCTCGTCAATGCAAATGCGGTATGTTTCTTGTCTGCGACTGTTGAGAGTTAGTGCTGAGGACCCAATGTAGATCGCCCAAAATGTCGTTGTCGAGCTCTCATATCGCCAGCCTCCCCCGCCCAGCGCCTCGGACTCCAGGAGTACTTCTCCCCAGAGATCCGTGTTCGTAGGCTGGACGGGCATGCAAAGCAAGCGCAAGCTTGCGCCAGTAGTAGGACGAGAAGGATTAAGCGGCAGTAGAGGCGGCCCCGCCGCAAGAGAGCAGGATATACAAGCAGTAGAAGTGGATGCGACATTCGCTCGACTAATAGGTCTTATCGAGGGACAGAAGGTTGGGATACTGCTGCATCTAGACCCTCCGCAGGCCCACACCATCAACATTGAGCCCCTGACACCAGTGGACTGGGAGATGATCGAGTTACACGCTCAATTTCTAGAGCTCAACTTTCTCTCGCAAATACGCGCACTCCCAAATCCCCAAGTCCAGTCCCCGCATCCATTAACTCTCCATCTGTCTCCGACCACGACGGCGAACATCAACGTGACCTCGGTGGCTCCTGCCCCGCCTACTAGCTCACCGTTCGTAAAAATATCTCCGGATGCGGAAGTTATTGTTGCCCCCAAGACTCGACAAAAGAGTGAACGCAGTTCAGCACGTGAAAGTCGAAGTGTTGGTGGTGCCTCTAGGAAGAGTGGGAAGAGTACAGCGAGTACCGTGAGGCGGCGCAGCGGGCGAGATGAGAATCCTAGTCGTGGTGCTGTGTTCCTGCGGGGCGTTGACAAGAGCGTAGCCCTAGATTGGTTTGATGAAGAAGACCATGCTGACACGGATGGCCTCAAAGTGTGGGTGGACAAAGATGTTCTTTTAACGAAAGCTCTCAGGGGAGTCACATGGGTATCCGTGGCAATCATAAAACCAGCAGGACTGCAAGAGCCGATAGACATGTCCAAAGAACAAGAGCAAGAGAAATCAGCCGTTCGAATCATCGCGAAGCTCGGAACATGGGAAGATGCCCCTGATAGCCGGCATGCTGCATTGTCCACGGATTTGTGTAGAGTCTTGGGATTTGAAGGCTTTGTTGGGGGTCTTGTTCGAATCGAAGGAGCACCCAGTCAAACACCAAAGCCATCATCCCTGGCTAAATCGCAGGACTCGAAAGAGTCGAAAGAGCAACATATAAAGACCATCAAAATCTTCCCATTCTCTGCCGGCGTGCAAGCAAACGCTACCCTTAAATTCGGCGGCGAATCCAAACAAGAGCATGAAGATGCAATCCAAAGAATTAAGGCCATGTATGGGAAACGGAATGGACTCCTGGATGGACCAGTCACAGATGGCATGGTTCTGGTTCCACCAAAGGATCCTGTTCCTGGCTGGCAAGGAGGCATACTAAGATTCGACCCTCCTCAGTCTCAACCGGGAGTCTCTTGGGTATTATTTCCAGAAAGAAAACCCTCTGTAGAGCTAGCTGCGGAAATATCGAAGCCGTCAGCTTTGCTCAAACCCTGGCAGCAAGGAGAACCCTTGCCAGCTACGCCTCCGAAGATGGTTGGAATCGACGCTCTCGTAGTTCAGCTACGATCTCATCTTACGCACCAGTCATCTGTCCTTCTGACTGGTGGTCTCGGGGCTGGAAAGACAACGTGCGCGCAGCTTCTAGCTCACCAATTGCGCACAGAATTCTTATTCAACGCGATCTACTTCCCCTGCCGTAAACTTGTGACCGACGAGACACGAGTAGCAACTATCAAGGAGACGCTTAATAGGATCTTCGCGTCGGCATCCTGGGGTGCACGGTACGGCGGAAATGCCGTCGTCATTCTTGATGACCTCGACAGACTCTGCCCAGTAGAAACAGAACTGCAGGTTGGTGGTGAGAATGGACGAAGCCGTCACATCAGTGAAAGCATTATTTCGATTGTTAGACAGTATTGCTCCATGGATTCTGGTGTGGTACTTCTAGCTACTGCCCAAAGCAAGGAGGCTCTGAACAACGTCATCATTGGGGGACATGTGGTTCGTGAGATCACCAGCCTGAAAGCTCCAAATAAGGAAGGAAGAAGAAGGGTGCTGGAAATGCTAGCTCACCAAGATGAAAAATCTCAAAGATCGGAAGAGAAGCTCAACGGCGTTGTCTCGTCTGGTCACGCTTTCCCTCCATCGCCATCAAATAGCCGGCCAAGCACCTCTGGCCATCAAAGCCGACCAAGCTCTTCGAGTATCCAGCACAATTCTCAAGTCGAAGAGGACGGATTCGTGGTCGATCCCGCCATCGACTTCCTCGATCTCGCTGGTCAAACTGACGGCTACATGCCTGGCGACCTTGTACTCCTCACATCGCGAGCCCGCAGCGAATCCCTAATCCGGTCTGTCAGCGCTTCCTCTGCTTCCACATCCATCTTTATCACCAGAGAAGACTACACACAGGCCCTCTCCGGCTTCACACCAGCATCCCTCCGCAACGTAACCTTACAGTCGTCCACAACACGCTGGGATTCCATCGGAGGCCTCCACGCTACGCGCCAAACCCTCCTCGAAACCCTCCAATACCCAACGACATACGCCCCCATCTTCGCCCAATGCCCTCTACGTCTTCGATCTGGACTGCTTTTATACGGATATCCTGGGTGCGGCAAAACACTCCTTGCCTCTGCTGTCGCAGGGGAATGCGGGCTCAACTTCATATCTGTCAAAGGACCCGAAATCCTTAATAAATACATCGGTGCGTCGGAAAAATCCGTCCGTGACCTCTTCGAGCGAGCTGAGGCCGCCCGTCCTTGTGTCCTCTTCTTCGACGAATTCGACAGCATTGCGCCGAAGCGTGGACACGATAGCACGGGTGTAACGGACCGCGTTGTGAATCAGCTGCTTACGCAGATGGATGGTGCAGAGGGGTTGTCTGGCGTGTACGTCCTTGCGGCGACAAGCAGACCGGATCTGATCGATCCGGCGTTGCTAAGGCCGGGCCGGTTGGATAAGAGTTTGATATGCGATCTACCGGGCCTAGAGGAGAGAGTCGACATTCTCGCGGCAGTAACAAGGAAATTGCATCTCGCACCCAGCGTCCTCAGCACAGGACCCTACGGCGAGAATCTTCGAGAAATCGCAATGAGAACCGAGGGGTATTCAGGTGCGGATCTGCAGGCTGTCGTGTACAATGCACAACTCGAGGCCATCCATGATGTCCTGGGTGACTCTGAACTCGGCGATCCTACAAGATCCGGCACGAAGAAACCTGCACCTCCAACAGGCGAGAAAAGGGCTGGGAAGGAAAAAGGGGTACCGGAATTTACGCACTTCCGCTTTGGAGACGATACAGCGACGGAAGAAACAGAGGCCAGGAAAGCTCTGCCTTCTTCCGTGCTCACTGAACGCGCGATTATTGCGAGCAAGATCGCGGCATTGCAAGCTATCCGCCGGAAACAGAAACAGCTGCAACATCACCGCACTGGCCTGGATGCGCAGGATGTTGGGGAGCAGAAGGATGAAATGGGGAGGTCGGAACCGGAGATTCAGTGGAAGCATATTAAGAGCTCGTTGGCGACGACGAGGAGTAGTATTAGTGCGCAGGAGAGGAGGAGGCTGGAGGGTATTTATAGAGAGTTTGTGGTTGGTAGGAATGGGGATATGCCGAATGGGCAAGGAGGGACGGAGATTGGTGGACGGTCGAGTTTAATGTAGATGTAGAATTTGGTAGGTGGAATTGTAAGGAATTAATGGACGTTGCTTCATTTCTGGTGCTGGGTCATTGTAAAAGATGGGCTTTGGAATTAGTTGAACAGTATTTTATTCCCCTGAAACACTGTTTCACTAGGTATTGCTATGTCCCGTGAATTGAATCTACTATGACAAGAGCCTGGATTAAGATGTAAACGCCTCCACTATCCCCCGTCCCCTCACTCTCCCGCTCCCTATCCTCTTCTGTTCTTATTTCCCAACCGTCTTCTCAGCAATCTTCCCGGCCGCTTCCTTCGCCTTCAAAGCAGCATCCCGTCCTCCAAAATTCCAGTACTGCATATACCGGTAACCCTGTGTGAGCTGGGATGCGCAGTTGATGAAGTGGCAGCCGAAGAGGAGGTAATTCCTGGGAGAGACGGCAAGGGCGTAGCGCATGAAGACAGCGCTGTAGCAGGAGAGGGCGGCGGTCATGCGGCCAGATATACTGAGGTGGTGTAAGTAGGTGGTTATGCATGGGGAATGTATGACTGGTTTTGTAGGAACTGGAAACTAGTATTAAAGGGGGGGAGGAGGAGATGTAGAGAGGCAAAGAGATAATATGGAGGGGGCACGTGTAGCCATAGAGGTCTCGGCGTGCCGCAATTGAACAAAACAGAATACACACATCTCGGGATCCTTCGTCATATCTGCGACCGCCGCAATCGGGATACCGAAATTACTCGCCGGGCCCCAGAAGTCTGCCACACCATTAGCATTATGCCCCAAATTCCTAGCCCACAAAGCCAATATCCCTCATCCCTCCCATCCTTCTATCGTGGGTGAGCGCGCCCCGACCAGCATCATCAAGCAAGCTTTCCGACACCGAGAACACAGAAATTGTGGTACGTACGAGTCGAGCAGAAGTAATCGAGGTATTTGTTGGAGCGTATTTTCGCATTGAGCGCTCGGGCTGCGGCCGCCATCTTGAGTCGGGAATGGGGAGTGGAGACGGAGTGGGAGGTGTTGAGAAAAAGGCGGCAATCGTTTCTTTGGTGTTGAGTCGGAGCCAGAGCCAAGGTCGGGGATTATGGAGCCGCTTTTCGGAATTTAGAATGTGGTCACGTGAGCACCACGTTTGTAAGAAGCGGAATTACGAATTCTTGAGTCATGTCATTAGAGAATAGTTTGTATACAGAGTTAACCCAAGGGCACTTTAAGCTACGTATGCGTAACTGAAAGCACAGACAGGCCAGAAAAGCTGAAGGGAACAAGTCACTAGAGTGCAATGTTCGGGCAACAAACGAAAGTAAGAGTGGAACTGCAGCAGGGTTGTACTGGTATCATTGATTCGTCCAAGCATTTGCAAGCCTCCATAACCCTACCAAATTCCTTCAGACCTCTCTTGAATTTCGACCTAGTGTCTTCTGCTCTCGGCCTTCTGAGCCACCTTTTATTTGACCATTCAACTTCCAATACCCAAGCTCGCCCAGTTCATGTAACTGGATGTGATGACATAATGAGATGCAATCTGCACGTACAAGTGCCCCATCTACCGACCAAATCCAGGCGGAAAGTTACCGCGCCCTTGTCCAGGAGGTCCTCCGAAAGGTGGTGGTCCACCTGGTCCACCAAAGCCCGCTGGGGGGCCTCCTGGAGGGAAACCAGCTACAACTACATTAGCATGAGTCAGAAGAAGAGAAGAGCTAGACTAACGTGGTCCTCCTGGTGGTCCTCCGCGTCCTGGTGCAAAACCCGGCGGTCCACCCAATCCTCCTGGAGGGCCAAAGCCAGCCGGGCCAGGTGGAAAGGCTCCTGGAAAGCTTGGTCCGGGTCCACCAACACCTGTAGGTGGTCCTGTTAGTCCGACAGGCAAGCCGCGACCTGCAGGTCGAGCAACACCTGATCCTGCCACCAAGGTAGCAGCTGTAGCTCCACCCGATGTGCTTGCGCCCAATCGAGAAGCGGGATCTGCTGGGGGAGGTCCATCGACGGCAAGAGACACGACATGGGCACCGCGGATGATTGTCAAGCCGATCGAACGCCGTTCTTCGGTTTCAACGGTGGGAGCACTACTTCCAGGAGCCGCCTTTTGCCTCCTTCGAGTACGACGGAATTCTTCGGTGTCGGCAAGGACCAGATTCATGTGCTATGATACAAACATTAGGTCTAGGCGTGCTAGAAGTTGTAGAGACGCGCATACCTTATCAAAGGCAAGCATTTGTCCCGCCATTTGTCGTCCATCTAGTAGAGTGACCTTCATCCGATAATTGAGCTGCAGAAAGTGAGTCAAGGAAAATTGTGAGTGAGGAAATTGAGGGCGCTTACGAGGTTTTGCTGAATGTCAAGAAGTCAGTTGGCTCTATCCACAAGTCCTCTCTCAGGTCGAAGGTTGGAGTTGCTAGGCAGATTTACTTACCATTTTACCCTGTCTGTTTGCCCCCGCCATGCTGTGTGCGTTTGCGTCCGAAGACGACTTCTGTGGTAGATGGTGGGTATGAAAGAGTGTGTGAGAACAAGCCCCTGCGCTGGCTTTTGGTGGGGTGCTGGGGGAGAGCTTGTTGTAGTCGGGGCGAGCATGAAGCTTTGCGGCGAAATGTTATGGCGGTTGGCCCAAGCGTCTCGGCTAGATCTTGGCAATTCCCACCACAATCATTGAAGAATTATCGTGAACTCCAACCTCAGCGACCATCTCGACCATCGACTCTTCCCACTAACCTTTCCACAGCAATTGCAATGGTATGTGCAATCACATCCTATCTCTTCTGAAGCGTGTGCTAAAGGAGTCCAGGCCGAAGGCAAAGCTTCCAACCCCATGCGGGAGCTCCGCATCCAGAAATTGGTTCTCAACATCTCAGTCGGCGAGAGTGGTGATCGTTTGACCCGAGCAGCCAAGGTGCTCGAACAGCTGAGCGGTCAGACTCCTGTCTATAGCAAGGCCAGATACACCGTCCGAACCTTCGGTATCAGGAGGAACGAAAAGTACACCACACTGTGGATGAAAGGAAAGGACATCTGGGCTAATGTCGTATCGCTAGGATTGCCGTCCATGTCACCATTCGAGGCCCCAAGGCTGAGGAAATTCTTGAGCGCGGCCTGAAGGTCAAGGAATACGAATTGCGCAAGCGCAACTTCAGCGAGTCTGGTAACTTCGGCTTCGGTATCAGCGAGCACATCGACTTGGGTATCAAGTACGACCCAAGTATTGGGTACGTCTACAACATGACACACCCCTCTCTCGTCCCTAACTGACTGTGGCAAGTATCTACGGCATGGACTTCTACTGCTGCATGACCCGGCCTGGCGAGCGCGTTGCTAAGCGAAGGCGATGCAAGAGCAAGATCGGTGCCTCCCACCGCATCAACCAGGTCGAGACTATTAAGTGGTACAAGAACCGATTCGAGGGTATCGTCCGATAAGTGTGTCGACTAGTGATGGAGAATGGTATGGAAGTTTCAGCACAACAAACCAGCATATCCGGTCTCGGAGGGTGACCACGGAGTCCCGGTCTGTAACTACAAAAACGGGAAGCAAACTTGCGGCCTATCAATGGAGCTGACCTCTCTCTTCTGGAGCGAGCGTCTTCGATCACATTACAATGGAGGCTTCACTTGGGTGAATGTTCCGCTTAACCATTGGTGATCTTCTCTACTTGCCGTCGCGTGATCTTGTCCTTCAACCACCGCTCCTTTGCATGAGACACTCTCGCGCAGTGTCAAGGTAAGTCAACCATCCGATGTATCTCCCCTTCTCGTCGTCTCACAGATCTCACCATTCACCCGTATCCCAAAACCCCGACAGTGCTGCGCCGTCGGAACTTTCCCGTGCCGCATGATGTCAGCAATCCTTTGTTTCCATAAACATCAAAACAATTCCCAAGAACGCACTCCATCAAACAATTTCCAAACGCATTCCCTTTATCTGCATTATAAAACAGCCTCACTGCATCGGCGAACGACTACGCCATAAAGACTAGCTTTGTCAATCAGCCTCGATATTCCAAATCTCTGATATCTATCAATAGCGACCCTATTGCTGCAACCGAGACCCAAAAGTAGACCTACATACACTAGACTACATACCTACTGTGTACATCACTTGTCTCTGATCTTATTTGATCACGCCAGCCATATGGTCTGAAAGGCACTAGCGCCTTGCATTTCCGTGGTTCTTCTACCTACTCACCCGTGCTTCCCTATCCCGTGGATGTGACATGTCGGATTTCGCATCTACGTATATCTAGCCTGCGTGCGAATTGACTCAAAACCGCTCGCCACTACGGATCCAAGTCTTGGATATGTTGACACGCGGCGCGCCGTGGACTGGTGCTGACATATACAGCGTACCTTCAATGGATGCTTTTTGATGTTCAAAACAAGTGCTTATTCCCCGCTTCTGTTATAATCTGATACGTATGTACAAAACCTATGACGGCTTTGGTAGATATTTATTGGGGGCCTGGAGGCCTTATTATGGTACGTGGTTCCTTACGACGAAAGGTTTTATGCAGGTGACCAATGTTTGATGATCCTCGAGACCGCTTCCTAACTTTGCTTTGCTTTGCTTTGCCACACAGGTACAGATGTTGGTGGTGGTGCAGTGTCTCAGGGTTATAATGACCACTTGTTCGATAACAGCCTATCCTTTTCACTAAATAATTGGATGAGAATACGTATGTTGAAGGTCCTTTTTGAGGGGGCATGAGGGATTCTTGGTAGGAAAACTGGGTGAGTTGATGGATCGATTTTAGGGAGAACCAAAAATACAGGACTCGAAGAAGTTCAATGGGGGTGCATATCGCAGGCGATTGGTCCATCTTCACCTTCATTTCTGTCTTCTTTCTAACAATTCGGCGAAAATCACATTAGGCATTAGGCGTAGTTTTGGGAGCAGCAATTATTAATTTCTAGCATCTAGCAAATCAATCAAGTCAAGTGAAAGGAAACTAGACTTATTCTCTGTCGGTCTTTCTCTCTTTGCTCATCGCGTGTAACATCTGATTTCCCACCGAGAGCCAATCGCCAACGACCTTGTAACTGGACCGAGACCACCAAAAGCCGCATATCCAACGGCGTACAATGCCCTTGCCCGAACCACTGTCCACTTCTTCCCTCCCTCCCCTGCTGCCGCTGCGAACCCAACCCAACAACCCAGCTCCTCGTTCCAGGCTCGCAACACGAGTGTGCGGCTAGCCGCCCGGGAATGCAACGGGAACGCACTTGATACATGTACCGGGCGGCTGCACAGTTGACATATCTCTGGGCCGGTCGCATAATGGGCGGTTCGAGCCGGTGCGGTTGCGTCTCTAGTTCGGCTTGGATGTGGGGAGAGAGGCGGTTGTTTAGGGCTAGGAAATTGGGAGTGGGGGGATGGTTTGGGAGGCAATAGCGCCTCGTCTCAAGAGAAGTGTGATGAGATTGTGGTTTGGCGAGACGCTGGGTGCTGGATGGAGAGTGTGATAGTTTGATTATTTTCAGATCAGACTGAGGGTGTATTGAAGCGTAGATCACGGAAATTAGAGTGAGGGAGTGTGGGGGAAATGGATAGGAGGCGTATGTAATGCGCAGGCAGAAAATGGATACGGGAAGGGAGACCTTTCAGAACTGAGTAGAGCAAATCTTCGTGTCAATGCAGCAGGAAGGATGATGTTGTGTCAAGTTTTTTTGTAATCATTGTCTGATCTGATAGGTAGATTTCAGTTCTGCCATCTTCCCAAAAATCGATTCTCATACGCTTCGATTAGACACTTTGTACAACGTGCGTGCTGACAGGATATCGCCTTCATCTCATCTCTTTCATACTCCCCTTTTCGTTTCGCTACATATGTATTCGAGAGACAAGAATAGACTTCCCAAGGTATCAAGCAAAACCCAGCGTTTCGCCCACCAACAACACCGGAAAGGAAAAGGAATTATCAACGAGAGAGTAGATGAGGACTCAAACTCAAAGAAAAATGTGAAAAGAAAAAGGGGCCGAGGCCAGTAGTGTGAATCATGTACATGTTATTCCACCCAGCCATGCACTAGGGCCTAGATGAGAATAGTGAGAAACGAAAACGCTAACCCGTGGCTATGCAGCAATGACATCGAAATTGGATTTTTGTTTTACTGGTGATTTCTTGTCACGCTAGGACCGAAGTCAAAACCTTGTGCGGTAGGTGTTGGCTGTGGTTGATGTGACGGTGAAGCCAACGGTGTAGCATATGAGCCAGGAATGGGCACGGCTGCGTATTGCTGTTCGCCCGGTGCTGCGGGTACGTGATCGTTTTGCCTCTCGACGAAGCCTGGGGAGAGTGGGGGCGATGCGGTGCCTGTCCTTGGAGGAGCATCAAATCCGTCTTGTTCCACCTTAGGAGTTGCGCCTTGGATGCGGATTGGCGGTGCTTGGAGAGCGAAGGGCTGTGGTTGGACGATTGTGCGTGCATATTGCGCCTGCACTGATTCGCTCTCGCCGTTCTCGGCAGCGGAATGAGGGTCTACGTAATTTGGGTGACCAGGTGGTGGACGCCAGCCGCCAGAGCGAGGGGACATAGGACCAAATCCTGGGGTGTTGGGAGCGGATTGCGAGCGCAGTTGAGCGAGGTAGAGATCAGAACGAGCCTTGTCACGGACGGCCATGGACTTCCTGAGCTTGCGCTTCGACCAGAAGCGGAAGAAGACGATGGCGTAGATAATGATGCATAGGGTTTCGATCACCACTTCGATGATGCAGCAAACGAGGGCCCAGTTCTGCATATTTCGTTAGTATTGACTATCAGGATTTTGGGCTATTGCATTTTGCATTGCTTACCTGGAGACGGCAGACGAGAGCGTAAGAAACATCGTCCTCGAAAAGATGTTTCCGCTTGTTCTCCACACATGACCAGCCCCACATATCCTTGCCCTTGCCTTGAGATTTGCTCTGGTTTAAGATGCCGGCGCCAACTGCCCACATGATGATACTGAAAATGAAGAAGCCAATAGCAAAGATGGTGTAGTACGCTGCCACCTTCTCTGCTTTCCTGTGGCCTCCCCTCGAGTAGGCGATTAGAACGACAATGGACATGAATAGCGAGATACAGGCGATAACGAGGAGCGTGACTTGCGGCCATATTGCCGTTTTGGCGGCCCATGGTGGGAGGTTATTTCTCGGCGGAAGGTGTTTTGTGGCGTTGAAGATTGAGAAAGCGGTTGCAAGCATGGAAAGGACGATCAGACTGCAGGCAAAGTTGATCCCTCGCAGGAATATCTTTGCCACTCGTACCCTCAACTTCACTTTCTGTTTGTTGTTAGCTTATTCTACAGGGGAAGAAGGGTAGTACATACCAAATCCTTTGCTTGCTCCTTCTCTGTCAAGGCTTCCCTCTTCTCCAAAATCTGCTCTTCTCGGAAGGTGGGGCTGAGGATCATGGTCTCGGTAGTCCGCGGTGGAGCACCAGGCGATTTCATGGCACTCTTTAGAGGAGTCATGGGGGTTGGCGGAGGCAGATACTTCTTGTCTGTCTCCTCCATCTCGACACTTTGGACGTAGCCGAAGCCTACGTCGGAAACCTGGGGTTGCGGTTTGTAGTGGTTAGTGGGCAGATCCGCGAACGGGGATCTCGCGTCGATGGGCGAGTAGACGGAAGTAGCTTCAGCAAAGCGGGCTGTGCGTGGTGTCTTTAGTGACGGGGCGAGCGAGTCTTGCGAGTTTCGTTTGGAGGCGACGGTAACTGTGGTGGTCTTCTTATCGTTGGCGGCCATTCTAAGACTAATCCGTTCACAAGAGCAGATGATGACGCGAGAGTCTCATCAAGTGGGGGGGGGGAGGGACGGTGGGAAGAAAAGAATGGATGGGAAAGATAGAAATGTCTACGGAAGACAGCAACTTGGATCAAGCCCAGCTTTGACAAGTCGCAGCACGCACACACAGCAAAGGTGTTGGAAAGAGACAAAAGCGAAGACGCACACAAGTATTACAATAAGAGAGGCCTGCTGTCGAGAGAAGAGAGGAGAGGTGGGACTTGAGGGCGAAGCGCTGGCCTTTTGTCTGGGTGGGCGCTTCGAGAAGCGACTGGCAGATTTGGGAATGAAGAGCACGGATTGAGGTGGAGAGAGTCGGAATAAAGGCTGGCGGGTACTCACCAACGTCTAAATGTATGGCGCCAATGAAGCGTGCTGCACGAGGCCGTCACAGGCGCTGATAGGCTGGAGGGGGAGACGAGCATGTAGCAATGGCGCAAAAGTGGGAGGAGGAGTGGTGGCCCAGAAATAGACGCCCGGTTGAAAGCAATAAACGATTAGAAAAGGTTGCGCTTCCAGACCGGCGACACTGCAGCGCGACGAGCAGAGGGTGCTGACGGACTGCTGATGAGCCGTCTGGCAGGCGTAAGCAGGGTTACGTAGGTGTCTAGATGAATGAAGTGGGATAGGTAGTGAAGCTGGTGCTGGTGCTGGCGTTGCCGTCGCCGTCGTATAAGTTACCTCTGTCTTGTTTGAACAGCCTCACGGCTTGGGGGGCTTCCGCGAGGGACGGGGATTGAGGTGGAAGGGAATTGCGCTCGCTGCCACCTCGTGCACTCGGACAAGAAGGACGTGCCCAGGCTCGAGGACTCTTCTGGCGTTGTGAGCCAGGAGTCTGGGGATGGTGAGGCCCAATGAAGCCTGCAGTCTTCGCGCTGGGAGGGCGCGGGAGTCGCACAGAGTGGAGGGGGGCTAGCGACAGGTGTTTCGACACAGCAGTAGGCGGGCCAATCGGCGGGCCACAAGACCCTGCAGCATAAACAGAACAAAGGCTCGGCGGCAGCGCTTGCATAAGGCACCCCGCCAATCGCTGCCCAGATCTGCGAGCGCGAGTGAATGGCCGCCGCCACCCCGCCCTCCAGTCTCCCCCGCCAGCGACGACTCGCCGCGGGACTGCAGTCTTGCTTCATGCAACAATGTGACAACGCGACGATGACCCTCGCGCTCTCGCTCGTAGACTCCTGCTCCTCACAGTGCATAAAGGTAAGGGCATCCCTCTGTCCGCCTGCAATTGCTCATTGCCCCCATCATCAGCGTAGATTAATTGCCTCTCTACCAAGAGTTTGCCTGTCAGCCCTTATCACTCAGCGAGCGGGCAGCCGTCGTCGGCACATCCCCGAAGGATGGCAGATGCGTCTAAGGCATAACCGCCATCAAATTTGTGTGCGTCAACCGCTGCTATTTTCCAAGGCTGTCCGGCCTCCACTAAAATGACCCAATCCTAGCCTAGTCGTGGCAATACTTCTTGAAAGACGGTTATTTTGTGCGCTTTCTACCCATCCCCTCCCCCCCCCCAGTCTCGACCTAACCTGTTCGGCGCACTTCCGTTTTGGTCCCGTTTCGTTTTTTCGTTGGCGGCTATTTTTGGGTCCATGCTGCATCTGACCAGTGATTTGCCTCTGCATCTGGGTCCGCTTGCCAGCATCGCAATCGATGATCTCTCTTGGGTGTGCTGGCGAATCCTTCCGCAAATCTTCTATCCTCCAGTTAGCAATATCTCATGCCACCATGTCGTGAACACCAGAATCCTTCAATGTATCCACTGCGAAAGCGGCGAAGAAAATTTCTCGCCCAACCTACCTCCAACACTAACTGAAAACGCCGCAGGCAGAGGCCCGTCCCTCCCGCAGCCACGGAGCCGATGCTGAGATGCAGGTCCGTTTCCCACCACCTCAATCCTTCTGCTGCTGCTCCTCACCATCCTCATCTCTGTACCCCGTGCTTACAACATGCTATGTTTATTCTTGTCTGTCCGCCGGGCACCTGGGCCAGGTGTTCATTCACGCTCACGCCCAGATCTGCAGCAACGCACATGTTTCCGAACACAGTTTCGAAACATTTTAACCCTCTTTCGGACCTCGCCTCCCACTTCTCACTATCTCCCTTGTCCAATTTACATTGCCCTGCAGCAGTCGATAGTATGTCCGTTCTGTAATGGCCTTCACTTCCTCGTGGCATGCTCACAGAATAGTCTCCGAAGTACCATGTTCATCATGACAAGAATAGTAAAATCAATATTAAGGATCTAGAATCTAGCAGGAAATACCAAAATATCAAATGAATAACAGCAAAAGTAGTCCTCGCTTGCGGAATCGAGATGCAGGTACATACCTTTACCCCCAACTCACCAACACAACGCAAGAACAAATATGGCCGAAGGAGCTTTAAGCATGCCAAGGTCAAGGTTTTTCAGATATGCCCGAAGCACGAACATAACACCGTGCGTTGCGCAGCGCATCTATCGAATCCCCCAGACTCAGGATCCTTTTTTCCAAATGTCCCTTGTCGCTGAGTTCTTTAAACACCATCTTGCGTCGCCGATCTATTTCCGGGTGGTTCCATTCCCTGCTGCGACAGAAGTTAGCCTTACTTGTACTCCTGCAAGACGTCATCGTAAGGCTGATAGAACCTCGTGTCCCTGATTGCCGTCTTCCCCCTGGTAGTACCAGATCTATTTCCATGGTTGAGCCTCCCAGAGAACAGGGGAGCCAGCTCCCGATCCACGTCCATGTCCTGACACTCTTCGTCGTCGTCCGCAAACTCATACCGCAGCCTTTGGGTTTGGGTAGATGGCCCTGGTTCTTGGGCTGTCACGCGTGGGGTTCGCGGCTTGTATGTTGTTTCGGCGCAATAGTTACGACAACCTCGTGCTATGTCCTGTGGTTGTGGTGCTGGCTGCAGCTGGGGATTTGTGGATGGGTATTTATAGTCGTCTTCGTCGACACCTTGACAACCAAAGCTAACGTCAGAATCCTCGGAATTGTTTCTCCTTCTAGTTTGAGCAGAGCGGTTGTGAAATAGCTTACCTAGATTCAATATGTCAGTGCGGTGGTACCTAGCGTTGCCCTTCAGAGGCTCCACCAGACGTTTTGGCCGAAATGGAGGATATTCTTTTCTTTTGATCTCGCTCACAGCCGTCCGATGCAAGAGCGCAACACCATTCTTCATGGGGAGTGAGATAGCTGCCGCCGGTCCCCCGACACCTCCACTCTCGACGGCAATGTTTGCGGTGCGGGTATCAGTCGACATCATTGGAAGAGGTGCAGATATCTTTGCTTTGAGCTTTTGCTGTCGACGAATAAAACCTCTGTTAGTATCTGTTTCATCATGTTTGAGGAGAGATCCTGGCCAGCATGTGCCTATATTGCCCTTCTCTTGCTTTGGGTCCTTGCGGTTCAGTTTGGGACTTTGCATATCTTCGAGGGTGAGGAACTTCCGTTCTCTGTATTCAGGGAGGGATAGGAAGTTACTCACAGGGCTCTTAGATTTTGGAATCGGTGCTGGTGGAGGTGGAGGCGGAATATGCTGCTGTGACCTACCCTTTCGTGATCTAGGCGTCATGTCAAGTTGTGGGACAGGCGGGAGAGGCTTTAAGGTATCTACATATCGTTGAGTGAGTCCTGCACCGGAGTCATACTGAACGCTAAGAGACGCTGCTAGCGGTGCTTCCATGTACGAAGGCGACCGACACCGCTGGCTATCCTCAAACACTCGGTGCTTTCCTTTTCCTTTTTGAGTATCGCTCTGGGGGAAGGTTTTGGGCGAGACCTCATTGTCAGAGTCCAGGTTGTATGGGAGCCCAGACATTGAATCCTTCTGGCCGGAACAAGGCGTGTCTGGCAATTGACGATTAAGATCCGGCTTAATGTCCTTGGGGTTTGGTGATCGCCGTTGCTCGTAAAATATATCCTTCTGTTCCTGTGCCTGTTTCTTTGCCTCTTTCACCTTGCCTCTCTTTTGAATGCCTGCCCAAAATGTCTGGCCTTCTCCTTTTGGACCAGCATGGTAAATCTCCCGCGTCCTATGACAAAAAAGAAAAAGACTAGCAAAACTATCACTGGTTGGGTTATTTGTATGTTTCCCTTCAGTTTCCTCTTTCTTGCATTTCTTATTTTTTGACTTTTCTGCAGTTCTAGAGGGTAGGGAAAGGATGAACGGTGTAACTGGAGTCCCTGTAAGTACTAAGGATGGCTTTCTACCTACAATGGGCTTGTTAGGATCGCAGACGGTCGGGCGCCATCGGTAGCCAGAAGGTGAGCTTGATAGTTCTGCACCAGAATGTTCTTGCTCGATTTTGCCATAGATTGAGGCTACTTGGCTTTCTGGATGCTGAGATTCTCTGACCACTTGAACGGGGCGTTGAGGGCCTACGATTATGTTTTCCACTCGCATTCCTCCACTATTATTAGTATTTCGCTCCATAATCATATGGTTTTGTGAAAAAGGGTTCTTAACCGCCCGTGGACTAGTATTTCCCATAGCTAGCAAATGATTTAGAGTGTGTTTATCAATTGTTTCGATACCGTATGTAAGAATGGCTTTTTCGTGAATGGTCAATAGCTTCAAAATGTGTGGCTCGTGACTAACCGATTAAGTAAGGGTTAATTTTATAAGCGCAATATCTTGCGGTCGATGTAGGGAAGGGGGAGTTAAGACATAGAACTATTGTATTTAACAGTGGCAAGGGGACAAAGAAATAGTAAGGGCGTTGCGTTGACAGAACCATTCGAGCAACACCTTCCCTTTCTTCGGATACGATGGAACAATCGGACAAAGACGTGTTTGTTTGATCGCGTTCATCCCCTGCTTCTTGTTACCACACTTACATGAACAATGTATTGTGCTTAGCTGAAATGGCCCCTTCGACATGGCCTAAGATTCCTCGGGATCTGCCAGCCATAAAAGATACCAGACGAAAAGAAGGTGATGACATGGCATTCCTGAGAAAGGAACTGAACTTAAGGAAGCTAGAGGGAGATTTGGTTTTGGGTGACGCTACAACCTTATCTATACCACCTCAAAAAAAGGTGGTGCCTATCATACATTAATGATGGGGAGTATCCAAATTACCAAACCTTAGCCAAGGATTGGAGAAAGCGTCAAAAGGGATGCAACCCTTTGTTTAAATTAGATCCTCGCCGTGTTCTGTTGTAAGCAGTAGTGGTAGAACATGTTCATACCGCGAGCCACATGAGTGGACACATGGTGTTCTACTACTTTCCGTCAAAGGGGGAAATCGGAGGGAATCTTGACATATTGTTCTAGAATATCACCGACGTCGGTGGTGGCAACATGATGGATCTTCCTGTCGTCACTCTTTGCAAGACTCGAGAGGAAAGATATACCCAAAAGTCAGTTTCGTCAGACGGCAAGCAAAGTAAATAATATCTCATAGATAATTTTAGATCGATATAAGAGGAAAAGCTACCAAGGGAGGTTTGGAAACATTGAAATCCAGATTCAGCAGATTTCTAGACATATTAGGAGTCAATCATTTCCCAAGGACTAAAACAACGCTGTAGCAGGGAGGGACATGTCCGCTTCATCTTGAGCCTCAGCGAAGGATGGAAAGAAAAACTTCCTAGTGTATTATCCTCACCATCCTCGGTAATCCCATGTAGTGAAAAAGGCAATATCGAAGAATGCGGTGGCCTTGAGGATCTCTTGAAGTCGAGGATAAGTGAAGTCACGTGCGTGAGCTTACCGTGTTCAGAAAGAGCAGAACTACATGTCCCCTTGAAGGTCAAGCTAGCACTACGGCTTCAAACCCCTATGAAACTCTGCCAACGAGTTTTGGAACTGCAATGCGTCGTTGAAGTTGTTGCACGCTGGGATTCTCTATCTGAAGTTGTATCGGAACTGTTCTTTTTGAATCCGTCGCCCCCCTTGCCTTCTCTTCGTTCATGCCATTCTGTCATTCCCCATTCGATGGCACTAGCTCAGTCTTTGCCTCTGCAGCCCTCCGAATTCCGCGTCCCGAAGCGTTGCCTACTTGGTATACTTTACATGTTGATCGCAGTCCTGAATTTCTCACCAGCGTAGATGGCAGAGTCACCAAGCTCCTCCTCAATGCGAAGAATCTGGTTGAGTTTGGCAAGACGCTCCGATCGTGCTGGAGCACCTGTCTTGATCTGGCCCGCGCGCAGACCGACGACGATATCAGCAATGGTGACATCTTCAGTTTCACCTGACCTGTGAGAGACCATGACTCCCCATCCAGCACCGAAGGCATCCTTGGCTGCCTGGATGGCCTCAGTGATGGTACCGATTTGGTTGACCTTAAGCAAGAGGGCATTACAGGACTTCAGCTCAATAGCCTTCTTGATGAAGGTGGGGTTCGTGACCGTCAAGTCGTCACTACATGCGAATGTGAGTTAAGACCCCTAGACTAGTTCAGCATAAAAAACTTACCCGACGATCTGGAAGTCAGAGGTCTTGAAGAAGTAGCTCCAGGCCTCCCAGTCATCCTCAGCGAAGGGGTCCTCGATGCTGACGATAGGGTATTTCTCGGCTAACGACTTATACAAGTCGGCGAGCTGCTCGTAGGTGATCCACTTGGTCGGGTCGCTGTCAGGGTTCTTAAAGTCGAGATCATATTTTTTCGCATCAGTCTTGTAGAACTCGCTTGATGCAACATCCATGGCGATCTTGACCTTTCCGGTGTACCCAGCCTCTTCGATAGCAGTCGCAATGAGATCGAGAGCCTCTTCGGGGCTCTGGATATCTGGTGCAACACCTCCCTCGTCGCCGACGTTCCCTGCAGATTGTCCATACTTCTTCTTAGCAAGGGACTTCAGCTTCTGGTAAACCTCAGCACCCTGGCGCATGGCCTCGGAGAAGGTGGGAGCTTCTCTATTCCGGGGTCAGCTTAGTCCCTGAGTATTCAGCATGGGGAGGAATTGCGTACGAGGGAACGATCATGAATTCTTGGAAGGCGAGACGGCCACCGGCGTGGGAGCCACCGTTGAGGACATTCATGAAAGGAACGGGAAGCACATAAGGCTTCTTGGTCCCCGCGAGGTCCGAGATGTGAGCATACAGGGGAACGCCCTATCTCCCGTCAGTATAATACCCACGGTTCTAGTCTGACCACTTCCGTACCTTCTCGGCCGCCGCAGCCTTCGCAACTGCCATGCTGACACCGAGGATAGCATTTGCACCAAGATTGGTCTTGTTCGTTGTGCCATCAAGCTTGTTCAAGAAGGCATCGACTGCGGACTGGTCCTTGACGTCAAGCCCCTCCTTGATGAGTGCGGGGGCAATGGTATCGTTGACATTGCCTACGGCCTTGGTAACACCTGATTCACAGACATGTGTCAGCCCCGTATTTGCCCGAGAGCCGCTCGCCCTGGGCCCTACCTTTGCCGCCCCACTTCGACTTGTCTCCATCACGGAGCTCACAAGCTTCATGAGATCCTGCGGAGTAAATCAGCCGGTTGCTCCCGAAATACCACGGAATTATCGGGCGCACCAGTGGAAGCTCCTGAGGGGACGATGGCACGGTGAAGGCCAGTCTCGGTGACAATGTCAACCTCTACGGTTGGGTTGCCACGAGAGTCGTAGACAGAACGGGCGTGGATCTTGGAGATGGCCATGACGACTGTACAGTGGGTATTATTAGCGGAGGACTGCGGCAGTAAATAGGGCAATTGGAAAGAACCTTTGCTCTGGAGGGTATGAACGGGATTTATAGAGTGCGTGGAGGTTTGGTGATGTCAAGAAGCAGGGCAAGAGTTGCAATGGCAAGAAAAAGCAGCGAACACGTCGGTAAGGCCGCACCTCAGCCAGACCCGTCCGTCTGCGTTGGCAGAACTCAGATTTGGGGGATGCGGGACGTGGGATGACTGCTCCGGCCGCGGATTGAGGCAATTAGAAGACTGTTTGACTTACGTGAAGAATTCGACTGTCACTTTGGGCGAGGAAAAGTAGCGTGTGGTGATGAGAGCAGACTTTGTTGGAGAAACGAAAAATGGTTGAGGGGTACTGGTGGTGGGGCTGAGATCTGCTGAGAGGATGATGTCTTCAGAGCTGCTCAGGCTTGTCCTCGCAACTCCTAGCCAATCCGGTACTCGGGGCCTCTGTTTCGGTGAATGATCAATCAATTGACTGCAACCATAACCTCTAGTGGGACATGGAGGCTAGGCTATGCACCCTTAAGTACGCCTGGGAGCACACCAGCTCGACTAACGATAATCTAATCCCTAGAAATCTTGGGCAGATGCTGCTGATTGGCCGGAAAGGGAGAGATTGTGATTGGGTCGCTAATGAGCTAATCTAGATCACGTGAAGCAGTGCAAATGGTGCAAACAAGCTGAAGCTTGGGCCAACTTATCAAGCTTGGCATATTGAAGGCAGCTCCGGCGTCGCGTTCACCTTACCATCATCTCTGTCTCACCAACAACAAGCTTCACGCCACCCTACGAGACCTTTGGAGCCGTCCTCCTCCCTGTCCGGCCATTCTCTACCCTCCGACTACCCCTCCACTCCTTTCCTCGTCGCTGGAGCCCCTAGCTACATACAAAACACCTCCCAGCTTCCTTCATCATGTAAAAGCGCCCACCTTACTTTTGATAATCTCTGCTGATCTAGCCTCAGGGAGGTACTTCTCGGCATTACCGGTAAAGACTTCACGATCATCGCGGCCTCTAAAGCTGCTATGCGAGGCGCCACCATTCTCAAGGCCTCCGATGACAAGACACGAGAACTCAACTCGCATTCCTTGATGGCATTCTCAGGCGAGGCTGGTGATACTGGTACGCTATAGACGTGAACGGCATGCCGCTGAACTTGCCCTGGACTGTTGAAGGCTGACTGGGACTTTGCAGTTCAATTTGCTGAGTTCATCCAAGCAAACATCCAATTGTATTCCATGCGCAACAGCATGGAGCTGTCACCATCTGCCACCGCAAACTTTGTCCGAGGAGAGCTTGCTAGAGCGCTGCGGTCAAGGAGACCATATACCGTAAATCTGTTACTGGGAGGGTATGACAAGATCGCCGACAAGCCGTCGTTATACTGGATCGACTATCTGGCGAGCTTAGCTCCCGTACCATACGCTGCACATGGCTACGCTCAGTACGTTTACCCGATGCACTCGTTCAATAATAGTTTATTTGCATTTCAATGCGCTCGACATTCTGGATCAGTTGAGCTAGGCTGACTCGTAGATGCACAGGTACTACTGTCTCTCTCTCCTCGATAAGCACCATCATCCAGATATCGATTTCCAGCAAGGCATGAAGATTCTGCGCATGTGTACAGAGGAACTGAAACGACGCCTTCCCATCGACTTCAAGGGGGTTACGGTCAAGGTGATAACAAAGGATGGCATTCGAGAGCAGGAGTACGAGGATGACCAGAAAGTAGTGGTTCCATGATCTGATCATGCTGCGTGACGGTAGAACGCAATGGAGTTTTGGTAGCTTGGGGCAAGTGTACAGTACGTCCTGCAGATAGACATGTCACCGACTCGAGCGGAAGCGGACTCGGAGGAGCTGTTCGCAGAGGGCATTTAAATGGACATGATAAATTCATTGCCTCTACTTCGCTCTACAAAACTCCTATACTTCTTAAGTTTGATTGTCGTTTTGTGTTCTAAGAAACTCTTTCCATTCTCCCTCAAGACAAGGAATCGTAACTTTACGCCTTTTGTGTTATTAACCGCTGTTAGCATGCCAAAGACCAAGTTGATGCGGTGATTCTTTAGCGTCATATGACTAATCGGTCTTGGCACTAAGCACAAAATCTTCGCTCCTGCCCTCCTACTTCCCTTCTTCTCTTCTTCAGATCAAAAAAAGCACCGGAGCCAGCCACGACCATCAGCATTCTATTTTGCCCTTGGTTGCCAGTCACTTCCACAGTGACGTGGCTCCGCAGAAGAAGGCCCTCCTGTAGGAAACTGCCGTCTCGTGGGTCGTCTTAATTGATGGCGATGGGGCAGCGGTGTCGACTTATGGAGTACATGTTTGCCACGAACGAATTGATTGTTGCTATGTACGTAGTCAATCGAAAGGGTTCACCAAACGTTCTATTGAGCAGTAGGAACAGTAGAGTTACGAGCCTTAATTGTGGCATTGCCAATTAGCCTGCCAATGTCTTACTCGACCTTGTTGCCAATAAGATCCCTTCGTTCTCCGCCAGTGTGGCCCTTGAAGGTCCGATCCAGACCCCCCAAAAGTGCATACCTCCCCTCTATTCAATTTCGATTCTCGTTCGGATATCCATGACATAACTTCCTACAGCTTGTCCGCGGTCTCTTCACTAGTCACGTACATGCCTTTCCGGTTGGCCATACCCTAGGCTGGGATGCCATGCATCACGTAGCCAGTATCGTTCAATCTCCAATAATGGTACCCCGTCGTATATATTACTTCATGATTTGCTTCCTGATTTCGTTGTTTAGGCGGGATTCGCTATTCAACTCATCTACGATGTCGTTGAAACCGCAACTTAATTACGAACCGGTGCACCACGCACTCTTCCATTTCCCGTCTAAAGAGTGGCTGTCATACCTCTATCGATTCATTGAAGAGCTCGTGAGACCTGCTAGAGGGAACAGGCCCGGCAACGTACAGCGTTTGTCGTTGCACAATGGGCCTCACGTCTTAGACTACGTCCGTAGATGGCCTTGACGAAATAGAACTGGCGCTGTGAGCTAGAATAGAGTAAGTTAAGAGGAGAGCCTTCGCATTCGTCGTATTCTGCTTTCCTTACGGAGCGGTGACCTAGAGTGTCTATATGCCACTATTCAATCCCAGCCAATCCAATGCCATGCAAATTCAGTGTCTCCAATTTGAGTATTTCGGATGCATCAGCTCGTTTGATTTCATCCGCGGCCTTGCGAACCTCGCTTGAGTTGTCACATCCGGCCGGTATGCATTTAGATGAGTCATTTGTAGAACTTATCGAGAAGGTCAAACGTCTGTAAGTGGGTATAACTCTTGGTCAAATGGGCCGTCATCGATTTAACGATACAAATAAAGATCTCAGCTGCAATTGCCATCTCTCTGATCATTACAAGCATAATGGTAAAGTTGCTTCACGATCTACTGCCAGTATCTATATTAGATTTATGGTGGCCAGATAATAGTCCCGTGGCTTATAACGCCTAACTAGCTAGAGATTCCAAGTGTTGAAAAGACCGTCGAGAAACGTCAAATCATGGCTTGTCTTCGAGCCACGTTTGACATGGGAACCGTTTTCTCTGAACGACAGTGGCCTTGATGTATGATATCTTGGCAAGATTGGCAATGGAATTGGTTTGGAAAGGGAGCTTAGGATCTATTCACAAAATGCGAGGAACCCTCGATGGGTTATAAGGCCCTCCTTTGCGTTGGTCTCAGCCTTGTGAACTACACGCTCCTGGCACGCGGTATGGTAAAATTGGAAGAAAACTTGACCACGAAACCTGCCAATAGGGGTATGCGCGCACCTCCACACGCACAATATAGATCACAGAGCCCCAATCTCAACCATATAGTCAGTCATTCATTCTATACCACCCTAACAAACTAGTCTAATCTCACACTACTGACCCTTCTCCCCGCAACCCTCCTCCTAATCACCCCGTCCCATCTTCCCCAAAACATCTCTAACACTCTTACTCCGCTCTTTCCCCTCAAACTCCGGTCCCACCTTCTCAACCATCCATGCACAATCCTTGACCTTGCTAACGGACACGAGTGCCTCTGCCCTCTTGACTCGCATCGCCTCAGGAAGGCCCTCGAAGCTGGTGTCGAATAAAAGCTTCTCGAAAGCCTCTCTAATCCCCAGGTTACTGAGGTCCGTTTCTCTAGGGATGTGGTCGAACAAAGAGGCTAGATATGTGAAGGCTGTGAGATGCGTGGTTTTGTCGTGGGTGTTGGTTGTGCGGGCGACGAGAGGTAGGGTTGTGGTGAGGCGGGATGAGAGGCCTGAAGGGGATAGTAGCGTAGTGTTGGGAGCCGAGAGGAGGGCTATGATGCTGGATTGGAGGGTCTTTTCCTTGCTATTTTTTCTTGTCAGTACAGTTCGATTCAGGAGTATGCAGGGGAGCAGGAGATGGAGGGCTTACAGAGTAGCATCCTTCAACCCCTCTCCGCCATCAACATCCATCTTGTCCGTCACCCCTCCTTCTTCCCCTAGACCCAACACTTCGTCCAGCACATCCCCAACAATCTGTTCCACCAGCCCACTCAATTCTAGATCCGTCCTCGCAATACACACTTTTCCAAGCGCCTCCAGCGCGTACGGTCTGTAAGACTTATTCTGTCTCTTAGCCTCGCGAATTGCAACATTCTCAATCTGCTTCGCTACTTTCCCATCTGCGCCCCACAGCATTCTTCCCCTCTCCACAAACCTCACAAAAGCCTCGAGAACAATTTCTTTGCCTTCCCATGTTTTTCCTCCCACGGCTTTATCCAGTGTTGGCCACACAATCTCCGCATTCGCCTTGTTGAGCTCGTCGCTCCCGGAAGTGATGGATATGATGGTAGCTGCAACGGCTTTCGCGGCCGTGTGTTTGAGGTTCCATTTCTGGCTCTCAAGATACTTGTTCGCTAGTGCTAAGATTTCATTCAGATAGAGGAGGACTGCACGACTACCGGCAACATTGTCCGACCAAGTGTTTTCAAAGAGTTTCTTAACATCGGCATGACTGTCGTGCTGGGCGAGGAAAATAAACGGAAGCAGGGAGGAAGATAAGGAGGTGAAGCGGTCTGCTGCGTTCTTGGAAATGGAGAGAACGATATCGCCGGCTGCGAGAGGTCCCCTGTCATCTTCAGACTCAAAGTACAATTTCTGGCAGAAGGCAATGGTGGCGAGGAGTTGCTTGTCTGAGGCAAGTCTAGCAACATATCCTGCTGCAGCGGCGTACGAGGATGACACTGTGTCGTTTCGATCGAGGACGTGTTTATGAATAAGTTTGAGGAAGGCGTCGGCGTATGGCCTGAATAGGAAATTATGCCTCGTGCTCAAAGTCACTAGAATCCTCGAACACCCGACTTTGCTCGGCAATCCCACTGCATTCTTCATCGCGGCCTCAATCCTAGGGATTAACTTTCCCATGGTTTCCATGTCCGCAAGGTCAAGGCAGCGTTCGATGGACTCGGTGAGTGGGGAGGAACGTACGCTTTGCAGGCGCAGGTCGTCGATTTTTTGTGTGGTAAGATTGTACTTGGAAGCATTGAGATGGATGTAATTAACTGCTTCGGGTTCGAGAGAAGAAAGGAGGCCAAGGAGGCGTTCAACAAGCTCGGGGATGTGCGGGCTTAGAGTTTTTGAATTACTCTTTTTGACAATTTGGAGAAGTGTGTGGAGGGCGAACATGCGTACTTCTTCAGCGCTTGATTCTAGACCCGACGTAGAGAGCAGGAAAGGAAGAACACGCTCCAGCATTGCACCAGCATTCTTGAGGGAAGAATCTCCCGCCTCAAGCGATCGCGTAAGAATACCAGTGAGGACGCGGGCTAGGGATGCCGCCGCGGCGCGGACCGATTCTTTGATATCATCGAGGACCTTGAAGCACTTATCCCATATTTGACCAAGGTATTTCTCATACTTGTCAAGATTGCGACCTTGAACCAGGTCGGCGATCGCGGCACAAGATGCTTGACGAACACGCCATTCTTTCGTGAGGATACTGATTAGAAGATCGTCCATGATGGCATCAAAGTGTGTGCCAATAGTGGTAGAAGAATCTTTGACTAAGGCGTTCCAGATGTCGTTCATTGAGCGCTGAACGTTAGGATTGGGATCAAATCTGGATTGGGATTAGTAATATTCTACCAAAAGTCCTTTAGGTGAACTATGACTTACCTATAGCGATACAGCTTCGGATACAGTTTCGGATTTTCGGCGAGATACCCATCTACACTTGAGTCCGAGAAAATGTTGCTAAGCCCAAAACGCCCAAAAGCCGCACGACTCGACCAGATAGAATTGTTTGAAGCCAGCGACATGAAGCGGTAAACCAGACTTGAATCTCCTACTTCGGATGCCAGACTAAGAATGTCTTTGTATGTCGTGACAGAACCATCTCCCGTCGGCAAAGCACCAGGCTCGAAAAGTTGGGTGTCCTCGGTGACCGTGCCAGACATCTTGGACTTATTATCTGAGAATGAGCTTACAAGGTCTCGAACCAGGCCATCTTTCAGTTGACGGTCGCCTCTCTCGTAGACAAGACCTAGACCTCTAGAAGCTGCCTCCTGGACGACCTCGTCTCGGTCTGAGAGACACAGTTTGAAGGCGTTCTGGCATTGTGGAAGGTAGTTCTGCATCTCCGGCTTATGTCCACAGTACTGGAGCAGACAGAGCAGCCAAATTACTGAGGCCTTTTTTAGAGAGGGTTTGGTTTGGCGGCAACCTTTGAGGGTCTTCTCTAGGACCGCAGAAAGAGTTTTCTCGCGTTTCGGCCCAGAAGGGGTTAATGCGCTTGAGTCCCATGGATCGCGTTGTTGATCTGGATGTTCAACATCAAGTTCCGTTGTCAATGCTGTGGAATCCCAACCACAAGCAAAGCAGCTCAGAGCCTCGCCGACCGAGAATTGAACTTCGGACTGACGCACTTCGTGTAGTTCGTATAGTTTATCCCTAATGTATGCGTAATCCGTATTTTCTTCTTCGCTAGCTTCGGTTGTAATCATAGACAAGTGTCCAAGAGCAAGAACAGCGCTCGTAGTACCTGTCTTTGCGGATTCGAATATTTGCTGAGTTATATCCTGGAATTTGGAGTGTCGAGCAAGAGATGAAGGGCTGATGACCAGGAAAAGACTCAGTTGGTCGATGCACGTGAACGCTGCTCCTTTTAGAGTTAGATCTCTGGAACTCTGAAGAATATCGACCAGACACTCTAGCAGTCGATATATAGGATGTGTGTCTGAGAGTTCCGCGGGCTTTCTCCACTGGAGTCTGCTGAAAAAGTACCCGAGCGCAATAATGGCACCACTGATCTGATTGATCTCACCACCGACAGCCGTCTTCCATCCGTTCAACTTGTTAAAGAACAGCGTCTGCGATTCGGAAACCAGCCTCTCGTCGCAAGTACCGCCGGAAGCGAGAATACCATAAACGTGAGCGGCAGCGGCTCGTCGAGCCGGATTGTTAGACAGTATCGAAGGCTCTAAAGCGCGGAAGTCTGGGATCAACCTCGCTCGCAACAATACGTTCTCTCCACACAAAGAGCACAACTGGACTAGTACAGTCCCGATGTCACCCACATCACCTATTTCTTCTCGAGTAAGTTGTTCGAAGGCGGCTCGTAGAATAATCGCCAGGGATTGGGAGTGACGATCATCAGCGGTGTATGCGCGGAATGCTTGACGAGGTCGCAGGTCTGTTGACATGAGTGTATCCAACTTCCTTCCCCAGTCTTCCGAAACTTCATCCTGGATCTGTCTCTCCACAAGTGCAGAGTGCATCGCAATCTGACAACAGAAGGCGATCACGATTGGTAAGGCGTCGGCGTATTGTTGGCGGAAGTGCTGAAGTCGCGCAACAGCGTCATCTTGCTCGTCTATATCCATATCGTCCTCGCCTGCCCCAGGTTGCCCGAAAATAAAGTGAACAAGTTTATCGAAATCGGGGAATGACATCGGTTCTTGATGCGAACCGGGGCCGGGAAAGGAGTTCAACATTTTATACCAGTATGGGTCCAAGCCTTTCTTCCCCTCTTCAAAGACTTCGTGTCTCTCTTTGCTGCCTCCGCTAACCGCGAGAAGATCTATCCACCTCCCTAGAACGTCGTCGTACGGGAGACAACGGTTGGCGAAACGAGTAGCGACATATCGAGTGCTTCGAGAGAATTTCATGCCCTCGGTCTTCTCCAGGTTATCTAAATTCTCTGATGTCGCATACTTCAAGAGAATATGCCGGAAATTCCAGTGAACCGAGGAATTGGATGACTTAGTAAATGCCCCAAGGACAGAAGAGAGAGCTTCTTCGATGCTGACCGCGACATCGCGGCCGGACACATCATCTCTCAAGGACCGGAATAACCAATTTAAGAGGCTAAGGGAAGGCTCTAATAAAACTTTCTCTGGCGCAGCCTTTGCCAACAGCCCAATGGTTTCGTATCCATATCCACGAATCTCAAGGTCTTGACCTTTGTCAGGGCTTGGCCAGCCTTGATCCTCAATGAAGCTTTTTAGATTTCCCACAAGACTCTCTCCCATTGACGAAAGATCACTTGTGGAACCACGGCGAGCAACAAAGTTTACAAGGGTGAAGATGGCGGATCGAAATTTTGACGCTTCTCTGCCTGCAGTAGTCTGATTTCCTTGGAGCTGCTCGGTAGATAACAGACCCTCTTCAACAACTCTGGATATTTGCCTTGGGTATCTTGTGCAGGTGACCGATTTAGACAGTACATTGAGGATTCGGATTCGAAGTGGCACTTTGACAGGGAGGGGTCCGTCTGATGCGTCTCTGCTTCTAGTTAGTTTACATCGCTTAGAGAGTTTGTTAATGGAACAGAAAGAAGCTACTTACGACCCGAAATAGAGACCTAGCAGGGTCTCAACAAACGTTGAGTCTTCCACATCTTTGCTTAGCATAGCACGTTTCAAAACGTCTTCCCCAATATCTGAAACTTGTGAATTGGTGTCGGCAGATGCGAAGAGTGCCGGCAGGAACTTCTCCTCATCAGAGAACATGCCACTCGCAAGAAATCTAGCAACTAAGGTTTTGGATTCAGTCAAACTTAAACCTGCATCCCCACTTGGATCCCAAGCATCAGGTTTTCCTTGTAAAGTGAGGAACTTGTAGTCGTCAGTTGATAGACCAGGGGATCTTGGAAAAAGACCGAATTCGCCACCGCTTTTCCGTGGCACACTTAGTAAGAGCAGTTTGCCAAACCATTGGGAGAGAAAGCCAGCATCCTCATCGTCCAGCCCAAGCATTGATCGAAGTTCTTCGTCCTCTTTGCTTCCTCGTAAAGGAAGCTTGAAGTGGGTAAGAAGGCGTAATGTGAGGTGAAATATTTGAGACGCATGTTGGGCGGATTTAGAAAAGTCGGCCGCAATTCCGTGGATGAGGGTCGGCAGCAGCTCGAGTCTGTCGGTAACTGGAATCCGAGAGATACCTTGCTGAACGTAAAGGATGTCAAAGTGGCGTATCAGAGGAACATTGATGTTATCCTTGAATTGTTTAAGGAGAGCAGGAACTGGAAGCTTGATCTCTCTAAGAAAGGAGTCAGTTGTAATTTTCTTTCAAGACCATCAGGGAGATATATCGGAAGCGGGCATACTGTGGCTTGATTCGGGTGTTAATATGTTGGCAAATAGATATGACCTAGAGAGAAGGAACCGCCATTAGCGGCGTAATTGGGAACGATAGAACACAAATGTAGACCTGGAGGCATTGGAGGCCGAATAAATGCTATTCAAAATCCTTACCTTATTTCTCACGGCTACACTTTCAGAGCCAAGCTTGAGCAGAAGGGGGGCTAGATAAAGCTTCAGAAGATCCTCTAGCCTTTTGTCTGAGTCTGCAAGGGCTATGCGCATTTCAACCTTGCCGACGAGCGCAAGCTCCCTAGCCTCTGGGCTCGACACAGAGGCCATGACTGGCCCCAAGAAGAATGGTGGACTGGGAAAGGATGTTTAAAGAGCTGCTGGGTTGTCGGGGATATTTAAGCCATCTGTGCCACAGGCAGCCGCCAATGGCGTGGCGTGGGGCTGGTAGATGAAGAGGAGGGAGTGGATGCTGAGAAATCGGAACGTCGGACAAGCAGAGGAAATGCTGATACATCTGCTTCTGTCCAATCGCCACGCCTATGCATACTCACCATTCACCAGCCAGTCAGCAGGGATTCGCGGTGGGCCAAACGCGACGTCGGGATCGGGAAAACATCTTCGGCGGTGAAGCACAGGCCACAAGCTGGTGACGCAAGGCACTGGGAAGGTTCAACTGCCTCGAGCAACCATCACTCAGACAAACGACGCCTTTCGATAAGATTCTATCTACGTTGGCTTGTTGCCTGCTACCTCTACCTTGTTCGTGAGGCGCCCTCAATCCTCCGACGTCTTATACCTAGTAACCTACTCCCTCGTTGCCAGCATATCTTGACCGGAATTTCATACACAACGCCCGATCCAGCCACCTCCACGGCCTCGTGCAACTCAACAGCAACAACACGCAACCACTCGTAATACTCTCACGGTCTAATACCTCTCAATCGTCACTTGTTCCGACCCAGCAGGCGGTGCCGTCACCTTCCCGAGCAATCACGCACTTTTACCCCATCGGCGACACGTACATGAGTCGATAAAGTGCCCCGCGAACATTTTTGCTCCCAACTTCTTAGTAGCGCACACCTCTTCACAGCACAAACCTCCACTCGAGAACCGCAACAACCGTTGCCCGCCATGGAGGAGGAGACGATCCTCAACTTCGTCAGCATCACGTCGTGTGATCCCGATAAGGCGGCCCAGTATCTGCGCCTAACGGACAACAACATCGAACAGGCTATCCAGCTCTACTTCGACAGTCCAAACCTGGACTTCGGGACCACTGCCACCCCGGCACCAGCAGCACCCCCGAGCAACACAGCGCAGAATCCGATATCCATTGATTCGGATGAGGAGATGTCCGACTTCGACCCCGTTGGTGCCGCCTCTAGCACCCCGCCAGCACGTCTATCGAACATAGAAGACGATGAGGCTATGGCGCGTCGGTTACAGGAGGAGATGTATGGTGGTATGGATCCGGAGGCGGGAGTACGAGCGCCGATGGCCCGGACAACAGAGACCCTGGTCGGACCTGGCTCGAACTGGGGTTCGCGAGACGACGACATTGATGCGCTGGTGCAAGAGCAGCTCGCTCGGCGAAGAGCCCCTGGTAGCTATTATATAACCCCCAAATAGTACCACAACTAACAGACGAATGTAGGACGACCTGGCATCTTCAACCAACAACGCACGAATCACACATCAGTGTGGGAAAATAATGGCGATACGAGTGCCCGACAACGTGAGCTAGCGACTGCAACAGGAGGCGCGTCCGAAATCTCCTCAAAGTCCAGCATGCTGGCAGAGATGTATCGACCGCCTTTCGAGATCATGTTTCAGCAATCCTGGGACAAGGCACGAGATGAGGGCAAGGAAAATGAGAAGTGGATTATCGTGAACATCCAGGACCCGGCCATTTTTGACTGCCAAATCCTCAACCGAGACATCTGGAAGAACCCAGAGATCAAGGCTACTGTCAAAGAGAGCTTTGTCTTCATGCAATATGCCAAGGATGATCCTCGGGGCCAGCAATACGTCAATTATTACTTCCATGCTCGGGATAGCCAAGATGCGTACCCCCATATCGCTATCGTAGACCCTCGCACGGGAGAGCAGGTGAAGGTCTGGTCCGGTCCACCAGTCCCCCAACCCATGGAATTTCACGCCCAGCTTCACGAGTTCCTTGACCGCTACAGCCTAAAAGCAAATGCCAAGAATCCTGTGGCTCAACGGAAGGCCGAAAGGAAGAAGGTTGACGTCGACCGAATGACCGAGGAGGAGCAGCTAGAGATGGCCCTGCAAAAGAGTCTGGAAAACAGCAAAGGACCTAAGGATGACGATCCTGATGCGCTAACGAAAGAACCCGAGTCATCTGGCAAAGGCAAGGCCAAGGCGGAAGGAGAGACAATGGATACAGCTAATCCCACGAGCAACGGTTCCGCAAGCTCGCCTTTTTCTCAGATCTCAGCGTCAAATCCCCATGTCGAGCCACCGAACGGCCCCAACACTACCCGTATCCAGTTCCGATCATCAGACGGAAAGAGGGTTGTCCGTAGATTCAACAGCTCTGATCCTGTCAGGAGGCTATATGAGTGGCTCAAGGCAACTCCGTGGGAGGGCAAAGAAGGAGCAGAGTTTGATCTCTTCTTTGTTACCGGTGGATCTAAAAATCTCATCGAGTTCCTTGATTCCACCATCGAGGAAGCAGGATTGAAGAACGTAACGTTGAACGTGGAATTTACTGAGTAAGAACTCTTCAATCGGCATCCGCACGGCGTTCAGGATGGTATATGAGGCCGGTGACTGGTGGGAATGTTTAATGGGATCGGATACATACAAGGGGGTCGGCATCGATGTTAGTCATCGAAGAGGGGAAGGCTTTGTGGCAGTCCAGGTGGCTTTAGACTATCCTACTACATACCCGTGCATTTGACCAGGCTGGTGTATCATACAGGCATGCACTCTTTTGAATTCTTAGAGTTACGTCAACTACTCAACTCAACATGGCTAATATGTCGCACGTGTGCTAACCATAGCATTATAGCTTCATATAAGCCCAAGTCCATTCCCTCTTTTCCCTAGGCCTACTCAATTTCTACAGTGTAAGATAAAGCAAGATCTGAATGTATTTACTCTTGATTTACCTCTCCTTGTAGCTCGGAAGTGTTATCATGATGGCCAGCCCCATTCGGGTAAGCGTTCGCCTGATTGGTCTGTGCGCCCCATGACTCTTGGTTTGTCATTTGACGAAGTGGAGCAAACATCAGTACAGGTCAATCGCCACCCTCCAAGGAATAAGGCATCTCTACAAACAAGATTATTGCCGACCCTCAAGCAATCGGCCGGAAACTGATGGCTTGGATCGGCGGTCCCCTTGATGCACGTCTCATTTTGCGGCTATCGGAGCTCACCGCATCATTTTGAGCTCCACCGATTCGCCATCCCCCACTTTTGCTAACTTCAGGCTTACGTTCGGATGGTACGCTTCATCCCGCCTTTTCTAGCTTCTTAAAGGAGTGTGGGTAGGTGGGGTATTTGGGACGTAGCATTGCTGCTTTGTATTCTCTAGAGATAGCACCATGGAGGAAGACGACTGCATCAGCTACGACAAAGCTGTCGAGGAGCTTCGGGGGAGAGAGTATCCTATGCTTCGAGGGAAGCATTCGCATGAGCTTTGCCAAAATACAGTGCTAACTCCTTCCAGGCACAACGTACCTCGATCATGCTGGGACCACTCTTTACGCGAAATCTACCATCGAACGCTTCTCAGACGACATGATCTCCAACCTATACGGCAACCCACACTCTGCCTCTAACTCTTCGCAATTGACCACGAAGAGGATTGAAGATATCAGGCTGAAGCTGCTGAAGCTGTTTAATGCTGATCCAGAGCACTTTGATGTCGTCTTTGTTGCCAACGCCACGGCGGGTATCAAACTTGTTATGGAAGCATTTAAGGACCAAGAGAAGGGATTTTGGTATGGATACCACCGAGACTCACATACTAGTGTGATTGGGGTACGTGAGACGGCAGCACAACATCGCTGTTTCACTTCAGACGCCGAAGTGCGCCAATGGGCAAACGAATTGGACAATGAGCCCAGACTCCCAGGACTATTCGCATACCCAGCTCAATCCAACATGAACGGACGCCGCCTGCCTCTGGACTGGTCACGCCGCATTCGTTCTAACAAACAAGGGGCGGTGTACACTTTGTTGGATGCCGCCGCACTTGTTTCTACTTCGCCCTTAGACCTTGGTGAACCCAAAAACGCGCCTGACTTCACGGTCCTCAGCCTGTACAAGATGTTTGGCTTCCCAGATCTTGGTGCGTTGATTGTCCTAAAGGAGTCGAGTAAGATACTTGACACTCGACGTTACTTCGGTGGTGGCACCGTGGAAATGGTCGTCTGCTTGAAAGAACAATGGCATGCGAAGAAGTCAGAGACGCTACATGAGCGATTTGAGGATGGGACTTTACCCATCCATAGCATCATGGCTTTGGATACAGCTATGAGTGTGCACCGGGATCTTTTTGGCTCACTCGCCCGAATCTCAAAGCATACCGCCTTCCTCGCCACAAGGCTGTACGAAGACTTGTTTTCTCTACGGCATAGCAATGGAATCGCTGTCTGTAAGATATACAAGGAACCAACATCGGCATATGGAGACACTCGGACGCAGGGTCCAATCATCGCTTTCAACCTTCGCAACCATCTCGGCGGTTGGGTCCGTAACGCAGAGGTTGAAAAACTTGCCGCAATCAAAAACTTCCAATTACGAACAGGAGGGCTTTGCAACCCAGGCGGCGTGGCGTCTTCCCTCGGTTTGGCGCCGTGGGAGATGAAAGAGAATTTTTCGGCCGGGCAACGCTGTGGGAGTGATAACGATATCATTTGTGCGAAGCCCACAGGAATGATCAGAGTCAGTCTCGGCGCAATGAGTACACTGAAAGATGTCTGCTCATTCGTTGACTTTCTTCGGGAATTCTTCGTGCATGATCGCCCACTATCAGCTACGCCGCCAGTGACGACTCCATGCACAGAGCCACCAACACAAAGCTTATTTCATGTGGAGAGTATTTCGGTATATCCCATCAAGAGCTGTGCCGCATGGAGCGTGCCGCCCGGCGAGCCATGGGAGGTCCGTAGAGAAGGCCTTGCTTGGGACCGTGAGTGGTGTCTTGTTCATCAAGGCACAGGCACAGCGCTGAGCCAGAAGCGCTATCCAAAAATGGCACTCATTCGGCCAGTCATTGACTTAGAGAAAGGTCTCTTACGCATACAATTGTCAGGTTCCTTGCGAAATGTCGTGTCGACCCCCGAAATCACTGTTCCTCTCTCAGCTGACCCGCTACTGTTTTCTGATAAGGCAATGTACAAGGATACAACGACCAAAGTTTGTGGGGACTCCATAAGCACAAAAACGTACAGGTCAGGAGGAGTATCGGCATTCTTCACTCAAGCCCTTGGAGTGGCTTGTCATCTCGCCCGCTTCCCAGCCGTCGGTAACGGGAGAGGTCCAGTGACTTCGTCCAGACATGCGAAAGCTCATTTACAAAAATACCAAAAGGCGGGCGGCATGCACCTACCCGGCGCTTTCCCAGATACGAGGTTGCTGGCGCCAGGCTGTGGCGTGTCGAAGCCGATTCTTTTGTCAAATGAGAGCCCCATTCTTATTATTTCGAGATCCAGCCTCAACCGTCTTAATGAGCTGATCAAAGCTGAGGGCGGCAAGGCGGCGCAAGCGGAGGTCTTTAGAGCGAACATTGTCGTTGCAGAGAACCTCGATTGTCCACCCGGGGCGGAACAGCCCTATACTGAAGATGATTGGCGGTATCTCCAGATCGGTCAGCAGTATTTCGAGATGCTGGGTCCGTGCCGCCGATGCCAAATGGTCTGCGTGGACCAGTACACGGCAGAGCGGAATCAAGAACCCTTTGTCACCCTATCCAAGACTCGTCGGTTTGACGGGAGAGTCTACTTTGGCGAGCATACCGCTCACGTACCCGCGAACGATGGAGGATCACTACTAGCCCAAAACCCTACAATTACCGTTGGTGACACTGTGCATCCGTTCCCGGAAGAGGAAGCGGAGGAAGCCTTACGTTTACAATCTCTCGTGAGTTGAAAGCGTCTATGCATTTCCGTTTCAAGTTGTCCACTGTTCTATCAGAACGTTTCTAAACATAGCTGCACCTCAACTTCAGCAGTGGCTTGCATGCTAGAACTCGTCTCGTTCCCGTACCTCAAAGAAAATCTCCGCGTGGCATCAGATAGCATGCAGCTCCGCGTTGCAATTGGTCCTCCCTAGGGCCGCAGTGCGACACTTCTAGCGGAGGCAAGTCACGACGCAGATGGGTTGAAGCAGAACAACGCCTCATCCGGCGAAGGCTTCTTGGGCATGCACTGGACGGGAAGGTTGAGGTGGTAAGCGCTCGCAATTTGGGGTTTCAACGAAGGAGCCGTCAGTCTCGCGTTGGCCTGTGAAGATGAATTAAGCAGCCATCTTCGCACAGCCTCCGTACGGACAAGGGCCCAAGCGCTGGTGTGGTGAGGCGCGCGCCCACCTGACGAACCACAGAATGCTGGAGCAGCCGGCCAACGGGTGGTCCCTCGACGGTTTGAACGGCATGGAGATGGAAGCGCGCGAGAAGGTCCAGCAGCTAGAAAGAATACACAGCGGCTGCAAGCAACATAAAATGCCCGAGTGTTCCCACGAGACCAGAAGGATACTGCACAGGCGTCCTCGACACCGTCGTCCAGTTTCTGCATCAGTTCATCAGCCGTTCCCTTCTTTTGTTCTCTCACACGTCTCGTCAGCTGTTTCAGATTCTCTCGTACTGTTCCATCACTGCAGCGTGCCGGCCTGACGTCCTTGCTCAGTGCTCGGCTCGAGTGTCTGGTCGAAGCCTCCCGCACAGCGACGCCCGTATCAAACATCCCGAACGACGCGTAGCCAATCACGCGGCTTTCAGCGAGGCCCAAGGAGTGCGTGCTGCAAGGGCATCAAACAAATCACACAGGTGGTTTCGATCTCTGGCTGGCAGCCAATTGTGCGAGTAGTGTTGCGGCGCTTGGAGCTTCGGCCGCTCATTCGCTCGCGCCTGTTTTGCATTGGAGCGAGCCACCACCATCAGGCCCCGGCCCCGCCCCGACTCTTTGACGCTTGCTGGAGGCCTGTACGCGCCCACGTAAAAATAGCAGACGAGCCACCATCCATCATCGCATCCCCCGACCCAACAGGCGGCCACCACCAACAAACCGCCGCGTTGAGCTAACCACAACACACCGAAGAAGAACACAAAAGGTACCTGCCTGCCCGCCTCGCACCCTCCTCACCCTTCCACTGTCCCCGTGGAAGCCGGCAACGCAGCCCACCCTCGTTCACCAGCGTCGACAAGTATCCCGAGTCTTTCGTTCACAGCACGGCATACCACCAGCTCGCCATGGCCACGACCGAGTCCAAGCCGGCGCTGTCGGCCCTCAAGACTCCCCTCTCTGCCACCTATCCGTCCGAGTTGAGGTCGCCAATGATCCACTCCGCTGCCACCCCAACTTTCATCAAGCGGGAAGATGCTCTGAAGACGCCCATCACCCCGCCGACTGCTTACCTCGACTTCCTCAAGACGCTGTCGCCAGTCCTCATGAGCCCAATGGCCACCGGAACCAGCTCCAAGTTTGTCTTCGAGGGCAACCGGCCAGTCTCCACTGCATCCATGGCTTCTGTGACATCATCTGCCTCCAGCGCCTCCTTCACCTCAACATCTGCTCCCAAGGACAACACCTCGCCAACTTCGCCCGCCTCTTCAAGAGCGAGCAGTTGCTGCAATTGCGAGCACTCGAAGCAGGAGCCACCCAAATCTGCCCCTCCTACCAAGGTTGACACCGTCACCATTCCTCCGCCTTCACCATTCACAAGGCCTCAGTCTGCTCGCACTCCCCGCCTCTACATTCCGCAATCTCCATACTCACCAGCAACTGTGCGGTCACCTATGAGTGCGCACTCTGTATCATCACCTTACTCGGCAGTCTCTCCAAAAACGTGGGATCTGGACAAGAAGACTGGCCGGACACGGCGCGTTAGTGTCCGAGAAGTTGTCACTCGAACAGTGACGTACAGCAGCACCCCAGTCGATACTCAAGCACCGACATTCCCACAGATCGACCCCGCGCCGCGAGGCAAGCGTAGAAAGATTGAGTAGCAAACTCAATCCCCGTTTCTTGCCATTCTATTTTTGTTAGATACCTCGAGCAAGTGTGGTTACGCAGCCACCAGTCCAGTGTCCTTGGTACGACTTCACGACCGGAACACCTGATTTGGCTTCCCAACTGGAGCCATACATAGAGCGGCTGCTTTGCTTGCCACTCCACAAACCCGATGGCCTATTCATCCTGTCCTGCAATCTCGTTGCGTATCATCTTGTTCGACAGCTGGACGCTTCTACCCGAACTATCAATAATCTTCGGGTCCAGGCGACTCGACCGTACCGCACTCTATTACATCTATTGACCCTTACTCTATCTATTTCATCATCCATATCCCAGATCGGAGGCGGTCCTTTGTTAGCTATTCTTACTACTTCACGTCATCACTTATACATATTTCTTATGTATTACTTGTCTTAGAGGAACGACTCGTATGTCCATGTTCACTCACGAATACCACATTTATTTGGAGGCGAAAAATTCTTTGAGTCTATGGGTTATCTTTCTGTCGGGTTACCTTTTTCTGCGGATACCTACTCTTGATACGGTGCGCCGGCGCTTCGAGGGAGGACTGCTTTCTTCTTTTGGATTGAACAGGGCGGAGTCCAGTGAGGAAAATATATCCTCTTAGTTTTCCTTTTTCTTATTGGATGGCGAGGCAAGACACAGGTGGGGTCTGCGACTGGGAATGGCGCAGAGGGAAGGCGAGAGCCGGAGCGAAGAAGGAATGAGGGGCCTGTTGGTGGCATGCATGGTTGCCTCTTGTCGGTGCGAAAGCAACCCGAGACGGCTGACTGGTTATGATAGTTAGGACATATATTCATGATCTGATCATCTATACTTCAAAATCGTTCGTTCAAGCATCGTAATGTTTCGGTAACTTGATGAATAACCCCCGCCATAGCACCCAGAGTAAGGCGTCGTTTCCGGATCAACGATCTAGCAGCGGACGCCCTCTCACTCGCCTTCCATTATCCCTAGTGCCGAAAAAGTGACTTTCCAGAGCTATAGCAGAAAGCAAAGGCGTACGTAACGAATATGACGCCAGCGTCACCAATTCGCCTGTTAGAATCCTCCTGAGTCTTCTTTTTCTCGCCATCGAGATGAGACTAAAATGGCTATTTCATAAGCTTCTAATCACTAACCTTCCAATCCAACTTCGGAAAATCGCATTTGCCACCAACAATAACACAACCCATCCCTCTCCTCTATCACATCCTAGTAACCCCTCCCAACACGCTCCCAATAAAACCCACCACAGCCATTGCCTCCCAAACTCCTCTCTGCCTCACACTGACCAAACCTGACCGGTCGAGAAACTCGAACCAAGCCGAATCCCAGTAACTTGTAACCTCAACCGTCTCCCGCCCTTGGCACAGCCAATCAGACTGCTTTAAGCGGGTTCTACAGGGATGGGGGAGGGGCCATGGTGGGCGGATCCGAGCCTATGGTTAAGCGCCCGGGATCGCACGCGCACGACAGGTCACAGGCTGCAGAGGCCAGAGAGTGCGAGGGCAGAGGTGGGGGTGTTTTATTGGATGGTGGGGTCGGGCGCTTGTGAGGCTCTGAGGATGGTCGAGGACGAGGAGTGCCTTTTGCGGGAGAGGTTGGTTTGAGTTGGTGTAGAACCCACGAGGAAGATCGAGATTCGGTGGGGAGAGGCTATCGTATCTCTGCTCTCGTGCGAGATGTGATATCTGCCCAGACCAGACGTTGATGTGGGTGGATGAGGATGCTGTGGCTTTTTGTTATCACGTGCATGACACGGATCAGCGTCAACCTGCAAAACTGCTTTTGCCAATGAGATCCCTGGATCGCGACTGCTTGACAGGCTTGTCACACACCTGCACACATATTTCGCAGGGTTAGAGAAGGGCACTGTTTGTTGCCTTCCCTCCCGCTGGAACGTTTGTACACGTACGCGGACAAAGAGGTACCTTGGTATGTACATGTACATAGGCTTCGTACATGCGTTGCGATATTAAACAGCAACAACATGCATGGGTTTTCATATCTTACCTCTCAGCAAATGGACACTCGCCCTAGCAAAGTACAAATCCAGCACCAGCACCAGCACCAGCAGTTACCTTCTGTGCTAGCAGCCCGTAAAAGTATTGAATAGGTCCCGTGCACGCCGATCCCTCCAACCCCGGCCCCATTCCATCGTGCACGCTAGGAAACTCTCGGAATGGTGGACAAGCTTGTCGCGGAGATTAAATTGCGCTTTCTCTCGCTTGTTTGACACCTTGATAGGGAACAAGCTAGAACGTTTGAGGTGTTAGGAAGAAGTTTGATGCGGCAAAGCGTGAAGTTAGATGGTTGGATTGGAGTAGATATGCAGGTTGGTGCACACCGCCGGCTACAGACACGCGGACCGTTTTTTGCCCTTTGGATGGAGTACAAACAGATGTACAAGGGTCTGAAGAGGGAAACTGTGTTGCAGGTTGCAGATGGGAGAGCACTGTATCTTGTCACCTAACGTGGAACATGACAGGGGTTTTCCTTTAGGACAGAAAAATGCAGCGTATTGATATTCTCCCTGATCTCAGGAAGACGTTAACAGATAGATCCAGCCCTAGTCCGAGGTCATATTCCACGTTGTGTGACAGCATGCTCTATAGTACGGATTTCTCCGTCGTGAATAATGTTGCGGGGAATCCAATCCTCGAAAGGTCAGCGATATACCAAAGGACCCCAGGAGTGACCAATAGTGGTGCCAAGCGGGAGGGGATTGAAGTGATCCAGATTCGACACAAGCCTCGAAAAGAGGCCCACCGTCGATTGCATCGTGTGATCTGAACAACATTTGGTGTCGGCTGTGCACCGGCCGTTCTCCAGCCATGGCCCAGACAAACCGCATGGATCCCGTGCAGGTGACCTGGGTGAACTCCTCGAGGCGAGCCGGAACTGTGCCTCATCATCCTAGTTTCTGTAACGGGGACATAGATGAATGGTCACGGAAAGCCCCGTGAGCTGGTGGTGTTGTGTTCAACTGCTCGTTGGTTGGTCTACCCCATCCGACATATCTTGTGTGCATTTCTGACCCTCTCTTTCACTCCCATCCCGAATCCGAATCTGCACTTCTGCATCATCCACCTCCCGATTTATTCGACCACAAGAAACAGGCTGTTGGAGCAGCAGAGAAGCAAGCCTCATCCACGTGGCACGAACAAAGCTCATTCTTCACTCTCTCTCCTTTCAAACTCCTCCAACCCATGCCCAGCTGTCTTTTGAACCACGTATACAGAGTCCCCACATCATAGCCGCATGCATCACCCACTCCTCAATCAAAATGCATGTCTGTATCGTGATTGCTATTATGCTCACTCCACCTCTTGCCCCTATCCTTCCAAGAAGCTTTCTGTTTTACCCTCACGCCACCAGAGCGCTTCTTCTCCAAGTCTCGGTGTATGACTTCGACATGCCAATCTCTAGGCCAGGGCCGTTGAGCGAGTTCACAGACAAAGGCGACAGAGCGGTGATGGCCCAGCGCACAATTACAGCCGACTCGGAGGAGTACCTCATTCGTTGATCGTCGAGCATCTTCAGTGTCAGAGTGTTCCTCATTCAAATGTGTCGCTTCTTGGTTTGACGGCGTGGTTATCTGCGCCTGCGCCTGTGCCTGTGTCTGCGTCTGTGCCTCTGCCTCTTCCTCGCCGCCTATACCCTGGCTCTTGGCTGTAATTTCTGCAATCATGGTGTCCATCCTTATGCGGATGTCTTTTTCAACTAGCTCCAACTTTTGCGAGAATTTCGGCTCGGAGAGTAGGTGCTCACGTATCCGCTTTGAACGGCCGTCACTCGTATCGCGTAGGGCTTTGGGAGGGTTTGGAATGCTGCGGATGTCGTATTTGAGGTCTGGCGCCGGATTGAGAGGTGGGTTACGGCCATGCGAGTAGATAACAAGGACGGGCCGGATAGGAACAGACATTTCGAAGCGACTGTGCTGAGATGAAAGGTTGAGGAAGTTGAAGAAGTTGAAAAAGTTGAAAAGCTTGGTTCTAGCTGGAAATGTGGATTAGGACGGTGATTGAATGTTCACACTTAAGTCATCAGAAGATGTGCGGCACACGATCGATAAATCGCACCCAGATTCAAATTCCCCTTAAAACTAGACAAATACTCAGCGAGGCATAACTTGAGAGGATGACTACACACAGAGACAAAGAGAATCTTATTGCTGATCGAATGGTGGTTGAAGGGAAATGTCCACTCTCGGAATCTTCCGCGCATCGCCGATCCGGCTCACATCCACCTTCACGAACCTCCAAAACATGTGAATATCTCATATTTCATCCGTTTGCATCTATTTAAGCTCTGGAAGTAGCACTCGCCAATACTTGTGTGAATTCCCCGCTTCCACGAATCGTAATTTAAATTTTACGGCTGCTATTGTCCTCCAGCGCCGCATATGCTGTGGCGATGTGATGGTGTCGTCAGCCTTGATGTCTTTATCTGTCCTGGTTGGGAATAAAATGTCAAAGGAAGTGGCATTATAAGTATTCTGCCGAAGTTCGCTGTAGGAATTACTGGTAGGTTAGGGAGTGGCTCAATCTTCGTTCGGTCTACATTCTCTCTGATTCCACGTTTCGACGTCTGCGTTTGCTTCTCTCTTATAGTCTCGAATCAGATATAGTTGGATCCTCCAAGCACAATGAGCACCAATTTCTCCGAATCATCCCCTCCTCCCTCCCTAGACCAAGATCTGTACAAAGAAAAGAATCAGAACCGACCCGGGGGCCTGCAATCCAATTGCACCTATTCTCCGCAATGCAGATTCCCAGCTCCCTTCCACCCTCCCATCTCTCGCTCCACAGCCCCACCCTCCAGCCCTTCCTCTCGCTGCGGGTCCCCTTTCTTCGAGGTATCTCGTTCGGGAAGTCCGCTGTCAACCACGGCATTGAGCCCCGTCTCAAGAATTGCCAGCCCACCCCTGAAGTTCAAGGAGCCTCCTACATCGGTGGTCCCTGTGCCAGCCCCAGAGATACGATTGTCGGACTTCGTAGCCGAAGATGCAGAGGCCGCCGCTTTAATCTACGAGCGCGCCTTCTCCACCGACGGCCTCCACCTTACCATGTTTCCATCTACCCCAGACCGATCTGAAGAACGCCAATGGCGTGCTCGGCTCTACCAGCGCGGGTTGCAGCTCCTAGGAAACCACTTGCATGTTGTGAAAGCAGAAGACCAAGCCACAAGCCAGATAGTCGGGATCGCGGGTTATTTCGGTCCCGGCGGATTCCAATGGACTGTCCTTGAGGAGATGGCGCAGAGTCCTGAGCACATCGACGAATTCCCTCAGAACTACAACCGCAAGGCACATGAATCCGCTCTAGCTATCATCAAAGAGAAAAGAAAGGGCGTGTTGAAAGGGAACTATAATGTCTGGGGTATGCCACTTTTCCCTCCCCCCCTTCCTTGCTCAGACAAACCCTCTCCTTAGATCAGACCAGGGTAAAGAGGAAGGTGTGTATATAGACTAACAATTAATATCCTGACCCACAGAACTCAGCCAAGCATTCGTCGACCCATCCTACCAACGCAAAGGCGTCGGCAGAATGCTTTTACAATGGGGTATCAAGCAAGCTGATGAAGAAGGCTTGCCACTCTATATAGAAGGCACACTGGCAGGGAAATTGCTGTACGAACAACTTGGCTTCACGGTTGTGGCTGAAACCGAGCTTGAGGAGATATTCCAGGATGGGAGGCCGTATAAGTATTACTTCATGGTAAGGCTGCCAGGTGGGAGGACAGGGCCATAACAGAGCCATAATGAAAAGCATGGTCGGATTCAACGCATAAATCCTAAGAGAAAAAAAGGTCAGGGGATGCAACTATTAATATTCGTTGTCTACCTATATTATTTCTCCTCTCCAACACATTTGGTAATTTCAACTCCATCCTAGAATCTTACTCAGTGAAATTTTCAGGGGGGAACTTGAAAAGGCTTACTGGTACGCCCGTAGGCTCGAAACTATTAAATAGAGTACTCTCATACACTAAATTCGGGTTTCCTTTGCTTGTACTGAATTTACTCTCTCCAAACCGCTTCTCGTACATCTTAACGTTCTTCTCCGGAAACCTCTCATCAACGCCACCCTTCTCAACTTCTTGAGCCTTTTCTCTCTTCTCCTTAACACTGCTCCTCACGTACTCCAGATACGGAGGGTTCCCTGGTTTAATTACATTATCGGCCGCGAGGACCGACCCCACTGTTACCAAACCCAACTCTTCGCAAAGCTTCAAGTCGGTAGTATACGCAGGTTTATAATGGTCAAGAAACATGAGGTCGATATGCTTAAGGTCACCGGAATCGTACAGACGTTGAATAGATGTATCGCTCGAGCCTACAACTACTTTGACGGTATCCGAAAGGCCTGCTAGATCGACGAGAGACGTGATTACAGCAGCGAACTCGGGGTTGCGTTCGAGACTGTAGTATTGCTGCCCGCCCGCTCTGCGAACGGCATCGCCAAAAAGAATGCAGGAGTAGCCGACGTAGCCACCCAGTTCAACCTGTTGTGGTAAGTCTGAAGGCATTGAAGGTGAACAACAGTATGGAAGAAATATTACCATGACTTTAGGTTTTACTTCTGCTATTAGGTTGGCGACAATACGTCCCTTGTCCTCTCCCACATTCATCAGGTACTTCTTCGTCCTCCCAAACTCGTCAATGGCCGCGAGTACATTTGTGGGTGATCCCCGAATGCTATCAAGGGTTGGATGGGAATACATGAAATGGAGGAGTTCAATCTCGCGGCCATCATCGAAGAAACCGGTTCCTCCTTCTTGAGGTGCGTATGCTTTCGCTTTCTCGAAGCTTAGCATCTTAGGTTTTAGGGAGGAGTTTTCTGCGCGTGCTTCTAAGGGGTGCTCAATAACCTTTCAGGTATTAGCGTATAGTTGACGTACAGAACAATGAGATCTAATGCTGAATTATGCAATCACACAAAGGGCTTCTCTAACTAAGTGAAGACGTAAGTCAGGTTTTGGGAGAATGAATTCGAAAGTACTTGAACTAATATCTCCTTGCCGTTCTAGCGGTGCGACTGAAGTGTTATAAAAGCTAGACATGAAGGACCGTCTAGCTGCGACATGCGCCATAGAAATCCCCTTAGGGAACCCGGAGATGGAGAGGTATTGTGGTGAAGGGAGTAGCGAGAGGGAGAGCGAAGTGTAGGATTGACGTTAAGTCTGGATACAGATGTCACCATGACTAACTACGAAACGTCCTCCGGAATTTCTTTTCACAAAACCGTACTCGAACTCGCAAGGAATGGAGAAGTATCAAACCAACCTCGTCTGTCAAGTCAATTGAGGAAACGCAGATCGCCAAGAAGTTGTATATTCGAATTGGTAGCTAGAATCTTACAGCACGTCGCCCTGCACCAACGTGCTCGGTTGTCAATATCCGGACTCACAACAATAGGATACACAGGACAGAGGTCCTAGGCAACTCGTCCCAATGATCGATCGTCTGCAATTTAGTTATATCCGGGAGAGTCTGCCTACTCTTGCGTACTTGGGAGAAAATAAATGTGGTTCTCGTTGTAGAGTTGCCCCGCAGTAAAGAAAGTCAATATTCCTTCCGTACCAAGCCGCTAATCATGACTAACATAGTGCTCGACTGATCCCGTTCCTGGCGAGTGCATTGAAAGACATCTCCTTTGGTGAGGCATGCTTAAATGCCGAATTGAATCTAGAATGCTGTCACCTAATGTGGAACATGACAACGTAGTTTAGGACAGAAATCTGTATCCTGTTAGTACTCTCCTTAATTCTAGCAAGAAGGTGATTATATAGAATCGACCCGGGTTATGTTCCACGACATATGATAACATGCTATATATGACGGCACCGTGATACTCCATGCGAATAGGATTAGTGAACTCCAGACCTAGCCTTCCACACTCCATAGCTCCTCCTCTTTATGAAATGTTCCAAGTCATACTTCTATCGCATGTTATTATATAACATCTGTCTGCGAATGCTGAATTAAACGGGCTTTCCTGATCCTTTTACCCATCAATCCAAAACCAAATAGTGCGCTAGTGGCGGGGGCTCCTAGAGGAGATGGCCTTCAGTGTATCTTATAGTGCGTTTCTACATGTAATGGCATTGTAATGGCATTTTTGGTTCCGGAGTATCTCACTTAGTACAAACCTTCCCCCTCATTCCACCACCACCAGATCCCCACTCAGCCCTAATATTCTCGTCCCATCCACAATCCCCCTAGCATCTCCCACCTCATCCATCTCCCTCAGAGTGAAATCCAACAGATAGCTCTCATCGACCAGCTCCTCTACCCTTTTATAATGCCTCTCAGAATACGCTCGAATCGCATCGAGAACGTCTTTCAAACCCCCCTTCGTCCCAATCTTGCCGGCCGGCTTTAAATTCGCAAGGCGAGAAGCAGGGTACGATTTCGCCAAGGTCCAGAGAATTTTCTGTGCTACAGGTGCAGAGCGTACATTGGTGTTCCAATCACGGAGGCGGAGGAGGAGGGTGTAGAGTTGAGAGTCGGAGAGGTGGGAGAGGACGTCGTCGACGGCGAGGAGGCCGGAGAGGCTTGCTTGATCTGGGACTTCTGTCTCGACGACGGATCCGAAGAGGCTGAATAATCGGCCTGGCTGGTCCATTTGCAGAGCAAGCGTAATGGCTTCGCGATAGTTTCCTGCGTAAGCGAAGTTTTGAAGTTTTTGGTCGAGTTCCACCCGCTCGGCTTCGGCACTTGTGGCCGCTTCGAGAGTGGAACTCGATGTGTCGGCCCAGAACGTTATGACGCTATCTCCGCCACCGGAAACGAGGGCATTGGAAGTGGGATGTACGGTCAAAGCCCAGACGCGATCAGTGTGGTTGTCTAAAGTAGACAATGCTTCACCACTATGCGTATCCCATACCTTGACCAGCCCGTCCCCTGCAGCAGAGGCTAACTGCGGGCCTCGTTTATCGCGAGCATCAATGGGTCGGTACGGTATCCAAGAGAGCTTTAACACACTGTTAGAATGTCCTTCGAGGGTTAGGAGACAGCTGTAGTCGGAGAGGTTCCATATCTTTACTGTCTTGTCTCCGCTTCCTGTGGCAATGAGACCTTTGGTGCTGGAACCCGGGAACTGGGAGTCTTTCGGTGCAAATTTGACAGTCCAAACGCCCCGACGATGACCCCGAAGCACACCGACTGCCTCTCCGTCACCTGCTGAGTAGATTTTGACTGTGCGATCTTGCGATGCCGAGGCAAAGAGTGTGCTTGTCTGATCAATGTCGACGGCGTTGATGTCTTTATCATGGGCTTTGCGAGTGTATTTTGCCCGTAGACCTTTCTTGGCATCTTTGTTGATATCCCAGCGTTTTACAGTCCTGTCCTGAGATCCTGAGATCAGAAATTCGGGAGGATGAGAAAGAGGATCAGTAAATGCTGGGGTCCCTAGAGGAGGCACTGAATGCGGAAGTGCAATGGCCCCGAGCGATTCAGCGTGACCAGTAAGTACCGCAAAGCACTTGTAGGAATGGTTCTTAGGATCTAGGCGCCATAATCTAGCGGTGTTGTCTTTTGCCCCTGTTGCTAGCCAGTGACCTGACCAATCTACATCCAGGCAGATGATGATCTCCTCGTGTCCCTTTAGCAGAGCAACATCTGCCCCAAAGTAGTCTCCAATGGTCTGCGTAGTTGTTTCTGAGGCATTTGACGTGTTCAGAGATATGATCCGAATGTCTTCTGAGTTTGTGGCGAGCGCCAAAAGTGACTTATCTAATCCGACGTACGCGAGATCTATCACTTCATCGTGGGTGCCAGACACCCGTCTAAAAACAGGTAGCGGGTCTATAGCTTCTTGTATGAAGGGTAGATCGACCGGCTCTAAAGAATGGAAATTGAAGACCTGATCAGCATGAACTGAGATTAGATATGGTAAGGAGTCGAAATGTAGGATGTCGACAATGGCGTCGGTCTCTGTTCCTGGCCGCTGTTCCCGGGTAAGTTCATCCCCAGATGAGGTTGGCCAGAGCCTTATTCGTCCATGCTCTCCACCAGAGAAGATGATCTGACCGCCACAGATGAAGCCAGCGCTTTCGATTCCCTCGAGGGCTGCGATGGTGCGCTTGACTTTCCATGTCCGAGCGTCCCATAAGATCAAGGTATTGTCGCGACTTCCTGAAACTAACGCGTTCTGGCTTAGTGAGAAGTCTAGAGCTCGGACAACAGAAACATGCGAGTCCAGTACGGCCACACTGTTTCGCTTGTGCAGATTCCATATCCGTATCTTGCCATCCTCAGCGCCTGATGCTAGTCGATATTCTAGAGTGCTGTCACCGCCGGCAAGGCCGTGCTCAGCTCCATGTTCCTGCATTGATTCCCCTCTCTTCCTCTTCTTCGTCTTTTCAGCCGATTCATTTTCCTTTGGAGCAACCTCGACCTGGAAGAAGTGGAGAGCCGAGATGACGCCGCCATGGCCGTGGAAGGTATGCGTAGCGTAACCACCTCGAACATCCCATACTTTGGCGGCACCATCAGCAGCACCGGTAGCTACTAGAGTACCGGTATTATCAACCGCCAAGGTCACAACAGGTGAGGTGTGTGGTCGAAGCGCGCGTGACAATTCAACTCGGATCGAATTCTCTTCGGAATCAGATGGCATTAGAGAGTATATATGCATAGACAGCGATCGTGAGCAAACGATTAGGTGGGAGGCAGAAGGCGTCACTGCGCAAATTAGCAAGAGCGGTAGGAATGGGAAGGATCAATCGACGTACATGCCAGCGCGGTAATAACTTCGCCATCCTGAAAGCCAAGTTAGTACACACAGAAAATATGTGTGCTTCGTGCCCTCTTACTCCTTCTATCCTAGCCAGCTCCGCTCCGGTTGCGATATCTGTGAGAAGCGCATCTTCGCCCAAGCATGCGGCGAGAATGCAGCCATCTTCGCTCAAGGCAACGCTGCCGCCGGAGTAGATGGACTGCAGGGTTCTGTCAACTGCGTAGGTAGTCCTGACGGTCTGTCTTTGGGCCATGACGGTGTGCTATCGAAGCGATGCGGGCATGGCGGTGGATAAGAGAAGTGTGAATTCGATGTCTTGGCTACGGGAATTTTTCGAGAGCCCTTATCGATAAGCACCAGGAGCTCCTTCCCGTTGTGCCTTCTCGTCTCCAACGTCAGTCCACCCCACCTCAGTCGTCAAACTTGCAAGATGCGTGAATCTCTCATAATGCACCTTCTACTTTTGCTTTCATCTGCTAAGGCTTCTTGAGTTCGGTAAAATGGGCCGTCAAGCGTACCTAACACGTCTTGCCCTGGTATGTTTGTCCTCCACCTCCATCTCAATGTCGAGGACCTCATCTGACCTGAAGCTGGCAGGGGCGGTCGGCCTTTGAACCAAGCCAGCCCGCAACTGCCTCCCCTGAATACGTGCAGCTTGACTCTTCACAGGAGGACATCTCTACACCAAATGTGAATGCCCAGCTCTACGATGAACGGGGTCACCCTATCAACCCACGCGCGCGGGAACATGGTAGAAGGTTTCGGGAAGCTCAAAACGACGTGCTAGCTGCTATTGGCGTAGTGGAGAGGCGCCGCTCCCCTTCGGAAGGCCTCCCGGGTGCTTATGAGCTGCGGATAGAGCAGCTTGAGAATGAAGAGTCGGCTGGAAATGCGATAGCTTTTGCATCTAGGTTGGCCGAGAATCTGTGTACTTGGTGGCTCGGCTCGCTCAGAGATCGAATTTTGGTATGCTCTCATGGGGTAAGGCCCTTCTTCTGTGTCTTACTGGTTTGCAGACGTTTCAGATGGGTAGCCGGATCCCATTCACGGATATTGTCACGTCCGAATACCGAGCCTTTGGAACCAGCTTAGTCTATGCTGGATTCTTTCCCCGAGTCCTGTCTACGGTAGGCGTCCAGGCTTCTGTATACGCAGCGCTTGTGCTACAGCCTATCAGTCGTCTTCTTTTTGCAACACGAGCATCCGGAAAGACAAGGCTCCTCTTTCAGCGACAAAAGAACCTAATTAGCAATGGGTAAGCTCCCTGCAAATACCCTGTCTTGGCTACTACTGATTCTGTCAAGCTTTCGTTTGCTCGTGGAGATTGCTTTCTACCCTCTCGCCTACCATGCCACCCTTCAACGGCTTGCACTGCTTCCCACAAAGCCGTTACTTCCTCCTTGGAGAGCTTTCGTACCATTCTCAAGCTCGTCACCAATTCGACTCCTCTCTTTACCGTCGGCATTGACCGCGGCATCTTTGATGGAATTTATCAAATCAGCGATAAGCTCGCCATTAGTGTTTGTCTGCTTGGAGCATTTCTTAGAGCGATGGGTTTACGCTCTTGTTTACGAAGCGATTGAGTCTACCACAATTCGTCCAGATCGTCCAGACCTGGAGACCCCTGATGATGGCGTGAAGAACCGCGCGACGCAGATTCTTGGCTTGAGGCGAAAATCCCCTCCCGTGGTTCGAACCGCAATCAACAAGCTCCTGGTTACACTCGGGTGGGGCAAGCCGTTTCCATCCTCGGAAGCTAGAGAATATTCTGACGGACGTACACGAAGAGCTGAAATTGAAATGAGTCGGACAATGGAGAATAACCAAGGGCGAGTGACCAACGTCAGTCGACTCCAAATTCCAATGGCGCACATGCCTATCCAACCGTTACCAGGAGGCAGCAGTGTGAGCAATATAACGGTAGCTCCCACGTCAGTACCCGAGGCATTCTCTCCAGCATCTCCAACAGCTTCTCAAGGAAGTCAGGGCGATAATGACGACCCAAGGATTCGAATCACGTCCAGAGAAGGCATTGTTGAGATGGAGGTTCGTTTGCCACCACACGTCCTCTCCACTCACACTGAGGTCTCTGGCACTAACTCTCCTACCCCAATACAGCGTGGCATTGCCTTGTCCCCTGCTGACGAACCCGAAGAACCTGCTTGTCACCGGGTCACACAGCTATCCACAGAACCATCACAAAGGATAGGCGCGGTCCTGAAAGCCCAAATTGTCGGTTGGGCGACGCTTCCACTCAAACTTATTACTCTACGACTGATCGCTTCCCATTATATCGCTGGTCGCCAGCGCCGACCGGATCAGAAATTCGGTATAGCTGTCTATCGCGGTGTGTCCCCTCTGGGCGGCTTGCGGGATTTCAATCTCCAATCTGCTGGCGTCTTGATTTCCCGCGTCGCACTCTGTGGAGCACTAGAAGTGGCGATTGATCTTAGCTTATGGGGTTGCCAATGGCTTGCCATAAATTGTGTTGGCAAGAAGTTTTTCGGTTGGGGTACACTCTGAAAGATGTAAGACTCTTGCTGCCTAGTGCAGGAGGCGTGGACTACAACTATCGGCGATTTGAGTAAGGTTCCTCATGCACAGCTCTATTCCAGAATGGCGGGTTGTCCTAACTCAAGCCTGTCAAGAATGGCATGAAGGCACAAGACGGGACAACCGGCAAGCGAGTGAGACGCAAAGTAAGAAAGATTAGGCTCATTCCGACCCACTGGGTCATTGAGGTGGATGTTCAGCTGTCTGTGTGCCTTTACTTCCTCTTGGAAACGTCTCCGCTAGGCTAGACTCATTGTGTGGTACACTACTGGAAGGAGACTACGACTCAAGGTCTGCTTCCGAGGACGCGGCTACCGAAGTGGGCCAACGATGTTTCAAGAGCGACGCTGGGACATGGAGGGAATGCCATCCATAGATCCTAAGAAAAGCACGCGAAGGAAAAAACTGGGGAGCCGAAGGAAACAGAGGTGAAGCCTCTCTGCCACCTCAATGCCCAAAGGCATTCCAAATCCACGTGGGGTCAGTGGAGGTTTGTGCCTGTGCCTGAACGGCATAGAGGTTCCCCCTTATGGCACGTGCGCATAAGGCTTGGCGTGATGCACGGGTTCCGAGTGATTGGACCCCCGCGAAACACAAGCTCACTGCCCTCATTTCTCCAGCTCTCTTTTGCGTTCAACCACTGTAACTCGGAGATTATATTGTGTCATGGTGCGGTCGTTCAAAACGCGCCGAGTAGCAGAGAGCCTCTGAGAAGGAGCGTTGGGATTCAGTCAGCGACATCACGAGGGGTTGAGTGTGCAGTGGCTTGCGTGCGTCGCCTCCCTAATGTGCAAAGACAGGTTAATATGACGGGCTAAAGTGACAGATTGGGCCGACGTGTGCTCTGGTGCGGTATTTGCAGTGGCATGTCAAGGAGAAACTCGTTAAAAGGAGGCGTTTTGGAGAAATAAATAAATGATTATCCTTATCGGGCAACAAAGCTGTTGAGCTTCTCGTTTCGCGCGTGAACCTGGTTGAAAAGGAGTGGGAGTGCCGGATTCGCGGGCACGATCTGCAGCTGCAGAGACGGAAGCCAGCGTCCATGCGAAAAGAGGCTGTCTCTTACCGCATCGAGCGGCCGTCCGTGGACATCACCACCTCCCCCGCGCATCATCGACCCCCTTTTTGTTTTCGGTAGACACTTTGTTTTTTGCGCTTCCCTTGTGGTGGGTGGGTGACTGGGCTGTCGAAACTCCGCACTGCATGCGCAAGCACACGCAGCGTTGCAGCCCATCATTTCCCTCCTCCTCCTCCTCCTCCTCCTCCTCCTCCACAGCCCGCGGTCGTCTATCGAAGAACACGGGAGGCAGAGCCCTGCAAATCCCGAGTCCCTGCACCCTCCCCCTGCACGTTGCTGCGGGCTGGGAGAAGCCAAGCTCTGGCAACGCTCCTAACGCTCCTAACGCTCCTATTTTCTTTTCCTCACGAACCTAAACCTTTGCCAGCCCTTCGTTGAGACTCGCAGACCGGCAGACACGCTCATTGTGCATCGCGGCAACGTTGTCATCCGAGCCAGCTCTTTCTTGCAGCAATCCTAGACACGTGTACCGTGCACCACGACTCGAGGTCCAACCCTGCAGCTGCCCGTTGTCGCCCGCTACGCACAACCTTCCCCCTCCTGCAACACCGCGCAAGGCCTTCCCCGTCAGAGTGACGCGACGTTAAGCCAGCACCTCAGACGTTTCTGGAACGACCCATTGCCTGCACAACATCTACTGCTGGCCACAAGATTCGAAAGAGGAGAGCGAGGACATGAACGCCGCGAGGTCGAGCCCGAAAAATTAGGGTTTTAGGATTGTCGACGCCCCATCAGAGGGCTGCCACCAGGTCCTCTAATATCTCGCCGCGACAACAACACCATGACGACCACGCTTCCACGTCCGTCGCGGCCTTTAATCGCTCCTCCCACCGGCCCTCTGCCTTCACTGCCCGTGCCGAAATCCCGCAGCTCCAATGTGAGCCCCGCGTCGGCGCGAGCTTCTTCAGCGTCTTTGCTACCCTCCCCCGCCGTATCCCTCCGCGCAGTTTCTTCCTCAGCGCTGCCTCAGAGGCCGATACTCAAGAGTCATCCCAACTCTACCTCGAATGTTCCTACCCTGAACACCGATGCCTCCCCGGCAGGTCCTCTGCCACCCGGGAAGTCGCTGCGGAAGACCATCAGCATCGGTGCTTTCCCGCAGCCCCCAAAACATGTTGGGAGAACGGCAAGTCATCCTCCTAGCCCTCTGTCGGCAAGTTCGACTCCTAGTAGTGACACGCTGCATCAGAGGTTGTCGTCGGGATCCAAGGCCACCCCCAAGACTACCCCTTCAAGAGAGGGCAGTATTCGGAAGCCGGGACGGGTCTCCACAGGTGGTCGCAGCCTGCTGGCGAAGTCACCATTGACTCCCCCCAGTCTGCTCAATGGCAGTGGAGAGTCAGTCGCAGTCGTGAACAGTGGTCATCTGAGCCTACCCTCACCGCCCCAAAGCAGGAACTCCTCGGCCCAAGGCTCCTACGCAACGAGTGCAACCACCTTCGAAGATATCGGGGACGAAGAGTCGAGGGGTCGATCAGATAATAAGACAAATACGGACCGGCACTCAACCCATAAAGATGGCAAAGGGAACGTCCTTGTCAGTGTACGAGTGCGGCCGGATGTTGGGACAAGCGACGGCAAGCAAGAGTTGGAATGGGAGATCAACGGCAAACGCTCACTTGTCTCATATAAAGGCCGGGAGGGCGGAGAGTACATTTATGGTAATGTAGCACGACATGATGCATGACGCCGAAGGCAGCGCTGACTGAGATAATATAGACAATGTGTTTGACACCCAAGACAATAACGCCCGAGTGTATGATGCCGCCGCTAAGCGGCTGGTCCGACGGGTGATGGAAGGCTATCACGGGACTGTGTTCGCCTATGGCATGACCGGAACGGGTAAGACCTTCTCAATGCAAGGAACCGCCACAAACCCAGGTGTGATTCCATTGGCGATCACCGACATTTTCTCCTACATCCGAGAGACACCACATCGGGAGTTCCTTCTGAGAGTCAGCTACCTGGAAATCTACAATGAAAGGATCCATGATCTACTTACCGGACCCGTCGCAGCGGGACTAAATGGCCAGCCGACTCAACAGGAGGAGATCAAGCTCAGGGAGGATAGTAAGCGCGGGGTATACGCGACGCCCTTAAAGGAAGAGATTGTGCAAAGTCCAACACAACTCCTTAGAGTTATCGCTCGGGGTGACAACGCACGGCGAGTGGCTGGAACACAGTTCAACGCCCGCAGTTCACGAAGTCATGCGGTGGTTCAGATCGTCGTTGAGAGTCGAGAGCGTGCGCCAGGTGGATTAGCCAGCTTGAAGGAAAACAAGCGGTCGGCAATGGCTCCGGGTGGTGTCCGTGTTTCCACCCTCAGTTTGATCGACTTGGCAGGTTCTGAAAAGGCTGCCGACAACAAGGAGAGACGGACAGAAGGATCGCACATCAATAAGAGTCTTCTGACTCTCGGAACGGTCATCGCACGTCTATCTAGCGATAAGGACAAGGCAGCGTCGGACAAAGACAAGGACAAGCCAAGCAAGGACCAAGGAAAGCACTTGCCATACAGAGACAGCAAGCTTACCCGACTGCTACAACCCGCTCTATCTGGAAACTCTCTTGTGAGTATTCTCTGCACGATTCAGATTGGGTCAAGTGGAAGTATTGCGGCAGCCCACAGTCACACCGGTGAAACCCTGAATACTCTGAAATTTGCTTCAAGAGCAAAGAATAACATCATCAGTCATGCTAAGAAGGCAGATGAGTCCCTCGGCTCCGGTGGAGATGCTGGTAGCCGAGCGTTGCTTGACCGCTACCGCGTGGAAATCCAGGAGCTACGTAAACAGCTCGAGGAACAAAATAAGGCAAAAGATAACAAAGACGGGAATGAGGAGGAGAAGGAACGAGAGAAAGATGAGGAAGAGGAGAAGGCACGTGAGTTAGAAGACCGACATCGACACGAAGAACAGATGCTTGAGATGCAGCTCGCCCGCACTGCGCTCAAGGAACGAATTGAGCACCTGAACCGGCTGATTCTAAGTTCGAAATCTTTGGGTGTGAATGCCACTAACCGATCTTTCTCATCGATGAGTCTTCGCGATCGCGGGTCTGTTCTTAGCAATGGCGACTTCCAGCCGATTTCAGTGCGTTCGTCATCAGCAAGCCACGCTACCCTTGAAGTACCGGGCCGTACAGGCTCTCAAGCCGTGTTCCCCTCAATACCCTTGGAAGGCTCCGAAGAGGACGACTCACTTGGAGAGAATGGAGACGGCACGGCCAGCCATACAGCGCAGATCCATGCACTACAGACAGACCTCGCGGACAAGAACCGGTATATCAGCACTCTAGAAAAGCGACTGTTGCAAGCTCGACGTTCTAGCCACTCACGTGTTTCAATGAGTCTCACTCAAAAAATGTCAGGGAGCAGTGAAGACGGAGGGCTAATCGCCACCATCGCGGAGAAGGATGCAGAAATCTCCAATCTTCGCGCTCAGCTTGACGACAAAGAAAAGATGATTGCAGCGCTGACGTCGGCGGGCAAGAAACGTGAGAATGCACACGAGGTTGGTAGTGACGGCTCGCCGGGAAGTCGGAGAACGTCACACCAACGCAGCGAGGGCAGTACCTGCAGCTTAAAAGTAAAGAGCTCACCGATCAGCCCAGTTGGGTTCCTTTCCAATCCTAAATCGGAGCGAGAGCTAGCAGACGTGACGAGGATGTTAGATGAGATGATCTCAGGACGTGTCGACCATGCCAATGGCGCACGACGGATGAGCCTCCCACCCGTCAATGAGGACAGGTGATTGTATGATGTTGGGATTCTTGGAATGTAAGGGCTGGATGGAATGAAACAATCATCTCGCTACGGCAGTTGGGACGACATGAGGAAGAGAAGCGAGGACGACGGTTACAAATAATGGGTACAAATTAATGACGACGCAGCCGAGGATACGAGGCAGAAGGGTGTGGGGGAAGGATTGCGCACGGCGTTGAGGAGGATTTGATTGCCACGGAATCTCGGCCACGGACATTTTCTTCAATATCTACTCTCCTAGGGACTGGGTTGGTGGTTATTGCGCGGGCAAGGTGTATTCTCTTGTGCACTGCTGTCGTTTATTCGGGAGAGCTTCGACCTGATACCCCGTTTCTCTGCGAGGCTCTTGGCTTTGCAGTCTCGCTTGTCGACTATGTATAGGTTCTATGTTAGTATTAGTAGTCTATATTTGTACTTGAAGCACTCTAGATGAGTCCATGATGCGTCGAGGTTGTCAAGATATATAGTGGCATGCAGCCTATGGCATGGCTGGGGGAAGGTGAAGTCTAGCGTCAGATGGCCGGTCGGAGCAGGCTAGGTGGCTAGCTACCGTTGGGGAAGGACCATCAGTCGCGCGGAGTCCGGCGCCGACGCTAGCTAGCGATTTAGTCTGCATGGGGACATGCGCAGGCCACCTAGTCGTCTCACAGCGTGTTTCAGGTTCCGACACGCAAAGCAGCAGGTACGAGCCTCTCTCCTTCGATGCGCCCACCAGCCAGACTACGGCGCACATCACTTGCGCGCACCCAGCAGTAGGCTTGCCGCTCAAAATGCCACCCTGCTGCTCGAGAACACTCCCTGCGCAACCTCCCTTGTTCTCTGCCCTCTGCCCTCTTCCGGCTCTCACTTCTAAGCCAGGGACGCCTCCAGATCCTTCATCGTGGCCCCATGCCCGTTTATGCTTCACCTTTCCCCCTTCCCCCTTCCTAATTACACCTCTGCGAGGACACTGTCTCGGCGACGGCCCTTCATCGCACCTACTACTCTTCACCTCCGCTCCTTGACGGACGTCGTTTGTTTGCTGCTGTGAAACTATGCGCTGCTAGCTGCCATTACATCCACCGCCGTTATCTCCATGACTTCATAGCACCAGCGCATTCGAGCTTGCACACGTCTTCTTTTCTTCACTCTTCTCTTTCCCTTCTCACGCTCCTTCCCGCGAGAGGTTCGCTCGACGCCGCCCTCGCTCTTTCTGCTTTTGCTGCTTTTCACCTGCAGGGCCAGGTGTCACCAAAGGTTCCTTCCGACGCGCTGCAAGTTATCGTCATTGTTGCTGCAGCTCTCGTCCCACTCGCCCACGTAGCCTGAACAAGACTCACAGAGCAACTCAGTGCGCGGCGACGACATGATAATCAACGCCACGAAGAAAGTCAAGACAATGCACGCCAGGCGGAATCCCAATCTGTCGGTGTCCTCGGCCGCTTACTCACAGTTGAGTCCTAGTGTGACGTCGGCCACCTTCCTGTCTCCCACTGTGGCTTCCCGCCGTGGCCTCCTCTCGCCCTCTCCACCGCCATCCCCAAGCCTCCCTTCCCTGGTCCCGCGCCATGGTAAGAAGCAGCCGTGGTCGAGTCACTCTCGCCTGGTGAAACGTTTACTCATTGGCTTTTGTGGAGTTACCATTCTGGCATGGCTGGTCGTTCGTCAGCTATATTCCCATCAATCGCAGACGACAGACTATGACTATGAGGAGGAAGAGTACGAGATGGTGGGCGATAGCCTATTGCCACAGGAGCCCTCTGCCGTTGTAGTGTCTGATATTAAGGGTAAACCGAAGTGGATTGTGTCAATTCCAGCAAGCTATGACTTCCCATTGCGACCGGCCCAGTACCGAGAAATATGTTCTCAGTCCATGGAGCTCTCGAAACAGCTGCGCCAAGATGGCCATACATCGAATGGCTTCGCTAAGCGAATGCTTAATTACTACTCTAGAGATCAGTATTACCTAGATGTCCAGGAGGCTGAGGACCAGGGCCTGCTTCCTCCGTCAAAGAATCAGGAGAGGCCGAAGGGATTTGTGGACGATGCGTCTATGGTAGACGGCAAGGTTGCCGGCAACAGCATGAAGGTGTGTGATAGGACCCTGACATATGTCATGGAGACAACCGACGCAGGCTTTGGTAACTCTTTGCTGCGCTTATGGATGTCGTATGGATTAGCTTTGGCAGAGAATCGCACTTTCTTCATCGACGATACCCGGTGGTATGTCACCAATTTATTTTCCCTGGCTCACCTTATATTAAGTACTGACTATGGGCAGGCCATATGGCAAATATTCGACCTTCTTCATGCCACCACCCTCTGCTGGTTGTCTACCACCACCAAAGCAGCAAATCGTTCCCTGTCCGCACAACGCTCGCCATATCGCGGTATCTGCTGCCACAACTCAGCAAACTTTCGGCCATGCATTTACCGACGAGTATGAAGATCCTACCAAAATGGAAGTTCAGCGCCAACACAACATCTTCGCCCTTCTTCGTGCTGGTTACGATGCTCTATTTAAGCTCCGCCCAGACGACTCGAAGTATGTTACCGAGCGAACGGAATCGCTCTATGCGCCCATCATCAAAAACGGGGGTATTAGCATTGGCATTCACGTGCGTCGAGGCGACAAACATCCTTTCGAATACCAGTACCAGAAGGATTACATTCCATTGGACCGCTACGTTGACACGGCGCGAGACATATTTATCGAACGCATCGAAGGCGGAAAGTCCAAGAAGAAAAACAAACCCCGCTCTCTGGAAACCAAACTTACTCCGCGTCACACATCTTCTAAGATTATCCTTGCATCAGATGACCCGGAGGTGTATGAGGCAGCTGAGATGGGCTCTTCCCTCCGTGCCCAAGACCGCATCGTCCTTGCTACCAAAGCTACACTCGAGGCCGCTCAAGGCCACAAAAACCCCTGGATTGACGAGATTTCTGGCTGGGAAGGCGGCTTCTACAAGGATGTTTTCTGGAGTCTAGGCCGGCCTGTTGGAAACGCAGAGGACATGACCAAACTTGACAATGACAAAGTCCCCGAGGACGCTATGAGATTACGGGAGCTTGTGGGAAGGGCTTACCTCCTTGATCTCGCTGTCCTCGGCGAGGCTGACACTATCGTCTGCACAGTATCGAGCATTGGATGTAGAATCCTCGCTGTGATGCTGGGCTGGGAAAGCGCGATTCAGAATGGCAATTGGAAGAATGTCGATGGGGATTTTGATTGGAGGGGCATTACGTGGTAGATCTACCAGTCAGCCTATATCCTTTGATTCTAGTTGTAAAGCGGTGCGGCTGAAATGGTGTTGTTTTCGATAGATACCCTACACGTTCGTTTCATTTGTAGGATTAGGATCAAATCTTCTTGGGTTGGGTATATCGATTTTCAGTGGCGCTTTTGGCAGATCATATTTTGCATGGTTGGCGTTGCTTATCCTTCTATTGTCGTTTCTTTCCTTATTCGAGGTTGGACGGTGCAGAGAGGTGTTGGTGCTACTTCTCTCGTCTCGGGAAGACATTAGGCGGTTTAAAACATCCTTGCGCGCATGGATGAGCTTTTCGGATTGGGGCTCCGAATGGTTGGGGGAAGTCAAAGGGTAGAGGGTGATGGAGAAAAGAATATTATCATACAGCCTCATCTAGGACAGGCTGGCAATTCCTGGGGCCGCTTATAGCGGCCATCTGCATCGATCGTCTGATCATACTCTACGTGCACCACCCTACATTGCGAAACGAAACAAACTGAGTTGGTATCATATAAACAGAATGTGTATCATAGCGACGACCATGACCAGAATCCTAGCAATCAGCAAATCCCCAGACTTCCCAAGCCACTAACCATCACAAGCCACATTCCTATTCCCACCCATCCTAGCCTCCCATATATCCTCATCCCACCCGAGCACTGTTGCCCCGGATACGGACACTCACCCTCGCCTCCATTCCCCAATCCCACACTCGACGTAGCGGTAGGCTCTCCCGTCGTCGTAACTATACTCGGTTCTGGAGTCGATGTGGGCTCGCCTTGCTTAACCTCTTGTTGTACATTCTCCTTAAAATACCCGATAACATTCCCCGGTGGATAGTACTCGCAAACAACATACCAGCCCGGTGCGCCGCCGTCATTTTTGTTGTTGCATTCGGTGCGGGAGCAACCGACGGTTGTGGTGGCTTTCCAGACGAGTTGCGTGAAGTGCCCGGTATGTTTGGAGAACTCGGCTTTGGTGTAGGAATATTGGATGTTTTCATAGTACCAGGCAGTTAGGGAGCTGGTAAGGTTGGGGTAGCCGGAGGAGAGGTTTTCACCTGTGGGACCGCCCTGAGGGGGGTGAGTTATTGGGGGTTGAAGGGGATGGGGGCATGGGAAGATAGGAGGAGACAGGAGGAAAAGGTCGGGAGGTTTATATTGGAAGAGTGGGAAGTTGAAGGGTAAGATATGGGAGGGAATAAAGGACAAGAAGTGAACTAAGCTGTAGAACAAACAGCGTATAGATAACGCCCCGGCTAAGAATAAGCCTTAAGAAAGCTGGGTACTATGTGCAAACTTACAGAATGCTTGAATACACACGCATTCCCCCATTCCTGCGCATATTTCGCACTCGTATCATTCCAGGTCACAGCTGTCGCGTTATGCAATCTGCGATACGTGTTTGTGACGTTAAGGACGGCGTTCTTGAACGTTTTATCATTAGTGTATTCGGCGGACGCTTGTTGGTCGCGTAGAGAGAGTGGAAGTATGCGTGGGAGTGTGAGTGTTGCGTTGATGAGTGGGAGATGGAGTAAGGAAAAGATGGACATGCATGTGAGTGTGAGAAACGTGGACGGCGAATGAAAGAGAGGTAATGAGGGCATTCTGATCTAGGTTTAAGCCCATCAAAGGCCCACAGCGTGAATGCAAAGGAATCGTGATTGAAGCTGTATGTACAGTTCCTAAAGTTTTGACAAGAGACGTGAGCTACCCAATTGTCAATTATGTCAAAGACAAGAACCATAAACTCTGAATGACCTGCCCTAACCAAGCCAAGGCCTCTCTCCATCTTGATTTATCCTCACGCTGTGGCCATCGAGTCAACCGCTTTCAGACTCCAACAAAAGAAGTGATAGGCGCTAATCTGTGACGTCGGTTGGCACGTGTCTAGAGGTCTTGGCAGAAACGACTGGTGTTAATGCACAAACATGGAAAGGACAAGGCGCTAAGCGACGTCGTTACTGGAGGCTTGGAAGATCTCACGACAGGAAAGTGAGTATAGAGATGTTTTGTATTGTGCTATGCGACGAAACACTCTTGAAACAGGCAAGGAAAGTGAGAAACGAATCGCAGGGGATAAGGGGTTCAAAAACAATCAGATCGAGCGCTTTGCTTCCATCATTACTCGTCATCTCTCATCACCTTCTCTCATAACATCATCACCATCATCCGCCTCCGCTCTTCACCAACAGTGGCTAGGTGCACCGAATTCACTGTGCCTCCCCACTCCAGTAATTTCAGAGCGTTAGAACACACCGAACCCGATGCACCACCCAAGCTCCAAAACTACACAACAAAAACATCATCCCCCAAACATCTGCACCATCCCAAAAAATAATATGGTATCTGAACTTTTCCCCTCATGTTCTTTCCCGGAATGGAGAAAAAGAGAACCGAAAACCTCCACCCATGCACCCTGTTGAGAGTTTCAAAGGGAGCCGGCACGCCCAAGATCAAGATCCAAACTGAAACCCGAATCCTCAAAATGCCTTGCCTTGCCGTACCTTGAAATACGCGCCGGTTTTTACTCGTTTGTACTCGCGCTCATACTCGATCCAAGATTTGGACACCTGCGGTGAGGGGAAGAGGTATTGGGGAGAAAGTGAAGGAAAAAAAAAAAAAGTAAACGCAATCAAAGAAACACGACCCAGGCCTAAGGAAAGATAGAAAAGCTCAGTAGAATGGAGCAGAAATGACAAGAAAAATCTTCGAAACTATCCCCCGAGGCACGAAAGACCCGCGAAGTTTCACGGGAGGAAAACCATGCCTCCTGAAAGCCGTCCAACCACTGCAGTATCGGAACGTAGAGTATGAATACACAGCCAAGAGAAGACGAGCGTCGACACGCCGAACTAAGTATGTCTCCAGCTGAGAACGAAAAGAGAAGGAAGGAAAAGAAGAAAGAAGTCGCTAAACCAAGCCCGAGTGTGGATATCAATATAGTCAGTGACAAACTTGAGACAGCCGCGAGCATCCCTCTGAATGATTCAACTGCAACCTTCTTTGCTTTTCATACTCTTTCTGCCCTTAGCCTGAGACCACTCTAACCGAGGCGTAGAGCTTGATATTAGTGGTATCTTCACATGACAATGCACCCGCCCTCGCCGTTAGTAGCAACTACAGTGGTTGGAGTTCTAGGGCCTTCAGGTTTTTTTAACCCTTTTAAAGACTGCGAACGCTTCGACCCAGCCATCCACCTCAAGAGAGTAGGGTTTGCTGCCGGCCTTGTGGACCTGGGTCGCTGCGGCTCAAGTATTATGCCTGCTGGCGGTGGTGGTGGACCCCCACCATCTGCGGCCGCGGGGGGTGGTGGAGGCGGAGGAGGTGGCGGCGGTTGGGGCATACCCATAGGTGGTGGTGGTGGCGGTGGTGGCGGTGGCGGGGGCATCATATGATGCCTGGAGGAGCCTTTCGTTCTACCCTTCCTTTTCTCCCTCCCATGGTGAGGCGGGATGATGACCATTTGTGGGTCAATGGGATGTGGAGGAGGCGGCGGCACGTCTTTAGGTGCTGGAGGAGGTTCGGGCATTGGCCACATGTGCATTGTGATGGCCCAATCAGGCTGTACCATTGTTTCCCATACCTGGGGCAGAATGATCTCTCCATCAGGACCTACGAGATCGTAGTGTCCCTCATGCACGTGGGGGCCAATGACATCGACGTGGAGGAAGGCTTGCTTGATCAACTCTTCCATGCCCTAAAGACTCGTTAGCATTCCATGTCGGGGGTGTGATTGAGGGTCTGACAAACCTTCCAGGTCTTGCACAAGTGCCAGGGGAAACTGAACTTGCGGCCTACGGCATCTTTGAACTTGATCGGAAGCTTTGGCGCGTCGGATGGCTTGAGTCGTTTGGCTTCTTCTTCTGCAGCCTTCTTGGCCTTCTCCAGTTCCTCTGCAGCCGCCTTGGCTTCGGCGAGCGCTTTCTCGTGTGCTACTTTCGCTTCTTCGGCATCCTTTGCCGCTTTCGCCTCAGCCTCCTCCCGAGCTTTCTTCGCGGCTTCCAACAACTTTGCAGCCGTCTCCGCAGCAGCTTTCTTTTCTGCGGCCTCCTTTGCAGCGCGGGACTCGGCCTCAGCCTTCTCCGCAAGTCGAGCAGCCTCAGTGGCGGCCTCTCGCTTTAATTGCTCGTCTTTCTGGGCAATTATGAGCTTCTCGAGCTTTGCCAACTTATCTTCGTCTCCCCTCTTCTTCGCCTCCCGCTGCATGGCTTCGGCCTCCTCTAGCTTTTTCTTCTTCTCTGCGTCCTTTTGAGCACGAGCCTCTTGTTGGGCGATAAGGAGGTTCTCTAGACGAGAGAACTTAGCCTCCTCCGCCTTCTTCCGCGCAGCCTCTGCAGCTTTCTCATCTTCCGCCGCTTTGCCGAGAAGGAGCCTCTCAAGTTTGGTGAGCATACCATCCTCTTTAGCTGTATCTGGCGGAGGTGGGGGTGGAGGCATAAATTGTATTGGCGGGGGTGGTAGTGGAGGAGGAGGAGGAGGGGGAGGAGGGGGCGGAGCTGGTTGTGCGGCGGGGTCTTGGGGGGGAGCCGGCGTGCCCTTTGTGGAAGGGGGATGGGCAGGTGGCGGAGTTGTGTGTTGAGGGGGGGGTGGCTGGTATGGAGGCCACATTGGTGGCATTCCAGGCATCCCGTAAGGTGGTGCGCCGTATGGAGGATAATATCCATTCGCATATCCGTAGGGCATCATGTCTCCCGCCGGCACGGGAGGCATTGAGTTGCGATGGCCTCTTCCAGAACGATGACCATGCCCCTGAGGAGGAAAGTACCCATTGGGGTCACCATGGGCCGGTGGGGAGGCGAAAGGGTTCGCGCCACCACTTGGTGAGAAGGGGTTTGCAGCGTAATAATTTGGGTCAGGGCTGCCGAAAGGCACCAGCTGATTCCCAGGTGGTGGTGGACCACCTGTGAATGGATTGAATGGTTGTGACATTATGCTGGGCGCATACCCGCTAGGTGGGGGCTGGTGAGGAACATGCGACCACTGTTGACTGGGGTGATGTGGGGGATGTCCGCCCCGGGGGTAGCCCGGATAGTCGTCGTGACTCTCCAGGCTTTCAGAATGGGCGGATTGTGGCCTTCGCCGCCGCGGCCGGTGCTCTGAGTCCAGCTTTTGTCTGCTCCTGGACCGGGCGGGAGGCGGAGGGTTGCGCACAGGGACGTGGCGGGAGGATTTGCGCCGCGCGGGCTGGGGTCGGGGAGCTTGCGGGGGAACAGAAGTGTGTCTGGCAGACAAGCGAGGGCGCGACGCGGAATCGGATGGTTCGATCTCGTCTTCAACAATGTAATCCCACTCCTCTTCGTCTCTCTCTTCCTCTTCGTCTTCGTCTTCCTCGGAGTCTGTGTATTCGTCTTCGTGGCTGCCCGAGTGCGACGACACTTGGACACCAGAGTCTTCTTCCTCGTCCTCGGAGTACGGGTGGTGTGCTGCTGAGCCCGTCGCGTGGTTTACGTTGATGTCCTTTAACCTAAAGTCGATCAAGACGTTAGTGTCGCTCTCTGCCATTGCGGATGTAATCGAAACGCTGGACTGAGGGCTGGCACGGGAGCGGGAGGAGGAAGGAGAAGAAGCAGCAGCAGTAACTCGACGTTGGGCAGGACGGCGCGAAAGCGCACGCCGGGAAGGGGCGCGACGATGAGGAAGAGCAATGACTAACGGCATGGAAGCAGCTGGTGCAAGGAATTACCGTACTCAAGCCCGTTCTACCAGAGAAAGGCCGAGTCCGGTAACCTTGAGGTCTTGAGTGAAGGCGCGGTGAAGACGGACCTGCTGTCCTGAAGGCGACAGTTGCGCCGCGGGACGACGATGCTGACAGTGGGGGTTGCGCTGGACGACACAGGAGTCGTACAGCGAAGAGACAAATGACTGCGAGTGCAGAGGGTGTTTGTAAACAGCTGCCGGGTCAGGCGCAGCTGCAGGTGGGCGGAGATGAGCGACGTGCCGGTGGTATTTGAAGGGTGGCACTTTGGTAGGGGGAGGGGAAGTAGGAGTTGAAAGAGAGAGTGAGAGAGAGAGAGGGCAGGGTGGTAAGACGGAAGCTGATTCGACGTCGGGGTAAAGTGCGTGTCTCGAAAGAATCGGCTGAAGCTGTCACTGGGCAGCTCCTGGCCTCTGCACGCCGTCGATGGCCGTGGAGCGTGTCTGAGGAGGACTAAATGGGGGGGGAGGGGATGTTTGAGGAGTCAGCTAGACTCAGAGGGGCTAGACTGTAGGCCTGGCGACGAGGGAGGAGCCGTCTGGGATCAAGCGATCGATAAGGAATAAGAAAACGGCCGCGCTCTAGGCCAGGTGGGAGAAGATGGGATCAAGTGGCAGGCAGGCAGCAGGCGAGCAGCAAGCGGGCAGCGGAAGGACAGCAGATGCGCGACTGGGTCGTTCGGCGAATAATGCAGCCTTGTCGCCGGCCGGGCAGGATGACGATGCGATCGTTGTGTGGTGCAGCAGCCTGTCAGTGGTTGTTGGACCCTGGGAAGTGCAGGCGGGGACGGATGTCTGGTCGTGACACAAGCAATGTCGACGTTAACCACGATGCAGCTGGCTGCGGAAGACGACGGGCTTTTGTGAGTGCTGCAGTGCTGCGTTGCCGTGGTGTTGAGGGGGGTGGTAAGTAAATAATAGTGGAGTAAATATTTGGCTGGAATGCAGCAGCTCGCTTCGGCGTTCACGGTCTGCGCCGAACTCTTCGAATCAGGTAGCGATGCGTAGTGTTCGATGCTGGATGGAACATAGTCTGGCTTCTTTCTTCTTGTGCAACGAGGATACTGAGGGCAGCAGACCTAGACTGGCGGGCGAGAGCTTCTGATCAACAAGGCAGCAGGCGACGAAAAAAAGACATGCGAGATACGTGAGGGCTGGTTCTGCCTTTGCAACCTCAGATTCTCCTACTATTTATTGCGCTGGCATTCAAGGCACCCTGTCCGAGTCACTCACCGGCCCTATTTTGGGGCTGCAGCAATTTTTTGCTCGGGCTCCGTTCCGAATTTCGAGGCACAACTACGTGTCACGCTGCCAATTGACAGAACGGCCGTCTTTTACCGCCAGACAGGACAATTCAGCCCGAAGTCTTGTGCATGCTGTCCGCTCGCACAGCAAAGAGCCTCGGTGGATCAACGCTTCCTGCAACCTGCAGCCCAACCTTACCGCCCAATCTTCCTCTGGCGATTTCCCGTAGGACACGTGGGTGTCAAACAATCACACTCCAGCATGCTGGAATCTTCGCTGGTCTTCGGTTCTTTTCACCGTCGCCCGCCTTGGTGCACGGGTGGATGAGCTTTACCAGTAGATGAACCCCGGAGTGAAGCTGGTGTACGTGTGGAGGATGTATTGCGTCTATCCAAATGAAAAACTTGCTTCCCTCCCGACATCGATATCCAGTCAACGCACGCTGCTGCTTAAACCAAGCACCTCAACTATGACATTAGCTAGCGTGCTGGCGCTCCACACCACCACCAAGCCCCATCCAATAACTCTATCCATTTTCCATTTCCTCCACGGCACTGCCACGAGAAGACCCGCCAGCGTGGCCAGTAATGTTGCTCCTGATATTACCAGCGTGGTGCTGACGTCGATGTGGTATGGCTTAAACCTTAGTGGACGGTCCGGGTGCTTTTCGTGATGGTGCTTCCCGCCTTTGATCGTAATGTAACACCCGCTGATTCCAATTCCCAGGAGGATGTTGAGCATTGGGCCACCAAAACAAGCTGACAGAGCCATGACAGGAAACCCAAGTCGTGCAACAGTAATATCAGCTACGAAGTCCCCAAGTGAGTTCCCGACAGCGAAGATGGTGAGGCCAAGAATAGCATCACTTATGTTCAGGATGACTCCCAACGTCTTCAACACTCCAACTACCTCGTTGGCAATGGAGCTTATCCAAGCGATGCTCACAACGAAACCTAAGAAACACAGTAGTGTTCGCCAGCGTGGCGGTCGACTCGGGGTTGTTGTGCCCAGGAGAATTGCCAGGAGAAAGAGAGAGAAGGTTAGGGAATATAACGTAGGCCTCAGAAGTGCGCGTGGGACTTCAGGCTCTGTGTTCGCCCAAACAATAAGCACAACAAAAAAGGGCGCAGTGAAAGCTTGAATAATTACAAGCCAGCGATTCCATTGCCTGGGCTCTGGAGTTGTGGGGGCCACGGTTGGGAGCTGCTCTGGAGACTGGATGAGGTCACTGGTGGTGATGGAGAGCTGAGGTGAGTGACCTTGCTCTGGCCGATGGGATATCGTCAAGTTACTCCGAGAGGCACCATTCGTCGAGCCACCTTTATTTATTCCGTTTGTAGAAGAAGATCGTTCGGTGCTCGATTGACTATCTGGTGCCGTGATTGTGATGAGACTTCCCTGTTGTCGACCGGTTGTGTTGTTGACGGGTGCCAAAGGCCCTGGTAAACTAAAGCTCTGCGACACGTCATCTTCATCGCCGTCTTCATCTTTCTGAGTCTCAACAACGGGTAGCGTTGCCGTCAGTAAGAATACGCTAGGAGCGGCTATGATTCCCAATAACTTCTCCCATAAGCTCTTCTCCCGCCAGTCAGTCAAGGTGGGGAAAAAGGTCGATAATAGAACATGTGGCAAAGGAACTATTTTGGAGGGCCACCACCGTGGCACCTTTGCAGGATCTCTGTCAGCGCCTAAAAGGTCGTCACCATGGAACAGTGATTCTGGAGACGCACTGGGTGATGGTAGACGTAGGCTTGGTGTTCTGGAAGAACTTTGAGTAGAGAGGGGATAGTCTATATACGCAGGGAATGGAGCGGGTAGAGATGGGCCCGGGACAGTCAACTTTAGGTTTTGTCGGAGGCCTGGACGATTAGAAGGGTCTAATGCTGGAGACGAAAGGTGACTAGGGCTTTGAGTTCCCTGGTTAACGGGTCCAGGCGCGCCGATATCTGGGGGAGCCAGTCTATCAGACGTTGTACGCCTGGTTATAGGTGGAGCTGGACTCGCAGACCTTGAATTCTGCTCAGATGGCGGTGGTGAAAGTGAGATGCTTGGAGATGGAGGTGGATTGCTAGGGTCTTGCAGGCCACTTGGTTGTTCTTCAGGTGATGCTAGGCCAAAGTCGATGCTTGGAATGCCGAGGGTTCCTTGTTGAAGGGTCGTAGGGTCGAGGCGGGTACCATCGACATCATTTGCAGAAACTGCTCTTGCGCGGTTACCAAAGCGCCTCTGAATGTCGGCAGCGGGTCTCGTTACGGATGGGGACCGATCCGACGCCGTTGGTGGAACGTAGTACGGAGGTCGGGATGCGGGATCTGAGTTGGTCGAAAGGATATTTTGTTGCTGAGCGGAGGTGTAGGTTGGGTCGTCCGAGTATCGTCGTAGATTTATGGGCATAGACTGGATATTTCTGGATTTTTGCAAAGATGCAAGGACAGCTCTAAACTCTAATGCGCCCACAAGACTGGGTCTAATCGGGTTATGTGTGTTCCGGCGGGTCCCTGCTCTCGGTCTGCTGAGGCGCATGTTGCTGCTGAGTTCACCTAACCATCTCTCGCGAACTTCTTCATTATCATCCTCTTCCAGTGATCCTCCTCCACCTGCTCGTTCTAATGCGGAGAAGTCGTCTGTAGACGCACCCCGATGCAGGGTGCGGCCTGCTTCGCTAGCTGGTCCATCATCTTCGTCATGATATTCCTCTTGTATTTCCTCCTCTTCTCCACCAGGTACTACATAGTGACTTCTCATCGCTGCAGCTCGCAGCCTCCGTGCTTTCCTCCGTCCAAGCCACCAATGCCATACCATAACGAAGCACACATAAAATATATAGAATCCGACCATGGTGGCAGACTCCCATAACGATAGCTTCCCGTCCCAGATGAATATCATGCTGAAGCTTGCGGCGACAATGAAGAATCCGACGTCGCGGACAAAGCTCTTGCGCGCAACCTTGAATGGCCGGACGAGTGCCATTGAACCAGCTACAACGGCAGTAATGAACCCAGCCGCGCCAATTAGTTCCCCAATAGCCAAGCTAGCGGAGTTTGTGCTCATTGCTGCAAAGGTAGAGAAGACATCTGGGCTGCCGTTCCCCAACGCTAGGAAGGTGACGCCAGCCATGCTCTCACTCATACCAAGCAAGCTCGCGATTGTACTAAGATTGACGCAGAAGAAGTCGCTCGCGGCGATTCCGATGGTACTAAAGAGTGTAGCGAGCCATAGTACTAGTATAATGAATGCGACAGGCTTGGCGTGAGGTAGACGGCAATAGTACAGGGTCAAGTAGGAAAAGATGCCGGCTTCTTCGTCCGGACAATTGGCTTGAACATATGCGCATTTGTCAGTCGCATGGTGTACTAATCGGCACTGTATGGCTTCGAGTCAGCGACTGGTTTGCGCGAAGGAGGTTGGGGTTTGCAGACGTCTTCATCCTGAATCGAGAGACCTCTTTTGGACCGAATCCCACGGTGCACTGGCGAACCCCACGACCAGCGGCCCCCTTCGATTGTCCATGTGAGCAAGCACAAGGCGAGTATGGCGACAACGGTGAGCACGAAAGGACGCGCGGAGTACCTGGGACGCTTGCGCAGCCCGGGGAATCCAGAGACGGAGCTGGCACTCATCGTCTAGGACATCTTCTACGAAGCTGGAGAGAGAGCTGTGAACGAGCTAATCGCGAGCTCTGCGCAAGTCTCGAAGTAACCCAAGTTCCAAGTACGGTTATCCTAGTCTTCGACGCTGAATATATCAGGAGATGTGCAGCGCAGGGTGTCGTGTGCGCTGGGGCTAAGGGTGCGGAGTCTGGGATGCGCGTGTCGTAATTGGGGAGATTAAAGCAGGATTTGGAGAGACAAGGAAGTTAGTGATAAGATATTGAGTATATTTAGGTACAGAGATTGAATGCGAAGTAGCAAACCATCCAACATAAGTACAAGAAAAGGCAGAACAGACGGGGGGCGTCATCAAGCTGCCTCGAAGTGCCGACGCCTACGTCGTTGTCTGCATCAGCCACAGCACTACGCCACTTTGGCTAACTGATCACGTGCCTAGGCGATGTTTGTGGCGGACGGCCCGTTTCGCGTCAACAAACATAATCTTCGGAACAGCAGCCTCACCATCATACACCAAGAACACTGCCATCATGCCGCGCGCACGCGAAAAATACAGCATTGCGGCAACACCGCACAAGTCGCCTATAAAGTAGACTTTCTTCAGGTTTTGGTCTCATGTACGACGCTAACCAGGCTCAGAATCCCCTTGAACGATGACCGTCAAGAAAAGGCGAATCGCCTTCACAACCGTCAGGCACTGCAGAATGCTCAGATCAACTCCATCCGGGCTTCCGCCACACCGGCCAGACGAAGAGTATCGCTCGCCCCTCATAGCCCGCATACACCGTCCAACGATCCTGACATGCCAGATGTCGCGGGAACTGCTGTGACCCCTATGAAGCGCGTGCCCTTACTCGCGAATTTCGAGGAATGGATGAAATTGGCAACAGACAATGTAAGCAGGGCTGGTTATTTGGCCTAATAAATGAGTGACTGACGTCTTGATAGAAAATCAACGCGACAAATTCATGGAACTTTGCCCTCATCGATTATTTCCACGACATGTCCTTATTAAAAGAAGGCGATGGAGTCAATTTCCAAAAGGCCAGCTGCACCTTAGACGGTTGTGTCAAGATTTATACTAGCCGCGTTGACAGCGTAGCAACTGACACTGGTAAACTGCTCAGTGGTCTTGCCGAGAGCGGAAACAAGAAGCGCCGGGATGGAGATGATGATGATGGTGGCGATGAAGATGACGATGAAGAGAGCGAGGACGGTCAGAAGAAGCGAAAGAAGAAGGCACAGCGTTCCGCGGAAGCAACACTCGCATCATCCTTCTCACAATTGCAGAACAAGAAGATGGAACTTGAGTTTTCGGTCGATCCCCTTTTCAAGAAAGCCTCAGCAGACTTTGATGAAGGTGGTGCGAAAGGTCTGTTGCTCAACCATCTCGCAATTGATTCGAAAGGCAGGATAGTCTTTGATAGCAGCGACGATGCACAAGACGCATCGGAAGAAGATAAGCGTGCGACGCCCGCACCGAGCGAGGCCGAGCCCCCACATCTAGAAGAAGAGGAAGTACTCGAGGATATCGAAATCGACATCTCTGGGCTAGCAGCCAAGTATTTCCCAGACCTTTCTCAATTAGACCAGCAGGACGTTTGCCCTTCTCTCAAGACTTTTGATCTCGGCGATGCCAACGCATCATTAGATCTCCCTTTTCTCAAAACGCCGGACGATTTGCGACAGGACGCTAAAGACGATGAAGAAGAAGGCAACCGGTCGGGTTTGTTCCTTGACGATGACAATGCCATGGGATTTGATGACGATGATAGAGGCATGGCTGGCTTTGACCTACCTCCCGAAACCGGTTTTGGAGAAGGAGGGGAAGTTTGGGCCAGGGAAGCTGCTCGTGACCCTCAGGCCCGCGTTCATGCCGTTGGCATGGGTGATGGAGAAGAGAGTACTGGGGAGGGTGCAGACGACGGAGTTTTCGACGCAGAAAGCCGGCAGTACGGGATTTCGGTATCCAACGGTCAGGGACAAGAGCAGGAGAATATCCTCAGCTACTTTGATCAAGCTCTGAGGAAGAACTGGGCAGGCCCCGAGCATTGGCGAATTAGGCGGATCAAAGATATTGGAAAACCTGCGACAACGACGAAACGCAAAGAGAAGGAACCATTTGAGATTGACTTTACGGCACCGATGACTCAATCTATGGCGGATGCGCTATACACTCCAGCTACATCAAATTCCACGATCTTGCTACCAAAGGCACAGTGGAAGTCGAAGACGCGAAACCTACTCCCTGACGACAAGCATTTCAATTCCAAACAACTATTACGATTGTTCCTGAAGCCCAAAGCGCGGATGGGATCGCGAAGAGAGGGTGGCCACAAACTACATCAACAGAAGCCTGCCGATAACATCAATGGGGAAGTCGATGAGGCTTACTGGGCGCAAAGGGAGAATGAAGAGAACGCCGTGGCAGCAGATGAAGAAGGAGCCCAGGGGAACTACGATGCAAACTTCTTTCAAGATGATGGATTAGATTTGCCAGGGCCCATGCCGGACGACGATGATGTGTTTGCCGACGCTCGAGATCACTTCTCACCACCGGCTGAGGATGGAGCCGCATTAGTGCAACCCCTGGATGGTGTACTGCAAGGGGCCCAGGAAGGCGCTTTCGGGACTCAGCTGGTAACTCAAAGCCGAAGATTCCGACCGGAATACGTCCAATACGCAAGAGTAGCAAAGAAGGTCGACGTGCGACGGTTGAAAGAAGAACTGTGGAAAGGTATTGGTTTTGAAGAGGTAAGAACATCCTATCTACTTCGCGAAGAGTGCCTACTCAACAAGCACAGATTCAAGCACCTAATCCGTCAGAGACTCTTAACGACACTGCTGCGAAAGCAGTGGACGGCTCATTGAAGTTCACTCAAGTGATGAACAACCTGCAAACTGTCTATCCTAAGCAGACAATGGTGGATATCTCGACCTCCTACTGCTTCATATGCTTACTCCACTTGGCAAACGAGAAGGGGCTGGTTATTAACAATGAGCAAGACTTTGAGGAGTTGACAATCCGCAAAGACTTCACTGCGGATCTTAGCGTTGGGGCGGATTAGTTATTGCTGATGCTTGCATATTAAGTTCGAAAACCGGTGTTCAGGTTGCATGTCTTGGAATAGGCTCTGGAGGAGTAATGCGGGTATGAACTTTGTCATGAATTATTTACGAGCATGACAGTGCACCTGTGTTTGGATCACGGGTCATGACAATATATTCTCATTATCTCAAAGCCGTTTCATAGATGAAATGTTCGTGAATGGTAGTCTGCACCGCCACAACCGCCACACTTCGTGACGGGTGATTCCAGCATTCGGCCAACCTCATCGTGGAATTTCGTCACCTCCCAAACCTAAAATCAACCTATCGTTTTCCCGCCACACACCATTAATCTGGGCAGCTCTCATCTCCCTGACGATTCTCTTCGTATATCCTTGCGAGATGATATAAAATGAGGGTGTAAGTTGTGTTTATTGCCCCCTTCGACGCAAGCTGAACGATAGCACAGACGCAGCATCCGCCGCGATGCATTCGAGAAGCTCGCACAACTCTCCGCCCACGCGTCTCCACATGCATCGCAAAATTCAGACCTGCAACGCCTATACAAAAGATGTCCGAAGGCAGCCCCGATCCACAATGGCACGGGGGAAGGTCGTGGTGGAGCTGTCACCAATATCCAAATGGTGGGTGCACGTCCCGCAAATTAACCTCAGCTCTTCGCATATCTTCATGGACTTGGACATTGTTGCTGATTGTCTTTTAGAAACAACCAGAGCTCGAGGCTATCCTAGCGCTGTGCAAGGCTGCTCCCTTTATCCAATCCACCGAGATTGCGGAACAACTCCTCCAACGACTCTCCCCGTACCTCCCCGAGTCCTATGCCCAGATAATCACACCGTCGCCTAATCTCCATGATATTGGTCCCTCTCCGCATGAAGTTCTGACTTGTAGTCTCACCTCCGCAATCCTGTCTCTTGGTGTCCATCATAACGCTCTACGTTCGCAGGTCTCCTCAATCATTCACAAATATGTAGGGGGTTGGACATCTGCTGCAGCTGGCCTATCCGCTGACCAGTTTGACGGTGATGATCAGTTCGAATTTGCAGCTGATGGCGAGCTGGCAAGGGTCATGACCCAGAGCATTTCTTTCCTTGGGTTTCTGAACGCAGCCGCCAAATACGCGACCTTTTGGAATGCTTATGAAAGGCTCCAGCTTGTAGAAGACATCCGCGCGGCTCTATCAGAGAAGTTCTTGATTGCATTTGAGACCGCCTTGTCAGTCGTGCGCAACGCTCGCTCCCATCAGCATGGCTTGAGGGAATGGAGACGCTTTGCCAAGCACTATGCAGCCATTGGCCGACCCCTTGGTGCCATGATCCTACACGACTGCTTCCTGAAATTAGTGGTTGCTTGCGCATCGCTGTTGGTTGAACCGGCCGACCGAGCTTCAGAGGAGGTATTGGACTTTCTTCGCTCGTCGTATCACGGCAACCACATTCTTAGCGCAACTGCAGAAGATGCTCTCGCAGAAGGTCTCACCAAGATTTCTGTCGAAGAGATGGAACGATTAGAGAATGATTTGGACTACCTCCAGCGAGTAGGATCTGCATGGCAACAACGCCAGGCTTCTGCGGTCAAGGCCAAAATCTTAACCACCTACCTGTGCTGCACCGTCTACAACGAAGAAATTGCCGACTCTGACCTTCTGATGACCTGGCTCGATAGTGCGCTGAACGATCCAGCACAGACTGCGGATCTGACTCTGGCGCCGATCGCGCTCAAGTCTATGGCTATTCTTGCGAAACTCTCCAGCCCTATGGCTTCGGCTCTAGGTCGATTGCTACCACGAGTTATCGTTCAAGGTGGTTTCGATGAGCGGATAGCGTCCGTAGCCGCTGATTGCCTCGCCTCCGTTCTCAGTCTTCTGCCGCAGGATGCAATTATCACTACATTATACAGCCTAGGAAATGTCATCAGCGCAGGTCCCGTTACCGATCGAACAGCTTCCCCTTCCCTGAATGGCGGTGGGAAAGCCTCTCGAACAGCTAATGTCTACAACCATCAAACTACCGGAAGCGCGATATCCTTAACCCCAAGCGACGTGGAGGAGCCACACCATGTGTACACCACTGTCGTCCAGACCGTGGTATCAGTTGCAAGGAGCTGTAAGGATGAGAAAATAACAGCCCTGGCATTGTCTATGCTTATCCAAAAGATTGGTCGAGCAAGCAGAGTTGTTGACGCAAAGATCATAACCGAGTCGGCTCTCCTGGGCACCCACAGTGGTCCTGGTGAATTCCGGTCCTTGCTAAAACTATACTCAAAACTCTGTCACGATGCCTTGATCCGAAACGATCAAGCCACACTTGAAGCTGTAGGTTCTATCATTGCTTTCGTGAGTATGTCATCAAGCTAAGATTTTGGATAGGTCATGAATGCCCGTCTTCACCTCTCGAACGAGATTCACACAACATCACTAGCCTTTACAGTCTACATTACGCATCTCCTTGACACGATCGTGAGCAAAGGGGACGCGCATGAAGTCACCAATCGCCAAATTCCTGACGCGGAACTCGCTGCCCAAGAAATAGCGCAGTTGTTGTCGCCTTTGTCCGTACTTCTCTCCAGGAATGCCACCGTAGACGGTCTAGCCAAACTCGATGAATACATCATTAGCCTCCAGCGTGATGCTTGGTACAACATCGTAGTTCATGGCTTTGATCTTACTACCCAACGTGGACGGCAGTATATCAGCGAGCTCAGAACTTTAGCGCAATATAGCCAGCCTTTGATTCCAGAAGGAAGAGCCGATCACGTAGAGAGCGACGTTGAGTTGAATACAGTCCTTCGACGAGGAAAGTCTCCAGAACATGCAGTGGAACAGAAGAAACGCTTGCTCAAATTATTGCCATCCTGCGAAGCCGACATAAAATCGCTCAGTTATTCAGAGGTGGTCTTTCTAAACACGGCATATCTTGTTGAGGGCCTTCGCGCCGGTACTGGTGACTGCACGAAGGTACTTACTTACTTCCTAGACCCGAAGTTGCGTAGTGGTGCGATGGGGAATTGCATGTTTACAATTGCAACGGCTGCAACAAGGGCCTATGTCAACAAGACTCTTTCCGGAAAGCTTCATTTATTCTCGACGCCGTATCTTGCACAACAACTGGCAACAATATTCGCCGCCTGCTGCCACCGAATCGCCAGAGTCCAAGAGGTTGCAACTGCATCAGCAGATATCATTATTAGGGATGTGCCTTCTACACTTTGTCAGAAAACTGCGCTCTTTGCTCTATTAGAGCTTCTCTCGATTATGTGGTCTAGCTGCCTCGAGGGCGAGACGGACGAGTACACCTGGACGTCCACTTTCACGTCTACTAAAGAGAATATCGTAGTAGAGCTCTCGGATGACTACAGCTTCCGTCGGACAACGTTAGGCAACTTTTATAAACGTGTTAAAGCTTGGGTCGTTGGAGTTTTAGACATTGCTCCCCTAGACATCAAGGGTCTACTACAGGTCAGATTCAATGTTTAGGTACGTGTGCACGGCTAATACCGCGTAGACATACCTCTCAGAATACGACGACGAGGGTGCTTACGGACATATTTCACTTGGTCGTTCCTTCGCACTTGAGATGGGATCAGTCATACCAACAACGGATCAGCGCCTTGGTAGGTCTTGAATACAGTGAGGCTATCAGAAATTAACTGCGGATAGGTGCCATTGAACGCCAACATGACCTCAACATCAATACAGCGTCAGACTTCATCGCTCAGTATACAACACGCCAGGAGTACCAATTCATTGATGGCTTGAATGATCAGGAGGAAGAATGGCTTAGAATCGATAGCAAGTCGGGTGAGACCTCAAGAAGAAGGATGTCTGTGTTTAACCGAAGCATCGAGGATGCTACAAAGCTACTGGTCGACCTCGAGGGTCGCACTCTCAATCACAAGCACGTCACCATCGCGGAATTGCGGGACATCCTTCGTCGAGCATCTGCTCTCTTATGTAGAGTGAAGAAAGACCAGTCTCCCATCATCCACCATCTGGTGGGGATTCCATTCGCTGTGTTCACGAAGCAATCCATCAAACTTGGGATTTCCCTCTGGATGAGCGTGATCAAGGAAAACCCTCGCATGGAATCCCGGATATTTGTTGCGATCGCTGAATGTTGGGAGGCCACGGTGCGCAAGAGACAAGGCATATTTAGTACTGCAATAGGGTGCGTTCCTAGTCCTCGTTGCTCCTGCTTGGTATTAACTAGACTAGACACCCCGACCCGTTCTACGGCAAGCAAGAATTCGCTCCATCGGACAAGGAAACTCTTGTGCGACGGCAGCAGCAGATATACAACATCATAGCGCCTCACTTCCGACTCTTGCAGTTCTTGTCTAGTCATTTCAACGCATCCCGCCTAAGTAACCCCGATATAGAGCAAGTTTACAACCGGCTAATGCACATCACTCTGGACTCATTGAGCAACGGATCTCCTCAGCCCTTAGCTCGCGAAGCGTACTTCCACATAGTTCTCTTGGGACTGCGAATAGTACGACATTGCACCACTTTGCCGAATGAAATCAAATGGAGGTTAAAGGATCGAATTCTGACTGCCGGTTTAGCATGGTTCGCAAAAGCACCTGAGTAAGACTCTTGGCGAGATGTTGCCGTCAATGGCTAATTTTGATAGGTGGTCCTTTGGTGGCAATCGCCTTCAAATTAAAGCTGAAACGCATGTTTTGTCCGATGTACAATCATACTTGCAGGTTGTTGGGGGCGTTGGCCTGCAATCCGGAACAGCGCTTAAGTCCCTAAAAGGGAAACAAGAGCTGCTTTCCCTTCTGTTATCAAATGAGCAGACTCGCTTGATGGTTTGGCTTTTCCCCCTCGACTACCAGAAGAAGCACCATTTTACGTCGGGGCAGCACAGCCAGACATTGGCCGACGTAAGTTATCGCATTTACTCGAAGATCTCGGGGCTAACCGCATTTTATCAGGCTGCTGTTCCAGGTCATTTGAAAACTGCATGGGCGGAGAATCCTGCTCTTGCGGTGCACCTGCCACAACGATTTCAATCTCAACGACTTACTACCGAAGTTCGATGGATGGTGCTTAATTTTCCGCACAAAGTTCTCGATGAACCAGATTCTATTGAGATCCTACTTGAAAGTAAGCTGCCTGATGATGTGTCATTCCAACTCAAGGTATGTAAAATTAAAATTCAACAATAGAGCTTTCTAACTGTTGTAGTACCTACTCTTCTGGGCATCTGTCAACCCGATGACTGCTGTTACATATTTCTTGCCCGCATACGGAAATCATCCGTTCATTATTCAATATGCGATGAGGGCACTCGAGAGCCACTCTGTAGATGTCACTTTCTTCTACGTCCCTCAGATTGTCCAGACACTCCGTTATGATGTGCTTGGCTACGTGGAAAGATATATCATCGAGACTGCGAAGTTCTCGCACCTCTTCGCTCACCAAATCATCTGGAACATGAAAGCAAATGCTTACAAAGATGAAGATTCTCAAATCGTAAGTGGGCACTTGGAATGCATGCATACACCCTTTCTAACAAATTTTGTAGCCTGACCCAGTTAAGCCAACGCTTGACAAAGTAATGGAAAGCCTGGAGTCCAGTTTCACAAGAGCGGACCGGGCATTCTACGAGCGCGAATTCTCGTTCTTCAACGAGGTTACGGGCATCTCGGGCAAACTTCGCCCATTCATCAGCTTTGAAAAGGAGGTGAAGAAACAAAAGATTGAAGAAGAGCTGCGCAAAATCAAGGTCGAGGTCGGTGTTTATCTACCGAGCAATCCCGAAGGCGTGGTGATTGGTATCGACAGAAAATCTGGAAAACCACTGCAAAGTCACGCCAAAGCTCCGTATATGGCGACTTTCAGGATCAGGAAGTCGAGGCCTGATACTGGTCTTGTTGAAGAAGATTCTGAGCGTGGTAACGGATCAGTACAACAACCTACGTACGAGGTGTGGCAGTCCGCAATCTTCAAAGTTGGTGATGACTGTCGACAAGACGTCCTTGCGCTGCAAATGATCGCCGCTTTCCGAGGCATCTTCAATAACGTAGGACTCGACGTCTGGGTCTACCCGTATCGTGTCACTGCAACTGCTCCCGGATGTGGTGTCATCGACGTATTACCAAACTCAATATCGCGCGACATGCTCGGTCGAGAAGCAGTCAATGGACTCTACGACTACTTCGTGTCCAAATATGGCGGCGAGGAATCCATCCGGTTCCAAGAAGCCCGAAGTAACTTCGTAAAAAGCATGGCCGCCTACAGCGTGATCTCATTCCTCCTCCAATTCAAAGACCGCCACAACGGCAACATCATGATCGATGACGCCGGTCATATCATCCACATCGACTTTGGCTTCTGCTTCGATATCGCGCCCGGTGGCATAAAATTCGAGCGCGCGCCGTTCAAACTCACGGGCGAAATGATTGCAGTCATGGGGGGCTCCAACACATCCCAATCGTACCGCTGGTTCGAAGAACTCACAATCAAAGCTTTCTTGGCAAGTCGACAGCATTGCAATCATCTAGCGCATGTTGTAGAGGTAATGCTGGATAGTGGACTGCCTTGCTTTAAACCGGAAACTATTCAGCATTTTAGAGAGAGGTTTGTGTTGGAGAAAACAGAGAGGGAGGCGGCTGATTTCATGAGAGAGCTGATTAGGAAGAGCGCGGGGAGTTACAGTACTGGTGGGTATGATCGCTTCCAACTTTTAACGAACGGGATTCCATTTTAGAGGGTGGAGGCTGTTGTGGTTGGTGGGCTTGGTGGTGAAATAGAGGAATCCATATGCCTTTGCGTGACAGGGCTTTTGCGATTGTTGCTGTGTTCTAATGAAGGTTATATAATAGCTGCACAATGACTCGAGCTCACTCGCTACGTCCTCGTATTGAACCAAGACAGTGGTTTAGTATGTATGATAGATTGTTTCGTCGTATTGTGTCTACTTTAATCTGTCAGCGCCGTTGATTCGTTTCCCCGGTTGAGATGACATAAAAACCTCAGTATGACAACCTTTGAGAGATGATATAAATACCTCCATCTAAGTTCAGCATGTTAGCGCAGATCTGCATTCTATCGATGCCTTACATCTATATACCAACGGCTTTTGTTTATTTCTCCTAATCTGTCTTGAGAAGACTCCACACTTTCCTCCACAATGCCTGTGCCCTTCTCCCTACTCCCCATCCTCATCTGCATCCTAACTCTTCTCCCTCCCACCACCGTCATCGCCCAACCCTTCAGCCGCTCACTCCCAATTAACACAACCCTCAAATCCCTCGTCTACTCAGGCTCTGGCTGCTCACCTGGCACGGTCTCCTCCTCCCTAACGTCTAGTGCTTTAACCCTGTCCTTCGACAACATGTACGCGCAAATCGGGCCCGGAGTCCCGGTTTCCCAGAACCGGAAGAACTGTCAAATAAATGTAGAGATTGTGACAGATGCACTATGGAGGTTTGTTGTTGGCTGGGATGCGAGTGGTGCAGGGGAGAGAGAGATGGGCACGAGGATTATGGGGAATATGATGTTGGAGGAAGGAGTCAATGCAACGTTTAGTGCTGGGTATGAGATGTTGGCAGGTGTGGAGGCGGGAAAGGTATGATTGTTTGTTGCCATTGCCATCTTGATACATCCTTACTCCCTCTGGACACCATCGTGGGTGGAATGCCACCCCACCATGTTACCGTCCGCTTTTATTATGCATAACCCGACTAACCGCGCGCGTCTAGAGTTCTTCCAACACTACCTTCCACGGGCCCTTATCTGGCGCCTTCGACCAGAAACTACTGGCCTTGGACGGCGGGGAAGACGGTGTGGTTAGTAAATGTGGAGGTGGGATTTTGAGGGTCACAGACCAGTTAAGGTTGATGGCGCCGAGGAATGCGAGCGTGAGTGGGAGCTTAGGGCCACAAGAGGGAAGTGCGAAGTTTGTACAAGAGACGAGGTTGGCGTGGAGGGCATGTTGAGGGTCGTGGGGTTGAGTGGTAAAATGAGAGAGAAAGGGGAATGCATGCTGGGGAAAGTCGGGATTGGTGACCTAAGGAGGGAATTGGTGCATAGCAAGAGCTGTATCGTCTTCCTTTGCCTGACTACCTACACAGTTACATGTATAGGCTTCTGCCGGGCTCTTACCTCTATATTTGTTTCATAGGAATCTAGGCTCCTGCCTTTTCTAGTATATACAATAACTACCACGGACAGCATCAGTCTTACCTGCTGGGAAGGAGATGTATGGTGTCACCCATTGGGCGTATGTTTTGTTCTGAGGTCATCCAGATGATGATCATCCAATCTTAGAACCCGAGGTGTGCCCTGCACATCTACGAGAATGCGGTAGATATTGTTTGGGTCCTTTCCATTTATTTTCCCTTGGAAGCATATTTGGTGATATGCGACAACGAGGGATTTGTGGGTCATGGTGGTGTAAACCCGAAGGGAAGTGGTTGCCAAAGGTGAGATAAGCTTGGTGAACGGGAGTGAACACTTGAGAGAAGATCTAGACTAGGTTCATGCTCGAAAGCGTCTCCCTGTTACAAGCCGGGTTCGGTTTATTGAAAAATTGTGCTATTGATGATGATCCCCATGCTGTCTTTTCAAGTTCCAGGCCCGACTTTAACTTCCGGTCTCAATACCCATGTCCAATGGTCAAACACATACACTTAGAACCTCAACAAACCTCAACAATGGGAAATTTATGTGTCATCTATCTTTTGCTGTGAGCTATTTCGAAGTTTTTCATCCCATGCACTACCTTGTTCATAAAAACCTTTGAGTGGTGGACATGCTTGAGCCAATCGAGTTTGCGGCCACAACTGCCTCCAAAACAAACGAGAATGCGCTGAATTCGCCATGCAGGCCGTATGAGCAAAGAGTCATCGCGAACTCGCGTTTTGATTCTGTATTTGAGAACCTTCATGACATGCAATCCGGCTACTGAATCATGCTCACGTTCCAAGCTCAGCGAAGGCCTAGAACTTAACGCCGCATACATGCGCCCCAACATATGCAACACTAGCAATAACGAAAAGGTCCGACGAGCACCTTCAAGTGACCGAAGGTCAAGTGCTCTATACTTAGAGTAATTGGACGTGTCAAGGCGGGACAGACATATAAGGCCTGGGCCTAGACCGTTGCCAAAATATGTAGGTTACGCACAAGGCGAGATATTATGATCTCGTCATATATCACAGCCATTGTTGTCTCAGCAGCAGGATGTGTGAAGGCGAAGTCGGAGGATTATTATGTGGCAGTCCTTAGACGTAGTCAGTGGTTGTCTGGACCACCTTAAACTTTGGAGCCCGCCATAATGGAACGACACTGACGGTCTGGAAGAAGCTTTTTCGGCACATCTTGTTTGGACATAACGTGAACATTCCCGAACCATGGGTGGAATTGACCGCTATCTGCTGTCCCGACTCGGAACCTTTGGTATCGTGTGATAACCGCAGTATTATTGACGGCGCTCGAATTTCGGAAGTGGAGAAGAGGATGAAAGCGATAGAACACCAAGAACGAAGTTGAGAGTCACATGGGCTGACAGTAATTGTGCGTAAAGTACCACGACGAGGGTTGCTGAAAATTGAAGGAGTGACGGGGTGGAGCGCTTTGGATGGGTCTAGATTCTAGCTTGGCAGAAAGGTCAGGAGTCGCTTCAGAACAGGCTGCAGTTCGGAAAGCCCTCCAGGTCTGGATGTATCAAGGCGTTTCAGGGCGTGGGAATCGTGAGGTTTGAAGAGTCTATTGGGGAATGGCTTGGATAAAATGCGGTGAAGTTAGTTGTCGTTATGAAGATTGCTTCCGAAAATCTGATTTCCGCACAAGTCTCCGAGTTCGTGCTCGCCGACACAGATAGACTTAAGGGCGAAGCGGGTTGCACGGCTTGTCAATGTAAGGGCCGCCGGACTTCTGGACTTGCAGGAGATGAGGACGGTGATGGAAGGCAAACTCTGCCTAGACAACCGATGAAGATAGGCGTGCATGTGCACATCACATTGCTGACCTCCGACCGGGACGGGAATAACGGCTTGCGAACCCCGATTGCTGAAGAATCAAGCGTCGGGGTTGACTATTCTCGAGAGCTGTATCCAAAGCACAGAGTTGAGCATTCTCCCTTTGCCCAAGATAACACTATGTAACATTACTTCTGCAAAAGACCAATACGCCTTTAAATGCTCGTGAGCTACAGAAGGAACACGATTCGCTCAACTTCCGAAAGAGCTTATTGCTGGTGTGTTACTTTGCTTCATTTGATATGATTGATGACTTTGCCAACGGCGGCCGCTCTCAAGCCGTCGGGTCTAGAACGGCGTGGATCGAAAGAGCGGCTGCAGGTGTGACAATTGAGGGCGTGATGATAAGATGACACGTTACTCTGCTCCGAGGTTGAGCGAGTGGTGATGTGCCGCTATCTCTGTCAGTCCAGGGAGAAATGAAGCCAACTGTTGCGTTATCTCCCTTCGTTGTGTAACACAATCTGGGACTCTTGGAGATTGGGGGCACAGTGATGCGCTGTGAAAAAGGAACTGTGTGCAAAGGTAGCACAGTCCTCATTCGGAAGGGGATGATGGGGAGCAAAGGCTGAAGGCAAATAACAGCTGAACTGGACCACGCGGGGAGAGTGGAGCGACGAGTAGCGTCCTTCAAACGACCTTGGTTGACTCCTTTGGCACAGCATACACAGCACAGCCACAACGTCGTGCATTCCCAACTCCACCGAGTCGAATGAGGACAGCGTGAGTCTGACACCAACTCCCCAGCCGCTGACGTCGGCCAAGGTGTGAGACGGATTCGGGTTTCTTGCACGCATGCTGCACGCTCACTGAACCCTTCGGAATGAATTGCGTTGCATCTTAGCGCTGCCATGTCGTTGCCGTGCCGGCGTCGTGCCGGCGTCGTGCCGGCAGTCTCAGAGGAGCGTTTGTCATTGCCTCAACCCCTGCCTAGACCTTTCACATAACAACTCCCTCTCCAGCTCTTTCGCGCCATCAGCGCGACAATCTTCATCTCCTTCCCTCGTATTTGACTACTGCCGCCCATGCCCAGCATGATGCATTCGTCATGCTTCTCCTGACACGGCCCAGTGCTGGGGTGTGGTCGTGCGAAAGGTTGGCTTAAGGGGCCGGGAGGCAGATGAGTCCAGTGCAGCCCCTCTGCAAATCCGACAGGGATGTTCAGATTCTGGACTGGGCGGATCCCGTGCTGGGCTGTGATGCCGGATAAGTGTTCAGGACCCTCACCTCGAAGAATGCCATCCGGACGAGCAGACTACCATGTTTGCTTCTCCCAGCGCCCAACAATCGCGTCGCTCCCCAGCGCGGGAACAAGATACACCAGTCGTCAGACATACTTCTATCGCTGCTCTACCTAGTACTTTGCTCGTCTTTTCGTTGCTTTCTCGTCCGCAGGGCCTCCGGACAGACCTTAAAGCCGTGCTCTCGCGAGACCACTGCCCTGGGTCGTGTTCACGTTCTAGATTTTCTTGGGGCGCAACTCACCGCGCTCCACGCCAGCCCTCCTTGTGTTCCACGCCAGCTGGTCGATCCTTTCCAGGCCAACCAAGTGCTGCTCATGCCTGCTTCATCCCTCCCATCCCTCTCTTCAACTAACACGCAGCATCGATGCGTGTCTGCAAGTCTTCCGCAACATTCCTCGCAGTCTCACACCCACCCACCCACCAGTCTGCTGCACCATCATGCCCCATTAGTCATCCTCCTCGGAATGCCACCGGCCCAACGTCTTCCCTGATTGCTTCGACCGCCTTACCCGTTCCCAGCCTGTTGCTGCAATCCCTTGCCCCCCCCCCCCCCCCCCCCCCATTAGTCATCCTCCTCGGAATGCCACCGGCCCAACGTCTTCCCTGATTGCTTCGACCGCCTTACCCGTTCCCAGCCTGTTGCTGCAATCCCTTGCCCCCCCCCCTCCCCCCCACTGTTTGACAATCTCGTTCTCACTCTATCGAACCACCACCCTTGTAAGTCGGGTTGCCAATTCTCCGCGCTGGAGCCCTTTCCCACCCCAAATACCGTATGAGGGCCTGAGCCATGGGGGAAAATACTGTCGACCCTGGCAGTGAGCCGCCCGATATAATCGAACGCGACTCCCTCTGTTTCTCTCGTCCACAGCCAGGCATGGTTGTGCACGGCGGCGAGGATGGCTTTAAAGAGGATCTTTTACGTCTTTACTCCCTCGAAGAAAGCAACGCTGCAGAAGAGTTAGTGAAGCTCAAGGATGCCCTAAGGAAAACAGAATCAGAATCTTTTTGGCCCTTGCTTACCGAAGGGCTGGCCAACATTGCGGATGCGCAGTATGCTTTCGTCTCCAAAAGGATTCTAGTGGATGATGAGGATGTTGCCGTGGAAATGCCGCCCATTGGGGAGCCGGGTGCTTGCTTAATGGGTGCTGCCTTTTACTTCAACGATGGCCATGGGGTCAAGCACCAGCTCAGGAACTTCAAGTACCATGCCTATTCCTGTCCATGTGCCTACATGCGGCACGACAAGATATTCATTATCCCAGAGAAGCTCAACGAATTCATCGTCAACAATCCGAACCAGCTTGCTGTACCTGGAGAAGCCTATATTGGAATCCCACTGTTTGCGGAAGGGAAGTGCTTTGCACACTTCGGCGTTATGTGGACGAAGGAAGGTGCCGCTCGCCGCAAATTAGGTTGGGGCTCTCTGGAGTTGCTTTTCCATGGCCTGGAGGACCTCATTCTGGAAAGAGTTTTGGAGAGAAAGGAGTTTGCAAAATCGGCCGAGCCAGCCCATAATGTCCGACCACGAGTGATACCTCACGAAGCAATATCCGTCGCTCAGTCGTTGAGACCGTATGCCCGAAGTCTTTCGCATGAGTTACGGACACCAATGCAGGGGGTTGTTGGAATGCTCGATGTCATGATGGCCAATGTGAAGGAAGCGGCCGAAGGCCAGAAAGATCCTCAGATACGCGAAGTGCTGGACACACTGAAGGAGAATATTGAAGCTGTGCAAGGTCCGTTGATTACTTTTATATTCGCCTGTCTTTTCTTGCTCGGATCTACCTTACGGTCATTCGGACATCTAACCGCAGGCGCAGAAAAGCTAACAATAAAATGTAACAGATAGTTCAAGACGCGCAGTAGAAGCAGCCGACAATGTTGTTCATGCATACGACATGAACATGGGCGTCCCAGAAACACCTCTATCTCCATTGGATAAAGGTCCCGCAAACAACCCTGCACACAACCCACGACCAGATATTCTCGTGGCTGGGCATACCATCCCCATCACCCAATTCCGGGCGAAGAAGCGCAGGAGAGAGGAAGTGCCATGGGACAGTGAGAACACAACCAAATCTGCACGGAGCTCCCGCCTGAAATATCGGCATTCGTTCTCAGAAGAACCTCGAGCTCGCACTCATGTACATCTCTCTACAAGTGGAACGAGCTTTGACACTTTTGACAAGCAGTGCTCGCACGGGGCATCAGAAACTCACTGTGATAGCGACACGTTTAGCTCTCCGCTATTTGCTTCGGAACACTCCGTCGTGCCCGGCCTTCGACATACAAACTTACGAGACGTACTCCAATACGTGATCAACGATGCCCTGAAAGTGGGTGGACGTCCAGATTCGGCCACCGCCCAAGAGACGGAGCTAGGCGAGGTTATAGAAGTTAGGACGCGATGCTCTAATGGCCTGGTCAACACAAAGATGATCGAATGGATGGTGGTTCCAGACGTCCCTGAAACTATCCTTAGTGAGTAATTTCTTGCGGATATACAAAGCGCTTGATGGCTGACCGAAACTTAGTCGATGAGAAAGACCTTGCTAAAATGATTTCGTGTGTCGTCCTTAATGCGATAAAATTTACTGACAACGGATCTATCACGCTTAAAGCTTGCCTGAGCACCAAAGCCCGATATATTGTTATCAATGTCAGAGATTCTGGCTCGGGCATCCCAGCCGCATTTCTACCCAACCTTTTCAAGCCCTTTTCGAGAGAAGATGATTCCACAACTCGACAAAGCGAAGGTCTTGGCCTGGGTTTAATGGTAGCGAAAGGATTGGCAAGAAAACTCGGCGGCGATCTGTTCTGCCTTCGATCCAACGTATCAGGGCCAGAGAAGGGATCCGAGTTCGAAATCCGTGTACCACTAACCCCAGGCGAGGTATGTAGCAGACCAACATCACCCTTTGGGTCGCCTACACCCTCCACTAAATCGCGCCTCTCCCTTGAGGCTGATGCATCACCACTCCACGGCACACCACAGCCAACCACTCCACCTCAAGTATCTGAACAGCCTAAGAACAATACGCGCAAAGCTCTAGCTCGCAAAAGCCCATCCATTACTTTCAAGCCTGCTCCTTCCTTACAACATCTTGGTCTTCCGTCTCCTCGACGCACTGCATCTCCAGCTCGTCCTCGGGCCGCGTCCAAGAGCCGCACGTTAGCGGAAAGTGGCACCTTTGACCGAGAGCTAGCTAAGAGGTGTCCTTTGAATTTCCTAGTAGTAGAAGACAACAAGATCAACCGCAGGCTTCTGAAAAACATGCTCCAGAAATTGGGATACACCTCCATAGTAGAGGCGTACGACGGCAACGATGCCATCGACAAGATGCGTAAAGACCGTCCAGGACACGAAATCGATGTTGTTCTAATGGACCTGTGGATGCCACTCCTCGACGGATTCCAAGCCACCGAAATCATCCTTAAGATGAACCGCCCTTCAAACCCCACCATTCTTGCCGTCAGCGCGGACATCACGCACGGGGCTTTCGAACGTGCTGCTAAAGTCGGCATGAAAGGCTTTCTCACCAAACCCTTCCAAATCCGCGATCTCGAAAAACTTATTCTCCAGTATTGCGCCTCGCGCAATCCCAGCATCTCCGAGGAATCTACGGGCTTATGACACCCCTCGCGTAATCTAATATTTCCAATCGTTGGCGCTGTTCGGGTTTTATGAACCTCTTCAACTGCCCATCAACCGCAACACGCATATCTCGGAGCATATCTGTAACATTGCAACTTGCATTGCATATGAGCCATGTTTGGTTACGGCTCTTTTTACATCTAGCATTTTTTTTATTTTTATTTTTATTTTTATTTACATCTTCATGGACACTACTCCTGGCATGATCATTACGAATGCATAGCGATTTCGGCGTTCTTATGTGTTGTGGTTGGATTGGATTGGATTGGACTCAATTGGGTCCAACTACACTACAATTCGTTTGTGGATATGACGTCACAGGGCTCTAGGGGACCTCTTGATACCACGGTAGAGGCGATATGGAGGAAGTAGATATTTCAGTAGCTAGAGAGATGCATGAATGGAGATTCTTTTCATGCAGCTTCCGGAAGTCGTCGAACCTTGAAACTTACATCCTAACTCAGTGCGAGCCGCTCCGTATAGTGCTTGGGAATTGCTAGGCCGTTGGTTGCTGCAGGAGATAATTTCTAGGCGAATGTTGATAAGGTAGGTGAGACGATGTCAGAGCGTTGTAGAAGTGACTTGAATAATTTTCCTCGTGATGCTCTCAAGTCTGGAGGCGAGTATGATGTGCACTTCGTGTTACATGTCAAGGACGATAGCATACCCATCTGGGCTTCGGAAGAGATATATAACAAGACTATCGAGGACAATCTTCCCAAGGAATTCTGGGGCATGGCAACTCTTTGGTCAGAGCAGCAGATGAAGTCGTACTATCCAGAACCATTCCCCAATAACGTCTACAACCATGCCAAAGCCCCTGTCCATTCCTTGTACCGAATTGCTCACTTCTCTCTTCAATGGTTTGCACAACGTTGGTCCGAATACGACTTCTACTGGAACTGGGAGATGGATCTTCGATTCAGTGGGCACTCACGCCCGTCGAATTTGCTTATTCGACGACAACCATGGGCCTTCCTTGAGCCCAAGATAGTTCGACTTGGTTTAATATTGGATGCGCTCTACGAAGGGGGCGGTTCAAAGAGAATCAGCTTTCGACACGTTAACACTTTTTAATCGAAAAACGCCGCTCCACGCGGAATAGAAATTAACCTCCCCTTAGCGTTCTCTTCAGTAGTAATCCATAGTAACAGGTCTAATAGTTTTAAGTCCAATAAATTAAATGTACTCTAGCCAAGTTCCGTGACATGAAATAACATGCTGTACAGCAAAAGAAGTCGGCTCTTTTCTAAACTGTGCTCCTAGTAAAGCTGCTTCAACGATAGGCCTGGCATAAGAAGACCCTTTTTCCATGGCGGGCGGTATTGCCATCTCAAATGTATTGTGAAGCCAGTGCGTGCAGAGCGTGGAATCTTTGAACAGAGCGAGATGATAAGATTACCGGACCGGGATTTGGAGGCTCTTTTGGGAGGCTAAGTGTGTGGTTGGCGGGATGTGGGGGACATTGTGTCTTCGACTCTTCCGAACGGCGCTGCCGAGTATCTGTTTCTGTGCGCCACAAAGTGCTGAAGACGTCCGACGCAAGTGAATATACACGGGATAGGAGAGGAAAACGACAAAAGAAACACAGGTAAATGTCATCGGAGGAGTTCACCACGTGCAGCACCTGGCCCAGCCGCTGGAGCCCTCCATGAATCTTTAAATTGCCTAATACGGCTAGCTTCAAAGCGGCCGCTAGTGTATTAGTGGCTCCGGCTTCAAGAAGGACACCTGGAGGTCTTCTTCAAAGTGACTAGCAAACCCACAAATGCCTTGTTCCAGCCGTCGCTGTCGTATATAACCGTCCAGGCCCCCGCCTCGCGAGACACTGCGAGCAATTAATAATCCATCGTCTTGTCCTGCGCTGCCCCTAATATTCGTGCAGCCAACTGCGCCCGCCCTTGCGCTCTCGGTAATCATTGCGAAGGTTCCGATTCCTCAAGACCCTCCCAACCTCTTTTGCGCCGCGACACCTTTTCGCTGCGCAGTGCACTCGACGAGATGGAGAACGCATATACGAAGACCCCCAGTGAGGCGTTAAGGCATTTTCAGGTTACGGAGGCGAAGGGCTTGTCGGAGCAGCAGGTGAGGAGCTTGAGGGAAAAGTATGGGAAGAATGGTACGGGAAGACTCGAGGACTGTATAAAGCCCCCTTTGCTGACATTGGTGAATAGCGCTGCCCGAGGACCCTCCAACGCCCATTTGGGAGCTCATACTCGAGCAATTCAAGGACCAGCTAGTGATAATACTGCTAGGATCAGCGGCTGTGTCACTTCTGCTGGCGCTTTTTGAAGGGGGCGACGATTGGACGGCGTTCGTGGATCCGGCAGTCGTAAGCCGTTGCCTTGTGAATAGAAGCACTATTGGATAAGCGCTAACCGAGGACCTCCTCGTCTTAGATTCTCACCATCCTCATATTAAATTCCATCGTGGGTGTATCCCAAGAAACTAGCGCCGAGAAAGCCATCGCAGCCCTCCAAGAGTACTCGGCCAACGAAGCCAAGGTCGTCCGTAGCGGTGCCATTAAGCGTATAAAGGCCGACGATCTGGTACCCGGCGATATCATCTCCGTGGCGATTGGTGACAGGATACCGGCAGATTGCAGGATACTCTCGATTCAAAGCAACAGCTTTGCCGTGGACCAGTCCATTCTCACTGGCGAGAGCGAGAGTGTTTCAAAGGAGACTAAGGCGGTCAAAGATGCGAATGCCGTCAAGCAGGATCAGGTCAATATGCTGTTCTCCGGAACGACGGTGGTTACCGGACATGCAACGGCGCTGGTTGTCCTGACTGGGGCGAGTACGGCCATTGGAGATATTCACGAGAGCATCACTGCGCAGATCTCGCAGCCAACCCCGTTGAAAGAGAAGCTTAATGATTTTGGGGATATGCTTGCAAAAGTTATCACTGCCATCTGCGTTTTGGTCTGGCTTATTAATATCCGGAACTTCAATGATCCAGCTCATGGAAGCTTCACCAAGGGGGCAATTTACTACTTGAAGGTCAGCATCCTCTTGTGTTTTGCGAGCTTGTAATGCTAACTGTACTAGATTGCTGTTTCCCTTGGTGTAGCCGCTATTCCGGAAGGCCTGGCCGTCGTCATTACAACTTGTCTGGCTTTAGGTACTCGTAAGATGGCTGCCAGGAATGCAGTTGTGCGAAGTCTCCCATCTGTAGAAACTCTCGGGAGTTGCAGCGTGATTTGCTCCGACAAGACAGGCACATTGACGACTAACCAGATGAGCGTCAACAAGATCGTTTTCATCAGCGAAGACGGCAAAGGCCTCGAGGAAATTGACGTAGAAGGAACCAGTTTCGCTCCTGAGGGAGATATCTCATTCAAGGGGAAGCGACTGGAGCACCTCGCAGCGTCTTCATCAACAGTTATGCAAATGTGCGAAGTCACTGCGCTTTGCAACGATGCAAAATTATCCCTGGATGCGAAGAACGGAACATACAGCATCATTGGTGAACCTACGGAAGGTGCTCTCCGCGTCTTGGTTGAGAAGGTTGGCACTCCTCATGCTCATATTAACGCCTCCCGCGCGAACGTTTCTCCTCACGACCGGTTGCACTTTGCTAGCAAGTACTACGAGGACCAAGCAACTCGACTAGCAACCTATGAATTCTCTCGAGACAGAAAGAGCATGTCAGTTTTGGTCGAAGGTCCCAACACCCAGAAACTCCTTGTCAAGGGCGCCCCGGAGTCCATCCTCGACCGATGCACTCACGTAATCGTTGGATCGAACGGAAAGAAGGTTCCTCTGAACAAGCAGCTAACTGGCCTTATCTCCAAGGAAATCATCGACTACGGCAATCGAGGTCTCCGCGTCATTGCGTTGGCTTCGGTCGAAGATGCTGGATCTAATCCTCTCCTGAAGAAAGCGAAGACCACCAAGGACTACGCGAAGCTTGAACAAAACCTCACCCTTATCGGTCTCTGTGGCATGCTAGATCCTCCTCGTCCTGAAGTCCGACACGCTATCAGCCAGTGTCGATCCGCCGGAATCCGCGTGGTTGTCATCACAGGAGACAATCAAAACACCGCAGAAACAATCTGCCGACAAATTGGAGTGTTTGGGGAGCATGAAGATCTGACTGGGAAGAGCTATACTGGACGCCAATTCGACAGCTTAAGTGAATCGGAGAAATTGGAAGCCGCTAAGCGAGCCTCCCTTTTTTCTCGAACGGAACCAGCACACAAGTCCAAGCTTGTGGATCTCCTCCAACAGGCTGGCGAAGTTGTTGCCATGACTGGTGACGGAGTTAATGATGCCCCTGCCTTGAAAAAAGCAGATATTGGTGTCGCAATGGGTTCTGGAACCGACGTCGCAAAACTCGCTGCTGACATGGTCCTTGTTGACGACAATTTTGCAACGATCGAGGGCGCTGTTGAGGAGGGCCGTTCCATATACAACAATACCCAACAGTTCATCCGATATTTGATCTCGTCCAACATCGGCGAGGTCGTCTCGATCTTCCTTACCGCGGCCATGGGCATGCCTGAAGCCCTCATCCCTGTCCAACTTCTCTGGGTCAACCTCGTCACTGATGGTCTCCCTGCAACCGCGCTCTCCTTCAATCCTCCTGACCACGACGTCATGAAACGCCAGCCCCGAAAGCGCGACGAAGCTCTCGTAGATGGTTGGCTCTTCTTCCGCTACATGGTCATCGGCACCTATGTCGGAGCCGCAACCGTTTTCGGTTACGCCTGGTGGTTCATGTTCAACTCGGCCGGACCCCAAATCTCATTCTACCAACTCCGCCACTTCCACCGCTGCTCCTCGCAGTTCCCCGAAATCGGCTGCGAAATGTTCGCAAACGACGCCGCCAAGTCCGCCTCTACAGTTTCGCTCTCCATTCTTGTGGTCATTGAAATGCTAAATGCCATGAACGCTCTGTCGTCTTCCGAATCGCTGCTTACGCTTCCTCTGTGGGAGAATATGATGTTGGTTTATGCGATTTGTCTGAGCATGGCGCTGCATTTCGCGTTACTCTATGTTCCGTTTTTGCAGGGTTTGTTTAGCGTTATTCCGCTGGATGTCAGTGAGTGGAAGGCGGTTCTCGGGATTAGTTTACCGATTATGTGAGTCCCCATTCCAACTTTCAGAACAATACACCAGGTTACTAACAATGAGTTCAGCCTTATCGACGAAGTCCTCAAGTTTCTAGAGCGAAAGTTCTACATGCGAACGACGAATGATAAGCTGGAACTCGCGCAAAACGGGAAGACTGTGAGGCCAAAGAAAGAGTAGACTATTTATCCTCCTTTTCTCTCCCTACTATTACTTGAGAGTTATTGGAATTGGTGAAGAGTTCCGAGAAGTTTTCCTGTACGATTAGATAGATAGAGTATAGATTCGAGGCGAAAGCAATGTCTAGTCTTCCATTTGCATTCACGGGTGCGGCTGCTTGAATATAAGGACAAGGAGCTCTGGGCTGCTGGCTTGAGAGTAAGTGTAGAAGGTTGGGGACCGGGAAGTGGGTTGGTTGGGGGGTGGGGATGGGGATAGGGACGGCGGAGGAGGGGAGCATAGGTGGCTGCTTTGCTACGTTTGCTTTTTGGGGGCGTTGGGAAGGGTGTAAATATACTTTATTGTATTTTGGATTTATATTGTTGAAGTGCTGTGACAGTATTCTAGCATCCGGTTGTAGAGACCCAAAGTAAGTGAATTACATGAAATCAAGCTACAGTCCTTCCGCATTGCCGACATCCTACAGCATAGTTGCACCTAACGTGAAGTAGTAGCAGTACAAATTTGATCAGTCAGCCCTCTGGATAGAATCAAGGAGAATATCAACAGGTGAAAGACGTGGGGTTGTGCTTCTGGTGCGACAAATTCCTGTCCAAGCCTATCCTTGAAATGTTCCACATGAGGTGAGAACATGCAGTTCATGTATTAAGTTTGAGAAGCAATGATATTACGACTTATTGGTGTGGGAGAACAGAGAGCTTAACTCCTGAGCTATAGCTATTGTAACATACTAGACCGCAGTAATTGCCCTCTCCCTTACCATCCCTCAAACACTTAGGCCCTAAAAGAGGCAATCAATTCATCCCCTTTGTCTTTTTCAACAAATACTTCCACTCTACCAAAGCGCAGCAAATGCGCTCCCCTCCTCCCATTATCACAACTCCAGGACCTTATTTCTGAAGGCGTAAACAATTCATGTAACCAGGTCAAGCCACTACAGCGTTTCCAACAGGAAGTAGTACAATTAATACTTTTGCTCTACCTATAATTACATAAGGCAAACAAACGTAACTACATTTTTAACTATTACAATTTAATTAATAAGGCTTAAAAGTAAGTAGTATATAATTAAGGTAGACTTTTTTAAGGTTACAGTCTCTACCGCGTGTAAGGGCTAAGGGAGCGTGTTTGTGCTACTATTTACGTGTTAGTATAGCCTTAGAGCTTGCCCTGTACTACAACAACCCTTTAGACAACCTTATTATAGCAAAAAATAACAGTCCCTTGTATAGGGAACCTCTAGATTAGTGGCTTTAAGTTAGTTAGCGCAACTATCCTGTACTTCTTAAGATAGCACTTAATTTCCTATGTATACTCTCTACAGGCTGCGACTGCAAGAGAGCCTTTAATAAAAGAGAAAAAACAGTTACTTATAACTATAATTATTTCTTAGGCTTTATAATTAAAGCTTTATAACTCTAGAAAAACTAGCTACATTATAAAGTTATTTTTAGTAAATTAAATAACCTTATGTGCTATATTAAAAGTATAGAGGACCCTACTACTTTAAAAGCTTTAATAGTTATGTTATAACTTTTAGTAAAAAGTTAAAAAGTATAAGCAGCTTTTAATTAAACTATAACTTAATTATATTAACCCTTGCTATTAGGTAAAGCAAACAAAAGTATATAATAAGTAAGACGTAACTTGTCTAGAAAGCCTAAGTCGAATCGTACTACTTCCTGATGGAAACGCTGAGCCACTATGTACTAGTGCCCGTACCTCTCTGTGTATCATGGCTGTCCCTAGAGGCTCTAGATTAATACAACACTTTTTCACTGCACCGCCACCGGGCTTACAATTCATGAACTTTACCTTCTTCGGTGAACACTTGCAGACTCTGATGCTCTTTGACAGGTGTCGGTATTACTTTTTCCACTTCCACTGCCTCACGGTTGTAGTATGCGATGGCCTCACAACCAATGACACCATAGACTAATTTTTCCCTCAAAAGTTGACAATAGTATCGTTTCCGCACTCTTCTCGCTCCGTGGGAATTTGTGAGGCGGGGTTGTTCAACCCCAAGTCCAGGTCCGTTCAATTCTTCATTAGGTTTCCGTTTACTCCGCAAAGAGGTAATCATATTACCGTAGGGCCTCCTCCTCAGTTTCGGGGACCCGTTTTGATGCGCCCTAGTGAATCTCTGACCTACTAGCGGCTGTTTCTGCTCTCTAGCTGTTCTCTTCACATCTCGCCTAGTATCACAACCTTGATTGTTAACGCGGGTAGCTTTAGCTTCAGCTCCTGTTCCCGCAGCTTGTCTTTCTATTTGAGATTTATATCACAACTCTCTTGTTCTCTCTCCCTCTGCTCTCCCTTGCTAGCCATTTGTAGTTGCAGTTTTACCTTTTTCCTACTCACCTAACCCAAGACTCCTGACAAGTTTATCTGCTATCTTATCTACCATTGCGGAGGGAGCAACAGAGCTTACCGTGAGATCATTTTGCATTCCGTTAACGGAAGCTGCTCCCTTTGCTTCCGGCTTCTCCTACTCCTGTTTCTTAACCTATTCTTCTACAATCCTCTTCTCCCTCTCAGAAATCATGAGAATGGAGCCTTGACTGCATGAAGACCCTCAGAACGTGTTTTCGTACGCCAGCGAGCCTTCTCCTTAAGAGCTTGATCCTCTTAATCGAGATCTCGGTCGAGCTTTTCGTTAATGTCCTTCTTTACAGGACGTAAAATGACTGGGACGCTGCAGTCGTACAGAATACACGCAAGGTCATCCTAGTTGCGGTTAGCTTAGACGCGTACGTGTGGATTGCAACACTGAAACTTGATTGTTCTGACATTTGTAGCTCTGGTTGTTAGGATGAAGTATGGTAGAGTTAGAGGTGTGGATTATGCGTTGGAAGGTGTGTGTTTATGAACAGAGTCGGTCGTTCTATTTCATTTTGAAACCAGTGATACACGTGATAAAGCCCAGTCCAAAGCTATTCTAAATAAAAGAAAAGAAAAAAGGACAGCCACGAACAGCCTCCAGTGAAGGCAGTGATTTACATAATAGCTGGAATACCTCGTGTGCACGGGCTCCATGCATTCTCTACCTCAGAAAGTCTTCCAAATTCTCAGCAGAGTCCTCCATTTCCACGCGTTTCTGCGCCTCTTTTTTTCCCACGACGCCTTCACTCTCTCATTTTACTAGCAGCATCAACGCTTGCTATTTTTGAACAAATAATCAACAAATGTAAAACAATGACTTTGCTGCTTGTTGGTAGAACCGAAGAAATCCTGCAGACGTATCAGCAAGTCAGTTTGCTTCCAGAACCCGGTAGCCGAGACTCGAAATACTGTCAATCCAAATTATCTTAGAACGCAGAGAATTTGAACATAATTCTAGTGAGGCTCAGAGACCGAGGACATATGGGGTGACATTCACCTTACCCAAACAGAAGCTGAACCCTAGCCACAGCGCCACTAGAAATTGAAGCCACATCACCCCCGTATCTCTCCATCCATCAGATCATTATCGCTAATGGAGACTTGTAAGGTATTAGTCGATGGAATGCCTTCGTGCGGCTTTCTTAGTAAAGGGCGAAGCAAAGCTAATACAAGTAATGTACAAAGGACTCCGGATCCTTACCTCTCTTCCTCTCGCAAGCTAGCTTCTTGATTGTCTGACGCGGGTTCACGTCACTTATTCAACCTTGTCCAATATCAGAATCGCTCTAGATGTTAGGATTCGAAATTCCTTCCGCTGCTATAGGCTTCGCTGCTGGCTTCAAGGTCGTCCGAGACCTGCGTGAGATCTACTATGCTATCAAAGCTGCGATGGAGCGCTTCCGCAATGCCGCCGAGATCTACACCGGCCTTGAAGCCAGCCTCTTGACTTGTCAAGAACATGTTGGTCACATTCTTGCCGCCTTTGCAGCGATAGAGCCAAGCGAAAGCGAGAGGAAGAAAGTTACGAAGATGCTCAATGATATCCATTCTAAGGCCGAAAAGTTCCAGGTGTGGATCGAGAGGAATAAAATCAAGGAACAAGATCCCCACATATTCAAAAAGAAATTCCGTGCGGCGTTTGGAAAGAAGCTGAGGGAGATCGAAGAGGCTATCGATAAATTATATACCAAGATGAAATGGATGGATGACCGGGTAGCTATCTTATACCGGTGAGCTCTCCTCTAGTGGGGGAGCGAAATGGTCACTAATATTGTGAAGGCGACTAACCCTGGATATAACATCAAACGTCAATGAAAGAGTGAAGAGGTTGGAGGATATGATGGTGCGAATCGAAGCGAACGTAGAACAGCTGGTGGTATTGGGAGGCGGAGAGATTGCCCTTCCACCGTATCCCAGTGCAAGGGTCGATGACGAGACTATGGTCAGCAATAGACAGAGGGAGTTGCATGCATTATACTAACCTTGTGAAGTTTCTGAACCACATACGTAGAAGCTGTGATAGTCTCATTTCGTTTGCAGGCGCTAGAGGGTCCAAAAAAGTGCCTCCTCTTCCTCCATATCCGAAGGATGAAGCAGACTATGATCCTATGGTAAGTATCCACCTTAAATCCTGTATATTACACTAACCTTTTTATGAGGTTACCTCCCCTCGTGCTGTCTGTGACGTCAGTTTTGACGAAGCCCACTCGGCAAAGCTCCGTGATGATAGACGTCGAATGATTGAAGAACCTTGCGCAAAACCCAAACCGGAAACAGGTAAGGGTGGGTGGATCCCTCCTGACCTACTGACAACAGGAGGAGCAGCCACTGTTGTACTAGGGCTGGCATGGACTGCGGCTCAATACTTGTTATGACGGATCTTAGCTGAGTGAGATGTCTGCTTGCCGGTCATGAATTATTTGAATGGTCGCAGGAAAAGGCTGGGAAGAATTAGTGCTCACAATGCCGGAGGTTTTTTTGGCGGGTTATTTGTATGTCGTTTGGATTGTGTGTTTCTACCGGGATAAGATCTTAAAGGGGCCTTAGGCTCGACAGCATTAGGTGAGGCGTAGGGCGAAGCCGATACCGAACCGCTGAAATTCCCTAACTCGATATTCAATGCCTGATTTGATTCAACTCTGCAGTCGAGTTTCTGGATGGATTTATGCGCTTGACGAATTCAAAGTGAAGCTCGGATGGTCTAAGCGTAACTCACAAGCCGAGGTACATATGTCTTGGCATAAACATCACCCTTGAAGCTCACCACCCCATTCTAGTCTTTCCAATTCCCATATCTTAACCCTTCCCATCGACATGTCTTCCTCGCCACCATATACCTACCCTTTCGCCACCTCCCCTGACATCATCCGTTCGCATCAGAAAGACGCCTACTTCTCCGGCCATCTCCTAGAACAACTCTCTACACTCCTTCGCAAAGTCTACGGCGCGCGCTTTGCCCACACATACACATCCGAAACACGCGTTTTTGGCGAACTGCTGTACCTCGGTCTCACAACCCTAATCGGAAACCGGACGCTCGGCGAGGAATACTGCGATATAATACAAGTAGAAGGGGAAAATGGAAGACTACCTGCCTTGGGAAGAAGAGCAGGGTATATTTTGAGCTCAATCCTAGGACCATATCTGCTAGGGCGTGTGCTCCCGGTATTTAGGAGGAGGATTAGGGCCAAGCTTGAAGCGAATTTGCGACGATATGCAAAGCATCGGGCGCCGGCTCATCAGTCTGGTAATGGTGGGAGTAAACCGCCTTCACTGCCCCTAGGAGTACGCATTCAGAAGTACATTTTGCAAAATCTGGATACCCTAACATCGCCTTCGCCTCTTTACGCGCTGTCCCTAGCAACGTTTTATTTCGCCGGATCGTATTATCACCTTTCGAAACGGATATGGAGTCTGAGATACATCTTTACGCGGCACGTCCCCGAGAGCGACCAAAGAGTAGGGTATGAAGTACTAGGCGTATTGCTAGTTTTGCAAATGGCCGTCCAGGGATATCTCCACATCCAAAACACCGTGACTAGGGATACCGTTACTACAGCCACTCTTGGATCCGGAACCGGCGCTACGGCCATGGTTGGTGGTGGCGTCGAGGTCTCGCTAGATCCCAATGCATACAGCGCCAACAACGCGCTTCTTTTCGAGGCTGCAACCCCTTCATCTTCCCATTCGGAACTGCAGAAATGGACACATACACCAGCCGCAGATAAGCCAAGGTACGAATTGAGCGACGAAGGAACTATGGCGTGGATTGGGGGTGGGAATAGAAAGTGCACACTATGTCTGGAGGAGATGAAGGATCCGAGTGTCACGACGTGTGGACATGTGTTCTGCTGGGTTTGCATATCTGATTGGGCGAGGGAAAAGCCCGAATGTCCATTGTGTAGGCAGAGTTGCCTTGCACAGCATGTGCTCCCATTGAGGGGCTAATTTATGCACCTTATTCTCGATCTTTTGTCTTTTGATCCTTCCTGGGCAAGAGGAGATGGGGATGCCTTCTATTCTGTTAGTCCACCCAAAGCCGTCTCCATGTCCTATCAACACACTGCCTAATCTATGTTGACACTGTCTAGATTGTAAGTGAAAGAAATTTAGGATGCCCTAGAAATTCTAAAATAAGAATTGTAAGAGTGTCCTCTTAACTTGCACCGTAAATCCAACAGGAGGTTTGAGAAGCCTAAACTATTTTACTTTTGCACCCTGTTAGACGTGACCACACTTTATTAATATCTAGTATTTTAGCACAGAAGCGCTTATTCAGCACAAAAACACCAGAACTACGTTGCACACTTGTCGACCCAGATATGCGCAGAAATATCCGAACCACATTTTGCACCTCCTAACTCAGATATGCGGTTTCTGGTGTTTCCCGAGAATTGCAGTTCGCACTTGACTCTGGTATGCTCTACAGTTTCCCCAGAAGTTCGTCCTGCTTCCAAAATGTTTATGACAATCCTGGTTGTAATTATTTTGGTGGATGGGTTTGAGTAATTTGTTGATAAATGCTCCTCTCTACTAGCTAATCTTAATACATCTGTTCTGCATACTTCAATTATGGTATGCCTTCATCGACGTCATCGTCTTCTCTCTCTGACTCCCAGCGTCAATGAACGACATTTTGGGTTTTTCGAGTATTTGCTTTGTCTGTTGGTCCAATGCTCTTCTCGTCTTACGACTGAGCTAGGTGAATGTTTTGATGCCAGACTCCTCAACCATGGCCTCGGCCAAAAACGCCAATGTCTCTACAGTGGAGATATTGTCACTGTTCTCTATAATCAAGTTTTTCACCAGGTCGTTTGAGGGCTCAACTTTTGGCTCTTCTTCTTCCTGGGCACTCGCTTCAGTGTATTCTATAGGCGGTTTAATAGCCGTCGTATTTGCTAAAGCCTAGGATGGCAGCATGGTTCCTTAACTAGCCTTCTCTCTATCTATCACCTGGATGCAACTGAAAGGGATCATGTATATGAGGTGGGCTACAGGTACGATTGGAGCAAAGTCGCTAAATATGCCAAGAGGGAGCTGCAGGTTAGTCTTGATTGCGTTTACTCGTATTACTCGTTTCGCTCAACCGACGACTGAATGCAGCAGGACGAAGCTCTTGAGAACAGCTTAACATATTTCCGGTCATTAATCTAGTTCAAGTTACCGGATGAGAAGATTGAAGTGTCCCCTCAGAGATCCATACTCCATGCGGTTTGTTCGAATAATGTGGGCATTTAGGGGAGGATTACAATTGGTAATTGTAGGCAGAGAATCTGAGAAAGCGTAAAACTGTTTTCTAAGGCCTGTAGAATTAGAAAGGGTGCAGCCGAATCGCGAGCAAGAAGACATTGACATAGAAAGAGGTGAAAGAGGCAGAGGATATCGTCATCCACTATGATGAAATTTCTTGAGACGGATCAATTGAAGTTTTAGTTTCTACATGCTCTTCCTTTCCATGGGTCAGGAACTTGCTCAGCGGCGCGCACGTGCCAGTCCATAAGACTAACCAATATCCATCTCCAACTTCATAGTTCGTCAATTCATCAACACGCACCTCACGGCCGCGATAAAATCTTAACGATCACGAGCAGCGCCATTCATCGTATTCTCAATACTTTTATATCCTTCTACTCTCCCCCGCGATCCGTGCTCCATCCCTTCGCTAGTAATCCGGTACCCATATCTGTCCACTAATCCCGCTATATTACCCACCCTTGTTATTTCCTTGTTTCGGTAATCAAATATATAGTACTCGCGTGGCTGGCAACCTTTTCGATACAACTTTGCCGCGCAATCGGTTACAATTTGAACAGATTTGTAACATTGTAGATGTATCGCAGCAGACCACATACTTTATTGCCGGGGATTCCATTATTAGAGTTCTGTAAAGTGACGCGCATGCAACATGGAGGTGCTTCTATTTCCCGGGAACACACTAGAGCTATTTGAAGATCCTGTGGGGGTTCACGGTTTCCGTCTATGTTATAGAACGTCTTTATCTCCTTTCTAATACTTCGAGCGATTGTTTAACCCCAGTCTCAGTTCCATAATGTCCATCCTTCTTCCCCTTTACATCTACCCCTGGGCCGGGGCATGGGATCCACTCTACTCGGCGTATTTACTCCCTCCCCCCTTCCCACTCCTATCCTGCAAACTCCCACTAAAGACTTCATTTACAGAGCTAGAACCCACCCCAATCTCAACATCACCGCTATTATCAACCCCTGCTCGGGTCCTTGCGCAAATGGCATCGCTGAACAGCCCTACATCACCGAAATACCGAAGCTCAAGCAGTACCCTAATATCCGGACTCTGGGATATGTAGCCACGAATTACACTAACAAACCGATTGATGCTGTCGTGCAAGAGATATATACGTATGCGAACTGGACGAAAACTATGAATAATCCGAGTCTAGCCATGGATGGGATTTTCTTTGATGAGGTGCCGGGCACGTATGACTGGCACTATAGGGACTATCTGAATCTAGCAAAGGACGCGGTTAAAGCTAGTAGTGGTTTGGGCCAAAAATTTATCGGTAGGCGCCGCCCCTCCCCTTTCCAGATATCCCAATGGAATGGGCGAAGTTTGATGAAAGACATTGGTTGCTCATCACATGTAGTCCATAACCCTGGCACCATCCCCAACATTAATTGGAACTACCTCGAAATCGCCGACGTCACCGTTGTCTACGAGGAAACGTATATGAATTTCCTCGACGCGCCGAATTTCAATGCCTTGAAAGCTCTCTCCAACAACACACACTTTCCGAAGTCAAAAATGGCGGTCATGTTGCACACTGTGCCGAATATTCCAGATGATCTGCTAGATTGGACAGCAAAGCAGCTGAAGGATATGGTGGGTTGGAGCTTTATGACTAGCGTCCAGACCAAAGGGGAATGGTGGCATAGCTTCTCACCTCTATTTGCGCCGTTCTTCAACGCTGTGGATAGAAACAAGTGAGGACTAGCTTATTAGTAAGCACTTATGGCATTTATCCTTCTGTACCGTTGACCATTGTCTTCCTCATGAGAATCAAGAAACTGGATAGGAGAACGTATCATACTAACCCCACCCACTAATTCTAGTGGAGCTTTAGACGTACTCATATTTCCTGGACAGCATATTGTAAAATGTGATAGTGTACTGTCATACCTTCAGTAAATCTCTACAGTTATTTTGTCTACATACTTATTTGCAAAGATGTCAGTACTGCTCTTATCTCTTAACACACTCATTCCTCCTTATGCCTTACATTTAACTATATCATCTTGCATGTAGGAATCTCCCTGGTTTATTTGCCTAGCCTAGGGACCTCTAATGCGGTCTATTAAATTTGAATTAGAGGAGCATGGACTCATCCATACGAGTCCAAGACATTTTAGCACTCTTTTTGTAGCTCCAAAATCAGCCCACATTTGGTGTTGAAGGCCCTCTGGTGCGTATATGAATCCTACCTTCAACAATACTCTATCCGTCCTCTATCCTCGCAATCAGGCCTGTTCCCAGACATTAGCCTCTGCGCAGATCCTACAATATCGAAAACCCCAGAAACTAATCCTTCAGCAGATTCTCTACTAACATCCCGAACTAGGAATTAACCCGTCCACAGAACTCTATGCCCTGGAAATTTCCTGACCTACCCAAAAATCGGTCATACAACACCAGAACCACCCGAATCCAACCCTGACAGGAACGTCCGCCCCCGAGTTCTAGTGTTTTCTAGCAGGCCGAATCGTCCACCTCCGGAACTTTCTATGATTTCTAGCACTAAGCCTTTTCCTAAGATCGAGCTTCCTAGAAGTTATTCCTTCCTAGGTCAGCGAGGCTACTGTCACAACAAACCGTTCTCTCTGCTAAAGGCCGTGCTATTTGAACCGTTCCAAGTAATTGACCCTGAAGGGCTTTACTTATGCCCGCTGACTGTTCCTTTAGGGTTTCCCTAAAACCACCTGTCGAACTTCTTCTCCTATTCACCGCCAGAACTCCTCCCGTAACCCCAGTTACGACATTAACCTAGTTCCACCTAATTTCAACAATGGTACAAAACAATCCTGGGGAACAAACTGAAACTCTCCCTACTGGAATACAAAATGAGGTCCACGAGCCTCAGGATGTGTCGACTGCGATCCATGGCCTTATTATAAAATTTTGGAGTCCGATTCGGATCCTTGAGAATTCTATCAACGTACTTGAAAAAAGGGTTATAAGCTGAAGGAAGAGTCAAGACCTCAGCCTCCACCACATCCTCTAACTCAGCCATAACTGGCATTAGTGATGTTCTAAGGCAAGGGTTAACTGCAAGGCGGCCTATCCATCAACCCCCAAAAAGTCTGGAACTCTAGTTCAAGGTATTCGTAGTGATCTCAAGCACTGAGATAGTTGCTATTAGTGCTCTCCATTTGTAAATCTAGAGAAAAGTTGAGGCCGCAGTGAATGGGTTCATGAAATCCCATATTCTCGAGATAAATTGCCAGATGCCCTACATATCGAGGAAAAAACCGGACCTGTGTCTAAGAATAGAGTACGAAGAGATAAAATGCTTGTTAGATAGATATCAGCGCGAAGAAACCGTATTTATTGATGGAGATTCCGGGTCATCTTCTCCTTCCACTCGAAGCCTGGCAAAGAAGTCAATGCCCTTGGATAATGTGTTTATAAGACTTCTAGTCGCGGGAGCAGGTGGGCGAAAAGCTCAATGTGGAACTTAGAGTGATGTGGGGGCCATGTAATTAGCTATTGGGGGATTCCACCAGAACTGTACCTTGGAGATCGAATGGTAATTTTCAAGGTTGCACACCGGAAATTTTGGTTGAAATCCCGCTTTCTAGACCTCTATCATAGCTAAATTTGATGGTTTAAAGAGAACCTTCTTCTATTGGCGGTGTCTGATTGGATGTACACTTTCTGGGGTTTCACTAGAACCAACCAACAACGAAGGTTGAGGGAAGAACTCTATTTACGAGAGGAGTTTGATTGGATGTATATAGTTCTGGTAAAAAGCCCCTCGATGTTCTAGCTAGTAAAATAACCCGAGTATTTGGAGACCATTACACACTTGCCCTGAGCGTGAAGGTGTATAAGGCTGTGGATCTGTCTAGCATGGAAGCAAGGAAATTCGAATACACGAAATCGCCTAACATTCCCAGAATGAGAGCTGGTGGACCATCTGCATGCTATAAAATTTCAATATCATCATAGGACCCTTCGAAGTCACCAGCCTCCGTCAGAATTTTTCCCAAGATAGCAATTAGCAAGAAGTAACACAGACATTTAGCACCCTTACATGGGTAGACTGTAGGTAGGATTGCCTCCTGTTGGGAGCCTGCGGCTATGGGAATTATAAGCTCGGATATATAAAAAATAGAGAATAAAGAATAAATAAAGGGTCCGGGGGGATTGTGGAGTCTTATGGAGTCGCAAGTCTGAGGATATTTGGAGATGGAAGGAAGCTAGCACTCGACCAAGATAAGGGGTGCTGGGGCTGCTGAAGATATATCTCGGGACCCCCGGCCTTATTCATGTTTCCTGCCTGTTTGGTAGAATCTGGACCAGTCTCTGCTGTTCGCTTCTTTAAGACTCGTTGACACTTGGCAATGAAGAGCAAGGAGCAAGGGCACATTCTTGCCTTGCCATTGGACCCAGAGAGAGTGCCATAAGCCTGCTTTGGGAAAACGCCTGAACCCTCCTCCACCATCGTGGCATGCAAGAGCTTCGCATGTTGGGATTTTGCTTGAGAAATTTCTTCTGTACGAAAGTAATCTCCGACTCCTGCAAACGAATTGATATTTGAGTTCCAGTGTTTCCCCAGATACGGAGAATATGGCCGAACTTTCCCTGACCCAACTGAAGCAACAGAAGAACTCTTCGCGGATCGGTAGCCTTGGTAGTACAGGTATCATCTTCAGCCCTACTTTTAAGTACACGAATTGCCATTTGAGTTCTGGTAATTTCCCCAGAAACAAATATTATAACCTCCAACTCGCAGGACAAACACCAGATTACTATCCTATCAGACTCCTCATCGTACACAGCCCAAATTACTCCCCTACTCCCCCTCTGGCGCCCACCCCTCCTGATACCAACTCCAAATATTCAGGCCAATCTTAATCCCACTCTTGACTGGCAACCCCGCATGCCAGCTCTCCTTATACCCCGACCCATCCGCCCTTAAATTCTCCCAAAACACCGCATTCCCTTTAATTGGTTTAAACGTTACCCCCTCCTCTGCCTCCATTCCCACCACTTCGCCCCCGTCCTCTCCGCACTCAATAAACCGACACCAACTCTTCTCCACTGGCTTCCTTAACCGGGGAAAATTCGTCCCACCGCCGGTACAATTCGCTTCTAGGTAGACCATAAAACTACTGACTCTACCACAGGACTTCGTGCTCGTACTCCAGTCATAGTGATGGCGGTAGTGTCCGTTTTCGGTGTATCTCTGGCTCCAGAGCTTCTCGATGAAGAGGTGTGGCCGCCAGCCCTGGAACTTGCGCGCGCGGTCTTCGATGCATTTGACCACGACATCGCGGTCTAATTGCGCTTTTTCGGAGCGTCGGACGGAAGGATCGAGATGTTCGATGCCGGAGGTCCAGACGGTGGAGGGGGTGAATTTGGATTCACTATGACCTCACATATCATATTAGCATTTCGCTTTCAGCTTGCTAGCTAGAGGCATTCTACTAGTTGGGGCTATTACAACAGAATGGAAGCACGTGACACTTACCTCATCCGTACAACATGCTCTGCCTCCTCCCCACTCAAAAATCCTTCAATGTACACGACCAATGGCTCCCGCTCAAAAATATGCACACCGTAGCCATGCTCCGGGCACTTGAGCCCCTTCTCTGGAACAACTAAGCTCTCCAATTTATCTCCGCTCAAGACCTGAACCTCGTGTGCACTTCTGGATGAGGGCAAGAGAATGGAAAGTAAGGGAGCCCCTGCAAGAATATATCCAAGGAGACCTAGAATGCTGAATTGAATGAGGCTGGCTATGGACGGAGCCATTGTTGCTAGAATCGGTAAAGACTGTGGTGGGGGGAGGAGGAGGAGGAGGAGGAGGAAGGGAAAGTGAAGATGTGGGAGGCCCGGAAATTAAGGCGGATGCAAGTGCGCGAGAGTCATGTGTAAGATCGATCTGCCCCTGCCCACATTGGGTAACGTTAACTACCCTGGACGCCTTGCTTCATTGGGCCTACTCACCATTAATTTGGGTGCTCAGGGTCTAACATCTCTTTGGCTCGCATATAAAAGCAGCGTTTCGCGAGGGGGAGAATGCAGCGCATGCAGGATAAAACATCAAGTAACCAAATCAAGTTCCCATTACAAACCTATCAGCCATTACACCTCTATAAACTCCGCCCTAGGATCCCGAGGAGAAGAAGTTGAAGGATAGTCAAAAGCAGCAGAAAGTTGAAGCCGTAACATGACCCATTTCATGCGCCCAAAAAGAGGCTACCACACAGTCCCACATCCATCTAAGTCCCCACTGAAAACCCCAGCCGAGAGCCCACTTGGGAATCCTCAGCCTGCATTCCACGGACCCTACTCCGTACTATCCGCATCACTCGTGATATCCGCCAAGAAAGAAAAAGTCTCTCAATTGGGGTAAAATAGCCCGCGCCTAAAAAGACGTTTGAGAGAGTGGAAGACGAGGATCAAAGAAGAGATTTCTATCCCTCGCACACACTCTAACAGAGGAAGCATCTATAGAATAATTCATATTGAGAAAAAGGTTGACATCGCAGCTCCCAAGCCCATCAGTCGAAGATGTATTGATTCATTTCGAGAATCAATACAGTAGTTCAGAGGGAGCCTAGTAATCGAGTCTGAGGACTAGGGTCTCGAGTTGCTCCCCTCGCTCTCGAATCGTCATTATTAGGGTCGTGTCACGGTCGACATTTGGTATTTTCCCGCCGCTGCGTGCACGCAACGCCAATTATTGAAAAGGTCATGGCGATTCCACAGGCTCCGGATGCCCTAAGCCGGATGCCCACTATAGTTCTTCTGCTGCGCATGTTGCTGGGCCACCTCCCGCGCATAAAACTCAACCAGCATGGTCCCATATGCCTCCATCTCCTCTAAAGGTACGGCGAGGCGAAAATCATTTAGCAGCAGAAATTGGAGTTCTAGGTGATTAAGCTCGACAAGGGGTAGACCGCCGACCTATGAAATTAGAAATTGTGGATTTGATGTGGGTGAATATCATACCTTCGCATAGCGTGAGTTAGTGTAGAAAACGTCAGAAAAGAACTTGCTGGCGCAAGTGACACCAGCGATTACAAGACGATGTATATTGAAGCTGTCCACTACGAAGAAGTGTGATAGACTGTGTGGGTCAGTCTCTAAGGGAGGGTCAATATTCTGCGGCGGGGAGGGTGGTTGGTGGTCTCGGACTGGGGTCTCTGCAGGTTTCCCCAGAGACCCCGACGGTGGAGGGGTTGCTGCTTGCACTGAATTCGAGGCCTGCGGGGAGTTTCGGGGAAGAATATTCGCCGATGCTATTGAGCTATGGCGGCTTCCCTCATGGTCTGCATTAGCTCGGTCTAGGGACTGTTGGTTTGCTTGTCGCAAACTCTGCATGGGCCCTGCATTTACGCGTTCTGTCATCCGGTCAAAGTAGACTAGCAGGCTGAGGAAGACCTCGTAAGTGGTGGGGCAGTATTTGTGAATACGGCTGAGATAGCTCAGGATTGATATGCTGGGCACATTCTTCCCGTGAAATGCCAGGACGCTGGTGGTTTGCTGGCTGAGCCCGGTGGTTCCCTCCGGGGGCGGGATCTGGCGGTGGAGATGCTCGTGCTGGTGGTCATTTGTGGTAGTGATCTTAGTCAACAGCCCCGCCACCATTTCGATGATATCCGAAACGGGCATTTCGCTAATCTCATACTGCGGCCCGACATCGCTAGGATCTCGCCTCGTGCGTCTTGAAAGAGATCTGGTTTGGGAGAATGGGCTAGTCTCGTCGGTCGCAAAACTTAGTATATGTGACAGGCTCTTCACTTTTATGCGTCGCGGTGACGTTGTTGCGGAGTCCAATGGCGAGCGTAGAGAGGCTACCGGCGATTGCTGGGCGGAGGAGGTGGTGGTGGAGGAGGATGGAACGGGGTGGGGAGTTGCAAACGCGGTCGTGTTCGCGGTGGCTTGGACGGGCGTGTGCTGCTGCGAATGCGGGCGGAAGCGCGGACTAGGAGGTGGCTGCGCCGGCTGCTCAGCGTTTGAGCCGTGGGGACTCAGCGCCGACGTGTTGTGGTGTTGTGTTCGATGCCCCGGGGTCGAAGTTGCTGGCAGGGCCCCCGAATCAGCCATGGGCACGTCCGCGGGCGGGATGATCCGCAGCGGCGGATTGGTATTGACCTGGGACGAGGGTCGCACGGGGGGATGATGGGTTGCGGGCGATTCCTGGGTTTGTTGATGGCTGCTGCCACCGCCGAACATGGTGTTATGAAAGTGGTGGCCACCGACGTCGCTCAACACGATCGATCCCATTCCGCAATAGTGAGCGAGGTCTCGAGTCTGCAGGTGCTCAGAGTATCAGCTGGAGAGGCAGGCGAGTTGCATGAAAGGTCGCTGGTCGAGACGCAGGGGGTGTAGGCACAGACAGGTAGCATGCGTGCACCCAGCCGCGGCGGGCTGTGGGCAGCAGAGAGAGGGTGAATGAGCGACGGCGGGACTTGCAGCGCGGGGGAGCAGGAGAAGAGAGTGATGTACAATGCGGTTCAGGAGACAGGCCCCGGAGGAGGTGTTGAATGCGCGCTGGCGTGAAGGCTTTGGGACTCCGCGATAAGAAACACGGCCACAACCGGATTAGGAACGCACCCTGGCAAATGGCTTACCAGCGCTCGAGGGCTACTTGCCGTGACCAAAGCGAATTGGACGGCAGAGCGGGACAGCACCGAGACAGCGGGGTGCGGTTGCGGTGTGCGGTGAGCAGATGGAGCGATGTTGAGGTGACGAGAGATGTTCCAGGTTGCTTGGTCCGTGGGGAGTGGGAGAACTTAGGTGAGGGCTGGCGTCACTCAGTCGGCCAATGAACCCTGCCGATCGTTCGCCTTGACAAGTCACCTCTCCGGATGCTACTCGCTGCCCGAAGTCATCGAGCCTCGCGCCGCGGCTATGCGCTCTGCAGGGTGTTAATACGGGGGTTTTTGCCGCAGCTTCACTTTTGGGGGTTGCAGCAAATGCGTGGGCATGGAGGGGGATTGTGCCTCTCATGTGAACATCTGAGTGGTGAGAAGCAAGCCCCGAGCAGATGCCCCACGTCCCGTGCCGATTGGCTGCTCAGCGGCCACGCTTCCACTTGGCTGCCTGTGTTTTGTCGAAAAAGTCCCTTGAGGATGCACCGCGTTAAGCTCTTGCACCGAGCGTGGGACAAGAGCTTGACCAAGGCTATGTCATTGTGCCCATCGTCGTCATCGCATGCTGAGGCAGGTGCCAATGCCAATTGGTGCTCAGCACATGGGAGGCTCTCTATATTATACACCGTCTTCTCGTCGCCACCGCTAATCTCTACTGCTGGCCGGGACCTCTGTAGTTCTGGTCGGGGAGGTACAGATGTCGCTGCGCCCCCCGAGCCGTGAGCACCACCATCCGAATGACACCGCCAGAGCTACCATCCCACTTGATTGCCTCCTGCAGCGCTCCCTTGACGAATTTGATGCCCTCCTGCTCCGTCATGCCCTCCTGCCAGTTTGCGTCGCAGTATCCATAGATGTACGTAGACCCGGACCCACCGATTGCGTACGCCTGCTTGTGGAGAGAACCGCCAAGGGGAATCGAGTACACTTGGCCGCCGTGTCGGTGGTCATACCCGGCGATGATCATGCCTGCCCTGGCCAGATATTAATGTGGAATCAAAACAGCCGATCCCCTAGACTCACGAGAGCTGGTCCTTGTTATCATAGCAGAGTTCCTGGAAGATGGCTGCCGCCGTCTGTGTGGTTGGAGGCTCATCGTTCGTGATGCCGTACATGCCAAGGTGGTAATGGACAATGTCTGCAACAGCTTGCGTGTCTGCCGCCGAACCGGATCGACAACACCAGATGGTGTCGTGGACTTGGGTAAGTTTGTCCGTCACCCGATTCGCTATGTACGCACCCGTTGTTGTTCTGCTGTCTGCGCCTAATATCACGCCGTCTTTGAAGTTGATTGCCATGCTAAGCGATACGTTAGACGGCTACGCTGGGCGCAGGGAAGGCCTAGAGACAAACATTGAGGTTCCGAGGCTATTGAAGTCCGTTAGCTTTGTAGGATAGGAAATGAGGCAGGTTCCATACTTGACTTCTCCCTTCTTCAGGTGGTTCATATCGATGTGAATGCCATCTGCAGAGAGTGAGCTTGGAGCTCCCAAAGGCCTTGTGATGCGTAGTTACCTTCTCCCAGCATGCCGGTGGACGTCATAATGAGCTTGGTGGGCGGTCGAGAAACGAACGTGAGAGGGAGGACGTTTGGGGGTGAGGCAGTAGCGGTAGTGTGGCTGGAGAGGTGCTTGGAGAGGTGCGTTGTTGATGGAGTTCAGGCTGCGGTGAGTTGCGCGTAGAGCTTCTCGCTATTTCCGGTTAGCGCACACCTAATCTCTTGGCAGAGATGGTGCACGTGACAGTTCGTACTAACGTTGAACCCTTGAAGCTTAACGCCACTTGGTGAAACGTGAACATCATCGCATCATGCACGTATTCCATGAAGCGACGAGCATATGGGCGGATCTGGCAGATTGAGTCTCTGTCTTCGCATTCTTGCCTTCATGCTACAGCTGTCCCAAGCACCGCTGGGCTTCGTCAATTGGTGGCGCTAAGACCGCCCAGGCCTCGAGTTTACTCGAACGTCACTCAACGACAGTCACCTACTGCTGTTTCGAGGTCTTCCTCTCTCTTTACCGCTCGATTGAACCCCCTCGAGTCAAGCTGTCGTCCGCTCAGCGGACTTTTAGAGGTGGCCCCCTCAAATCAGCGCAGGATGAGTTCCACACTCGACTCGTTCATGTCTTACCTTCGGGTGCCCCTGATCGCGTCGTCTGGAATTGCAGCATTGCTCAGCGGGGTCCTCTACTTCAAGCAGAAGTAAGGACTCCTTTTAAGAACCCCACAGCGTCCACCCTCTATATGACTTGTTAACCTATGCCAGCGAGATTATATATCCCAGGAACATACCTCCAGATGCACGCACGAACGTCCCGCGTCCATCGCAATTTGGCATTACGGACTTTGAGGAGCTCATGATTCCGACCCCCGACGGTGAATCCCTCAGTGCCTTCTATCTTCGAGCGAACAAACAGCATGCTCGCAACGTAACCATTCTCATGTTCCATGGAAATGCAGGTAACATTGGCTACCGGCTTCCTATTGCGAGGATTCTCGAGAACGACCTTGGGTGCAATGTTTTGATGTTGCAGTATCGAGGCTATGGCTTGTCGTCTGGGACGCCTAATGAGAAGGGACTTATGATCGATGCTCAGACTGGGCTGGATTATATAAGACAGAGATCTGAACTCCGCGGAACCCGAATTGTGCTCTACGGGCAAAGTTTGGGAGGAGCTGTGAGCATCGCATTAGTTGCAAGAAACCAGACGCAAGGCGACATTACGGGAATGATACTAGAGAATACGTTCACGTCTATCCGAAAGCTGATACCTAGGTAAGAAATACTCTGAAATGTGTATACCGTTGAACTAAATCCATTCAGTGCTTTTCCACCTGCTAAATATCTTGCGCCACTCTGCCATCAGGTGTGGCCAAGTGAAGAGACGCTCCCTCAGATAACTGGCATTCCAATTCTGTTCCTCAGTGGTCTTCAAGATGAGATAGTCCCGTAAGTTTGATTTCCATCTTTACCCGGTAAGGTGAGATTCCTTGGTATTTGCCGCGACCTGGCCCTTGGAAAGAAAGATTTCCATTCACGGCATAAGCAATCGCACCTCAACCAGCGACGAGAGCTCTGTGGTATTGCCAAACGGATGCCCTGGTGTTTCAGACCTGAATAGCTGACTATGATGCTAGACCATCACACATGGCGCAACTTTACAGGGTTTGCCGATCCGAAACAAAGATCTGGAAAGAGCTTCCACAAGGAAGTCACAACGACACAGTCGCAGAGCCAGGCTACTTCGCATACATCGACGACTTCATCTCAGAGCACGCAGCTCGCGGAAACGGCACTTGCCGTAAAATCTGAATACACGCTACAGACACCTAGGGTCTTTGATTTCTGCATGCAGGAACTAGTACGTTACTGAAGCATTGATGCAAGCAGTTGGTAATTGTGCGCTCTAGCCTGCTTTACGATTGATAGGGTTCATTGGTTCCTAGATCCCGCATATATCCTTGAGCTTTTGCATCCTTCAACTATGTAATCGCGAGAGGCTACAGATAGCACAAAATATCGTCTCAATACAGTATTACCGGCTGTTATGACTACACCGTGCTTCCTGCCGGTTATGACGAGCTAAGATCCAGGGGTTTATGGCAGTTGGAGGATCGACACCGCATTTTAACAATCATAGGGAGGCCAGCTACATGAAACCGGGAATGAGGGCATTTCAGAGAGTACATGAGGCAAGTTTGTCCCGTGGTAGTGATACATGGCGGATCATCATAGCTTTGGAGTCGATTTATTGCCGGATGCTCTACTACGATATATCTTGATAGCATGCAATGCTATATTTGGTCCTTAGATCTACGAGCACGCGCATAGGCCTGCAACACGACCTGGCGGGATTTGCAAGATCTCCAGGGGATCTATGCCGGCATTGATGTGGGCTGAAACTGCAGCCGTGTGTATCGTCTGATCATTGCGTCGGTCTATTGTACAGTACAAGGCCTCTGATGAGCGGACCGCTACCTTCGCCATTCTCAAGGCCCGTCCATAGAAACTGCATGAAGCTACTAGAAACAAAACGTAGATTTATAATGGGGACGCCAATATGTATTTTATGTAATTTTTCCAGCACGATTATCGCCCACACCCAAAACACTAAATTGTCAGCTTACCTACAAGAAGCGCGTCGGTATTCACGCACTGACTGAAATTAGATAGATACAGAGAGGAGTCGCCCAGAAGCTAGGGATTCCACCAAGGACTCTTTCCAGACAAGTCACTTCTACACTGCCTTGTTCGCTATGCTACTAAGAATGCTGAATAACTTCGGCAAGCTAGAGAGGGGATTGCCTATGAGTTAGGGATCAACATCTGCTATTGAACACTTATTCAGGCCTTGGAAGAAAAGAAGCTCTACCACTGTTGGAGGGCAACGCGTAAGCCTCTCCTCGCTAAGCAGCACGAAAGCCTCGCAGTTATAGCAGGCATCCGAGCACCTTTGGTGGACAAAAGAGCAGTCGACTAGAATTGGTTACAGCGATGAGATGTCAGCTCACACAGGCCCGGGTGAGCTGTGGGGTTACTCTCAGACCCAAGGAGCGCTTTCTCCTTAATTGCCTTGTCCCAAAAGTCAAGGGGTTTTAGCAGCTGTTTAGTATAGACTATTATCTCACTTAAAATTAAAGAGCCGTTAATATTCTTTAAGAGTGATGTACCAAGCTTACCAGAGTGACCATAACGCCTTAAATACTGAAAGGAATTTTTCTGCATAGAAGACAACTCTACTGTACACTGCCCAAAGACTAGTACGGCTGCCTTCCAACCTCTAGGAATTAATAAGGCGTTATGGCCAGCTAACTCACCAGACCTCAGCCCAATAAATAAAAAACGCTTGGCGGCTGCTGAAGTAGTGGCTAAGCAAGCGCTTTTTAAAGACTGATGATGAGGTAAAATAATACCTCAAGGAGGAGGGGGAAAAGATTCAGGTTAGCGGCTTTAAAAAAGTATATTACTTCTATAAGAGACTACTGCTAGGCAGTTATCTAGGCGTGCGGCGGGTATACCAAGTGATAAATGACGATTGGATGGCTTTTTGTACGCAATTTAGATAGAAAAACAACATTTCTAAGCCATTTCCTGCACGGACCATACGGCCTAGACCCGGGCGACGCCAGCAGTCCGTTTATGAGATGGCAGAGTATCATGTGGCAAAGTTAATGGCGAGACGGCGTGTCATGTGAGGTGCGCAAATCCGACCCTTGTGTACAAGCGCGAGTGGTGGCTGTGCCTCCACGACAGTCTACTTCTGGCAAATGGCAAACACTCACTCAAACTGTCCCGCCGGAACATTTTAACATTTCCCGAAGGATGGATGGCACAGGGTGGTGTTCGGCACCTCGGGAGGAAGGTTTCTGGCTGGACCCTGGAACTCCTGACGGCCGCTAGCGACACTACGCCACTCGATGACATATGTGGAGCACCTGGTGGGAAGCTTGTTTTAGCTCATGGGAAAACAACCCCTGGCACCGGGAAAAGCCAGTCTCCCATCAAAATTTCCCATGGTGGCGCATGGACAAATCCTACTATGCTCCCCACTTGCTCGTCATCTCAAAAAACCGGCGACTTGAGCAATTTCATCATACGGCAGCACGAACGAGCCGCCTACTTCGACATTTGTAGAAGCGTTTCTCACTTTTTCTTCACCACCAAGCCAATCCAGGTGTCGCGTCCGCTACGATGTTGCGCGGTCAGAAAGAGATGTCGATCCCGGCCAGGCCAACCATACTGTTGTCCACATGTCATCCCAGGCGGTCAGGCCGAGCGTGGCAAATGCCCGCGCCCGCTTCACTCATTCTCAATTGGCAGACCAGCTGGAAACTGAACGGATGGCTAGTCAAGGCGGCGCCTCTGGCTGACCACTCCATCCCCAGTTGTGGCGTTGGGTCACTTTGAGTGGTTCCAAAACGCACCGCTGCTCGTCCCATGCCTTCACCCTTTCCCCTCTGAGTCAACGCAGCCCCTGCGCTGTTCTTTTGCCTGATTATTTCGAATGCCCTTTGATGCCAACGCTCGCCGCCAGCAAGCTTTGTTCCTGCTAAGCAACGATTCCTTGGGCCACGCGGCATGCCATTCCTGTTCTTTGAAGTGATACCAAGTCGACAGAGCGCTGACGCACTGGTGCCTTCGTCGTCTCCCGCTGCTTGCTCCCTGATTGGTCCATCATGAATAGCATTGGACAGTTGTTCGGGGTAGTCTTTCTTAGGATTACTTCAGGCTTTTGGCTAACCTGGAGAAAAATGCCCGGAGGCGTGAAAAAGCTCCGGAGTTCTTGCGCTCGTATCCTACCTTTAGCACCCAAGCCGGCTTCTCGAGGTTCATAAGCTTGCTAGAAATCTCAATTGCTTGACCTCAGTATCACCCTACCCTTCCCTGAAGTTATATTTTCCCACTGCTAAACATTAATTTTAGCACTTCAACATAGCAAAACTAGGTTGAAGGAGGTCTGCTAAACTTTGCATAGTTTGTCGAAAATCAGCGCCTCCGGTCCATGGCAGTCTAGAAACAGGATTTACTCGCCACACTTGACCGAGCGCTCCATGCTAACACTTTCTACTTCACCCGCCGACTTCGTTTCAAAAATCAGCTTCCAGTTCCAACCCTGCTCTCTGTCTTGGAGATCAATTCGCCTCCGAAGCATCGGTCTCGGAGCCAACTGCGCCACGGCCATCCTCGAGGACCACATCTGCATATCTCCTAGACCACTCACGACGCCAGAGACCGCTCAAGTCAGAGGCAATTAAGGCAGATATCTTCTAAAATACTCGTGCGGCATTCCTGTTTGATGCTGGGACTCGCACAGAACGCATCTTGAGCCCCTCTCGCCTCTCCAGCCTCTTAAGACCAACCCGCACACGCGCTTTCCCCTTCTTATCATCGTTGCCGTTGTGCTGTCAAGCCCCATAAGGCGTCAAGAGCCCTCTTCTGCCGCCTGACTGGCCACGTATCTTTAATCATCTCCTTCGTTCCGCTCGAAGCGGGCTCGATCCTTCCACGCTTCTTTTTTACTTTGATTCTTCTCACCGTCTCCAACGTCTTATTGGCATACTCTCCAGGACGATTATTTTTCACAGCCTACTCATTTCGGTACTCATACACTCCGGCTCGCCACTCGGTTTAACACCGATTCTGATATAGGACCAGGTACGTTTTGCGTTCAATTGCGATTTCCTCAAATTTGCTTGAAACTTTTGTGCACTGTCGTTCACATTCCACCTTCAAATATGGACTGACATGGCATTCGTTTGGGTACAGCAGTGGATCGCTCTTCCTGTCGTTTATGAGGATCAAATGGGCGACTTACCTTCTGGATCCGTTTCCCTGCCTTTGGATACCACGGCAGCTAGTCTTGCGCACGATGAGCACCAATACCTCACCAGCGCCTCTGCGCCAACCCTCAGGTCCCCGAGTGACAATGCGCCTTTCTACTCACAGCTCAGCTCAATTACACAGGGCCAAGTCCCCCCCGACCTTCGTTCCCCTGCGCACCTAGGAAACCCACAGTATCTAATGCAAAACCAAGACACATCTCCCTTAAACATGGGCTCGATGATGAGCGGGCTTCCAGGCTATCCTTCGATGGAATCCGTTCATGACAATCCTCAGACTCACCAACAGATCCCGCGATCCCTTTCTGGCGCCTCAAGTTCCACGCTTGTTTACCAACTCCAACAGAATACTCAGATGCCTAATCACGGTTCTGGTTCTGTTCTAGTACACTCTTCTTATGGCCCTGGATTTGGTCAGAGTCAATTCCAACAGAACTTTGTTCCTGCGCAAGCACCACAGCATGCGACCTACGCGCCCTTTCATGGAAACCAACAGCGGTTAGGTTCCTCGAACCCAATACAAACCCCATACCAAAACTTCCACCCACCGTCCCCATACCTCTACTATCCTACATCGTATGGCCCACAAGGACAATTCCCTCAAGGGTTCCCAGCCCAGGGGGGGCAGTCACAAGCGATGTTTGGACGAAGACTAAGTCTACCATCCAGCCAAGTGCCTCCAATGGGACAGAATTTGGATCCGTCTCAGCATGAATGCGGTTACTTCGGAACAAATCGCATGACTGGGGGACTTCAAGCAGACAATGGGCAACTCGGTGCAATACTGGGTGGGCTGAATACGCAAGGTAAGCGTTGGTACAGCCTTGAAGAAAAAAAAAAAAAACGCTGAAATAGCTTGACTGACAACTATGAACAGGAATTATCAAGCCAGTACCCTCCAGTTCGATACCTCGCGGGCCGCCCCGAAAACCCAAACAGTCCGGACACGCGCTCTGGGTTGGGAATCTTCCTCCGGGGACAACTGTTGTTGACCTGAAGGACCATTTTTCGCGCGACGCAACAAAAGACATCGAGAGTCTCTTCCTCATCTCCAAGAGCAACTGCGCATTTGTCAACTATCGTACCGAGGATTCTTGCACAGCAGCTATGCATAGATTTCACGATTCAAGGTTCCATGGAGTTCGGTTGGTGTGTCGGCTTCGGCGCAGCTCCGCTCCTACCTCTGGCGTGCCTACAGGACCTTCAGCGATGGTAGGGAATCAGCCAGGGAATACCTCTCCTCCCAAGTCGCCTCAAGTTGTTGAAGTTGAAGAAGCCCAAGGAGAAGCTACAGAGCCCGCCCCTCACCAGAATGACGAAATTAGCAGAGAAGCTTCTACAGCCACTGAGAAATACTTCATCGTTAAGAGTCTTACGTTACAGGATCTTGAGCTTAGTGTTAAGAATGGCATTTGGGCGACTCAGTCGCACAATGAAAACGTGTTGAACAAGGCATATCAGGTAAGTCGATATAAATATTACCACACGAATATCTGCATACTAACAAACATAGACCGCCGAGAACGTCTATCTCATCTTCTCCGCTAACAAGTCTGGCGAATATTTTGGCTACGCAAGAATGGAGTCCCCGATCCTTGAAGACGCAAAACATATAATAAGCTCCCCCCCCAAACCCGAGAACATCATAGATGCCACGGACGTCCCGAAATCCATTCCCACCCCTGCCACGGAGTTCGCACCTAAGGGCCGCGTCATCGATGATTCCGCACGAGGGACAATCTTCTGGGAGGCACAATTAACCGACAATGAAGCCGAAGATGGCGACCACGAGAAAGAAGTGCCCCAAGCCGAAGGCGGCACCTCGCCGGAGACGCAGACCTGGGGCAAGCCGTTCCAGGTCAAGTGGATATCTACAAACCGGCTTCCGTTTTACCGCACGCGCGGGCTCCGCAATCCTTGGAACGCCAACCGAGAAGTCAAGATTGCGAGGGATGGCACCGAGCTCGAAACTAACGTTGGAGAGCGCTTGATCCATATGTTTCATCGTTTGGGGCCGTCAAGTGCGGCTGGTGCTGGTGCGCCAATGATGCCTCCGCCGCAGCAGATCGGTGCTCCGCCCCAGATGCGGCCGTTCTAAACCATAGAACATTACACCACACGATGTATGTCTGTTTGCCCGTCTTTAAGTATGGATCCATCTTGCTAGGCTCAGACTGATACACACTTATTGATGTCGTTTATGGTAGTGGAGTTAAAGTCAACCATTTTTCATGCATTTTGTACGACTCTCTTTTATCTCATTCCATGTCGTCAGTACCGGCTCCCCATACCATAATATGGGAAGAAGTTATTCCACTCAACGTTCAATGAAGCGCGCGTGCATGCATCTACTGGCCAGGAACCACCGGGTACAGTACAAACAAGATCTTACGTTCTGAACATCCATCGGTTGAGATGCATATTGTATGGGATTCGATGAAGTAACGAATTTTTTGGACTAGGAGTGCAGAGAGGAGAGAAAAGATAGGTGTTGGGCATTGGATAGTTGACATTGGGTGGTTGGCTACTCTAACATTTCGTTCCCTCTTTCTCCCTCTGGCAGTGGTAGTGGCAGATACTTTTCGAACGCCAAGTGTCATAAGCATGCAATTTGGTGGTGCGGTTGGAAATATTTTGTACAATATGTAAAGCATCGTTTTTGCTCCACTTCCTAGGCAGAGATTGCACTTCTACGCCTCTTGGCTATGTGATACAACTATCTACCTACCTTACGAGGAGCGTCCTCGTTGTTTAATATTGTGTTATTATTTTGTCAAATTCTCTAATTCCGCGCCCAATCATGATGGGGCAACAGGTTACGTCTGAATCAGTTGATCATCATGTCCATGACGACTGATTTACATCTACACGGAAAGCCCGACCCTCCTGTCTATCAACCTCTCGCTTGTAAAGATAGCAAGTACGTAAGGTTTCCATGTGGTAGGCCTATCATAAATTAATCGTCCGAATGATGGAGCTTGGTAGTGACGTAGGTTGGACCTTTTGAAATTCGCCACCCAGTGGTCAACCGATACTACGTACGTGTTTTGCTTACCCATGTCTAGTCAGTTCCATTGTGGTAGGTAGTATGTCTCCGCCTCCCGTGTCCGAGGGTGCGTTTCATCTGTCCATAGCTCTTATGACGACTCGGCAGCGGCCAGCGTTACACACGGCATTGAATTAAGCGTGATAAATTTTTTTTTTGGGGGCGGGGTGAGTAAGAGGTGGCAATTTCAACGAGAACCGGTTCATTGTAGCAGCATCTTTGCCAACGACCTTTTGACTCTCTGTTCAGTAACAGCTCTCTTTCTTGCACTTTCTCTCTCTTCCATTCCTTTCTCCTTTCATTCTACCCCCATTCCATCCCGTCCCCGTCCCGTTACACACTCTCCCACTGGTTCTCCAGTTCCATGGTGGTCTAGAACCCGAGTCATGCGCCTATGCGCTTTGGAAACCTTGGAATTTGGGCATGGCGCCCTAAGGGTTTTCCATTGGGGACTGTGCGTAGAATTAGTCTATTTTAGGTTTAGCGCATAAAGAAGAGAGTTTGGGGAAGTGTGGCGGTGCAACAGGGCTTGCGTGGATTGGGGTTAGTGAGGGGTAGGGGTATGCTTCGAGGAGCGGACAGAGGGGGTTGGGGAGGTTGGTGTCGGGTTTGGGGTGAGTTGACATGAGATTGAATCTTGAGGGGATGATAATGTGGGATAGCGGAGAGTCTGCAGGAACGGGGTAGAGAGTATGGACAGTAGTAACATCTCACTTGCGGGATTTTCTAGAGAAAATCGCTAGCATGCAAGGTCTTTGCCAGTATTTTCAGAGACATAGGTTTGACAGAAAGTTGATAAGCCAACGCGAATACACGATCGAAGCGTATAGCAAGCATCTCATAGTTGATTGTTCAAGAGACATGGAGCTACAATCCCTCTTTCTAAACCTCGCTATTCGTTCAGTCAAACGCTTTGTTGACCCAAGGGGTAACCTATCTTTAACTGCCTGCCCTAACCTAGCTAAAAATAAAATAAAAAAGGCACGGCACAGCACAGCTAGAATCTGTCACATTGAAGATAGGGGCACTCTTTGAAATTCCTCGCATCAGAGATAACCGCCGGGGAATTTTTAAACACCCTAAAACCCATACAAACACACAACGCCTGCCTCCGGGCCAGGAGTATTCAAGCAGACATAGGAAAGGAGCAAGGAAACAAAAGGCAGCTCGGGAAAAGAATAGAGATAATGCGCATACAGGCAGAACCCCGTTTGCCTTACTCTTTTTACGCCTCTAGCATATCAATATCAAAGCAAGCAGAAATAGTCTTATCCAACACTTTCCCACTTGCGTTACGGTGCGTCTAAAGGGATCCCAGAAACCCGTTTCCAACTAGGGTTTGGTCGTTTGATGAAGTATCTCCTAGTCCTTCTTCCGGATATGCTTCTGTTTCCATCGCTTCAGCTACTGCCTCTTCTCTAACTTTTTGCATATCAACCCGTATTCGTCGGGATTTGTAAGACCATTCTTCTATACGCATCAATCATCAGCATCATATTCGGCCTGGTTACTCAGAGTCTTAGGCCCATCTTTACGTATCGGGATCTTGATACCCTGGCTGGCGAAGGCCTTGGATAGAGGCGTGGATTCGATGACTCCCGGGAATTTCTTGGCTGAGTAGACCTGGAATTGGTCTGAGAAGCATGTTGCGAGAACAGGGGCTCGACCCGTGTTGAGTGTGTTGTTTCCTTGGCCAGATCCGACGTCTACGAAGTTCATTTTCAATCTGCACAGAATTAGCCAAGGATTGCAGCACGATAAATAGGGAGTTACATACCGGAACAGACCTTCTGTCCTGACAGAGAGATCCTGAAGAACGAACCAGAAGCCGACTTTGTTCTCGGTATCGGTGAGCCGGAAAGCATTTACCGTCAAACTGCCAATTAGGTTCCTGGTGAACATGCCCGTGGCCGGATTTGGTGGAGGGGGGACCATGGGCATCTGAACGGCACTGTAGGTTGGCGCCTGCGAATATGGATAATTGGGCGTGTTGGGCGTCATTGGTGTCTGGCCATAGTACGTAGGAGGTACTGGAGGAGCTGAGTAGGGATTTGGTTGATGCTGCGGCGGTGCTGCCATTGGCCTTCCGTAAGCATCATACGCCATCATGGTCGGTGCCATGTACATTGGTGGACGCTCTACAGGTGGCGGGTAAGAAGTCGTAGTACTGCTGGAGATGGATACCGTCGGCGCGCCGCTCGAATGCCGCACCAAGTTGACTTCGCGGGTTCCATCGGCGTCCCAGAGATCTACGGTCAAAACAAAAAAAGTGCTGTCGACTTCAGTGAATTCTATCTCCTTCCCCGAAGAAGCGTCGCACACGAGTAGCTTGATGCAAGGCGGAGGAGTAATTGGGCGTCGGTCCTGTACGTGTCGGCATGTCTCAGCTGGCGCCGAGTGGACGGGAGGTGCGGGCGAGTCTTACCTTATCACCGAATCCGCACATGCGGGCACGAATGGGCTGCTGTTCCACCGAGAGACTGTGGTGCGTTAGTCGAAAATTTTCAAGAACGAGAAGCGTACCTACCGATATATCCTATCTCCTTTACGGCCAACAAATGGCTTGAGGTGGTTGTCGGAGGCATAGGACTGCTGGACCTGGGCAGGTGGTAGAGAAATCATGTTGTGGTTTGAATTTGGGTTTGCGGGTTGTGATGGTGGAGCGGCCTCAGTCTTCGGCGGGAGTGGAGCTGGGACGGGATATTGATTGCTCTGCCGAGAGTACATGTCGGCG